ATATTTAATACGTACTAATTAATTTATTGCTTTTCGATTCATCAATATTTATTGCTATCAATTCAACGTTGTGAAGAATTTATCCAAAATAGTTCAATAACGATAGCCCTTATGCTAGTTTGGTAAACAATTAATGTCGACATGAATATATTTAATTAAAATGCGTTTATTGCATATTTACCTTCGAGTCGAAATTACTCAATTAAATTCCAATTTTATCCACCCATTAACCTACGTATAATTTTATTTTCACAGTTTCTACCGAACGAAAATAGCATATCTCTCCGTAAACCAGGAATTTCCCCAACAATTTATCCTTATCTAGAGCGCGTTTTATTCCTTAAAGAAGATTTCACCGTTACAATTTCCCCGGAACAAAAAGCGAAAAAAAAACTTTTGTATACTGCGTCAGAAAAAAGGGCGCCTTGCGAAAGCGATTCTTCTTTCTAGTACGCGCTGGTGGAAATTACCTACCGCACGTACACCTGTTCTAATCGTCGGATGTACTAATAAAAGCCTATTCTGCGTTTCTGTTTAGCGGATTGTTATTCACACCGCAAGGTGAAGTTATATAAAAGTCGTCTCCTTTCGACCGGACCAGATCGGCCCCGGCTTTTATTGCTCGCAGAGGCGCTTGATTTCGCCCATACATAATTTATTTACATCGATTTGTTTAATTATTATTATTATTATATACCCTACTCATTAATAAACATCAGAGGAAGCGAAATAAATTAAGCACCTTGCATTTTTTTTTATAAAAAAAGACAGTTTTTTATTGGATACGCCAATGAGTGCGGGCCGCACAGACACCAGCACTCCAACCCTGAATGAACCTATAATTTAGCTCGATTGCCCACTAAATTAGATGCTGAAATGGAACGGAAGGGTTACCTAAGTTACCTTCCTTCGACAATTACCTTTCCTGCCACAGGAAAAATATATGAAAACTTTATATATCATTTCTCGGAAATGCTCCTTCGGTTGATATAGGGTTTGTTTGCGCGGAAATCGGCTGAAAATGTTTTCTTGTAGATACGTTTTAATTAGAATTAGAACGATTTTCGACGGAAATTCTAATATATTCTATATGTGAAATATTTTCCGAAATCCGTGATTATTTCAGTCCCTTTGCCTTATTCCTTTTCGGCTACGCGTGTTCTCTTGAACGTTCTCACGTTTAGATCTCTTTTATAGGGTAAGACAGGGCTTATTTACTGCTGTTTTCCCGTTTCAACAATATTTATGCAGGGTAGCCTATAATGTGTTTTCCGGAATTTTCTTTTCCACTGCACCAATAGAGGTGTAAACAATGTGAACAACAATAATTCATCTTAATTTATGAAAATGCTTTATTTTTTTGCTCAGTTAGGAAAGCGTATAATACGCGAAAAATTACTTTTTACTTCGCTTTAAACTAAAACATTTTCGTTGGAATTTATTTCGCTATAATTTCTGCTCCGCTTTTTTTGTCACAAAAGTTTTGACAAATTAAATTTTTATTTAAATTAGTATATACAAGCAACTTAAAAGGCTCGGTTAATTATATTATATGCATCGTTTTATTTCACTTATTCGCTATAACCAATACGTATGTAGGTAATTAAACGCTCTCTTAGCATTACCTAATTATCAGAAATAAAACTGAATTCGTTGGAAAAACTTTACGACATCATTCGACGGAGCTTAATTGGATAGAGTGTACCTTTTAAATGGTAAACATTGGGCTAAAGATAGCGCATACCCACATCACTAACAGACCGTGTTCTCCGTTAATATCAGTACAAATGTCAACAATATGACAGGCAAAACCTCAAATGAAGATGTGTGCTGCTTTATATACGTAACGGACGCGTATCTATATTATTATTTGTCTGCGTTAATTCGAAACTGTCCGGATTCTATATTCTGGCAGGGAGTGCAAATGTCCAGGGGTCGACCGAAACGAAACGAAACACGAGGAAAAGTGATAAAAAGAGTGAATATTCATATAGAGGGTGCTTCTCGGCCGCTTCAATCGCCCGGCGATCGAATGTTTTGAGTAGGAAAAGAGGTCAGTTAGCGGCGGGCGAATTTTCACTAGAAATCTTTGTGATGTTTTCGGTCTGCCGGTAAATACATACATTCCAAACATCGAAATGATGTTCACCTAATGGAAAAATCGCTGGATAATTTAAAGCCGCGTGTTTAATTAAAAATCACGCGTAAAGTAGAGATTGTTATTTTTTAATTTAACCGGGTTGCTGTAAAAATATTCGGGAAATTCGGATAGAAAATTGAATTGCGATTATGCATTCGCGCTGATACCGGAATAGGAAAGTTATCTATTTTCTCCATTGGTAATTGTACGTACGATTTAGAACTATCGTCAATGCTAATGTCCATATTCTGGTTTCCAAACTTGTTTGCAAACTTGCCTATTCATCTATCACTTCCTAGTTCTATTTAAACATAATAGTACCTCTCCGTGCATCGTGCAATTTAGTTTGCAAGTGCGATACTGAACAAAACAAATAGACAGAAAATTAATACAAAAAAAATTAAAATCGTTGCGAATTGCATATACTTGTGTATCCCTTTTTGTTCGTTCTCGGGGTGTTTGGTCAGTTCATGCTTGTGAATTATTTCTCTGGTAATAAAGCGTGAAGTTTACATGGACAAAATAAATTGCTTATGAAAGATCATATCACGTTTGGGGATTAAGGTTTTCAACCCCGTTTTCCAATTCAGATTACCGATATTACGTACCTACGTACTTACATGTACGCCTGCTTTCGTTATAGTCGCCACTTTATTTGCAATTCTATCGCAGGGTGAAACAAAATTGAACAGGAAAGGCCTTGGGAAATTTTTCGATTTCTGTTTTTAATCATAAAAGTATTTTTTGCCTACCTTTAAAAATCATTTCCAGGTAAAAACAGTTAGTGGAAATATCACATAGTTAAGGAATTTAATAAATGCAGTTTCGCAATGCGTTCATAATTATTTTTAGTTCGTTATCTAGATTTGTATTTTTACTGACAATTCGAAAATTTCTCGATGAGTCAACTCACCCGTATTCGTGGGTTTATGAATTGAAATTGTAATATAATAATTCTGATATTACTTTGTATAGGAATACGCTTTGTCAGGTTCGCGATATCATATGACTAATTAAAAATATTAAATCATCATTTCTCTCAGGATGTATATTCTGTTCGTAATTAATACAATAACCGACTACCGTATCTCGTTTATAGAGTACACAAAAGGCGGTATGAATTACGAAATTTTATTTCGTACTCCTATACCTACATATGTACGTAGTTTTAGTCGGCTCTAAATGCTAATTAGATTGTGAATATGGAATGTGTATTTGTCGTCAGGCTTTTAATTTTACTGAAATAACGCTATATTTGCTTATTTTAATCCGAGAGATACAGGGGACGCCGTATAGAGTCAATTAGCAATCGATTTCTCAACGGACTATTGGACTTTTAGCTCGTAAAGAGCCCTTTGAGCAAGGGTGACAATATTTAATTATCCGAATTGCGGGGCTACTTAATTGAAAATTAGTTACATCGTCGCAGGCAGGCAAATAAAACGGATATTCTCTAATAAATCTTCTGGATAGCTAGTTGTAAGTCGTTTTAAAATGCCGAATTATCCAAAATGAAATTCCTTATGTGCAACTTAAAAAAATACACATCCTCCCCTTACGTAATCAATCCATTTTGTGGCAAAAAAAAGATTCTGAAAAATTTCCTAAACGAGGGAAACAGTTGATGAGACACAAGATCCTTTTTATCAGTAATTTTTGCCGTCTTTTCTGTATTTCTTTCATGATATTCTTATCTCTGTTTTTCCCTAATTGACAAATAGCACGGAAGCACAGCGCATCGAATTGCCAAAATGCCTGGACATTTTTTAAATTCATATACTAGAAAATAAAAAGTATAAATACTCTAAACAAAAATTTGTTTACGGAGTAATGTTTTGTTGATAGTTTTAATTTAGAATGATGTGGTTTACTTCTGGTAAAAAATATTTTGTCCACCTACATAGCTGATTTTAGTACTGTGAACTTTACTTTAACTTGATATAAAGGTAACTCGGTTATCAGAAAATCCTATCTTTCTTGAGGAATAATATCCGCCACTAGTGCAAAGGACATTTCTAGCAATTTACGTATTTTCCTGTAAATGTCAATATTTAATTTTCCGTGTATGTGTTTGGTATGCAGAATTTTCTATAAACTTCTGTTTTCGCTAACAATACATTAGCGTTTGTCAAAACGACCGCGCCTTTATCTAATTATCAATAGAAAAACCGCACAAGTGGTAATTCTATCTAAATGATAATCAAACGATTTTGCCATTAATATTAACTAACACCTATCTATCACGACCGGCGTAGTTTATGCAAGGTTCGTTACGGTTAATAATAACGATTTTTTCCATATTGCCCGTCTTAAAATTAGTCATTGTACAGCAGCTCAGGGTCGGGCGTATTGTTAAACTCGCAGAAATTCCCACTGTAAATCCACCAACATAAAAATCCATCTGAATACATTCCTGTACAACGAACCTTGGCATATTTCGAGTAAAACGAAGAAACAATCAACGTCACATAGTGTAGCAATACCTTCATATAAAGTACTTCTTTATTAGAAAATACATTCCCGCCCATCGTGATTATATTCGATGACGATCGAACGTATCGAATGGAATGATGAAAGATTCGGTTTCAACGATTCATCTAAGCGTCTGTTAGGTGAAAATAATTCGAAACACTCGATCGAATGTACAAAAATGCAGGTACGAGTATTTTGACTCGAGTGATCATCCTTCAAAATGCGTTATTAAAGTAATTCTAACTCTATAACGTGACTATTCAAAATACGCTCTCTTCGGGACATACACTGTGTAGTACCTAGTAACAAAATGAATAGAAAAATATTTTCTTATTAAATTCTTCTATTAGATATTTAATATACTAATTTTTTTTAATTTTTATTTCAGAAATTCGTTACGAGACCGCGTACGCTTGCGAAGGAAAAATACTGAAAATCGAATGCAAGGAAGGCGAACTGATCAAACTGATACGGGCGAACTATGGCAGGTTTTCAATCACAATATGCAACGATCACGGTAATACCGATTGGAGCGTGAACTGCATGTCACCGAAATCCTTAAGGGTCCTCCACAGCAGGTGAGTCATGAGAAAAATAACCTCCTGATTAGATTTGCTGGTTTATTCGTTATAACTAAGCTTTTTTTTATAGTATGAATATCAAATTGTATTGATTCATCAACCATGCAAAATTTCGAAATCTAGATTATATTTAATGGAAATCTACATTACTAAGCGATTACATTTAATTCTTGATAATTGTGACGAAATAGCCACCAGTTCAATTTACTGGTTTTCAGCAGTATTAAATAAAGAAATGTTACAGAATGCGAGGCATCTCTAAGACAACTCGGGACTAAGCATTTTTGACAATTAATAAGTTCTGCGGAAAAGTGTATCATGGGTGGTTTAAGCGGAACACGCGCTGCTTGTGTGGTGCAATACGGTGGTCCGGTAAAACGGAGAGAGAAAACATATCTCGAGAGGGGCACCAAAGTAAATAATGGGAAGAAATGCTTAACATCCTTTATCGGTTATACGCAAAAAATCGAAAAAACTCGCTCGGAACATACGCATGTCGACTCGGAAATGCGACGAAAACAAATCGGACTTCATAACAGGGATATATGCGATATTTATTTCGATTCGAAATGCCAGCTATGCCGGTCAAAAATCCACCGTGATTTTGTTATAATTCAAGTTGTAATAAGTTCTACAAATTTTTTTTTATTATTAGTTTTTCGTGTAATTGGCTTGTAATTATTTCGTTTGTACGAATTCGTAATAGCGTTATAGCCTTTGTAAAGTTAACAAAAATTAATTAAATTCAGTAGTATTAATTTAATTTTCTCATTTCACTACATTCGTTTTTTTTTTGTTGTTTTGTTTCGTTTAGCTAGGGAAAATAACAGATTTCCTATTCTACGCATACGAGTACTTTATAAATTTTACACGCTGACGTGAATGTTTTTAAATATGTTTGCTTAAATTGCAATATCGCATCTGTTGCTGTAGATTTTAATGAGGTTCTGGACATTACGTATATTGATCTACCTATTTCCAGTTAAAAATAATTTGATTTCATATCTGTCTGGTAGTTATTCAAACTTCAGATGAATTATGCATGGTTGACGACATTAATTCATGATCATTATTATTCTATTCTAGTTGTAAATCATAGGCGCGCGGAAAATTTTTCGTTTTCCGTACGTTTGTATTTAATTTTTTGATTAATTCTAGCAAGTGACAAAAATATACTAATTGGTATAAAAATAATTCATTTTTCGTGATATTTACTGCCTGGTATCTAATGCATGTTCTTAAATTCAACAAACAACCGTCACAAATCGTAGTTACATTTATAAATAAAACAGTATAAATGAGTAGATTCATAGATTAATTTTGGGTTTAAGAACATTGTTTATTTATGTGTGTTGCTTTCTTGTATCCGTCAATATTGTATGTTAAATGATAATGTGAAGTTATTGTTTTCTACAAAATGGGTTTATGTTTATTTTACATACATCTGTCATTGCTACGTTATGAAATAGCCGAAAGATAAATTTCAAATTACTAAAGTGCAACTGGTATTTAGCGTACATGAAAGACTTTGAAAAGTAATCGAGAAAATGTGCATATTCAGATCCATCCTGTCATTCAAAACAATATTCGTTGGCTGATCTACAAAGTAGATTTCTGCATTACATCATGCACATCATTACAAATGATACGATTGTTTAATATTGCTGGTAAATTTCGTACCTCCCGGCATAACACCGTAATTAATTCTGTACATCTCTCGGTTCCATTTAAATTCAAAATACCTTGGGTAATTAAATAATGCTTTATCCATACAGAATGGCTCTATCAAATTTTCAGGACGGCTCGGTTGCCGCTCGGTCGAGAATATTCATTTACCGCCGCACATCCGACATGTGCCGAAATGGTTTTTTTTTTTTAATTTCGCGCTGTCACAACTTTTCGCCTCGCCCCCGTACACCATGTTTTTCCTAATGTTTGCGTAAATTTAGCGGAAAAATCCGAGCAATTTTTTATTTTCGAAAAGAATTTTATTTCGACTTGATTAATACGTTTTACCTGGCGAGATTTTGATTCGAGGGCGCTCGAAAACATTTAAAAATGGTCGACGTTCATTAAATACTTGTCTGAAATTTTTCTCTGTTGAAAATTCGCAACAAATTAAAAAAAAAATAGCGTCCTGAAAATTGTGATGACGCTCGATTTTTCTCGCCAGTTTTTGCGTACTTTATTATTGATGGTTTGACAATTTTTGGCTATTTTTTAACGTAGAAAAAATATATGGGTTGCCTAATGTTTCAATAAATTGTGTTTTTTTTGTAATTAACAGCATAATATCTAACAATTTTGGTATCAAATAAAAAGTATTTGTTCCCGTATTCGCCATATAAAGTTTAAATCAGCTGGTGCATTGGTATAAACATTTCGGAAATTTTCGGAAAATCTAGGCTGCTATGGGGAATAAGGAAACTTTTGTTATATATAAAATGGTTATAGGAAATAAATTTAGGAAAAAACAACGTATATCGTTAGGACTGCTGACCAAGAAAACTGTTCCGTTTCAGTAAAAATAAACTATTTTTCTATTTCGCCTCCAGTTAGAGCTTTATCCTTTTTACCCGAACCGATGTCATGTGAAACTGCGGTATCGGAGGATTCCTTTTATTATCGAAAATTTTTATGCTTTTCTGTATTTCCTTCGGAGCGCCGCCCTCGGGCCTCTAATTGTAATTGCCAGCGAAGTTTTTCGGAAATTTCAACCAATAAATGTTAAGTTATATTCGTCGGTTGCACTTTATCGATAATTCGACTCTTTATTCCGCTTTAAAAATTTTTATGCCCTCTTAAATGATGTCATAAAAACACCGCTGTTATTGCATTTAGAAATCACATCGTCTCTATTAGACGGTGAGCCGGTGCTTTATTTAGAAAATTGTCGTTAGAGGATAGTCTGAAAAAGAAGTGGGTTAATTGTGGCGAATTTATTCGAATTGCAAAAGGATATTTACATTAAATTCGAATTATTTTGAATACAATTTAACTCTATTAATTCATGAAACATTTTAATTAAGTTAAATCCTACGTATTAATAAATACATAGGATTAAAACAGTGTATATTTGTATAGAATGTTGTTTTATTGAAACAAATCATTGTAATTCGAATAAGGATTTTTTTGGCTCACTGACTATGAAAATCCTATTGGTTCTAAAAATATTATCCTTAAATTCTGATACCTATTTGATAAGGATTTACTTCAAAATTTTACGAGTTTCGCCCGTAGTATACCTTTACACTGTGTACAAAATAAATCATATTTTCCGAATTACGATTATTGTCATAGTAAAAGCCGTTGATTTACAATAACCAGCTGTTTTATAACCAAATTTACCATACAATTTGTACAATAATAAAGTACACATTCGATTCGAATGCGTTTAAATAAATAAAAAAAAGAATACGCGGAATATACTTTGTAGTGTTGAATTTCCCTCAACAATTTCGAGTTCGAATTTAATTCGATGTTATTGACGTCGAACCGAAAGCAGGAAAATTTCAGCGGGTCTCAATCGAGTGTTGTGTGTTCTAACTTCGCTTACCTATGTGTCAATAATTCTCGAAAAGCTAATCGGAAATCATAGCTGTTCGCACAACAAATACGAAATCATTTATTTTCAGATGTTCTAACAAACCGAATTGTACGGTAGAGGTAAACGACGATACATTCGGCGACCCATGTCCGGGGACTCGTAAATACATAGAAGCCCAATATAATTGCATGCAGGGTAAATATTCGTTCGTCGAGTTTTGATTTTCGCTGATACATCTAACAATAATTGCGGTCTGTCGATATCATTTTTAATGGGTTTTTGATGGAGTTAAAAGCCGTTTGGTTTGTCTGAAAAAAAAATGTCCCTTTTTACGTATTACCTATATATTTTTTTCGAAAAGTACCATACAATATTGGCAGGTTCAAGGTAGTTTTTTTGTATTCGAAAGAATGAAAAAAAAAATTAGAATTTGTGGGTTGTTCCGCAGGTGCACCCACAATCAAAACTGCAGCATTCCTGCCAGTACCAGCATGTTTGGCGACCCATGTGCTGGTACACACAAATACCTTGAAGCTCATTATCAGTGTTTACCAGGTAAGTGACTGTTCTATTATCCAAGTAGCAAGTTTTTGTTCCGGCGTTTATTTATTAAAAATTATACATTGTTCCAACATCGATTCGTCCGTAAAATCGTTGACTGATGACTTCAAATCCGTTCTAAACGGATTAGAAAAAACAATGAACGTAAAATGCCATGAAACTGAACGATAAATTCGTTCGACAAAAGAAAAATATTCATTGGGTCAGGCTCTGATTGGCGGCATTTTAATTAAAAACAAATAGGAAATTGTTTCGTAGATAAATGGAGTTGTCGAAAAGCAAAAGTGAAATAAATCTTTTTACATTAAACCGTCATTTCTAAGAACACCTTCTGATTCAATTATCGTCTGCGAATTTACACAAAAACATGGATTTATTGTGTAAAAGATTAAATATTGATTTCAATTCGAAACGAATTTGCTTTCGAAGCAGCAATTGAACTGATTTCATCGTCAAATTAATAATTAAATAACGTACCGCGGATTGGTGTGGCATTATTGAGTTTTGATCTTAATTAAATATTCATCGTAAATACCATCATTAAATAGGTATTTTAAAATTTTCAATTCATTTGATAAAGTTTGGAAATTGCGATTCAGTGATGTAATGTACCTACGTGTTTTATGAACACGATAATTCCAAATTGATACCTAATTTTGATGTGTTTTGAATATATCATAGCAGGAATAATTTCCTGACGCCCTAATTCGCTCTTCGTCTTCCCCACTCCGACCGTTTCAGAAATTGAATTCATTTATAGTCGTAAAGTATTAAGCTCAAATTGCCTCGTAAACTTATTTATGTTGAATTATTACACCGTAATCGATTTCTGCAAAATCCAATAAAATTGTTGTGGGGATATTATCTTTAATGATTTTACATGTTCGCGTTTTTATGGTAACGAATTTTTTCATCATCGCGCCACGTAAAATTATTTTAAATAAAAAAATAACAGCGGGGTACGGTACGGTACGGTAGGGTATGGTAGGGTAAGGTAGGGTAAATGATCTTCGGAATAATAAGAACGTAAACAATCGACCCAAATTGAAAAATATTATTTCGAAGGGAATACTTTGATCTTACAAACAACGGGATTAAAAGCGGAGCGGAGTCAAAATTTTCAATTACTGCGCTCTTTCTGTTCGGCGTGAACATAGAGTGTTTGTTTTAGCAAAATTCCTGTGAAAAAGACCATCAGACCAACCCCACACAGTGGTCTGCCAACAAACAAAAAGACATCATTTCAAAGTTAAACATCAGATTCATTAGCGCACTGTTTGTTTTGGTCATTTAGTCGATTCGTTTATATTATCGTCGACGCTTTTTTTATAAACACCATTTCTCAAATAAAAACATTTCGAATAGCGCCTGGTGTTCTCGACGCGGCGTGGCGCGTAAAAATTCTGAAATTTTACATTTTACGCCCGCACCTATGCCGACCTTCTCGCGCTGAGTTATTTCCACAGAACTGTGATATTTTTTCATAAAACTCTCTTGCCATGAAGCGTATATTAGATCGACTGGAAAATATTGTCTGTTAAGAATTTTATACATTTTTTTTATTCTCTATTTGGATGATCTCCTTATGTGCTCGACGAATAACAATTTATAGAAACGTTTTGATTTAGTGTATCCATTCGAAATAAATTGACTATCATCTACTTTTTCCATAACATTCTTCAGATCGACAGACTCATAATATTCGCTCATTTTGATACACAAAAATTAACTAAAGTCTCCTTATAGCAACAACTACAACAACAACAAGTCGCCCAAGTCCACCGTGGCTGATCACCTCGCAACCACCAATGTGGACAACCAGCAAACAACCAAGTGCAAGGCCAACAGCACCGCCACCGACGAAACCGCCCGTAATGTCTCCACCATCAGCTTCCGGTGCGTTATCTAGATACGTTAATTGAATGAGAACGCTGAGGTTGTAATTAACATTTGTTCAGGTTCTTCGTCAACGTCCAGATCGAAACCTACGGCTGCGACTCGCCATTTCTCGATGACGCCGCCTCCGCAACAGCCCGTACATCCAGTCGAGCCGGCTGTCTCCGAAGAGGACGACAAACTCTATCACATTCCAGACGAAATAACGACGCTTCCTTTCACAACGGTCATACCAAATGGAGAAGTCGAACACAATAAGATGACCTGTAAGTTTCCGAACTAAACTGCGCGCACGCAACGGATTAATTTGTTAAATTTTTTTTAGACGATGTCACGTATTCTTCGGTGCCGAGCATGATCCCGTCGTGGGGAAAAGATGCGGACAGCATACCGTATCATTGCAGTCCCCAAACCGTGCGCAGCATATATTGGAATTGGACCAAGGTTAACACGACTTCGATCCAACCGTGTCCCGGCGGAACCACCGGCTTCGCCAAGTGGCATTGCCAAGCCGTGCCCAGCCTCAAGGAGCCCCACTGGTTCCCCCCGAATCCCGATCTCAGCGAGTGCCGGTCCGTGTGGCTGACGAGCCTGGAACAGAGGATCATCGTCGGCAGGGATCCTTTGCTCTCCATAACGAACGACCTGGCTCAAGTGACGAGCAGCAAAACCCTCTTCGGCGGCGACATGATGTTCACCACGAAAATCATTCAAAAAGTAACCGAAAAAATGAGCAAGGACATCGAAACGTTCACGGACGCCGTGCAAAGGGAGCAATTCGTAACCGAGCTGCTGTCCGATGTGGCACAGACCAGCAGTAACCTATTAGACGCTTCCCAGCATTCGTCCTGGAAAGACTTGAGCTATAGGGAACAAATGAACGTGGCCACTTCGTTGCTTATCGAATTGGAGGAAAACGCTTTCCTTCTAGCCGAAACTGTAAATAATAAAAAGACTGTAAATCGAATGTTCAAAAATATACGTAAGTTTAACGACGACCCGTAGCGTATCGCAATGACGTTAATAATTTGTTTCAGTACTCTCTGTACGAGTTTTAGACGTAAGGTCTCTCTCGCCCGAGAAATTTCCCGAGGAAGACGTCAGAAGAATATGGCAAGTCAGCAACGACACCATCGAATTGCCGAGGGGAGCTTTATTAGAAAACAGCGACGGTTCCTTAGTCAGGCTGGTCTTCGTCGCGTTCGATCGTTTGGAAGAAATATTGCAATGGCAACCCGAAGGGACCGACACGCTCAATCCCAGCGATAACGTGTCGAAAATACTGAACAGCAAAGTGATATCGGCGAGCTTGGGTAAAGGGCGACACATCCAGCTGAAGGAGCACGTCAAATTGACCATGAAACATCTCAAGACTGAGAACGTGAGCAATCCCACCTGCGTATTTTGGGATTATACGACTAACGCCTGGTCGGAGGAAGGATGCTACGTGGACTTCACGAATTCGACGCACACCACTTGCTTGTGCGAACATTTGACTAACTTTGCCATACTAATGGACGTCCATGCCGTGTATTTACCTATGTCCCACGAGATTGCCCTGCAAGTTATTACATACGTAGGATGTATCATATCTATTATATGCTTAGGTTTGGCTATAATCACATTCCAGTGTTTTAGAGGATTAAAGGTGAATACAATTTCACGTCCTATTATGTCATACTATATCTTATAATATTTCATTTTAGAGTGACAGAACGACAATCCATTGTAATTTGTGTATATGTCTATTAATAGCAGAATTAATATTCCTATTTGGAATTAGTCAGACTGAAAATAGAATTGTTTGTGGAGTTATAGCAGGATTTTTGCAATATTTCTTTTTGTGCGCCTTCTTTTGGATGTTCTTCGAAGGTAATTTCATAATTATTAACCCCAATAAGCATTTATTTATTCCGAATTCTTTCAGGTTTCCAACTGTACGTAATGCTTATAGAAGTTTTCGAAGCTGAAAAATCGAGAATGCGCTGGTATTATGTCATAGCGTACGGTTCTCCTCTCATTATAATCCTCATATCAGCTCTGATATATCCGCAAGGATATGGTACTTATAAACATTGTTGGCTACAAACGGACAATTATTTCATCTTCAGTTTTGTCGTACCCGTTGCCGTTATAATTTCAGTAAGTTTTATAATAACAGCATGCTTAATTCTTATGACGTCACTGGCGATCAGTGATGAGCCAACCTTCTAATATTAATGGAGTTTGATGAATTGACCGCAAATTCCTCAAATAATAAAAATAAAAAATTGATAATTGGGATATAATGAACTGTTTCTTTTCAGTTGAATTTAATATTTTTGATAATGGCGATAGTAATGATGTGCAAGCATGCTAATAATTCGGTCTCGATGAAAAACAAAGAACATTCCCGACTTGCTAGTACCAGGTGAGTTTATACCATTGGCAGTTTGATAAGTAGATAGGATTTTTGAATTTGATATATTGATGAACTAAGATTTTTTGAAATTTTATTAGTAGTTTAATACATGTATACTTGTGTATCTAATCATTAATAATTTGCATGTTATTGATTACTTAATTCAATATAAGTATTTTTTCCTAAGTGATTTATAATATTTATGAAGCTTTCAGTAAAAATGAATTTGGTAGTTGAATTTTTTATACATATATTTGTATTTAATCATTTTAAAGCATGGTTAGTATAATTTGATTAATCGATATTGTATATTTAATTTTTCTATCGAAAGCGGTTTTAGCGAATGTATTGTTAGAAGAACTTGGAATTATACACATTTGCTTTAATAATATACGTTTAACCTGATTAAAAACCGCATTTGATTAATAATTTTGGATATGGTTTTACTGAAATAATATTTGTTTTAAACGATTTAGAGCAAATATTCGATGAATTAACGAAAAATTCACTAATCAATATCGTTATAATCGTAATATTGAATAATAAATCAAGTGAAATTTGCTCTACATCGAATAATCTAGTTTGTGGACGGTATTAATTCTAATATAATTTCTCTCTCTTGCATGGCGATCTTATCCTATGGTAGTGGAAAGGAGGAAAATGCACTTCATACCAAATTTCAAGCTAATTTGTAAGAATTTTCTTCAATGTGTTTCTTACTTATCTAATTAAGTATTAGCGTAGTGCACTTTAGATTGCATGATTTCTAAGATCTAATAAGAAAAACCATAAAAACAAACTGACATTTTTTATGCACTACTCCTTGACAAATTCCTATATATCTTGACGTTGTAAATCGTATTATTAGCGAACTAGGCAGGGAAAAAATCTGTTTGCGTGTTTACGTGAAGATTAACTTAATTAGAAATTTTCAAGTATAAAAAGAACATGAAACGTGTTATTTTTGTTTTTATGGTTACTTTGTAAGATAGTTGACGTTTTTTTAAAATGAAATATTATTTATTGAAATGTTTGTTTTCCGTAGGGCGTGGTTGAAAGGAGCCTTCGTTTTGGTATTCCTTCTAGGTTTAACTTGGACTTTTGGTTTCTTGTACCTGAATAAAGAATCGGTTGTCATGGCTTACATTTTTGCAATTCTAAATTCGTTGCAAGGATTCTTCATTTTCGTGTTCCATTGTATACAAAACGAAAAGGTAAGATGTTGTTTACACAAAGAGAATTCGACTTTATTGTAAGAAAATTGGGAAATCTTATTACAACGCATTATTGTTAATGTTTTTGTTACGTATTTGTATCTATATAATTTGTTTACAATGTTATTACTCTGATTTTGAAAGTTTAAAGTGCCTTCTATATGTTTTATTTATCAACTTCTATTCTTATGTTCATCTTATTTTTTTTTCTATTCCGAAAAATATTAAAACGTATGCAATTAGTCCCCTCGTATACTTATAATAATAAAATATTATGGTAATGAATAAAATTCAACACTTTGAAATGTAATTGTATGATTTTAGAATTAATATTGATGTATTACGATAGTGTAAATAGTGTTGTAAAAATAAATAATAGTACAATAAAATTGCGAGTTAATTTAGAATTTTCAATTAGTTGCATATTATTAGATTTATACGAAACGAATTATTTATTTGAACAGCACGTATTATTTCGCTTATTGCTCCCGTTCCGTTTTAATTTCAATTGCACTGATTCATGACTCAATTTCTCCCTTAGGTGCGGAAAGAATATAGGAAAATGATTAGGAAACACTCGTGGCTGCCGCAGTGCTTGCACTGCTCGAGCCCCGGCGGCGCCTCGGGCAGCACCAGCGGCAGTTCCGGCATGGCCAAGGAAAGGAGAACCAGCCTGTTTGGCGGTTCCAACGGGAACCCGTCCGGCGGCACTAATTCGCATTCCACCGACAATTCAGTACTGACGCCTCATGGAACTAGTGTGGGTACCAGTGTAGTCAATAACCTTAATAATGCGCGGGCAACTGCGTTAGTCCAGATTCAGTCTCGGACTGATCTCAACAATGCTAGTACCACCACGACCAACCATAAAAGGCCGCACAATGTCTCACAACAAGGTATTATGTGAAAAAAACAAACAATGTGAAAAAAAGGTGCTTAATCAAAGCCAGCTCGTTTTTGTCTCTCCTGTCGTTTTGTTATTTGAATTGATTAGCTTCATTTGTAATGGTTGTATTCGTTTTTTTGTACGTTTGGTCTAGGATTTTTTATTGAATCTGTTGTGTACGCTATCAAAATAATTTCACGCTCAAAGTGTTGGTGTGATTTTAATTTTGCATGCGTTTGAGTTTCAGTGGAAAATCGGGCTAAATATTCAAACTGGAAAGTGTTGTTTTACATTTCAACTTCTTATGTGTTTTCGTTTATGGATTTATTAATTACTTTACATGGTGTATTCTTTTTGACAAAATGATTGATAAAATGCAAGTGGCATCATGTCCAGACTCTTTATGCGAGTCGAATGAATTTCACCGTTAAGCTTTGAATCAAGAAAATTGCTGAGATTTAAGCAAAGCTTAATAGTGAATAATTTATAGACATGAATTTTTGTCATACGCCTGCACATAAATGTGTTACTTCAATAATATTTTCGAGCATGGAATTGACTGCTACACTCTTTTCTGATTCTCTACGTTAGCATAATCTCATCGTAAATGCAGTAGATTTAATAATTAGAGTCGATGCATTAGCCCGTCGTTTTTAGTGAGATATATATTACTGCATAATAATTTCTTTTCAAGCGTAGGTAATTGAATAACACCACAACTAATATTTTCTCTTGAGGTTGCGGTTTTTTTAACGACATTAGGAAATCAACTGTGAACTGTTTGAATTCCTAATGGTAATAATAGTACACCGAGAGGCGAAATTTCAATTATCTGTAGAAGTGTTTCGAGCTGCTTACTAACTAGAGTTGTGGTGGTGCTCGCATTGTGTGCTCCCAAAACATAAAAAAAAAGAAACAAAACCGTTCACTTCATTTCGAATCGGAAAAAGAAACAGTAATGAATAACCATAGCCACATTACTAATGCTTTTAACTCTGGCTGCTTTCCTTTTTAACATTTAGAAACTAGGTGAAGGTGGTAAATTTTGTTACAGTTGCAACGCGACTGGAACTCCCGCAGTTGTACCAACGTCAATCGGGTGTGCAAAACCCCCACTGCTGTAGCCACGTCTACGTCGGCCAACATGGCTGCTACTCTGTCGCGACCCAACAGAACCGTTCCTATGACCCTTATCCCCGATCCACTTCAGGAATCTAATAACACTTCCACACTACCGTACGCTCGTAACTTGTATAAAATGTCTAACAATCATAATATGCATAAATCCGTATCCACTTGGGGTTCTCTACACAAATCTTTGCATTCTAAGGTGCGTAGGTATCTGAATCTCTCTATTAGCTTTAGCTATTCTGCATGAATTACTTTTAAACCGAGCCGTCTGGACGTTTTACCGCTTTCTTTAATCTAGTAGTGATTGTTGGTAAGCCGATTTACACGAATCAAGCGCGTTTACTTTTTAACTTTATCTCCAAAACCACTACGAGTAATTTAATACGAATCGTTGATATTTCAGAACACTTCTTTTAAATCGTGCAGTCGCGATTCCGGCCACGGAGGATCCGAGCAAGAGGACTCGCCGAGAACGCACATGGTGTTGAGCCAGGATCCCGGATTGATTTCGATGCATCATACACTAAATACCAAAGACATCCGTCATCATCAGATGCTGCAAGAACGTCCCAAAGATTTCGCCGATTTTTGCCTCGATCCGAACAACGTCCATCCGAAACACTGCATGCTACCCCATCAAAACTACCACGGCAATTCGAGGAAGAGACCGACCGGCGCGGGCCATCACACCTACACGGAAATCTACGACGGCCAGAGTCCCAGAGGGATGCTCGAAGACGATCCCGTCTACGAGGAGATCGACAGGAACGAGATCCAAGTGTCGGACATGAGCGACGAAGACGGCAAACGGCAGAGCGACATGAGCAGACAATCGTCGAGATCCTACGGTGATCATAGACCTTTGATACCGTACAGTCCCGGCAACGACAGGGGCAACGTGGCTATCGGCATGGACACCTACAGGAGACGGAACATGAACATGGCTTACAGACCGGGATTGCAGGGCGATGCCTCGGTGCATACCTTAGCGGCCGTTTTGAATGGGGAAACTGTCGTCTGTCACTTGGGACCGCAAGAAATTCAAGATCCTAACGATTCATTTGCCTCACGAACATTAGTCCTCCCTCCGTATAGTGAAAGTTAAGAGTTTTAATTAAGGAAACTGCCATTTTGCAAGTGAATATCTGTGATTACCACATGATCGGACTGTAAGATCATACATTTACGTATAATATTTAGTAAAGCTCAGCTTGTATGAATGAAGGGAAGTGATAATTTTATAATAATAATCGACGACTATTTTATAAACAAAAAGTATTTCTGTGAATTGATTCAAATAACTATTAGTTGTCAGTTAACTCGCTTACTTCGCCTTTAGGTCGAATTTTGATAACATTGAACTCTAGTCGATATTTGTATATCCTTAGATGTTTTCCCTACTAAATATAAGTCGTCAAAATAATATCCTAGCGTTTAATGTAACCGCTGCACAAATTCGACTGAAGAATCTGATCTGATTAAAATTTGACCTAATGTGCAATCATCTTAAATCGGTCTCAAAATCTCTCTTTACCTAACTACTATTAATTTTGCGACATATCTAATCTTTAATTAATAATCTAATAATAACCGAAAAATACATTGTATTTGAACAATAGATATTTCATTCGATTTGAGACCGATTTAATTGAACTCTCCTCTCCGATATATTGAATAGTTGCAATAATTTCATTCTATCCTACTTTACATCGTCTTTCAAATTTATTTTATATATTTAATAACTACGTTGAAACGATTTTATTTTTTTTACTACCGGCGGATATTCTGTACCTTAATGAGAAATATTGCTGAAGGCAGCTTTACACGTTACGATTGTCCAGGTCTGTCGAAATTCCTTCGAACTGAACTATATTTTTTAATTTGAGTAAAATTTTCGAATGTATTTGTCGAATGTAACAGTCGTAAGTTATTGAATACATTCCAATAGAGACTGAATGTAAAAAGTGTGTAATTGATTTATATCTAATCTTCTGTAAATAGTTTATCAATTGAAACAAAATTTTCTAATTCATTTTGAACGACGATACTAATTATTAAAGATACGAGTCCATTACACATTGGGTGTATGCATATTGTATAATAAATAATACATGTTATTGATATTTTACATGATACTCATCAGAACAAAGAATCATAAACTCAATCCACTATTTTGTTAAAAAAAGCATTACACGTATATTATATATAGTAAATAAAAGGTACTTACTACTCAGTGTTAAATGTATCAAGTTTAATTAAATGTTGATGTTTTCAGTTTATTCTACTTCTACCATCCAATTTTTAGCTATTACTTAAGTTTTTCTGACCTGTTAGTTTTAAATTGGAAACTATTTAATGATCTACGACTATGATTTTATTTATTTGTAATTATTTATGTAAAATTTTATTGGATTAATGAATAGCGTGCTTTTTAAGTTGTTACTTAGTGAGCACAAAAACATGTAAATATAGGAATGAAGTTTATAATATTAATTAAAAATTTCCCAATAAATTGGAATATGTTGTTTCATGACCACCACCCACTAGAATTACTCGATAGAACTCGATAGTTTAAAGTAATTTAAGAAATTTTAATGAGTTGATAGGTGATTAACTTATCAAGTGTTTTATTAAAACAAGTAAAAGAAATAAAGAAAGTAAAGAAAAATGTTTGTTATAACAGAATGGTAAGAGGTTAAAAATTTTATCAAATTTAAATCGAGATCGCTTTAATATTTCGCAAAGCTTATAAACTAAATCTTAATAATATATCAATAGCTACCCTAAAAACAACGATTGCTTAGAAAAATTATATGTATATATGTTTGACTATGATTATTCATTATATTACAATTAATGAGTTTGGAAATGTAGATGCGATATGACCAAACATGTCGTATGCATCTACACGATAGGTCTATCCATATGAAATTGTCCAAAATTGACTCTGACCAAATTGTAAATTCTTTAATTCTTTGTGCATAAATGTCCCTGTATTCATTTCATAAAAAATCTATTTTGCGATTTCGGCAAATCAATTCCGAAACTTCGAATTTTAAAATACATTTTATTGAATAGGGATTCATCGAAATTCTTTTTCTAGTTATCTGATAAGCAGAATATTTCGTAAAAATTCAATCGGTCTAGATGTCCAAAAATATTTTAGACAATTTTATCCTGATTAAACCCGATTTATTTAATTGGTTTATTAAATTATATGCAAAATATAAAAAAGCATGTTTACAGTCATGTGCAAAATGTATTAATTCATCATTGTGGATTCAAAGTAGCTTTGTCACTCATAACAATTCAAATTTTTCAAATCTTAAAATAACATTTTTTTAAACAGTCATTATACGCTGTTTTATTTTTAAGTAAACGTGTCAATCGTTAGCTACATTTCAATTTACTCGATTCTTGTAATATGCCGGGCAAATTGAAAACCGCACAGTGTAGGCCACTAACGCTAAAATCAAATCGAATGCATATTAAATTTATTTAACTACTTTTTTTCCACCAAATTTATTACAGGCGTTTAAGAATTTCGAAGTGTGTCGTTTCATTTTCTACCAATGATATGTACCAAAAAGAAGGATCAAGATAATATAGAGAAGCGATATTGCGGCGGACACTGGGTGGTATGTAACGTGTATCAAACGTTTAGAGTTTTTGGAGATAGCACACAATAGATATAATGCCTGGACCGAGGCCGAGTCCCTACACATGAAAAATCAAATTTCACGCGTTTGTATAACAAAAATCCTACTCGTATGTATGTATGTATAGCGGACTCGGTTACACCAAACATTATTTTGAACAATTTCTCTATTTAACGAAACAAGAAAACGTTAAAATTTGTGATAAATTAAATAAGCTGTACATATCTCGATATTTAAATAAAAATAACATTTTATAGCAGCTTTTCACCAGTATAAATCTATTTATCACTTTGCTTTTGGAATAATGGAAAGTGTTTGATTCTTCTTTATATACCAAATATTGTTCGCGAAAAACAAAAATTTACTAGTTATGAATAACGTATATCATCTTATAAATATATTAAAGTACTTAACAATTACAACCATGTTCTTATTGCCTTGTATTCGTAAATGTTTTTTACCTTACATATATTTCTGCATTAATACTGATCTATCAGTACTCCATATTTATGATATAAACGTACTCTATACAGAATAATAATCACAATTTTCATATTTGCATTTTTAGAATATACACTATACATCTACTAAAATACCTACATCATTCCTCACTTTTAAATTTTAAACAATTATTTGCTAATAAGAAATTTTGATATCGATTTTAATTGCATAAGAATGATATAAAATTACACCGGTTCTTCGATTTATTTATATAATTTCAAGATAGTAGGCTATAACTATTGGGAAACACAATTTATTACAGCACAAAGCAATTTTAAATATGTACAAATTATTAAGTATTCGAAGATAACGCACAATAAATATCTATATACTTAAAATGCATCCAATTAACTGGCTTAAGTTTTCGTTTTTTTAACGTTGTTCTGTATACATGTTAATTTCCTACCTTTCTTTTACAGGTATGATTTATTCTAAGAATTTTTATTGGTTGTATTATTTAAATGTTGAGGACATGTCGGTTAGTACATGGGTATAATTCTATGAAAATATTATAAATACGTACGCCCTTTGTAGATGTACTGACTGGGAATGACAGCATATCAAAAACGAGGCTTTAATTGAGAAAAACAAAACATTAACAAACCATAGGAATCAAACACTATCCACAACCATAATATTTATATAAAATTTTAACAATAATATACTAATCAATTGAATAACAAAATATTATAACAGTATAACACAGAAATACATGGAGCAAAAGTGCATCTGTACTTCCCCGTTATGTAGAAATTTTTATGCATTCATTATTTATAAAGATATGGGTGACATTTTTGTTTGATTGCATTGCGTAAGGAATTTTTAGAAAACGTAAACGAATCAAAAAATTTAGGTGATAATAAATGTGGTGTGTTTAGAATGTTCGACAGAAGCACATTATTTATTACTTAAATTTTAATGCAAAAAGTATGGCTAAAATGTCACACATACATATGTATATATTTTTCTGGTAGGCATAAAAAAATTGTGAAGTTTGCAAAGTTCCCCACTCGCCCCTTCCCCATTAGCGGTCCACGTAGCATGTGAAGATAGCTTGAACATTAGCAATTGAAGAAAGCACCATTATAAAAGTAAAATTTTCTCGTGAATTTTTAGTATAGTCCATATTTTTTATAATTACGTTCATTCATTCTTAAATCAGTCATGTTTAGAACATCTTTATAAAAATCTCAAATACGCGTTAAGGAATTTTCATAAAGAGAACTATTTTCAAAAATATTTACTTTATCGATGGAATGATTTTGTTATTTTTTAACTGGAATCGAAAGACTAAAAATCATTCTCGCTTAGGTTATTGGGAACAATTTGGGAATGTCTGTCCCCAAATGAAACTTACTAAAAAATCATTTTTAGCCATCGAGTTCGAGTAAATACTTTCTTAAATAGAACATTTCGTATAAACGCAAATACTGATCCTCAATCCAATATATTGATATCTCAATTATTTATTTACTTTTTGTAAGAATTCCAACAAATTTGTATAATAAAAAACATATCAATAAAAATACGCAGCATTTAATATATTTTTATATAATTATCACTGGCTGCACTGGCATTACGCAGTGCTTAAAATGCCTAATTCATAGACATTATAAGGCAAATATTTTAGCTCGGGCGGAATACTGGTTAGTAGTTACAAATATAAAATAGCCATTTCATTAAAATTGGCAACATGGCTAAAAGTGACTTTAAAAAATAATAATCCAGGCATAAAACCGACTTCAGCTGAGAGTAATTATATAAGCTCTTTACGCGTTTGTTCCCAGATTCGATTGTTCAAAGCAGTGGAATAATGCATTATATACCGGCCATTTAAACAGCATTTATCCTCCTAATTAGAAATGTCTCAATTACAAAATAATTTTTCCGGTTCTACTACAAGCTCGATCTGAAGACAAACTACCTACTAATTAATTATTTTAGTCCGAAATAAGTCGGATCATCATGGCGGATTCGTACATGTCAAAATAAAATCACGATCTCCTAGTCAAGGGGAAAAATATAAAAGGAACCCAAATAAGTACTTACATTAGTTACTGGAGGTGGAATTGTCTACAATTTTTGCACAAATTGCACTTTAACTCAAACTAAAGGACTTTAATTTTAACCAAATAATGAGTGAACAATATAATAGGGTAACTAGATTACTGGAATAGAATAAAAGCGATTTCGATTTGCATGAAACAAGAAATATGACAGTACCTACTAGATGTATTAAGAAAATAGAAAAAATGGAATAAAAGCGCTTTCGATTTGTAAGAAGTATGACAGATGGATGACAGGTGCTTACTAGATGCGCCAAAAAATGTATTTAAAGTGCGTTACCAAAAAAAGTGTTTATAATAAAAATGTATTTAATTGGTAATGCCAGTTAATGCATTTTTCCAAGTTAATGAAATATTTCCAGTGCTGCACCAGTTTTTCCAATTGAAAGTGCTACAATCAACAACATATCGAAAAATCGACCTGGCGGATAAATCTTGAGAAAATTATGAATCATAGTTTAGTTCAAGATAAAAATTGTAAAATATTTGTAAATGTTATAGTTAATATTATTCAAAACAAATGTTCCAGAATAGAAGAATGTCTAATTGTCGAGAGCAGGACAAAGCCATTAATTAATCAAGGATTAAAGATAAAGATCGTGATTTTATCATTCCATGAATCAGTTTAAGTGCTTGAAGCTTGAAAATACACATACATAGGTACATAAAAAATGAAGATGAACCGACTAGGAAGTAGTATCCAAATCACTTTTTTGCATTGCATTTTTATTTCTAAAACGGTTGTAGATAATTGGACGTACATTATTTAGGATGTTTATCGTATTGGCAAATGAAAGTTTGGATTAGTTCAAAATATCGAATCAGTATTTGGTCAATAAAAATGTTTTTACGTCTGATTCAGTTCAGTCTCTATTGCTCAAAACGCTGAGAAACAAAAACTAAACTTAGATTAAATACAGTTTATCGTGAAACGGCCAGTTACACGGTTGTTAATGTTGTTTTTATAATTTTACATAGATGAAATTGCGGTCGGATTAATTTCGATGTCGGCGCCCGTCCGGAAAATCGAGTGGTTCTCGACGAAGTATCGACATCGGAAATTGATAGGACGCGCGATTAAATAAATCCGCTCAACTGCTTTTAGACGCATTGCGAATAATAACTAGATGAAAATCTTTACCAAAGAAGTGGCGCTGGGACACCATTCTGTGGTAAACCACTTTGAACTAGGTACAATTGGCAAATTAGTATGTACTGATCATAAAACTATGGTAAGGAAGTCAACATAAACTGTAATTATTGGAAATTTGTTACACAAATCGTCTAGAAAAAAATATGTATAGTAGTTACCTAAAAGAATTACGAATTAATTACCAACAATAGGTAGTAGGTACGGTATACCTTATTAATTTGTTAGATAATAATTTTATTGTCTAATATTCTTATACAAATGATATAAGTATAGAAGCTTTCAAGTGCACACAGCCATTTTAAACAATTAAATAATTTGTGTAATAATTATTACAACTGTACTTTACGCGACAAACGGTTTGTACGCTACAATGAACATTTTTTTGTACAATTTAGGAAAATATTCTCTTTTCTGCCGTTTTTGATTAATTTCGAGTTGGAAAAAAAGTTTCTTTGTAGGCTCGTGTAAAATACAAGTGTTTTTGTATCGACTAAAAGGTAATAGCAATATGAACAGTAGAGCAGTTGATTTACTATATTCAAAAACGATACTCTCTCCATCAAACTACACTACACAAACTTATCACGCAAAGTTTCATCTCGGCTATAAATTAACGAAGATACATATAGGTAGGTGTGCACATTCATTATTTATAAGAATTGTCTTTCGGCAACATTCGATAGATTTACAATACATCCATACATTACAGTTCATAGCGCAAACGTTGAAAATTTTATTAAGCTCAATATTTGAATCCCTTTGTTCAATTGGAAGGAAAACTGTTACCGTTAACACCAACGTATATATTTTGAATGAAGGCACTGTATGGTTTCATTGTGGTGTAATAAGAGCAAATAGCACCTTCTTTATTCATTTAATTTTTTAAATATGGGTAACCAGTCCTTCAATTTCCATAGGGATTTCTTTTATTTTAGATAAAAATGATAATAGAAAAGCGAACGTTTCGTGTTGCGCTATAAACCGTGCCAAGTGCTTTGGAGAGCAAATCGTGGTGTTGACAAAATATGTTACCGATCCGAGATAAAGAGTCACGTGGTTGTTGTGAGGCCATCTGTATCTGAACATAGTCCATAGCAGCGTGTTTTTTTAATAATTACATACAATGACATAATTATTATTATTTATCCGCCGACGACTATGACAGGGGTGGGGAGGGGCGGGGCCAGTCTCATACATCCGCAGTTCGTGAACTGATGCTGGGTGTTCGACTGTGTATCACTACTTTGTGCCCATTTCTTTCAACCAAAACGGCCGTCTGTCGGGCTTCGAGTTCCCCGTCGCCGTCGAGATCACCCTCGTCGCCGGACTGATCGGTCGCGCCGCCTCGGTTCCGTTTGTGCTTTCGCCACGCGTTCTGGATCAACCTGGCGCAGTACTCTTCGCGTTGCCGCCACAGCGTCGAGCTGACCGGCTCGTAACCGACCTCGTTCGGTCTGCCTTGCACTTCGGCCAATTCGGCCGTCTCTTCAATGGCGTTACCCTTTCGAGCGAAAAAGTCTTTGGTAAGAGCATCTAAAATATCTACACAAAACATGAGATCACCCTTGCATATCGGAATGTCCATTGAGATTATTTTGTATTTGTTCGGTTTGTGTATTTGTAGAGGAGGCTCCAATACATCTAGGAAATCAGATAGTTGATCGTATCTGATATATTGCGTCCCGTCCGGATCGAATTGTTGCCATATCTCGTAGTACATGTCATAGTCATCGTCCGTGAGACCCTCTTGCACATCTTCAGTCGCTTGAGAGTAATTCTCCAAAATGACGGCAATATACATGTTAATGACTATGAGGAACGATATTACGAGGTAACTGAGTAAGAAAGCTATACCTATTGTGGAATTACCACAATTACCCGTTTCTCCTATTTCGTTGTCTGGTTGCTTGCAGTCTTCCTCATTTATAATTCCGTCTAAAACACCATCCCAACCCGCAGAAGTGGACATCTAAAAAGATAACGATATACTTATAGCATCCATCACAGTTATTATTGTTAAACAATTACCTGAAATAGAAGAATCATGGACTGTCCGAAGGTCTTGAAATTATAGACATCGTCGAGGCCGCTTTTGTTCTTGACGTGCATGAAGAACGACATGCCGAATATGGCAAAGATGAACATGACCAAAAACAGTAGTAAACAGATGTTGAATAGAGCAGGCAGTGACATGGCAAGTGCGAAAAGCAGTGTGCGAATTCCTTTTGCTCCCTTAACCAATCTAAGGACTCTGCCGACTTTAGCGACTCGGACGACCCTCAGCAAAGTCGGTGATACAAAGTATTTTTCAATAATATCACTGAGCACCAATCCCAATATTGATAATATAACAACCACTAAATCGAAAAGATTCCAAGGTTCCGTAAAATAGTGATAACGCAAAGCAAACACTTTCATCAGGCACTCGGTACTAAATATAACTATAAAAATCATATTTAGGGAGTCCAAAACTTTTGTAAATGTCTCTTTCTGCTTGTAGTGGTCCATTGTCATTGTTAACATGTTTAAACCTATAAACAACATGATGAACATGTCGAACTTCTTATTTGTCACTATTTCGAAGACGATGCCTTGAGGTCTCCACTAAAAAAAAAATTCCAAAATTTACAAACAATTTACGAAAATATTAAATATTACTTACCCTCGGTCGAGGAATAGCCTTCATAGGTTTCTTAGAACCCATTTTCTTCATAGCGTTGTAGTACTTTTTCTGATCTTCAGTCATGAACATCTCAAGCGATCCTCCTGCGTATAAATTACTTAAATCATTTTATAATCTTACACCACGCTTATACTAAATCAAAATTTTATCCAATATACTTATCTTCTTCTTTTGTTCGTTGAAGTTATCGATGATGACTCCAATAAACAAATTGAGAGTGAAGAAAGATCCAAAGATGATGAAGAACACGAAGTAAAGGTACATGTAGATATTCGTTTCTCTGATGGGTTGTTTGTACATCTGAAGACAAAAGAAACGTTATTAATTACAGTGGGAATAATTGTTAAGATGCAGCGTTACCTCTCTGGAGTCTATGGCGTCGTTCATAATTTGAATCCAACCTTTAAATGTTGCTACTTGAAATAAACATAGATATGCTTTACCGACATGGTCAAAATTCATTGGTGAGTTATCCCAAGAATAGTTCTCAGCTTTACAAGCGTTGACGTCGGGAATTATTTCGTAACTTAAGACTGTCTTATTACTATCGACACACTAAAATCCAACAAATTACCAACAATTACTCCAAAAGAACGGCTTATTTTTACGATAATTACCTTATAGTATTTACCCGCGAATAACTGCACACCCATAATAGCAAATATTAGCCAAAATATTAAGCACACTAGCAGTACATTGAAGATGGATGGTATAGCCTGAACCAATGCATTTACTACTACCTACAATACAAAATTACAAATTCAAAACGGTTATCCCAAACGGAATTTCTATTATTCCAAAGTTAGAAACAAACCGACTCACCCTCATTCCCTGCATACGAGACATGGCACGCAAAGGTCGCAGCGCCCTCAGCGTCCTCATTGTCTTGAAAGCTTGAATGCCACCGGCCCCGACTAAAGAAGCGACAAAGTTGATCAAAGACACCATTACAATTAAGAAATCGAGCCAACACCAGGCGTTGGTGAAGTATTTCTGAAAGCCCATGGCCAACCACTTGATTAACATCTCGAAGAAGAATATCACGGTGAATATTCTGTCCATGTAGTACAAGATATCCTGCAAGACGGGCCTTTGCGACAGGTGAACATCTTCGAGAGCTAACGCCAGACTACTGAGCAATATCATCGTGATTACGGCTGTTTCGAAGTATTTGTTTTCAATGAGCTGGAACGTCTTGTAGCGGAGGCTTCCCCAGCCTTGCCAGAACGGGGAATCCTCGTCGCCTGCGAGGAACGGGAATTTCTTGTAACATTTCTCGGGGAAACAATCGGCCGAGTATTCGTCTATTATAATATCTTCTGTAACTACGTCAATGATTAAATCTTCGTGTAAAGGACCTTGGCAATCATATTCATCTTCTAATTCTGCAAAAAAATGTTTATGGTATTGATGATTGCCTTAGAGGGGATGTTTAAATTTACCTTCGTCAATTCCTAATTCTTCTTTACTAGCATCGCGCTTTTCTTCTTGCTCGTCCAATACATCGGCACTACCTTTGTGACTATCATCTTTGAATCTGTGTTTGTGACTGCCGTAGGATTTGTTACTAATTTCATCGTCATCTAAGTGTCCGAGATAATTACCGTGTTCTAAAATAGAATTTCCTAGAGTTTTATTTTTACTAACGGCGTTTTTGGCCCGTTTTATATTGGTTTTTGAATCACCATGTATTGTAAACTCCATACCATCACCTATAGTCACTTCTAATCTATCTTTAGGGCTTTTCTTATCTTTGAATATCATACCATCGGCTAAAATTTCGTCGCCAGGAATATCTAGGCCTCCGTCACGTGGATCTGAAATTTATGTTTTTATTACATCATGTTACAACAAACATCAATACAAACTATACGATGCTTTCGAGTAAAACATTCCTTTATAGTTTGAATGATATTTATAACGATCAACGTATATAATTATATAAAAAATATGGTCGAAACAGTTGGAATAAAATAGCTCTATTCTAGTCAAACGCCTATAAACCATATCGAGGGGCACCATGCAGAACTGTATTAAAGATATAATGACATTATACTGTGAAGTAGGTAGTTGTAATGTCGACATTTATATAAGTTACGTTTAAAGTAGTATTACTAAATACTAAAAAAAGATATCTATTTGACATTATTCAAAAATCGTGAATATAAATCTATCGCAGATTAATTAAGGAAAGTGCTCAAGAGAGACTAATTAAACGATTAAAATGATCATAGTATACACCTTCCTCAACTACATACTACATGCGAATAAAAAACTCTTCGAACTGTAGAAGCACTACTATGATGTGAGAGTCAACAAGCACAAAAATGATCGAGCTATTCAGATTTGTTGGATAAAAACCTTGGTTCCAACTGTTGGAGGGTCCCTCACCTGACGGCTGGTCGGAAATTTGGTTCGTTAATTTAAATCTAATCAACTTAGCGATATCGGCCATGCCGGCCTTGATCCATTTGATGAAGCGGCCGATCCGATCGAACGCCTCCGCTATTTTATTCGTATCGTTATCAGCAGTTGGCGCGGACAAACTGGATGAACCGAAGTTGCTCAAAAGCAAAGCTAAGAAGAGATTCAATACCTGGAACAAGGAGCGAGAATCGCATCAATCGGCGCAAAATGGACCTGATTGGTTACTTACCACAAGATTGCCAATGACGACAGTCGCTAGGAAAAATGGTATACAAGAAACGTCGCCTACACGCATACAATCCCACATCGATTCGATCCATTCCCCGCACAGCACACGAAATACTATCATAAACGAATGCATAAAATCTGTAAAGTTCCACCTGGGAAGTTCGTGGTCTGGAAATCTATCTACATTATCTGAAACAAACAAACGATATACATCGTAGGAATAATAGCATTAGAAGTTTAAATATTTACCTGTATAATTTTTCCCAAACAACTGCATACCCATAACAGCAAATATAAATATTATAATGCACAGCACAAAGGTCAGGTTTCCTAAAGCACCCATAGTTCTACCCATTATCGAAATAAGTAAATTTAACGTCGGCCAAGACTTGGCTAGTTTGAACACCCTCAGCTAAAACAAAAAAAAAAACAATTCGTTAAAAAATCACCAATAATTCGATAACAACGAAATTACCAATCGAAACGATCTCAACACTGACAACCCTTGAACTCCTTCAAGGCCCAACTCCAGCAACGATAAGGCTACGATAATGAAATCGAAGATATTCCAGCCTTCTTGGAAGTAATACTTCGGGCTCATTGCTATCAATTTCATTGTTGCTTCTATCATGAATGTCGCAGTGAAAAACTGCGCGGGAAACAAAAAAATTCGTTAATTTATTAACTTCATACGGTGCGAAGTATACACTTACATAATTGCCACTTTTGAGGGCTTTTTCTAGGTCTCTGTCCATGTCGTGGTGATCCAAGGCCATAAAGAGCGTGTTGACTACAATGCAGAGGGTGATGAAGAGCTCGACGAATGGATCGAATACAACAAATGCAATAGCCTTCTGAAAAACCAGCCAGGGACCACAACAATCCCACACACAAAAAATATCTATGACTCGCATTATGAATGCTAATAACCTTTCTTTGACTGTCGGTTCTTCTTCCTCCTCGTCATTTTGGGCTGAGAAATAATAAACAGAAACTGTACGAAGTATTAGTAACAGTGAAGTTGACACACTCTTTTTTGGGAAAAGAGGTTTTTGTGCGGAATGAATTTGTGCGATAGCCGTTCTTAACCGCTGGTTAAGTTCACGAATTTGCAACAAGCTTATGTTAGGAAGAGCTATGGTCGTCATAAAATCATGAACAGCTCATGAGATAAGAATTTAACACCATCGAAATATGCTTTCAAATTTTTTTTTCATGGTTAAGAACAAATATTAAGCACTTGTTTGTCTAGTAGGTATAGTACGTGTTTAGGAGCGACATGCTAACGACAAAAGTAACAATTTCAGCTCGAATTTGATGACTAGAAGAAATGGTGACCGTCGGCAAACTCTCATTAATGAATTCATGAATATTTCCTTTGGAAAATGCGATTAGATAGCAATAAAATTAAATTACCGTGTCGCCTACGGTCAATAAATGAAACTATCTAGATCGAAAAAAATGTATGCCTCCTATTTCTCTATTTGAAGGAGGTAATAATGTAGACTAAATGGACAATAAAATGTAGGTAAATGTTTCTATTTCCTATAATCAAGCAAACGGACACAACATTTTAGTGACATCCTATCCGTACGTAAATCTCATTTATTCAAGGATCCTGTTCTTTTTGGTAAAAGGAACTGAACACTCTGACAGTTTTGATTCTATAATTAAATGTGTCCATTGCTCTAATGATTACTATCAAAGTCTACGAAATTTCGTGCTCCAATACAACAGGTAATGTGCCACATATTGTTAGATAATTTAATTTTATTTACCTAAAGTAATAACTTGTTAATATTCCTCCGTTTAAGTAAAAATTGTAGTAAACAAATACATAAATAATTAGTTTTCGATCAGAAACGTCAAATTCAATGAGTGCGTTACAAGGCAATATATAACTAATTTAAGCAGATTGCGATGGTGTGAATACGATGTGTGGGATGTATAAATTTTTATTAAATAAAAGCAATTTCAACCTACCTCCGTGATCACTGGCTCTACTCTGTCTACCAGCAGCTTGTTCGATGATATCGTTCAAAACCATTACATCTAAAATTCACGAAAGTAAAATAGCACCTAGATATCACTAACATAAAGAGAAAACTAACCTTTCATATCCACCACGGTTTGCCTTTGATTACTATCGATAAAAGGATTGTCTAAATGTTTTAGTTTCCCTTCGCATATTTGACCAGTCGGTCCATCCTGCAAAATATAATCACCAGAATTAACAATTCTAAAAAAAACCCTCTCCGCTTCCACTCACGTAATCTCCTCTGTGAGCCTTGTGATTGTATTCGGTGTAGTTGTTCGGAGTGTTCGTAGCAGTCGCAGCCGGCGGGGGTCCGCTCCTCAGCGCCGATCTGTTCCTCAGCTGGCTCTCTTTGGTCATGACTTTGCCGTTGCCGCCCAGGCCGCAGAGCAAGTCCCCGTGCGAGGTGTACGATATCCTCGACGCGTGCGACGTGTACGAAGAATGCCGCGAACCTAACCAACCCCGATTATCCACGGCACCGCCATAAACGCATCGTGACTCACCCAAATTGGCGTAGTAAATGGGAACCACCATGGCTCCGTTTTCCTCGCTCATCGGCGTCACGGCGTTGGAATCGTCGGCGTAAGGTAAATGTTCTTGAGCATCGAGATAGGTTGATAGAACCAAAGGTTTGCGATCGCCGGGGTTCGGAATCATGCGCCTGGTGGTGCGCATGCAAGTGAACTGATGGCTCCCCCTGGAGCCCCGTCGAGGATTGAACGGCGAACCAGGCAAGCTGAGGCTGGCCTGTACATTGAACAAGCGCTAGTTGTATGGTATTCAAATGGTTTTGCACCTAGCAACATCGACCTTACGGCATATATTCTGCAAGTGTGGTGTTTGTGCACTGGATTTTTGTTACCTGCTGGGCCCGAATCGCCTTATTCGTTTCTCAACGAGTAAAATTTGTGTATTATCCACCATTGGTGCGCCGTGTTACGTATAGTGATATTTAATTTAAATTGTCATTCGTGCGCCCGTTCTTGCAGAATTTATCGAACAAATATAGGGTGAGGTTTAACGAAAAATAAAATCGCATTCACAAAAACTTTCTAAAGAAGTGACAACTAAAAGTAAAGTGCAGAACATTTGTTCAACATTGACCAAAAGGAGCCAATGCGCAACAAATGGAGTAACACTATAATTGTCATGATCTTTATTGTATATCCATTTTCATTGGTATTTTAATAAGCAACATTTATTACTCATACTATCAGAACAGGTGACTAAAGTTTAAAATGATAGAAAATATAAATAAGAAAAAAATTAAATAACAAAAATGAATTATAATGTAAAAAAATAAATATAAATGGAATACTTAAATATATGAAATGAAAAATGGAACCACCTGCAATGACAGCTGATATTTGAATCGGGGGTTTTAAAGTATCAAGACACTTACAGCGCTAACTTTCCGCATCTTGGTGGGATTAGAAGGTATTCTTCTCTGCTCACTCACTGAATCTAATCCTTCCGAACGAATGCTCATCTTTTCTTTGTTGTTATCATCGTGACCTTTGGCTTGTCCGACAAAGAGCTCGTAACTGTGGCAGGAAAAATCGGATGGGGACTTTACAATATCTGGACAGTTTTCAGCAACCAACGCTGCTTCTCTAGCTTCCCTAGCCTCTTCGGCGGCCGCTGCGCGTGCATCTGCTCGATCTTGCTTAGCCTGCGCGGCCTTCTCGGCTTCCTGTTGAAAGCCATCGGGATCAGTTACGATCCGGCGATGAACGAGCAGCGATCACTTACCCTGATGGCTTCTTCTTCGGCCGCTTCCTCTTCCTCGGCTTTCTTCTGCAGTTCATCGTACGACATTGCAACGATAGCTAAGATCAAGTTGACCAAATAAAACGATCCCAAAAATATAATTACGATAAAAAATAACATGTGCCACGGACCAGCGGAACGTAATACCTGAAAATTGGTTTCGCTGTGAATAGATTCGGGTTCAAATTTGTGGGTACTAACCAGCTGATAGAGATTCTCCCAATAGTCCTGTGTCATTAATCTAAACGCGGAGAGAAACGCCCAACCGAATGTATCGAAACTAGTGTAACCATAATTTGGATTATCCCCGTAACCTTGTAAGCAAGTATAACCAGGTTTGCATTGGCCAGCTCCGGAGGAATTTCCACAAAGTGGATAATCCCCGTTCTCGTCCACGTACCAGTTGGCTGGAAAAAAAATCGAGTTACGCGCCGCAACGAGAAGAAATTCCCAACTTACTTTCGTTATCCATGAACCTTTCCCAACTTTCGTCGCTGAGGTTGCCCCAAGAGCCGTCCGACGGGAAGTTTCGCACGCATTTCTGCGTCAACACGCCCATGTAAATTTGCAGGCCCATAAGAGCGAATACGGACAGGGAAAACATTGTTAAAATTATCACATCTCTTAAATTTTTCACCGATTCGATAACAGCTCCGACGATGGTTTTCAAGCCTGGAAAAGTAAGAAAACGGTCCAGGAAAACGGATGAAATTTTTCGCCTCTTTTTTTTTCTCTTTCGAGTGGCAATAAAATACCGGCGACGTTAATTTTCTGACCGAGCAATAAAAAATCCCGACTCGACAAAAAGATTACTCGCTAATGAAACATCAAAAGAAATATAATTTTAATCATTGCCGACTGCCGACGGATTTCTATCAAAAGGACAGAGCGCAGGAAAAAGGTTGTTACAAAAAGTTAATAAAAAAAGTCCTTATATCTTCAAGATCGGAAGCCTGACAGTTTCAAATATATAAAAAGCACGATTCTCGATTCGAAATTGAATTCTTTCAAGGACTATAAGATCATTATATTTTATACTTAGCGGTTATTTCTGGTGGAGCGACGCACACCATATTTTTCAAGGATAATTTTTATTTAAGGATTAATTCGATTAAACACGTAATTTCGTTAAAATTCGCGTGATTTTATGGGCAATTATCAGTCAATGTTCAGGTATTTCAATTATAATCTGAGTAGGGATTTTTTTAATATGACAAATTGTTATCGTTTTCCGGAAAGCTTTCAAATTACAGCGGATTAGCGCGACAGGGGCGTCGTTCCGTTCGGATCAATACAGGGATCAAGCAGCACAGTGTCACTTCGGGTTACGTAAGAGAAACGGAGACGGAAAAGTGACGGGATTAAGGTGAAATACGCGGTGTTTTTGTATTTGCGATTTTCATCCCTTTCGTTATTGTTTTGCTTTCGACTGGATTACCGAGCCCATTCGGACGCCCTTCGATATCCACAGAGGATAAAATTCACGAACGGGGATATTTTCGTTTAGAAAATAAAATAACTTTTGTCGCGATAGCACGAACTTGTTAGATCATTTTTTCCACGATACTGAACTCGCTAATTGAAATGCTTTTTTTGCAGGTAGATTGTTATAACGGTACAATAAATTTAATAATGCAATTAATTGCAAAAGGATCGTTATTTCACTTATTTCAAATCTGTTTAATTGGATAGCTAGTTAATATTATACTAATTAAATAAACGTTAATTAAAGGCTTGTAAATACTGAGAGCTTTTTGCAGTTGAATCATATACCTCTATTGAAATACAACATTTTCCACTCCGTTTACCAATATTAATTGCATAAAATATATACACGCTGCTGCAAAAATAATATTCGTAAAAGGCATACAAAAACACCGTTCAATAAAATGTATCCAAACAATTTGGTTAATTATAAAATTATATTAAAAAATTCCAGACATAAAAAGAAGAATTACCTGGTACAATGGCGACAGTTTTTAGGGCTCGTAATACCCTGAAGGTTCGTAAGGCAGCTAGATTTCCAAGGTCTATTCCCATTGTAACGTAACTGAAAAACATTTTAAAAAATTGGAGAAAACTTTTCGAACGCCGGTTTGCTAGCTAGGAAGTTTCACTAAAAAGCTGCGAAATTATCTTTATATAAACACATTTTACGATAACAACACATTTTACGTCCATAATGCATATAAAAAATTCATCAAAAATAATTAATCCAATTTTTATACTAACAGGTACTACGTCAAGGTACTATTGTAACAAATAACCACGTTCTATTCTGAGGTAAATAGTAAAACTAATAACTATTTTCTAAAAATTTTGGTGATCTAATTCACTGGGTGTTCCGTAAAAAACTTGATGGCAAATGTATCTAAGACTAATTAGTTTTCGTGGATCACCCTGCAAAATTTTCTAAAACGATAACGTAACTACTCAATGATTATTCTACTATCGATTTAGTAAAAACAGTATCGTAAAACTCACTTGATTCATTTTTAAAGATACAAAGACAAATTTTAAAATTTTGTGTGTATGTATTTAAGCTGTGGAAATAAAACCCTTATTATTGCTAATTAAATGAAATCGCTCGTAAAATTATACACTAATTACACGGATATCGTATTTACTTGATTGATTTAATTGGACTGAAATCCAATACTACGTGTTCCCCCTATTACTCCGTAATTGGCGACGTACATACAAATTTATATGCCAAATAAATACCTCAGAATGTTAATTCAATATGTGTAGTTATACTCTCCTCTTTAACGAAAATGTACGCTCTCCTCTTTGAGCGAAGTAGTAATAGTGTTGCATTGTACCAAATAGAGACAATAGAAATGAACAATATCTAGTGAATGTATCTAGTTCTAAACTAGTCTACTCACGCTAAAGCTATGACTACGAAGTCGAGCCAGTTCCATGCATCTCTAAGGTAGGTGAACGGTTGAAGAATAAAACCTCTCGCCATCACCTTCACAGCTGATTCAAACGTGTAGATGCCCGTGAATATTACCCTGCGACGAAGAAAACCACCATCAGCAGGATTATTCGATGGGAACTAGTGCGTGAATACTCACTCGGTTGATTCTACGGTGGGGGTAGTAGGCATTATCATAAGGATGCAGTTGACAAGGATTGTAGTGATGATGAATAGAGAAAATAACGGATGAACGAGTATGTAGATGGCGACCCGTCGGATTGGATTGAACGGATCGAGTATCCAAAGAGCGTTTGTTGCACTAAATCGAAATATGTCCTTGCCTTTACTTACTACTACGAAAGTCTGGAAAGCAAAGCGATTAGTCGCAATGTATGCGCGTACGGCCGGTGAAAATGTACCATTTGATTGTGGTAGAATGAATCGATGTCCTCGAGTGGTGTGCTGGCCAGCTCTGGAGGAAAACTGCCATGGAGCCGTACCGGAAGAGGGAGACCTTGTTCCAATGTCGCATCAGGCTGGGGACCTTCATCTTCGTCCTCGTCCTCATACCGAATCTGTGACACATCAAGTTTTATCAGTAATCAATAGCGATTCGCGATGAAACCATCCTGTTTTTGAAACTTCTTTCATGTCAAATATTTTACTATCATCGAAATTATCTGTAAATGTTGATTAAATTCTAGTCGTTTCCCATGTTGTTTCGCGTGTTTTGTAACGGTTAAAGTACTATGTTTCTAGACGCTAATCTAATGTTTAGCATCAATTATGCCCTACAGTTTATCTACCTGGTTTAACTAACTGATACTTGCAACTCACAGTTCATGCGTCCGAATTTTTTATGCGTCTTTAAATATCTCTTTAAGTGATAATAGCAGAATAGTCCTAAACAAAAAATGTCAATTTTTAATTGATAGTATTTTAATCGAACCACATCCAACAGGACCAGTAATCTGTATAAAAATAATTTAAACATAAAAAATATCTGCACCTGTGTAATAGAATAGACAGTTCCAATGTGTATAATGTAAATGTGTCATGTTTAGACTATTACCTTTCAAATTAGTTAAAAGAAAATCAACAGTAAATTCTAGTAAATATGACGACTTTTCTACTGGAGTGCAACATGCAAAAATTATTCAAATTTCATAAAAGTATTCTGTGTAGGAATTTTAATGTTATTACTTATTAAAATGTCGAAAATAAAAATCTAGAATTTACCAATTTTCATCTAAACCGCTTTGAAATTACCTCAACTATTCAATTCTACGGTTTAGTTGAAAACAGAACGATTTTAAAACTAATAAGGAAAAAATTCAGAAAAAAATATTGGAAAGTATTTCATGCAAGTACGTGTAAATAAGTTTTATAGCTAATAGTAAATTAGTAAGTAGTGTAAAAGTGATATAGTATCTAAAAAGTTCTCATAGAAAACTTTACACTCGGCAAAATATACTTATTATAAATAAATCTAAATCTAAAACATTTCAATATAATTTAAAGTCAATCAATCAACTCCATATAATATGTATAGGTATACTTTGTATTGGTTGATCAATATCCAATTTAACTATCTTCTTCGCAAACTAACTAAATAACAGTATTAAAAAATCTATATTAACAGAATTGACCTTAACAATATAATTAATTAATAAATCCACTTGTGAACAATATGACTTGATTCGCATCATGGAAACGTTGAAGGGAAAGTTTAATTGAATTACAGTTTGCTTCAATTTTGTATCCCCCTAATACACTAAAAATAATTACCGAGTGCCAAAGTTTCCTTCTCAATATAAAAATATTAAATACATTTTGCACCCCATATAATTATGTAGGTATAATATACAAAAAGAAAGTAAATACATAAATGCATTAAAAACTAGTAAAGATTTCCCCTTTTTAGCTCACCAGTGTTAGCCTTAATATTTTTATGTCATAATTCGCATAAGTGTGCTAGTGTTGATTAATTGCCATTTAAGAGATTTAAAACTGTTGTGCATAATTGCCTTAATTAAAATATTTCATACTAGCACATACTTTATTCGTATTAACAATCAAAATGCCTAATAATATATTTTTTTGGATAAATCCGCTATAAATTAAATGTACCTAAAGTATAACTTGTATGAGAGAATCCAACCGCGAAATATTTGTTTGTATTGATATTAAAAATGGGCAGTGTTGAATAACTAAATTGATTGAGCATTGCAGTCTACTCGTGTAAGTAAGTAAGTAAGTACAACGGTTAAGTGTTTGGTTTTTCTCTGAGTTTTAAGCAATGCTTCGAATTCAGTCAAAATGCATGTCTAGACAAGCAAGAACAAAGGTAAAGCGTAATAAGTTCAAAAGATGCTACTGACGATATACCGACGATCCCAACGAAAAATTCCATCTAAAATAAAAATGTCATCAAAAACGTACCCGACACCAGGCAATTTCTCTTCAGATGAGATATGTAATATAATATAACACGGTGAGGTGGTTTAGAAAATTCTTTCATTATAACGAAAAAAACTTTGTTAAAGGACCCCAAAAGAAACATATTAATCTAATGAAAAAAAAAAAAAAATCAAAAAAATGCTTCTTTTTTAGAACGGTATAGGTGTTATTTCCGATTACATAATTATTTTAAAACACAATTTTCGTTGGGTGTCTAGATAGAATAAAGAGAAAGGTGGAAAAAGTGAATGAGAGAAAATATATGTCACTGCCATAAAGTAACATGGCGTTTTTGGTTCTGTTTATATTTTGATATATTGTTCATTTAAAATCGTCAGGGGCATTAAGGTGATCTAAAAAGCAACTCTTGATTGAGCGGTTTTACTGGAGAAATCTTACTTCTTTTTTCTTTTTCCTGCGTCCAAAACCGGTCTGCAATAAAGTTCACACATTTTAAGATGAATAAGCACACAACACTGCTGCAATAACTAACTTTATTGAATTTTTTTTTATGTTTGTTGAGATTATTTGCCACTACAAGATCTTTTACACATATCATTCGTTCCGTGAACTTCTAAAATATTCAAAACGCATTGCGTAAATCTTATTGTGACAAACCTTCCTCATCTAATAATTTTGAAAATCGAGAAACAATTACTAACAATCTAATTGCAAAATTAAATTGCTTGATCCCCTACGATAACGATAGAAATTTACTTGCTCTTATAAAACGTTTTAGTTTTACATGAAGTTAAAATATTAACTGTCGTGTAAAACAAACAACCTATTTTTAACGTTATCCGATGATTATCACGAAACAATAAACGAAAGAGGTGAAGAAAAGTAAAAAAAAATTAGATGTGAAATGATTGCGTAAAATGAACCGATTCTTTTATTACAACTGATCATGATCGATTTCTCGTTGATACAGTCCATAAACCCTTAGCAGTCCTGCGAATCTGATAGAGACCCACATGGTGGCATGTTCGATGTAGAATCTATGTTTGTGTGACAATATTGATGATTACATGAAGATTAAATCAGCGGGTACATAAACATGCAATATTTTCAAGCAAACATACAGATTTATGTATAGTTTGAAAAAATACGACGGATAAATGTATTAAATATTCGAATTAAAATGTATAATTTGAATAAAAATACTCCATCGTACATAAAATGCTTCTCGTGTATAATACAATCTTGGAAAATTCGAATTATATCTCGCGTTTCATAAAACTTATTAAGTTGTGTAATTGTACACTCGCTTTGGAAGACATCTCGAGGCAATATTTTCAAAAGTGCTCGAGAACGAAACAAAGTGAATTCTTGTATGAATTATACAAGCACTCGTATTCCCTAGGTGACGAGCTGCTTCCTTTGGAATATCAAAAAAGAGGATAGTGCAACGCTGTATTTACAACAAGAAAATACATTTTAATTCGAATAATAAACACAATTACTATTCTAATTTACATAAACTAATAAAGAAGCGATGAATAGAAGCATTTGCACATTATACTGAAGTGCTATTAAGGTTATTCCTCTACGAATTCTAGACCTTGTGTTTTGTAAAACACGTTCAAACAGGTCGACAAATCGAAAGCTCATTAAAATTAAAAGAGGTCTGATAATCTACTTTGACCTCTTAAATAACAACGAGCACTCAAATTGATTGTTGTCGAATTTTGTTAAGTGGTTTTTAAATTTACTCAATCGACGTTAAATCCAATTAAAATAAGTAGGTATGTAAATATTTGTATTCGCCTATGAAATGAGGATATTTTCAATAATGACTATGGAAATGTTAAAAATTTCGACAAAATGACATGTTTGGTGAGTAAGCGGTTCGATGGGGTAAAAAAACCGTGCGTAACGCGAAATCGTTCCTACCTCTCCCTCAGCTCTTTTCTTTTCGAGTTCCTTCTGTTTGGCATATTCTTCAGCAATTCGAGCCTCGATAGCTGCAAGTGACTCACGTGTGAATGGACGGAATAAACTGCGCTCCTCCTCAGAGAATGAATCAGAGGCGACGGACATGTCTCCTCGCGCCTAGGCCCCCACGATACCCTGAAATTACCCATGCTAACTCATCTGATCCAATTACTCCGGCTGATAAAACGAAGTATAGCTAATTGTTGCCAACTTACCTTGTACCATGGGCGCCCATACAAATGTTTCCCAGGGGGGGCAACGACAACCATGTGTTCTGGAAAATAAAAACGGCCTATAAATACTCGAGTTTCCATTAGAGCGTAGTCGTATATTAGTCGAATTCAGTTCGATATACCGTCCCTGCGTAACAGAAGTTATTAGACTTGATTGCCCTATGTGTACCACACCCTTATAATCCTAATGGGGTTTCACAAGGCGTCACTGAAAAGAACCAACGCGGTTTTTGTTCCCTCCATTCATCAACTCGTTTACTATATATATAGAGAGCGATATTCGCATCCTTCTGTTGCTCGAAGGCTTTGAATGAATTTTTGGTTAACGAGACGTTCGATCGAAATTCATCTAACTAGCTATGAGAAAAAGGAATGTGGGCGCTTTGTCAATAGACCGATTTTGTGGTGAACGAAATTCCGTTTTGTTTAGGCATTCAATCGATATCGATATCAAAATTTTTGCGCAATTAATTTTCTTGGAGGTTTTGAGGTTTTTAAATAAATGCCAAATAAATCTGGAGCAAATAATTTCAAGAAACGCGAAGCGAAATTAAAGTCTCAGTGGGACGTTAACCGAGACTGTAAATTCCAGTTTTAATACTATGTAGCGTATTAATGCCTATTAATTGGGAAAGTTTGAAGGGGTAAGTGAATTAAAGGATATACAACTTCGGAATTCACTTCTACTTTGCCTAGTTGTAAGAGTACATTCAATTTAATAGAGGAATTTTGATATTGAAAGGAGTTTATCATCGGGATTTCGTTTAATTCGATCATCTTTGAGAAGTAAATTTTTGTTAAATCCCATAAAATTTCTACCGCGTCAGTAAACAAACTAAACACGGCCTTTACTGAATTAATAAATCAGTCATTTAATCAGATTAGCGCTAACGAGTCAAATGTTTTGAGTCAATTAAGAGTCAAAAGAAATAAATTTCAGTCCCTTTAGAGTGGCGACCGGGCTTGTAACAGTTGTTAAAACACACGATGAATATTTAAATAGACTCCACTATCGATTCCTTCATGTGTGTAAATAGGGTTAAATCGAGTATGGTATTTTACCGCATGTTACTAAAATACCCATAAAACTCGCTAAAGTAGAGCGATTATTTTTTTTTCTTTTCCACTACCTTAAAATATTGCCTACATTAAATACAACGGGAAACGCTGCAATTTTCCCACAGACATATTATTTATTTTTTTCATTCATCCCATTATTTTTCCATTATTAAGCCTTCGTTAATGTATACGTAGGTAGGTACTGAAATAAAAATCAAATATTCCAACTAAACACCAACTAGTGTGATCAATAAACCATTCTATTTAAAGATATTGGTTTTTCATACGAGCTAATGAGGGTGATGTACTCAACAATAACTGCAGAGTGATCCGAAAATCGATACTTCCAGGTAAAAATAAATCTACAGTTTTCCAGCCAACAGTGGTCCTCAGCCTGTAGAATTTTGTACATATTTCGACACATTCTTACACAATTTATCCTTAGGTAAGAGCAATCAACATCTATTTTTGGACATCAATCGTTTCAAAAAATATTATCATGTAAATCACATTATTTATTTATCGGTAAATTCGATTATTCGATGCATAGATTAGATTGTAAATATTTGATAAAAAACAGAATATTCAAAGGAAAATGACTGTCGTCACAATAATACGTTAATAATTCCTTAGTTTCTTCTAATAGACATACATAAATATATACATGAGATTTAAAATTACAAATTAAATGCCAGCTCATTCATCCGATAAAGTGGAAATAAAATAGCAAGATAATAATAATGCTGAAACCTTATCTGAAGCGAAGCACAAAGGATATCCGTGCAACGGAAAAATCCGGCAATTATTTTCGAGTATGTCGGGAGTTTTCATTAAATTCGATATTCCAAGGGCAGATACATCCTCTGAAAGTGAACGGTGAATGAACAGAATCATGAATGAATTTATTTTACGTAACCTCATCATCCCTTTATTGCGGTAAAGACGTCGAGGATTTTGTTTTCTCTGTAAATAATACGCCTGTTCGTTCTGGTACGAGTTAATTTTGTAACTTCAGAACTTTCTGTTTATTGAAATCGATACAAGCACTGGAAAATTCGTTGTGGGATATTTACGACCTTGTGCCAAGCCACTGGGTATAAATGGAAAATTACTTATTATGTTGTTAGGAAAATGACGATTTTTTAAAGGACGCATGTAAAATGCTGCATTACGTATTTTCTAATACCCTAAGTACACAGGGGAATTAAACACTTTGGTTAAATTTGTACGGGATAATTATATGCAATTTACCTGAGACAGTTTTATGTTAATTGTGATGTTTATTTATGCGGAAAGGAAATTGGTTTGGATATAATAAAAGCACGCAATTTACAAGGATTGAAATGGTCTCTTTTTAAAATTAACTGCTACAGCAGATGCTCTAATAGCAAATTTAGGATGTTTAAAATATGAGGTACAAGTCGAAAGTTTTGTACAACCACTTCCTCTAAGTATCCCATAAATCCTGCCCACGTTGAAAATTATATTTATGCTCATAGAAGAATATAAATTATTTACCTCAAACTAAACTAAAATATATCTACCTACCTACTCCTACTTCGCATTCCCTCCTTCGTAAATCTTTTTTTATCCGCGTTCAATGGCTTTATACGAGCATTTTCAATTTATCCCCATAAAGAAATAAAAATTTTCAACCGAACCACAAGAAATATAAGCTGATGCCTAACAAATGAGACATCGACAAAAACCCATTAACGAAAATAAACCCAAGTTTTTCACCAAGAAAAACATTCATCGGAAAATTCTCCCCCGAGCCGAACGAACAACGAAAGTAGTTTTCCTGGAAGACCAACAAAAATAAACGCTCGAACTCTCTCCAGCAGAAACCTAATACTCAACAGACAAAACCAGTGACCTAGGCAATGTTAAAGATGACGTTGCGATGAGAGGAGGCGGGTTTGAGCGTTTGAGCAGTATCGAACCCCAGCGCATGACACCACACCACGTTGTTTGAGGCGCGGCATTGTCAACCCCTGCACATTGTGCAATACATTCTCTAAAGAGCTCTATCCTCAAATACCATATCATCGATATTAACTAATTGTAATTAGATAAGTGAAACTCGATGTAACGTAGGAACAATCCTATTCCGTAATTAATTACAGAGGTAGTTACAGAATTTATGCAAGCAAATTAGAAACTCCCCGAATCTGCGGTAGCCGGTAAAAGATCCTAATCACTCCCGAAACTAGTTGATAACCTCACGCGAACCTCAACCTGCGACAATCTAAAAATAGCTTCTGGGATAGAAGAATGAACAGCATTTAACAAATGTTACCGTTTATCGTTTAATCTAAAATATACAGCAGACGATTCGTAGAACATAATATTCGTTTCGGTTGGAGTTTTTATCACCGGCTCGTCTTCGTCTCGCACAATTCGGAATCGATATCGCAGGGGAAAGAACAAAAACGTTGTTGCCAAGCACCTGATCTACATCGGATGCATCCGAGAAATGTTGAAGGAAATTAAGCAATTAAAAAAACTGATAAAATCGCCCAGAGAAGCGCACAATTTAATTAGGATATGCGTTTTCTATTGTATTATAAACTAATAATAGTGTCTATCGGGAGATGTAATAGGTATACACGGATACCCGGATACCATGGATACTCCGGATACACGGATAACATGATAAAATGGATCGATTCTAATGAAGCTTCATCAAAATGTTTAGCACGCCTATGGAACCATGTGTTTATTTTGTTATTAATACAGAGCAATTTAATGAGCAGCCTCTCTATATAGCTATTATAGATGCAAATTCTGCAATCGATATAGCTAGGAAAGTTATTTCCGACATATAACCAGGTGACTATCAACGTGGGCAGATATTTTCCATAAGCCGCCGAGTTTTCCATCGCCATGTTTATCAAGAATATTTCGGATTTTCTCCGCTCTCGTCTTTTCCTTTCAAGGATGGTAAATATTTAACTATAAATGGCTTTATAATGTTTCTGTAAACTTGCCCTTGACAATTTACGTGTGCAGAGGAATAATCGATTACCAACAACTTCATTTTTTTTCAGTCATTAATTTTATCAACATACATATAAGTAATAACTTCCGTGTTACACCCTTCTAATAATTACTGGCTATAGCAAATAATTTGTGGTTAATTATGTGGTAAATGGCGCCTTATTTTTGCTACTGAAACCTCCAAGTTCATGTATTTATGCATACATAATTTACCTCGTATACAGACGAACAATATTCAGGATAATGATTGAATTAATTAAACAAAACTGACCCAGCTGGCAGGAGGCTAAATTAAATTCCTCGGTCTGATATGATCGAATTTTCATTATACTACACGGTATTGTTTAATAAAATTCTTGTTTGCTCAGTAATTAAAAGCCGCGCTTTCGACATAGTTCCAAATAACGTGCGAATATATTGCACGGTCCACAACCCAGTTAATTAAATTTAAAAGCAACTTCATGTCGATCTCGATATTTAATGAGGAAGTTATCGTTAATCTATATAGATTAAAATGCAGTTATAGATTGCGGTGTTACCTATACATGAGCCGAAAGGGTGGCCTTGTTGATTTTCCTCACCCTATAATAATGAATGAATTTATGGCTTGTGCGATTTCTGTTGGTTTCTAATTTTCATTTAGTGTTGCTTTCGGTGCTAAATTAAACTTAAAAATAGAGCATGCGATTTAATAAATTATGTATCGTTACTTACAAGGTATCAAAGAGGATTATTTGAAGTTCCATAAACATAACTAACCTGAAAGAAAATGAAAACGTTAGAATACTTATAACGAATTTATATATAATTAAATTATACAATTACATGCAGGATGAGTTTATTTAAAGCGACTTCGAGTTTCGAGTTGCAATGTAATTACCAATATTTATGCGACTCACAGGTTATCATTATGTTTGTATTCACCATTGAATGATTGTGTATTTACATCAGCTATTAATTTAGTTCAGTTTAAATTCTACACTTAAATGTGGATGTACTATAATAAGGCATTATATTTATTTAATTTATAATTAGCTGGATAAGTAATAAAATTTGAAATTTTGGTGAATATATTTGAAATTTTGGTGAACTTATTTGAAATTTTGGTGGACGAATTTAAAATTTTTGGCGAATTTAGACCAATTTATACATCGTTTTGCATGTGGAAATCAGTTCTATCGTATCGAAATAGAATCGATTAGAACAACTGTAGAAATGAATCGATACTGCATCAAAATTTTAATGAAATAATTCAAATTTCAATATTTGCAGAAGGTCACAGTGTCACTGTTTTATCGATTACTGCATTTTTTAAATAAGTATGTACGAGTATATGTACCTGCAATTGTAAAGACTCGCGTTTTTAGTTGTCAAACAACAGACTTTATTGTACAATACAATAAGAGCGTTTGTATAACAGCGACAGAGGAAACTGAAAATGCTCGACAGTCAACATTCAAAATACACCGAACACACCGTTTGATATCTTTTGTGTAAGATATAAAAAAATAATAGAGTTAGAGGAATGTGAACAGAATAATATTAGTATTATAACTGTAAAAGGCTTGCGTGATGTGACTGTCGAGCAACAACTCTCCTAGGACACTAATTCTTTTCCTTGACCCTTATTTTTTACATTCGAGGATTCCTGTCGAAGGTAAAAAAAGTCACAATGTGATGGTGGAAATAGTATAATAAAACAATAACAATCAAACTCGAAAATATAAAAGGAGCGAATCCCTTTTTAACATGAATCCTTCTATAAAATAATCCTGATATAAAGCCAATGTTAAGTCGTCGACCGAAAGCTTTTAAAACGTCACCGATAATTACAATTAGGACCGATCCAGTGGACAAACTTTCCCTGAAACCACCACTTTATACCTCTCAAGAATAGAAATCAAATTACCATCTTAGTATTCCAGATTCCAGTAAAAAATTAATAATAAATAATTAATACAAACACAAAAAAGTGTTTGGATTAGAAATTATATTATATTGACATCAATTTATTTCTCAATTACTCTCTTGCAGAGTCAATGGAATTAAATTGGCCTCTCCAATTTCGGAGACTAATTTAAATTAGAATTTGTTTCGAAACATTAATTAAAACCAAATTTGGTTAATTGAAATTTGATCCGGAACTTGATAAAAAAATTAGTGGCATTATAAATGGTTACTTTAACTCAACATTAATCCAAAATGGAAAAAATTAATTCATACTCTGAATAATTTTTCATTACAATTACCAGTGATCAATACTTCTATACAATTCTATACACGCATACTTTATTTTAAAGGTTATTTTTGGTTACGTTCAATAAGAAGTGTGGCATTTTGACTTACACAAGGTCCAAAATAATACAAACTGAAAGATCATTGCCACTTGAATATTTTATTACAAAATTCCTTCACTTTTTTCGTTTAATAGGTCAAATTATCAACCATCAATCATTAAATTTTACTGCTAACAAAATCATTTTTCGAACAAAGGAGAAAAAAAGTACAAGGATTTATTTCAGTCGGCCGACTGTCATGTTCAAAATATAATCCTCGGCACTTCCTATATAGAAAGTTTATTAATTTCACAACAAACGGGAGAATTATATTCCGAATTCGCGGAATTTGCACGCTTCACTCGAATACAGATGGTGCAAATAAACAAACAAAATTTAATTTCCAGCGGGGATATAGAATAAAAGGTATTCCAGCATGGCAATAATTTAAGGTATTTTAAAGGTATACACAACGGCGCGTTTTAATTCCGATCACGTATCCAATGACCCTGCATTATTTCCCAAGCATTTCACTTCAATTTTAAATTCATCAATTTTCATCCCAATAGGGATTTATTGTATCAACAAAGCAAACCAACGAATACCCAGACATTATTCTTATTAAAATTATTCATAGCAATTTTTTTCAGGGAAAATATGAAATAAAAACGTACCTAATTGCAATACCTACTGAATAACCTAAATATTCTTAGTAAATAGAAAAAAAGCAAGACTCGTTATCGAAAATATTCCTTTTTGAGAAATGAAAATTGAATTGTATGTATATAACTTTTAAGAACGCCATTCAGTAAAATATTTGCTTGGCTTCCCTAATTCCGATAATTCTCCTTTTGAAAAATATACTTTCCGGAGAAGAATCCCTTTGAAAAAAGTTTTCCTTCGGATAATTTTCGAGCGGAAAAAGTATTCTCGAACATCTTTATAGATTAGTTCAACACAAACGTCGAAAATTATTTACGCATTTCAAAAGAAATTAGCGAGTATAAGAAAAGATCGGGGCAAGAGATACCTTGCAAAATGGGGATTATTTATACGTATTGAATAGCTAATTTAATCCAGCGAATAATAAGTTAATTGCCATGTTGTTTGGTGCATGTAGGTATATCTTGCACAGGGTAAACAACATTAGGATTTTTTTACAGAAAACAAGCCGTGTAATTAAAATCAACGTTCCTTTCAGAGAAGCTGAATCCTACGGTTCTTATGGGAGCAATCAAATTTAATTTTGATAGAACCCTCGTTATACGACCAATTTTATCCTCGTACTTCGTTCCAACATCCTTTTTTGCCAATTTAATACTATTGAGAATACATCAGGGAAGAATTCGGAACCCCTAATTATGAATAATTTTCCCTTTTTACGACTACTTGATAGTCTTCTTATAGCGTCTATAAACACTATTTTTAATGAAACATCAATAAATTATTCCAAATTAATCCACTACTTACTGAATTCGAAAATGAGAAACCACACATTTCGAAAACGAGTCATTACACGATTTTACTACACACTTATCGCACAGTTGGAATTATTTCAAAAGCAATGGCGTGAATTTAAAGGAAAAGAATTCATTCTACGAGAACACATTACTCCGGCGAGCGTATTTTCAGCTGTATTTTCCGCGACGCGTATTCTATCCCGGAATGTTTCACTGCACTGGATGACCTGTTCATAGCGCAACGCCAGAAAACTGGATCTATCACACCGGATGTGTGCTCGCGTACAGGGTGTAACGGGGAATAAACGTCGAGCGCCTCGTCCGCAAGCGCTTCCGCAAGATTTTCCGAATTTTCTCTTTTCCGATTCACCTCCCTTCGCTCGCCGGAGTAACGGTTTTGATCGCAACTAATTACTAATTACATTACCAATCGAGTTTATGAAATTAACTGAAATATGTTTGCTACTTATAGCGAATATTTTTTTAATAAAAATTTCTTGTGCTTAAGAAAATTTGATAAAATACAATAAGCATTGTTATTTGGTGTACACGCACTAAAATCTCTACTCTTAATTGAATGGTATTCAATTTGTGTATAATGAAATTTCATTACCGTAAGGGAGAAGTTAAGACAAGAGATCTTCGAGCACACGAGCTGGGAATAATGCCCCATTGATAAAATCTTTTGAAACGAACGTTTACGAACAGGAATCTTAGTTGACAATGGACTGTGTTCTTGTTCTTGTATAAATTCGTTGGGGAAATTTAGAGAATTTTTGTCAGTTTTGTTTATTGCTATGCCATTGGCGACTTTCCAGTAAAAACTAAAAACAGGAAGATTTTTTTGTGGAAAATTTATGGGTTTAATTAAACGAAAAGTTCAATAACGACGTGTTTTTTTTTTCTATAAGCAAGAAATAAATAGTGCTTTAATGGACAATCTATAAAGCTTTATGTTCTTGGCATTTCGTTGAAAAGAGACCAAGAATACAATTACAGCAAGGAATCAGAGCGGATTTACTGCAAGGTTATAATAATTCTTGATCTGTTACGACAATAACTTAAATGATTTTTTTAAAAATTGGTTACTCAATTTCTGACATAAAATATAACGTATTTGTGGAATTAAATAAACAACATCTAAAAAATAACAGTCACGAAATGCCATTTATATGTCGAGCAAACTTTTAGCAACACCCGTCAGAACAGAACACGTTAGGAATAAATACATACAAAATTTTGTAATTAATTTGATGTAGCAGAAATTCGTCAGTTTCAATTTAAACTCGACGAGCTGATTAAATCCGTAAATTTAGTTCGAATTTGAAATTAGTCCAGCTCAAACTCCCGATCCATGAATGAATGAAGTGTAAAATTAGAATGACATGAGTTGATAATTGAATTATTTGTGATGTAACCGAGGCGCTAATAGAATTATTAGTTATTGCATGAAATAAACATACCGTTGATGAAAGTGAAAATGCCAGTAAACAACTTTCACGGACGAAAACCATCACATAACACATAACCAAAATGATTTTTCCCGACTACAGAAGACATATCTGGGTATACATTAGCAGTAACCAACTGTCACTAGAAACTGAAAGTAATTGGCTAAGCAGAACCCACCTGCATTGAGGTCTGACGGAGTATTCACATGGCATTGAAGTATGCCTAACCGATATTCGATAACAAACGGCAAAATCGAGCCTGAAAGTTGCACGAATACCGAGCACAGGTCAATATCAGGCAGATTATTTAACAATATATCGAAATGCACCGCAGAGATGGCGAGAATAAGCTTTAGAAAAAGTTCAATCGTAGATTTAGACTGCGTTGTGAACGAGCCTTACACCTTACTCTCATGCGACAAAATCGATCGATACCTTATGACAGAAACCCACAAATGCCTTTTATTCCTAAATTATACATCGAATATAAGCAATACTTACGAGGAAATCATTTACACCCAACATATATTCCCGGTTTATCATGTAGACTTCCACTGGCTATTCTATCGTACTCGAATCTTCTCCAGAAGTTTCACGGGCAATGGCGGCCAGCAGGAAAACCGCACATGCAGCGCGCCACTCTTGCACATACACTTTACGCTCTTTTATTTGAATTTTACTCGACCACTCGGATATCGTTTAGTTTTTTTTTAGAAATAAATACTGCTCTATTTAGTTTGGGCCAAGTGATGTAGGTAGAAAACTAAATTTTTCTCTCTAACCCAACCAAAAAGGTTAATAATGTACCAGTTATTTCTGTTGTGGTTGTTGTGGTAAAACAATAAATTGTTTATATTTCACGTTGGCTTTGGTATAAACGTTTGTGGTTTCCTGCACACTGTTAGAATTCTTGTATGTAGAGGTTAAGGATAGGATGGAGAAAGCGCAAGTTCAGCGAGCACGTGTTTTGCAGAAGGCGACTGCGTCAAATTCGTGAATGATACAATCAAACCTTATTATTCGCCTCTAACCACATCTTGGGAGACATACTGGCGCTCGTGACGTCATCGAATTTAGTGGTGTTGCGGAAAGCATCTCCATAGCGACTTTACTCCTGCCGTGTGCCGTGTAATACAGTTGCTGCAAACTCCAATCTGTCAACGATTTAGATCAATAAGGCGGCCCTCAACGTGCAACGGAGCCGCGGTTAGAGCGCTCCTGCCCGTCGACTGGCTCTATCGCAACTAGCCGGAGCGATAGAACGAAAACGAACGCGGAATTCGATATGTATCCGTTTCAATTTCGACTAACCGCCGTTTCCCCATTCATCGGTCGCCGTCAACACGTTCACTGCACCGCCCCAATATCCGCAAATTTTATATACGAATTGAAAAAAAACTATACTAAAGGCCGATTAGAATTGTGTTACTAAATACACTTTTGACGTTTTATTATTTTTGACAGGCGTTTGACGTGAAAATTGACAGGTCGCTACAAATGTCAATTTAATTGTTGGCCAACTAACTATTCGAAATAAATACTTGTTTTTTTTTTAATAAAATTTAATAAACGTTTGATAAAAGCAATTTCAAACAAAATAAGTATTTATTGATTACTTTATAAACATGTAATAAATAAGTTCGTAAATTTTTGACATATTGTTTGACAAGCGACTGTCATGAAAGTTGGAGTCCCCACAGAATGTTTCAGCAATTCATGGCCAACTAACTACTTGAAAAAAAACTTATTTTTTAAATAAATCTTAATAAACCCATAATTAAAACAAATTCAAACAAAATTTAAGAAAACATTTAATGATTTTTACTTTTAAAACAAGTAATAAATAAGTTCGTAAGTATATTTTTGACATACTTATTATTATTTGACAAGCTATTATCATAAAAGTTTCATAGTTCAAAGTTATTCAAAAATAAATTCATAGCCAACTTATTAAAAAATACTTTAATGCAAACAAATTTAATAAGTTTAAACCAGTAAACTCTAGCATGTATTATATCAAGAAATTTAATAAAATCTCTTTCAAAAAGTTACGTCAAAGGAAAGAACTGAGTATACCGTATACTTAACTATAACTATAGGTATCTACCTATAGTTTAATTAGAAAGCAACGCAAAATAGAAAAAAGTGGCCGATGTGAAAATAAAAAATTGATCAAAGTCGTTTCGCTCGAGTTTATTGAAATTGCCCTGTAAAAGTTCTCATTTAAAATACGCACTGCAGTAAAGGAGCTTTATACGCCGCGAGTTTCAGAAAAAACCAGGTCATGAATTTAATATTGAAAAATACACATAAACAGGAAGGATCGAAATTATTTAGTTTGTTCCTGTCGCAATGTACAGGGCGTCGTTATTTCTTACAAGATGACAGTGAATCGGGAAATGTCGCATTAAATTCCAGCCGGTGCTATGCAACTCAATTTTATGAAAGCTTTGAAATATTAGATTCGACGTATAGCAACAAAAAACTCATTAACTTGAAAGCACCAACCCTTGTATGTTTATGAGCTATCAATCCCCCGTAAAGTTCCTTCAATTTCAATATTTGTCACTTCTATACATATACAGAAAAAATTGATATATCGCAGGAATGTCCCCGTAAATAAATGGGTTACTACACTAAAAAACCACCTGCATAATATATTATTCTTCATCTATCAAATCACATGTGGAGAAAAAAAATGTAAATACCTTGTACCTACAAAACTCTCAATCGAATAATAAAACAAAGAAAAGTTATTTTATATGTCAGTTTATTGTACATACAGAGTAAACAATGTAAAAATTTAACAATGAAATATCTATGTAGATCACAACATGAATTAGTAAGCTCAGTGTGCTGTCCTGATGTATTTTCACAAAATATTTTGACACTTGTTGTCAATTAACAGTTTTTCGTCATCAAAAATAGGCCAGTATAATACAATTCTTTTACAGGGTTCAACTCGAATAACTGTAGAGTTACCAGAAATTCGAACCAAATAGAATAATCGTAACGCAGATTTTCGTTTTTTCAGTTGACATTTCTTAATAAATTCCGATTGGATTGGTTGTAATCGGCCGAAATAAAAACTGTAAAGGTCGTTATTGTCATTAATTTTACGGAATATTTTCTTATCGTTAGCGGAAGACTATAAAAAAACTCAGGACCAATTTTATTTCTAGAAATAATGCCATATTTTGGACAATATATAACTCAAAAAAGCTAGTCACGTAGTTTATTACCCTGGACAATCGTTTAATTTTATTAGAGTGTTTAATTTAACGAGGGTGGATTATTTTACAAGATTGACAGACAAGATACACAGACAGAGACAGTATATGAGGATGCAACCTGAAACTTCTCGGTTAAAAATAACCTGTGGGTTTGAAGTAAGTAACCTTTTCTTGTAGTTTTCATAGGCGTACCATGCTAAAATTAATATAATTTTTTATGGTATGAAAAACTTGCAAAGTAACTATGCATTCATTTCAAAAATATTTTAAACTAACGGTGTTATATGAATTAAGTAAAAAAATGACTAGTAACATTTCGCATAGTTTCTCTCTAAGAGTTCAGACATTCATAGATATTTTAAATAATAGTAAACCCAATAAAAGCAATAAAAATAGTAAAATATTATAATTGTAAGTACCTACAAGGAATGTTAAATAATTACCATTAGCTTGGCAAAAAAATTTGTAAAGTTTGTTAAAGAACTTCCTGGAGGACGACTACAAGTCTCTCTAGAAATGACTGTATAAACTTTGATTTATTTAAAAGTATTTGGAATGTTGAAATCATAAAATTTGTTAAAAATAAAATAATATAAAAAATAATTTAGGTATTATATTAATTTAAAATTTTATGAATGCCTTCGGAAATATTGAAGTATTATAAGTATAGAGGAAGTAAAGAAAACAGTAAAATACCAATAAACTACCGCTAAGTAATAATTGTGGCCCACATAATATTTTATTGCATAGAACATCAACAATACTTTTTTACTTGCTAATTGCAATATTTTTGGTAATAACAAATAACAATACACCCAAAAACAAAAACGTTCTAACACTGTACCTAGAATTAGTTAAATGTGAGCCAAAAACTAATGCTGCAACTAATTTCTCATCTAATTCTATAATATTACGCTACTAAGGGGTAAATGTATCATCTTTCTACTAAAGTTAATAAACAAACTTGTTTCTACTAAAAACATCAACGAATAAAACCGACGCTGGTTTGTTCATAAAATTATTTGCTAGTTTTTTTATCCGAATAAAAAATGTTCTGTATTAAAAAAAATAATTAATTTTATGCAAAAACCATGTCGGTGAATGTTACAACTACCAAATGAATACGGACCTAGACGCTATTCTAGTATAATAGTAGGTATGCGACACTTGTTCTCGTATACCTTTTAGGCATATTGTTTCTCAGCCAAAGCTTCAATCAAATAGGTATTCTCATTATTTAAATTCTCAGTCTTTCGATTTAATCCGAGGCCAATTTTAGAAAATAATAACGAATGAAACAATAGATTAAAGCACTTTTCAAAAAATAAATATTTTACTACATAAAAATATTTACGAATCACCTGCCTTTCCTTTTGGTGTTTTTTTTTATACAATATTATTCAATTGTTGGCCAAAGACTAATTAGGTATAGTGAAGTAGTGTACTTACTCTTCAATTCATTAACAATGAGACTCTTATAGTAGTAACACAATCGTTAGGAAGTACGAATTAGTACTATTTTTATTACCAAACACCTAATTATTATTATAAACACTATACCTAATTGTTACAGAGCTATTAGTAACTACGGCATATTTCTAAAGTGGGCCTCTACCATTGGCTACAATTTAGTATTCATAATATTACCTTCATTTCTCTTTAGGCTTCTTTTCGGGAAAATTTCAAACATTGCCAAATCCCGAACCAATTTACGAGTATATGTTATGCGAACTCCTGTAGACTTGCTTCAGCGAAGCCGAGTGATCCTCCAAATTTTTCTTCAAATTAACGATCGTGTTCAGTAAGACCTGTTGCCTCAAATTCTCGCTGCTGCTCGTGCATTCCTTGAGGAACCCGGCCTCTTCGGTAGCCGCGTTCGCGGCGCCCCCCCTGCCGCAGAAGGTCTTGTGATTGGCGTTTGCGAAGTAAACCTTCCTGCGAACAGGCTCGCTCTGGGGACAGCCGGTGGTGAAATTGTACCTTCGAGGCGCCTCGTCGGAGTCTGAGCTGGAATCGACGTGACGCCGGCTCAGCTTCCTCCTGTGCTTAGGGCTCATCCGAGTCCCTTCCGAATGCTTCTCCTTGCGGTTGTGGGCCTCCTCGTTTTGCTTCCAGCTCGGTAGAGGAGTCTTGTAAACAGGCGCTTGCTGCAACTCCCATTCCTTTCTAGCCAGCACCGGCGAGTTGCTGATGATAAATTTAGTGATATGGTTCTTTTTAGGGCTAAAGCGCGGACAATTGTAAGCGTTATTGGACGGAATTTTTGAAATAAACGGGTTCGTCATCACTTTGTCCTCTGTCATAGATGGAAGGTTTTTGTTAGCGAATATCTCCGGTTTGGCACATTCAGTGATCCGCAGGAGTTCTACTCTCTTATTCGCAGGACCGGGGACCCTTCGCGGCGACAGACCGTTGCTTTTCATTGCCCTAAGTATTTGCTCGGCCTCTGTGATCAGTTCCCTGTATTTCAAATCGGCTTCTTTATCCCTTTTGTCTAAGGTAGTGATTGGATCACGATAAAGGCCTACAGAATTCGACCGTTTTCTTAAACAATCTTCTAGTGCTAATTTAGATATCGGTTTACAATTGGCACGTCGGACGGAAACAGGAGTAGCCCCGGCACTTTTAGAACCATCTACATACGTATTCGCGCGTTTCTCTTTCTCAATCAACTTGGAATGTTTCTTTTTACTCGAGCAGGATTTCCGCTTCTTATCGCTGACTTTGTTACTCCTACGCTGCGTCCTCCTTCTGGAAGACCTCTTCCTTTGCATGTCGTAAGCGTAGTAAGAACAATGTCCTGTGTTCAGTTCGTTCCTGGCCTCGAATTCCAAGAAAGAACCGTTATCTATGAAATCCAAATCGCCGTCGAAGTGCTCGTCTTCGTCCCCGCCATCTTGGCCTGTGTCTATGTCCGTTTCGCAATCGGTGGGATCGCTGTCGCTCAAAATGTCCGTTTCTTTCTCGTAAACGTAACTTTCATCGTATTTACCCATCATTTCGTTCAGCGTGCAATCCTCGTCGCTGACTGATTTCGGTCTCGGCACTTCCTGCTGGATGCTCGTGGCGCTCAACGAAGAACTCGATGATGTTGAAAGCGACCTTCGTCTGCTTGGAGCAGGGCTGAGGAATCGGCGAAGTTTCCTGTAGATTTAAAAAAAATTAATCGATAATCGTGAAATTGTTGTTGATTAACTCACGGGCTGTCTTTAGCAGACTTGACGGTAAGGGAAGCCTTCTTGAGATCGTGTTTTACAGGACTCGGGCTCAGAGTACTTCCCGGGAGCCATGGATTCGTCCTGATTCTGTTCCTTTGCCTCGGTGAAGTGACTCCCAAAGCGGGACTGAGGTTTACTATGAGTTTCTCGTTGATTCTAGTAGGAGGAGGTGCAGGAAACTTCGGTTCTTCCAATTCTCGTTTCTGTTGGTATTTTTTTTTTATTTTTTAATAGCAGTCTGACATGCAGATGCGACGTATCAAATTTTCCAAACACCAAACGTGTAAATAATAATACTAACACGTGTTTAACTTCAAGCTATATACATTTTTGTACGCTACATAATTTACAAAACGAAATAAACAGTTGAGAAATATAAAAGTGTTCGGTCACTTATATAAAGAATTCTTAGGCAACAAGCATTAGTAAATATCTAAATATATGATGGATTTTGAAAAGTAATTCAAAAATTCCTGCATGAAATTAGTGCATCTGTACTAGTTACGCTCATGCGTGCATTCGAAATAAAATTATGAAAGTGGCGTAACAATATAGCGAAAATCTAAAAATAATATATCTCAACTCAACTGGGCGAAATGTCGATACAAACCTTGAAAATGGGAGTTCGATGATCTTTAAGAAGATTTGGTACGAGTTTAGCGGAATCCGGTATATACGAATTGTGAGCGGTTTTGTTGCTTGGATTGTTCGAATTCTGAATGGGATTCAAAACGGCGACGCGCGGATGGCATATATCTAAAAAAAAGTACTGTAAACGAATCGCGTTCAATGCGAAACATTAACGAGTATTACCTGTAGACTTCGATGTGTTCAACAGATTTTCTGGCGGTGCTCCCGGGGAAGTGCCGTCTGTGGAGTACCCGGTAGAGTAAGCGGATTCGGGAGACGACAAGTTGTTTGCAGAGTATCTAGAATTCGACACACCCGATCCTCCAGATTGGCTCTCTTTCATTAACTGCGTCTTAACTTCTCGTTCATTTTCCTGCGGACAAAAGCAATAGTCAAAAAAATTTAATCTGGAATTATTGGTAGAATGGGAATTTATCGGTTGAATGGCTTTATTGGATTATCTAAACCATCCCTCGCATAAAACAATGCAGCCTCTCTAATGCAGCGTTGCCGGTAAGAGTACATTGTTAAAAGTACTTCTTTAATTAATTTATATAATGTAGTTGGGTAGGTACAATTTATAGAATAGGTACGTAGTATTTTTTTTAATTTGTTTAAGTAGTGATGAAAATATCTTCGCGCTACTTTCATTATCACGCACGCACATATAGCCGGTGCAATTTTCATAACAGTAAGCTTATAATACCCCATTATATTAACATAATCCCTATGAAAATACGGCCGCTATATACGCGCTAAATCTCGCCGTTATTAAATTACACCCTAATTTCTATGCGTCTACATAGGAAGTAACGCCCTAACAACGGTAATGGAACGAGTTTCCGTTATTATGCATTTTTATTTACACAATATCAGTTTTCGTCTTAAGTTACGTTCCGCCGCTTTTACTCAGAGTCTCAAGTTCTAATACTGGCATAAGAGAATACAACTTTTTTAATAAAAACTCCGGTGAAAGTTTCTTTTATAGGTACGAGTTTACTCGGGTAATTTGTATTTATGCAGATTAGGCGAAAAAATTAATACAAACGCAATCACTCTTTGGCGAATATTTTGGAAATATGCAAATACTTATTTACTCGTAAATTAATAAAACAGGTATTTGTGTACGTATTTTTTGAATTATATGTTGTATAATTTTGAAATTATAGAGGAACAATTCATAAAATATTTAAACAAATAAATAAAAAAAAACTGCTAGAGAAATTTAAAACTACTAACCTTATATTCATCAAAAACAGTAGGGCAATTAGTGTCCCATTTAACAGTATTTTTGTGCCCGAATAAAATATTGCCCTTTCCCGGCTTTTCTTTCCGGTGCTGCTTTTTCCTGGACCTAACGGCTTCCATCCACGACCGTAATTTGCTCCCAAACATTTTCCTCTGCGAGACAAAAAAAAACATTATTGCAGATTCCCTAGAGTAAAACAGCAAAACAATTTCAAATTCGACACAAACAAACATACCTTCCTATTCGTTACATTCTAAACGACGAACTTATAAATTATAGGCGGAATGCCGGAGTAAATACGACACTTTTAACGCATATAATTTAATGCTTTCCATCGTTAGCGGGCGTTAAATGGGCACAATCACAAGATACTGCTTTTACTGTAGCCAGGAGCATCGGTAAACGTCAATGTCGCAACTGTGCGACCGACGCCGGCGTCGGCGCCGTGGCGCTTTTAATACCGAGCGTTTAACCCGCTTAAAGCACAATGAATATTCTACTGTGCGGCCAGATTTTTACCCCAACCGTTTTAGTGCAATTACCTGCTGTATGTGCAGCAAAAGGACCACAAACTTCGCGAGGAATTTAATTAAATTCCTGCTTTATTAAGAATCACCTGGAAGACTGCGACGCTACGTAGTTATTACACAATTCTCGATAAATATTTTAATAAATTTAGCATTTTAATGAGTATTTTATTTAACGATCATTTCGATCCCGTTATCTGCATTTCTAATGAAAATCTTGTCCATAAAAACACGGACTATGGATCCCTTTTTAAATTATTCAAATAATTCGTGTGGAAAATCGAATGTCTGACCTATTAAATCAGGCCGCTCAACTGCTCCAGTAAGCAGGGAACCGATTTGTTCGTTCAATTAGAGGAATTTATTTCGGGATCAATCCTCATCAAACATTGATTTTCGCCGCGACAGAATGCAATGCGAAGAGGCGAATTTGGCGGATTTAACCGGGAAATGCGGGAACCGTTCGAACGGGACGCGCAGCAGGATAACAGGAACTTGAAAGAGTTGATTTAATTGTACATCAATTTACTTAATTCGTAGTATTTGAATGACAGGTAAAAATGAAACTGTCAATGGTTGACGTTTGGAGGAAGTTGAGGATAAACTTCCGGTAATACACAGCACACTTGAAAGTAACTATTATTCCGATGTAATTAATAATAAATGAAATAAACCGTTGATATGGATATTTTTGATTCGAACTTCTTGTCAGGCAACCCGTTTAACAAAAAACGAAAATTATTTGAAACGATTACGAAAAAAGGACAGCTGTATAAAAGCCGTGTCGTGATTGGTGGATAATTTTTTGCTCTGTTGATTTTGACGTTGACTGCATCGTGGAAGCATGTGCCGTGTCAACCTAACCTCATTTAAAAGTTTATAGCATATTTAGCACGGTATCTGTTCAAAAAAAATGGCAACAGTCGACAAAAATAAATTTACGGATCTGAAAAAATTCATCAAAGAAGAACCAGGGAGTATCCAAAGACTGCAATCTATAAAATTACCTCGTGATTTGAATCTAGGGCTTCCAAAACAAACGAAAAAAGTGTTCGTGCCTAATTTAAATGCTGTTAGAAACAGAGATAAACCTAAAGAGTAAGCAGTGTTAAATATGTGGCATCGAGATAATGCATTTGTATTTTTGATTTCGCAGATTTAATAACCGCAATGACAAGAACGTCAAAAAATTCAAGGATCGTAAGAACACCAAAAACAACAGAGATGCTTCTTCGAGGTTCGTTCAATCGTCCGGAGTGTTCTCCGAAGGTATAGGAGAAGATGCCGTGCGTTCCAGAAGCTGGGGCGGAAGAAACGGCGATAGTACCAATAGCAATAGTGCCCCTGCCATATCGATGCCTACTATTAAAAAAAACTCATTCCAAGTAAACCGAATATTTTATACATTTCGCTATTCAATTTACGTCATATACGCTTTGTAGGTGGATAAAAAAGTCGAAGATAGTGTGTTGACTAAAATAACTGACTGTGATGACGAAAGTGATGATGAGAAATTGCCTTTTCAACCGATTTCTTGGCAAAATAAGCTACAAAAACCTAGTAAGTTGTGGTTATGAACGTATTGCTCAATATGATTTAATGTTCATTTCAGCTCTATTAGAAATTAAGAAGGAAATCGATGATAAAGATGGTGTAACACCATCTTTAAAGAAGCGTAAGTATGTTAGGAACGCTTTTAGAATTTTATTTATAACAACTTTTTTTAGTGAAATTGGACCCAGATCTTGATAACAACAATTCATCTTTAGCTCTAATCAATGAATATTATAAAGAAGATAATTTCAATAACGATCAGCCATCGATTTCCCTATGGGGTGTAAGTATTTACACAATATTACATCACTTTTTTAAAATTCCCTTTCCTCCTTATTTTTCTACAACAATTTAGATAATAATCACCTAAATTTAATGCTAATATATTCGCACAATAACTCATTAACTAATTCGTTCCCATTTTATTAATTACCTGAAAATTATTCTTATTGTATTCAAACTGAATTTTTGCGCCGCCATAACAGCAACCTTGTCCTTATTTCTCGAACAATGTTTTTCAGTTGCCCGACTCTTTCGCTGGGAAAGGCTTGAGCGATGATCCTAACTGCAAAAAATTATTCGATTACTGCCTAGGCGATATGCTGGAAGGGCAAATCGGTAAAATAGTATTGAGGAAGTCCGGACGTATGGAAGTTCACATAGGAAATATGAGCTACGAATTGGAACCGGAGGCAACCGAGGCTTATAAAGAGGTGAATATTTCGAAAGCGCTATCTTCTGTTAATTACTTATTTTCAATCGATGCAGTTTATTAAACGCGATAAAAATTTATTACATTGGCACATCTGTTCGAAGCAATGTAATATTTTGATAACAGGATGAAACACAAATGTGCTATTGACTTTGCTTGCCGGGGAAATAAATAAAACAATTAATGAAATTTTATTGAAGTTGAAAAATATAGCACTGTTTGTAGACATGAAAACTATGTGTTTTATGCAGTTTGTTATCATTTCATTATTACCAACTTTACTTAGTATTTCTGAAAAATACGATAAAAACGTTAGAATTTGCTGATACATAAATTATGAGGTGCTGATAAATATTTCCACGTTATTTGTTGAAAATTGTGCACATGTTTTCGTCGTCGATTTCTAAAATATTTCTAAAATTTATCTTTTTCAGGATATAATTTCATTAGAAACTCAGGAAAACGAGCGCATCAACGCAGCTATTCTAGGAAATATAAAAAATAGATATTTTTTATCTCCGAATTGGGATAAACTACTTTTATAACGTTCAACTGCCTTAAATTTGTGATGCCTAATGGCTTGTTAAAATAACGTTTTATAGCTTCAATGATATTGTGATAATACTACTTTATACCTCCCATACAATTATACTTTGTTAATAAACTATTCCTGCTTAATAAATTATGGTTTTAATTGGTATAAGTTTAAATTTCTAATTGTAAGTACTTTTAAACCTATATAATCCCAAATATCTACCGGTGGCCGGTAGCATTACGTTTTCTATTAAATATTGCATCGGCTAGAAACACTAAAATAGTTCAACGACCTTTACACACATTCTGTATCAAGGACGGTAATGAATTTTATTTTTACAATAAAATACTAAACTGAATTCGTATTACCCGCGCGATTTTCGATTTGGACACATCCACTCGACCAATTGGATACGCATTTAGTGTACCAGAGGCGGAACTTGCATTTTTCACTAACACCAATTTCAAAAATTATTTTTACTTGATTGACAGTTAATATGACATGTGACAGTTGTTGTGAGTAGGCGATTAATTTATTACTTTATTAATTGATGTTGTATTTTCGTGGTTACTATTTTGTATCGAAAAGTGGTTATCAAATGATATTTAATTAACGAATAAATATATTATTTTTTTCATAATTTTAGGAAATTGTCACAAAACTAGTAAATATTGACAATTTTGACATTGACATAAAACGAAAATGGCCCTATTGAGTAGAGATTAATCAAGTTGAATAAGGAATAATGATGCAAAGATATTTAAAATAATAAATGTACCTTTAATATAATATAATGGTACGCCTATGGTATTAGACAGAAGGAACCGAAAAGTGACGATAGACGTCGATGGCGTTGATCGAAAGAAAGCGGCGCGAGCGCCCCCTCCGCATCTATGTTGTGCCCCCTACTACAAAACTTGACAATTGTGGCTGGAAATATGGCTGTAAAGTAACCAATGACCCTTTGTTTGAATCGCAATGTTTTCGAACGAAAAACACAATAGAAATAATTAAAGGGCAAGCAGATAGTACAAATAGAAAAATTTAGTATGTGTGTGATTCAAGAATCGTAAGTGTATCAGTTTTAATGGTGTGGGGTAAATCGACGACTAATTTTCGAAGAAGCGAAAGGGGTGAAGTGGTGAATATCGAGAGTGCTATATAGAAGAAGAGTCGATAGTAGTTTAAATGGCCTGTTGATGTATTCACGACCACGTTGTTCAACGGGTACGGGAGCTCGTGTTCGCTCTAATGGTTGGCCATCAACCTCTTGAAGAGTCAGCATTGCCCTAGAGATGTCTAGTGCTGTAGTTGTAAATTCTGTAAAAATGCCGATGTCGCGAACACAGTTATTTCCAGTTTCATCTCATTCATACATCCAAGAAGGCGGCGGTGGTAGTTTGCCACCCTTAAATAAAGGATCTTTGAAAGAACAGAGTCCCCCGGCCGCTTCGACAGCTTCGTCGGCTAATTCTGCTGGTCTTCCAGAGCTTTCCGTCGGGGGTTCGTGCGTTTTGCAATGCATGCAATCTCACATGGTTAGAGGGGCGCCTTTAACACAAGTCAAACCGACCGTTCCTGTATCTACGGCCGAGTGTAAACCGAAAACAATGGTTGCTACACCGGAACAAGTAATGAAGCTCTACATGAATAAGCTCACGCCGTACGAACATCACGAAATTTTTAATTATCCGCAAATCTATTTTATTGGTGCCAATGCTAAGAAAAGGCCCGGTATCATTGGTAATCCGAATAACTGTGATTATGATAACGATCAGGGCTCATACATTCACATTCCACATGACCATGTAGCCTATAGATATGAAGTTCTTAAAGTGATAGGTAAAGGCTCCTTTGGACAGGTGGTTAAGGCTTATGATCACAAACATCATATGCATGTCGCACTGAAGATGGTCAGGAACGAGAAGAGATTTCACAGACAGGCCCAAGAAGAAGTCCGCATATTAGAGCATTTGAGGAAACAGGACAAAGACAACACCATGAATATAATTCACATGTTAGATTCGTTCACGTTTAGAAATCACATGTGCATCACGTTCGAACTGCTTTCCATAAATCTCTACGAACTTATAAAAAAGAACAAATTTCAGGGATTTAGTTTGCAACTTGTTAGAAAATTTAGCCATTCACTACTACAATGTTTAGATGCCCTTAATAAAAACAAAATCATTCATTGTGATATGAAACCTGAAAACGTATTACTCAAACAACAAGGCAGAAGTGGCTTAAAGGTAAGAAAATATTCACATTTATTAACTCTTTATATTTCTTATGAATTATCAGAGAATTGTTTTCGTTGCTACTGATAAAAAATACCTATTTATCATTCATAAAATGACAGTTACCAATAGCCTTAATTAAAAGTTGATATGATCGAAGCTTTATCTAGTCTAGACCCAAAAGTGCTAACTTTCTAATATCCATCCATTTCACATTGTAAATAAATACATAATCAATTTCCAGAAAGAGAATTCGTTTATTTACAACGCCATATATGAATATGTTAACAACAGATAAATCTGATAAGAACATCCATCTGCACTATTAAATGTATTGATGTAAACAAAAACAAATTTAATTCGCTTTTAATTAATTTTGCCTGACAGAAGGTAAATCACCTTATGATGAATTAAAAGAGCTAAAGCAATGCCAATACTCGTTGAATTTTCAAATAAAAATTACTCGAAGCATTTTTTCCAATATGCATTATGGCTGGAATTGTGGAATCTAACCCGTTCTTACGAATAAATTTTTTTTTTCATTAAAACGTGCCATTATAATAGTATCACAGTCTAACTATTTCATTAAATGAATATAACAGCCAAAGAAATGCTATCATAATTCCTTAGGTACTAGTATTTTTATATAACTGATGAAAGATAAACTATACCAGTGAAATTCATTTTAGCAGGCAAAATTACTATTTTGAACTATTACGTAGAATAATTGTTATGTCACTTGTCTTCATTTAACTGTGAATAGGTATATCAGTTGTTTCAAAATTGTATTATATTTTATATTGGAACCTATTGTCTGTAATTATGTAACGCTGTTATATCTGGTTTACTCAATATAGGTACCCCTATACAAAGCGTAATTGCACTTTTACATTAACATACATTTATTGGAATTAATAAGTTTCATGGTCATGTAAAATATTCTATTACCACCTTTTTCTGAATCAAATAATCTCCCATTACATGAATGATAATGTATGTATAATCAGGTACTAGGAAGAAAGTTATTAATTATTATTGAAACTTATTAAGCATCATAAAAGTCAAGACTAATAATATTACTTTTAATTATTCAGTAAGTCTACGTAAGCAATTTAATGAGAAATTTTATAATTACTTAAAGATTGGTGGATAATAAAACTGGAAATTTCACCTAAAAGATAGTTTTTTTACTACCAAGGTGCATGCATTTTCTCTACGCATCACTAATTTCGTGAATTTATAATAAAATTATTGTTTATGCTGTTCATTATAAAAAAAAAACAAATTAATCATATTTGTTTAGGAAAATATTGTATTCGATGAACACTTGTAATTGATAGCAATAATTTTGCGTAATTTTCTACAATTATCCCATAAAATTTAATTAGACTTAATTTTAAACGAAATAAATGGATCTATATATACACTAATCAATAATCACAATCTAAATAAATTTGATATCATAAATTATTTTGCAAATTTCTTTATGCATTCGACCTTGATTGTATCATAACGGCATTTCTAATAATCTTAACAACAAATTCATATAAATTCAAAATATCTCAAAGATAAATATGAAATTTTCTCATACAATGAAAAGTAGTTTAAAAAACTGGTAAACTTTATTGCGCTCGTTGTTATAAAAACTAAATTTCTGGGTACAACAATAACGCATTTGAATGCAATCATTACAGGCAATTATGACATTGGAAACAGTCGAGACATTGGTAATTTTCATTCATTCATAAAATATAATGCCTATTTAAAACTCTCTAGGTTTTTAAGTCGGTTTCGTAATGATATTTCGCTATATACCCTCCCGTTATTTTCTCCAATTCCTCTGTTGCAGGTAATCGATTTCGGTTCGTCCTGCTACGAGCAAAACCGCGTCTACACCTACATCCAGTCGCGGTTCTACCGAGCACCGGAGGTCATACTCGGCGCCCGCTACGGCATGCCCATCGACATGTGGTCGTTGGGCTGCATCCTGGCCGAGCTCCTGACCGGCTTCCCTCTCCTCCCCGGCGAGGACGAGGCCGACCAACTGGCCTGCATCATGGAGCTGCTCGGCCTGCCGCCGCAACGGCTCCTCGACCAATCGAAGCGCGCCAAGAACTTCATCAGCTCCAAGGGCATACCGCGCTACTGCACCTGCTCCACCCTGCCCGACGGCACGGTCGTGCTGAGCGGCGGCCTGAGCAGGCGCGGCAAGCCGCGCGGCCCGCCCGGCTCGAAGGACCTCAAGCGGGCGCTGAAGGGCTGCGACGATCCGCTGTTCCTCGATTTCATACAGCGCTGCCTCGAGTGGGACCCCGACGCCCGCATGACGCCCAGCGCCGCCCTCAGGCACGGCTGGTTGCGGCGGCGGCTGCCGCGGCCGCCCAACGAGAAGGAGCAGGGCAGCGCCGGGATGGCGCGGTCGACGCCGACGGGGCCGAGGACGCCGAAGTCGAGCAGCATATTTTCGAATAATCGCGTCCAGCTTAGCGACGATCGGTCGTCGACATTACATTCGGGAAAATTGCCGCCGGTTACGTAGCCAAACGTAATACTTCCTTAGTACTCTCAATCAGGTTAGATATATTATTTTAGATACCATATCTGAGTATGACTTTTTTTTGTTTAATCGTCTTCAATATATACTAGCTGATCTTTGAGGGGACAGACTAATTAACAGTCTAGACCTATATGGGGAATTTTTAAATATGCCAAATTCTTGTTTCTTCTTAAATCTTCCATTAAAAGGTAATTACTCGTTACTTTTACAATAAGGCTAATGCGAATTACTCCTTTTTACAAACGGTATTTTCTCTTTCATTGATTCACTTCTAAATATATTTTTTATACGGTTGATATAAAAATATTCTTGTAAATTAAACCCTAAAGTAAATCAAACAATCGACTGAACTAATTAATATTAATAGCGAATAAGTAAATTACTTAATGTCCTAATTAAGTACAGTTTAAAATCGCACGTTCACTTTTCGAAAAAAAAAGCTACAGCAATATTCAAAAGTCAGTTAGTATAAATTGTTTGCACACATGACTTAACTTAATAATGAGTGTTTCGGATATGTCCTTAGGCCCAGAGCCTTCTACTTTTCTTCTCTGTGTATGTTGTGATCGATGCGTGTAATTCATTTTTTGTTTTTGGGTCAATTTCTATTTGGAACGCTTATATTGATATAGCGAAAGGAGTTTTCGGATTTTTCAAGTCATTTTGTTGAGCATTGTGATTTTTAAGGGCGAGCCAATTTCTCCTTGATAGGCCTATCACGCAGGGATTTTGAGGCGAAGCCTAATTAGGTTGCAGTTTGTTACAGGATATTTCTTTTTAAAATACTCCTCGACATAGGTGATGTGTTTCGAACCTAAAATGTTCAGCTAGGTTGTATATTTTATTAAAAAAATAGTGTATATCAATAGAAGTAATGAAAAAGAATCCAAATTGGTCTATTAGGAATTGACTAGGTTTTTTAACGGTTTTTGTTTCATGCAAAAAAGTGCAATATAATAAGGTTTTAAAAATTTTAAACCTTTTTTTTATCGATTTTTGTTCACATTTTTTTTGTTGTTCGTGTTTTACTTTACACACAAGATTCACCGATGATTTTATTTATAACTATTTTAATTTTTGATTTGGAAATTATTTTTAAGTAAAGCGGAATTTTCGAAAACAAGATGCTCCACACACCCGCTGTTTACAATATGCAATATTTTTGAAGCATTTTTATAATGACGAATTTATTTTTTTAAAGAGATTGGTACGGTTACAATATCTCCCATGCAATTTCCTTATTTTTAACGCACAAATACGTTCCATCGGTTCCCGATAATCGCTCGATTTTTATTCATTTTAAAGTCCTCCATAAATTTCCCGGATTCCCATTTATTTTAAAATTATTTTCGTCCGCCTGTCACACGTTAAATTACGCAAACAACAGAACAATTCATCGAACTAGACGAATCTAATAATCGAATTTAAAGTGCAGCAAGCTCATAAATAATATCGAGCCTTCCATCACCTGAATTTGCCATGCCTACTGCATTATTTCTCGGGCGTTTATTTTACACAAAAGAGCGCCTGAAGTGATTGAAATCAAGTTTATATTATTTTTAGCGCGCTGTATCTATTTAAGTTGTCCCCTGTACTGATTTGGTGGGCCGTGTATGTATTCTCAATTTATTAATTACGTATACTGACATGCCGTGTATTAATATGTACGCGGTGCTTTAGACATTCGCTGATTATATTTATAAATCCATTTTAACGTTTGAAAAAAATTTCATATCCATTGCGGTTGTTGCAAAAACAAATCGAATCCTTCGAGGATTAGCGAGCCCGCAAAAAATCGTAATCGCATTAATTTTTTTATCTAAATAGTTCGGAAATTCTTTCTTATTTACCTGTCTTCATGACCAACAGAAGAATAATGTTCGATAATGTTGTGACGAAGCAAAACATCGGTAGATAAGCGGTACGTTTCCATTTAGAAATATTTTTTGATAAATTAGTTCGCTACGACGAATTTCATTCGGTAGATAAAGTATAAAAATATCTTCAAAAATACTGGGTAAGGTTTATAAAAAAAATCGGCCGGTGGGTTCCGGGGTAATGTTTTGTCCTAAACGAAATTATGTACTTTTTTGTCATGTTTTACTATTTTATACATGTCACACATGTTATTTAACTGTTTTATAAGTTGCTCAATTCATTTATGTATACAGAAATTCCTATTTTGTTGCGAATTAAATCTCGTTTTTTTTTTTATTTCAAGATTTACACTCGATTCAGGTATTATTCATTTTATTTTTTTGGTACAACGACCGTTCTAATAAATGAAAAGCATGGCCTGAAATTAAATTAATTAGCTAAAAATTAGCTGTAATGTGTTTTTTTTTCTTTTCTCATTTTCCATTCTGTTATTGTCGAAGTGATATGTAGGTTTTATTAAAATAATTTTCGAATTTCACAATGTTTGTAATTCCATTCGATTTTCAATCGCAAGAATTATATCTATAATAATTATTTAAACGAAATTGGATGGAATTAAACAACGATGGGATATTCTAATTTGAGCGTAGCGTTTGATGAAATTAACATTGATTAAAATATCTCATTATTGTGTGCTTGCCTATTTCATTGTTAAATAGTCCTCGATATTAATTTGTGTTGGAGGAATAGCGTAGGAGAAAATAAATTGAGTCAGTAGAGTTCGATATGGATTTTAAACACCATGACACCTTTTTTAATGAAATTAATATTTTTGTAATTACGAAAGAAATATTTAGTGATATAGTCCAATGGAAAATATCAGTTGTAAGATAAGACATTGTTTGCTTAACCGGTCGAAAAGAAAATTATCCTTCCTCAAATATGTATAATTATTTATCATAGACGTCTCTAACTTCATTTAGTTCATGTTGTTTGTAACCTTTTTCGAAATGCAGTTTGCATAGCCCGTGAAACGATTTGTGATAGATCAAAATTCGAATTTGTCATGTGTTTTCAGTTTATGCTTTCTCTTCTGGCTGTGTACAGATAGTGCCTCTAGCTAAAATTACTACTTTTAAGTTGCACTTGTAGGATAAAATTGCGTGAGAACTCCTCTTATTTCAATGTGACTTAAATTTTTTGGTAGCGCGTTCGAAAACAGAGCAAGTCGAAATATTTAAGGAAGAACAAAATAAAAAGAAATCAGTGTTGGAGTCCATTTTGTACATACATGATTGATAATTTTTAAGGATTGACTTGCCGATTTTTACTCGGCTTTTGACTGACACTGGTCGTTGTGATTGATTCCTGAATGATGGACAAATCACAAAATCTTGTGTTACTAATTTTAATGTATTATTAAGCTGATCACATTACTTAAGTTGATAAAATGGGCTACTTGAAGCGCTTAAAAATTGCCCACGAGTTTCCGCTTTCTTGAGTGTTTGTCTAGTAGAAAAGCAATATTTTTTTTTGTTACCCACATTAATAAACAACAAAATCGCTGATTGATTTGTTGTAATATTTTTTTACTTAATTATGTTTGTCATAGAAATTGCGTGATAAGAAAAATATTGTTTCTCTACGTTTAGAATAAAATGTCAGTTAGAATATGATATATTGGTGCTTAAGAGTTTAACAAATTTTTAACTTGTGAATATAATTATTTTCAAATTTTGCAACTGTTTGTATATATTGGTGACATTATAGTTAAAAATTTGTTATAATAGAGTAACAATATATGTGGGTAGTTCAGTACATTTGGTGGATAATGAACCGAATTAATTTTGAGAATTGCCTGTACTGCTTTTGGCTGAATTTAGGGAATATTTTTGTTCTTTGTTGAACTTTGTATACATACATAAATGTAAATGTCAAATTACCAATACGTGATCGGTGAAAACATTTAGCACTATTTTTTAAAATGTAAAAATATTTTAATTTTAGGTAAGTTTTGACTGAAAATATTAGATATATCTCAACAAAAAAACGCACATTATTTTTACTTTTCCCTTCTGCTCATTTTGGTAATCTCATACGTTTCTGTGACATCTCCCATCTTTCAACTTTTTAAGTCATTAAATTGTGATAATCATAGCATGTATTGTTTATTTTTTTTATGATTTCTTCACTTATTTTAATTGTTTTTTGTAAACGGTTTCCGAACTGTCAAATTTCGGAGACCGTTTTTGATTCTTTAAACAAAAAATTGGTATAATATGGACTAGTAAGTTTTAAGAATGAAGTAAGTACATTGTAAGCTTAAAAACAATTACACTGTTTTAAACTTTACCTCTTTGCCTAAAACTAATTTACGTCTGGTCTGAATGTAAAGAATGGTAAAGGCTGTGTATATGTATAAGTATATACTCATTTTTTAATAAATAATTAATTGAGCTTCTACAGACTTGAATGTTTCACTGCCATTTGTTCATGACTTAAAGATGCATTTAGATGAAAAAGAAATAAATAACTGTTTTTTGGCTTATAGTGTAATAAAAACACTGCGTGAAAATGGTTTTGATTTTCTGTGATTTTTTCCATCTACATCAGCTAGCTGAAATTTACTCCTAGTCGTTCTAGACATAATTGCACAGTATTTTAATTTTATTTGACATTAATTTACCAAACCAAATATTTTAATTATTATTTAATATTTAATTATTGCATTTTCGTGTTTGCGTGTTCGCCATTTAGAAGGGACATCGTCAATGAACTGCGGTTGAATAAAACGTTTCAAAATTTCGAGATAATTACAGAAAATTGATGTTGCTTTTGATGGTTGAACATTTATCGAATTATTATGAGATGTATCATGAACGTATCTTAAGATGTGTATATCACCATATCGGAATTATATATCTGAATTTGAATCCAATTACAATTATTGAACGATAGATGGACCATTTTGACATGTACGTAGTGCATTTTCATGCAACAGTTTTCTAATGTTTTTTTTTTTAAATCGGAATTTAGGGCAGAATTTAATGCAATATTTCACGTCCCACATGCATTTGGAGTACGCTCAAAAGCGTATTTCAAAGTACAATCAATGTTGAAGAGTTTATAGGATATTATTGATATCCTTGAATGAATTTCTACATTTTATCTTTGTAAAACTCGATGAATGCTGAAACTAACCCAAGTACTTAAAATTTCAAAAAAATCATTTGATTCAGATTTTTAAATGAATTCTTGGGTGAGTTTCGCCGTTTAGATGTCAGAATTTTTAACAGTACGTTAATATTGAGGTGTATACATTTTAGTTGAATTTAGTATTTAAGAAAGTAGCATTTAGATGTAATTTTTGGGGCCTTTTGCGCTCTTTTTTTGTACATAACGATATGGCCCCATACTGCCGATTGCTGCAAGAAGGGCTTGATCTCTTTATTGTTACTTATTTTTTACAATGGAAGCTCCTAATTTAATAAAAAAATCTAGACATTTTAGTTGAGATTCTTATCAAAATGCAAGAACACTTATCTGCTAAGTTTAACTAACTGTTTCATTCTAGCAATGATGTGATTGTATGTAATATTAAGTCATGTTTATATATCATACTAATAGAATTTAAATAAAATCTCTCTTTATTATTAGGTTTTATTTATTTACTCCGTGTCCACACTTCGTTATTTTTAACTATTTTTAATGTTTTCATTGGCTATAATAAAAATATGTTAATGAAAAAAATATTTTGCGCGTTGTGGTATTCAAAAAGAAAAGATCAATGATTTCTCGAATTCTGATTACAACTCGTGCATTTCATGTTTATAGATTTTCTCTAAAAATATCACAGAAGTTTTTTCCGGAATTTGCGTCATAAGACTAATGTAAAATTTAGTTGATAATTTGGGCGTTTATTCCACGATGATTGGCAGTAAATAAGTAATTTCAATACACTGTGTTTTTTAAATGAACGTTGGAATACAGCTCATGAAATAACATATGGCCTCTTTTTATGGGGACTCGCTCAATTTTTGATGGGCAAACTGAATATTTATATTAAAAAAATTATTAATAAACTAGTAAATTAATTTTCTAACTTACCTTATTCAAATTATATATTCACTAATAAATTTAATAACAAATATTGCTCCATACTGTTAAAATGGGCATTACAGTTTAAAATTAAATTTTTGTCAGGTGACATGCGCCGTAAGGCATAATATAGTAAACATAAAATTAAAAAAGTCACTAGCTAAGTCTAGTAATATTTTAGGGACATTACGAGAAATTAATAAAACGTAAAACGATGGTGTTTTCATATTTTTTATTGACAAAAGTAAATACATGTTTATAGCACAGCTGCTGAAATAAAAATACAAGTAGTAAGCACCAGACAGGGTATGATTAGATTTATTAAAATTCATTATATTAAGACACTGGAAAAATTAATCCTTACAGTGATGTATTTACAAATTCAAGGCCTCTTATCACGATGTAGAATGCATCAAATTCTACTCAATATATTGATATGTTAATATTGTCGTCATTTAGATAGTACTATAAGTTTACATACATTTTACATAAATATCTTATTTTTAGTTCAAAATTTACTATACACGTGCACATCCTTCATTTTCCTAAAATCGAAGACAAAATTTTTAAATCATCAATGAATGACACTTTTGGAAGACAACTTATATCGTTAAAACAAAAAAAAAGAATTTAATTGAAGAAATGGAATGATTAGGGAACAATAATATTAAATGAAAAAATTATAAGTTTAAAAAAGTATGATACATTAAGTAAAAAAATAATTTATTTTGTCCGCAATTTTTTATAATATTCGATGTATTTTTTATTTTGGTAACTTAACCAGCGTAATTAAAAAAAACAACCCCATTTTTGGTGCTTATGTCGTATAAAAATTATCAAAGTACACAATAATTTTTTTTAAAACAGCATGTTTGCAAAATTCTTAGTGACTAAAATATATACTTTTTTTATAAAACGTAATTTTTCTTTTTTTACAAAATATATTCATTTCTGTATACAAAAAAATAAAAAATCGTTTCCATAAACTTTGCATCGATGTATAAATAAAAAAAATGAAAAATGCAAAGTTTATGGTTGTTGAAATTAAAATTACACAATTAAATATTGAAGTTTCCAAAATAAAAATACTTTAGAAAGTCAATCAGTTAATTTCCAATGTGGTTCAAATATACAAAAATTTGGTAGCTGTACTGGATACATCACAATATTTACCTTAACAGCAAAAAAAGCACAATTAATATTATATTTTTATGATAGTCTCCTAAATTAACTATTTTCAAATTTATACAAAATTATAGTCCTATTATTAAGAATTATAAGTGTTAGTAATATCAATAACGGTATTAATACTTGAAGTCGATCTTTAACGAAACAACTTTTATTAATTACATAATTAATACTACGTTTAAATGCTAGAAATATTATGGTGTATCCTTTAAAAATAAAGATTTTATTTACAATATACAACAATCCCAACACAAGTCTTATCCGAGACTTTTACTTGTGATAAAAAATCATTAAAGCAGTTATTTTTTTTTGAAAATGTATAAACTTTTTCTGCAAATTTATCCACAACATATCACATATGATATTTTATCAAAATTTAAATATATATATTTAGCACCTATGGAGCCAATGGCACGAAATGCATATTATATATCCTCACAGCCAAAATGCTTACAAATTTCATTTTTCAAATACTGACTCTAAAAGAACTTATATAATTTACGAATGTATTAATCTTTAAAATGGCCTTAATAGGTGCTACATAAGAAAAATAAAAAATTCAAATGACTTGCTTCAAATCCATCATTACCATACTCCATTCGTTCATCGAAACAACGAAGATAAATAAATCGATTCATAAAATCTGAAGTCAATTGATCATCTCGAGATTATTTACAATATAAATACAATGAAAAATATACATACATCTGTAAACATATACTGGGAATCAGTTCAAAAATTTTCTGCATTTTCGAGAGCCGCACGTGCAGGGAATCTTGTCCTCTTCGAACGGGAACTTGTAATCGTAAGTCAACTCTTCGCCGCTCAATATTCTCCTCAGCGCGAAAATTATAATGTGCTTGTGACCCAAAATCTCCACCACCCTCGAATAGCAATTCGGCTAAAACGATAACTTTCAGTACAAAAGAAATTATAAAGACCTCACATCGCTTACATCGCACGAATGGTTGATAAATCTAGCTGCATTTCCTCTCATTGTAGCATCAACGACGAAATTATCATCTACGCGGAACATGTAGCATCCGATCCCTTTGGAATTGTAGTATTTCTCGCGTTTATCCGTCAGTATAGATCGTATCACCTGCAAAACAATACGATTAGTATTTAGAACTTTACACGATTTTACAACTCACCTCTCCCGCGTATTCTATAACCATCTCGCCGGCTTCGATGTCGCGCAGACAAAACAACCCTCTACCGTGGATCAGCGACCTGTAGACTCCCACGGAATACTTCGAAGTCAGCTTCAACTGTCGAAACTTCATAGCCATCGGCAAGTTCACCACTCTCCTGCAAAACACTCGCTAATTTACTCAAACCCTCGAAACGCCAACGAGATCTCTCACCTCGGCAGCAACTCCAGCGCGTCGAGCGATATCTCCTCCGGCTGGCGGTGCTTCGACGACAGCCAGCCGAACATGTCGAACGGCTCGTGGGTCTTGCTCTCGAAGGGGGCGCAGCGGACGGCGCCGTGCGCGTGGTCCTGCGCCAGGTCGTTGTCGGTGTCGCTCGGGTGCGGCGGGAAGCCGAAGATCGACTTGTACTTGGCGCACTTGGCGGCGCCGGGCAGCTGCTCGACGAGGTACTTGGAGCCGGTCGATTTGAGGCCGAGCACCTGGACGGAGTTGAAGACGCCGCCGCCGTGGACGGGCAGCGGCGGCATGTTGTGGGCCGCGCGGGCCGTTTGCACGGCGTCCAGCAGCTTCGACCAGAGGTCCGAGATGGACGAGGAGGAGTACTTGTAGCCGTCTTGGTTTTCCATGGTGTAGAGGATCGAGCTGGGGCTCTCGGCGTCTTTCCTGGGAGCCTTCGGGAGGTCGTCGAGCTTGTCCTTGTCCTCTTTGATTGGTTTTTCTGGCGAGTACGGCTGGTTCTGGATGTAGCAGGTCGATTTTATCGGTTTCAACGGCGCTACTTGTATGGGTTGTTTCGAAACGAAATTCGTGCTGATTTTGTATGTGCCGTCTTGAGCTTGTTTCTGGAATACTAGTTTGAGAGATGTGTCGATTTTGGGATCTTCCGGTATGGAAATTTCTACTGCTTTTTCTTCGAATGGCTCCTCCGTTTGTTCCGTTTGTACCGGTTTGATTTTTTCGATCTTGTCTATAAAAGTTTCGGGCGTTTCAACTTTATCATCTTTCAAATCCTCTTGCTTTTTCTTCGCCAGTAAATGCGTGTATTCCGGCCTGATGATTTTAGATTCGACGATTTTAATTTTCTTGTTCAGGTCAATTTTATTTAGCGACTTCGCGATCGGTTTGAGATTGTTCATTTTAATCTCGTATATCTTCTGCGCTTGGATGGGTTTCTTTTTCTCTTCGGGAAAGAAGAGCTTTTCGTCGTCGAAGATGCTTTTCTTGTATTCTTTAACGTTGTTGGTAGGCATCGGCAGGACTCTGCTCATCGGCCGGCTGGACACGGACGTGGGAGGTTTGGGAATAGGAGTCACGATGTTCGTCGGGATCCTTTGCTCGGACACGAAAGGCGCAGTCGGAAGAGAAATGCTGTGCGCGTTCAAAGAATTAACGACGGGCTTGTGTGATGCTTGCGAGTAGCTCAGTTGCTGGAGTTGTGATGGTTTCACTTGCAGTTGGGTTTGCGATGATTTGACGTCCAGTTTTTGAGGCAACACGTTATTTACAGTGTTTATTTTCACTGGAATGGTTTGTTGGATTTGTTCGGCGGGTGTTATGATCATCTGGGCTTGTGTGGTGGAAGGTTGTTGATGTTGATTGGTAATAAGTATCTCCTGGTGGTTCACAGGCTTCGGTGATTGCGTGTTGATTAAATGCGAGCTGACTGGCTGTGCGTTTATGATCGATGGAGAATTTAGCACTGGCTGAGATGTTACTAGCGGTTGCGAGTTAACGACGGGTTGGGAACTGACGATGTGCTGCGAATTTACCATGGACTGCGAATTGACCAAAGGCTGTTGGTTGACGATTTGTTGCGAATTCACCAAAGGCTGCGAGTTAACTATCTGCCCTGGGTTAACTAACACAAAGCTGTTCGAAGACACGTCCAGTACAGGTTCCAATTTACTCGTTTGGAACACTTGAGTAGTCGTGGAGTAGCTGCTGTTTGCTGTAAGAACGCCAGGCATCGTTGTGGGTAAGAACTGTTGAGACTGCATCACTGTATTCTGCACAATCGTTTCGAAGCCGTAGTAAACTGGTTGAACGGTTTGTTGTTGAGACCAGCCTAATGTTCCGTTGCTATCCACTACCAGTTGATTCTCGACCCTCGGTTGTTGAATATACATCGTCTGTGGTAATCCAGGGACTATACTGATGATGTTGTTGTCGGGCTGAATTTGTACTATAGACTGAGCGGGTACGGTGCTCATCTGAGGAGTAATAGTCGCAACGTATTGTACATTCTGTCCGGGCTGCTGGAACGTATCGACAAATGCTGGAACGTAGTTCGTGGACGGCAAGTGTTGCACCAGCATTTGCCCGGATGAACCTTGCGAAGGAAGAATAATAGTTTCTTCTTCGAAGTGAGATCTCTTAGCTGCTAGCGTCCTACTTCGAGACTTGGTCTTGAACGTCCTTTGAGCCACTATAGACGGCTTGGCAACTTGCTTCACCCATTGAGTTCCGGGCACGTTAACGGTCTGCAATACTGGATTGGTTGTTAATAGTTTCCCGTTCAGGGTGAATTGGTTTTGCGAGCCCACGTTCAATATAGTGTTGTTTAATGGAACCGATTGGATCGTCACCGATTGTGCTTGGTGAAAATCGATCGGTTGCTGAATGGGAGTTTGGTGATTAATTTGATTCAGCGTGATAGAATTGGTTGTTTGGACGGGATTTAGAGAAATAGACCCGCTTGGATTTATAGACAAAACTTGGTTACCGGAATACGTAGAGGTAGGATTCACTTGAATGTTGTTCTGTTGCAATGTAATCGGTTGGTTGACGCATAAAGGCACGCTTTGATTAACACAAAATTGAGGCGGAGTCGCATGCAAAGAAAGCGATGGTTCGCTCATAATCGGTTGGTTTATAGAGTAAGTTTGCTCCTGGTGGGAATTCTCAATAGTAATCGGCGTCACCGAGTTCACGGGCAGCGCCTGTAGCAAAGATTTCTGCTCCAAAGTGTGGTTTATATTCGGAATCATCATGTCAGAATGTTGCGGTACAGTTACCACCTCCGAAGTGGATTTAGAGGCGACGAAACTGTTCAATACTGACGTGTGAATTTCGCTCTGGTAGGATTCAAACGACGAGATTACAACAGGTTCCGCGACGTCCACGACGACCTGATTATCAACGATTGTCGCGTTGGGGTTTATATAAGTAGCCACCATTTCCTGTTCGGCGTTCATTTCCGAATCGCTTTCACTGGTACAAAGTATCTCGCACGAATCTAAATGCCGCTTGTAGCTGGCTTGAGTTCTGTAAGTAGATTGGCATTTATCACAAGTCACTGGTTCCTCGGATATGTACGTGCCCCAAGGATTCGTTGAAGATAATTCGGTGGGTGATCCGCATTCGCTCGAGCTGCTGTCGTCCAAGTTACCGTCCACTTGTAGTAACTGGTAAATAACGTTGTTTTCTCTGGAGGTAGCCATTTTGCGCCTCTTAATGGCCGGCGAGAGAGAACTGTCCAGTTTGCAGCTCAACGTTAGGCTGCAAGTTTTTGGATTCGGTCGCGATTTGTTTTTTCTCAAGTCCGCGTTGACGTCGTCTTCTTCCACGTCCGCCTTTTTATAATCGTCGGCGCTGTTCAAATCCGTTTTGTACTCGACTAGATCGTCGTAATTAAATTTCGGAAATATGTCTTGTACTGAAATCCCGTCGAGGAGATCGTGAGGCAATTCCTCTAAGATTGCATCGGTGAGTTCCGGCGATAGAATGTCGGCGCCATTTTGTTGCTCTTCGTCGTCTTCGGAGTCGGTATCGGAACCTTTTTTGTCTACGTCTCTCTGCCACTGGGCAATGTCTCGAAGAATCCTATCGACCGTTTGTTTGTTCAGCGAATGATCCACAGTGAAGTTCTTATCGATGACGAGGGTGTTGTTGTTGAAATTTTTCACTGAAGTTGTTATGGTGTAGGGAACTAATTTCCAAGGCTCCGCAGTCGACCAGAACATTCGAGTACAAACTAAACCGACGGGAATCAGAACTTCAGCCGTGTCCGATACGACCGGGTCGATTTTCCCCAAATTTTTCACGCAAAGCGAGCCGATCATGTAAGTCGCTTTGTTTATTTCCGCGTACCTCTTCCTCTTCTGGTCGATCTCCACGAACACGGATCTGTCGATTTCGAAATCCTTGTTGTTGGTGATGAGATGGCTCTTCTTGGGTAGTTCGTGGTTCGAGCAGTACACGGTCTTGTCGTGCATGAACTTCAGATTGGTCGTTCTGGCGCAGGGAAAGTGAAACGTTTCGTGACAGCCCTTGTAGCAGCAACCTACGCTGGCCCCCTTCTGTTTGCACTGAGCGCACCGGATCATCCGTCCTCTGTTCAAGGCGTTCTGGACGTTTCTGAGCGATCCGTCGATTTCTTCGTACACCTCGGAGGACCAGAGGGCGCAGTTGGCGTGCACCCATTCGTTGAAGCCGCAATAGAGCAGCCTCGATTCCATGTAGCACAAGCCGTCTCCCACGCCCTTGCAGAAACTGCAAAGCCTCGAATCCACGACTAATGACGACACGTTGAAATAGGGCTTCTCTTCCAAGGGATCTTGGGATTCGTCGTTCGGATCGATTTCTAATACTTCGGAAAATTCGTCGCTGGATGTTTGTTGGTACCAAGGAAACACGTCGTGGAAGATTGACTGGTATATTTTTAAAAGCTGCTCCGATTTCGCTAGTCTCAGGGATTCTTCGATTTCTTTATTGAACTCCCTGATGGAACTGTATTCGTTAGAAATTAGCTTGTTTTTAACGTCGACGAGTGACAATGTGTTCGAGGCTTTGCTTAAGCTCGCTTCGTACTTTTCATTCTCTTCAAACGAGTAAATTTTGTTAATATCTATCAAATCCGTACTACAATTATTGTTGTCTATATCAGTGTCTTCAGTAAATTGCAACTTTCTCGCGTTACTAATGGCTTTACTGGATGGAAGAGAATTATTCAGAGGGCTCCACCACAAGTTCCTCGCCGTCTTATTTTTACTGAGAAGCCGTAATATTTGATTAAAACTCGATTTCATTTCGTTATTGATGGCCTTTCGCCAATATGGCGAGGGGTTCTTGCAACACGAAGGACAAATATACTCTACAGATTCGGGAAGTACACTTAATATTTGATACTGCTCTTCAGTAAGATGTTCGCATTTCGCGTGGACCCATTTACAGCACTTTGAGCATTCCATCATCTGAAAAAGCGGCAATTAATTATGAGATTAATCGGACGAGGAAAGTTTATAATACTCACTTTTGAACAACATTCATTATCGTCGTAACAATGTTGACAAACCGAACAAAAGTTTCCCTTTTTCCTCAATTTAAAGCATGATATACACAACGGTAAGTTCCCGACGAATTTCGTTATATTCGAACTGCCGCAGCTCTTACATTTTAAACACTTCGAACAAACCTGTAAAAAAACAATAAGAAATTTTCATGGCGGGTTTTAAAAAACGCAATAGCACTTACGACGGGTTTATCCTCGCTGTTCCACTTGCTGTTGAAACATTCGGGATGGTAGGCTTTCAAGCACTTCTGGCAGCTGATCTTCTTCCTATCGACCTTGTTGCATTCGCTGCAAGCGGTGCACCTCGGGCATATCCACGTGTAATACTGGTCGCCTTTGTCGATAGGGAGCGCCTGGGCCTGCTCCAAGCAAAACGGGTGATAGGGCTCGCAGCAAGCGGAGCAGTAGAGCATCGTCTCCTTTCCGCCGCTACCGCATAGGAAACATATCGATGACATGGTGAATTGCTCAGATCCGATTATGCAAAAGCCGTTTTGGCAGACTACTTCGGAATCGTAGCCGTCCCAGTAGTCCACCAGGATACCGTGCTGTGGGTCTATGAGATTCTTTTTCCTCTCTGGAATTTTCGGCTAAAAACGAACGAGTGCATGTTAGCGTCTTAGACAATCGTAGGGTTAATTGCTGGATTTTAATAGAAATCGTGGAATTAATAATTAAAAAAAAAAAATAAATTGGATTATATGAAAAAAACTAAGGACGTAAACCTTAGTGCAAATTAATCATCGCCTGGGGTTTTTTTTAACGTTTAGAGTACATTAAACTCAAAACTAGAATAGCCAAGGTCAAGAAATGACATCACCTATACATGTATAATACAATTCATATGAAAATAAATTATATATCTGAATTGAGTAAGTTTAAATAAATTTTAGTGCCAATACTAATGTATCTTTTTATAACAAAACTTTACTCGGACGAATTAAAAATAAAATAATGGAACATGAAAATTCGAAATATCGAGGAATCTATAAATAACAGCCCAAAAATCAAAACGAGGTTGTTACAATTGAGTAACTCGTTCCAAATAAAATTTGAATAGGTAAACCTATTTTGCAATCAAAGGTTATTATTAATTTAACCTAATGGATTTTATAATAGATAAAAATCATAAATGCCACATTACCTCTATATTAAAACTCAGCGTACTAGAAGACGAATGTCTATAAAGCTTCTCCCTTCTGCTTGCTAAATCCAACGTATCACTACTCGATGTTTTAGATGTCCTATCACTACAACTTGATTCCGCTTCACTAGGAATTGAGTCACATTTAGGAACGGTTAATTTAACTTCACTAAAGTTTTTATCACCGGCCGGCTTGTCCTCGGCCGGTTTAATATCAATTACTTGTTCCTGGTTATCACATCTTTTCTCTTTTTCCCCTTCAGGAAACGTAGCTATCGGCTGACCTAATACTATAGAAGCACTGCGGCACACGTGTTTCACCCTGGGCCCTTTGAAATCAATCTTCTGCCTCTTTATGTCGGAATTAGCAGCCAAAGGGGTCGAGGCAGATTGGGCCTTGGGATTCTTAAACCTTACAGGTCGTTGCTTAAGAGTCGTTGTTTCTTGAGGCTGGTCAATGACTAATTTCGTTTCTACGTTCGCTTGCCACAAAGACGTCGATTGGTTGTTGCTCAACGCGATGTCCAGGCCTTGCATGTTCTTGGGTAACATGAGGTTAAGGCCTTGCTTGAGCGACGGGGGTATATGGAACGCTCTAAGGCACAGTTTCAACCAACAAGCCGGGCACCTGGCCCGGTATGGGCATTTAGTAAGCTTCCACTGTTGGTTCCTCGTTATCGAAGAAATGTGGCACGTTCCCTGGCCCTTTACGCAATTCAGGGTGATTTGGTTGCTTTTGTTACCGCAAGCCTGCCTTTTTATCATCTTTGCGATGAATTTTCTACACGATTCGCAACTGTAAATGTTGAATTTCCTCGCTTGTTTCAGGAATCTGTAGAACCTTACGGCTCCGCATACGCCACATGTTACGGCACCTGAAGAAAATATTTCAGTAATGAAACAGTTATTATAACACGGAATCATAAATCACTCAACTATTAGATTGATTGCTATTATATTTATAAAATTAAAATGTTTATGAAGTATTACAAGCAAAACTAACCTGGTGATGATGTTGATTTTGTTGAAAATGGTCCTTGCAACCCAATAGGATTAGGCAATTTAAGCCTCGCTTGACGAAGAACCACTCTGTGACCATTTGTAAATGTTGTCTTATCATTATCACTACTGAAGCTGCCAGATTCAATAAATTTAGATGACAGTTTGGATTTGTCATCTTCGGAATTGCCACAATGCCTTTTGACGATGTTAACCTTCTTCTTTAAGGTCACAGTGTTGTCTATATCACTGATAAATCTTTTATTGGGCTTTATTACTCGAGACGAATGTACACTTCTCGTTGGAAGAACAAATTTACCGACTAAATTTGTGGCTTCTTTTGTTACTTTTCCTCGGCAAGGAGTGTTATAACCGTGTACACCTTTTCTGGATAAACTTGCTCTTGAAGTTTTGTTTAATTTAGTTTTCACCGAGGCTTTGGTACACATTTTTGACAACAAACCCCTATTGTTTACATTTTTACCCCTTAAAGAAGTTTGCAGCTTCCTAGTCAGTCTTCTTCTGATTGAAACATTTTTGTTTACAGTGTTTTCTGTAGGTGCACTTTCACTATCACTTTCTGACAAATCTTCATCCTACGAGAAAGAACGATGAAAAATAACATAAATGAACTAATTCGAACTAGAAAACCTTGATATTTACTCGAAAGAAAACAAAATGAATAAAATTATAAATATTTACCTGTTTATTTTCAACAAGAGAATCAACTGTCACAGAATTACTGCATTCTGTATTTGATATTTCTCCTGTTGGTGGAAGAACATTTACCCTTTTCCTGTGTATGTGTTTGGAAGGTTTTCCAGGAAATTTTGATCGACCCATTTCTATGTTCTTTAAAGTTTACATTTTATTGTTATATTAATTTACTTTCAACGCATCACGCATACTTCCCGAAAGTAATACCAAAACGGTGTGTCGATAAAGTAGAAAACTAAATGACAAATGACAACAATGACAAAACAAAATGTCACTTTGGGAAATTTTTAAGTTATTTATCGAATGGAATTTAAACGAAAATGCATTTTTATCGAGTTATTCACAATTTACTGTGTACGTTTATCAAATATCTTCACATTTTAACTAAAATAATTACGGAATGTAGGAAAAAATAGTTAGTTGGTAAGTTTTTATCTCCTGCTTTAGCTCAATAGATGGCGCGACAAACAAAGGCCTGTCAAAGTGAGTGTCAACGGCTTTTTTAATTTTTTTAAAATGTTTGTTTGAATTTTAATAATCATTAAATGTTTTAAATGATTAAACTTTCAATGATTTTTTTAGTTTAATCAGTTAATAAGTCGTATACTTACTTTCTGCAGAAATAGTAATAATGGACTAAACTAAAAAAATGACTTTCACCCATTTATTTAAAAATACGTAATTTCTAATTTAAACTAAAACAATTTTAATAAAAATCAGAAGTTTCATATATGTTGCTACAACATTGACACACTAATATTTTATCTGAGTGTAAATTATAGTGATAGTTCTGAATTCTGAATTTTTTTATGTATTTTAAACAATTATTTACGTAATCTTGTTTTAATGTAGTTTTTCTTAAATTCATGATTCACCTGTTCCTAAGGCTTAATAGAAAAGAAAAGATTCAAACAGTGTAAATAAACTTACAGTAACACATTGAATAATTAAGATATTGTAAAATCAAATATATAAAGTTCAAAATTAGAATGACTTTGTGTTTGTAAAATTTACAACAGATATATTGATGCTCATATTTACAAAATTAAAAATTTGACTAGCAATTTTATCGGTATTATTTAAACTGTTTGAATTTGACATGTATACAAATTAGAAAAATTATTTAGTCAATCAGGAGCGTTTTATTTATTGAGCATTCAGTTCCAGATGCAGACATATTGCTATCAATCATTTAAAACGACCCTGTTCACATTTCCATTAAATATAAATAAAAGTATGAAGTCGCATAAATACGTTAAGAGTGGGTGAGAAACGTGGGGTACATAAACAACACCAACAATGATATAACATACATGTTTTTTTGCTCCTAAACAGAGCGTTTCAGGGCTTGAATAAGTTACTTCCAAATTTACCGCACCCTTGAAACATTCTGTAAATTTTAAACTAAACACCAATGGTAACTATTTGACATGAAAATTTCACAACATATACATGCCAAACTTACTCTGAAACCAATCAAACACTCTTAGAAATCGAGTAATAATTAAATAACAGTAAATCAAAATGAGACAATAAATTAAAACACCATAGCTAACGTGAGCTTAAATCTTGCTTAATTGATTTACGGATTTATCCTTCATTGTCTTCACTACTGCTTTCCTCGCCTTCGACGCCGTTCTCGTCCCTTTCGGCGTCAGGTACCAGATAGTATTGAAGGGGATCCAGCCACAGATCATCTTTAATCACCTCCGCGATGTCATCGGTGAAAGCATCGGCGTTGTCGTTGAACCAGCTGAAGAAGGTCCTGAGGGACTCGTGGGAACGCTTGCGATTGGTTCGGTTCGCTTCGATGGTTTGCCCCAAGCTGCAGCCCTCTTTCCATATGATCTGCGTACTTTCCGAAGTAGGGGTAGCTAGTAATATTACGATACAAAAATTGTACTCGGATAGTTATAGCGGTGTTGCGAAGCAGTTCTTACCGCTGTCGAGATGGTATTTCTTAGTTATGACGGAGTTTTCGAAGTAAGGATTTTCCTCGAAATAAAATTTGATGAAGTACCCGGATTTGATGTCTTCGAATTCCTCGACTTCCAGCTTGGTGAGGTGGTGCAGGCAATCCTCCTCGGTGTCGTCGAGCAGCGCATTCAAATCAGGATGGTTCATAATCTGGTAAAACGAGAGTTAAGAAAATAAATATACCAATATTATTTGTAGGTTATGATCAACAAATTGCAATGCAAAGGATACAGCCGTTATCCAGAAGTTGGGAATGTTGCTGATCAGGTTGTTGCGCTTTTCGAAGAACGGTTTCCGCAGCTTGTTGTACTTCTGTTCGATTTTGAGTAACTCTATGCTGGCTTTTTCGTTAATCGTATCAATTTCGTTTTGACAAACATCAATCTCCTCCAAAACCTTCTGGGTGGCCGCATCGAAGTCCGAGCTCCTGTCGGATTCGGAGAACCGCTTTATTTTCCTCGACGGCACATCACTACTCATTTTCAGTGTGTTGATTTTTCACAGTGACACAAAAAAATCAGTTAAAAATTGCGAAGCCGAATTTACAAAAACATCTGACAGGCCGCCATGCGCAATTTGTGTTTTGTTTTTTGAATATTCGCGCTACTTGATCGGCGCTTTTCGACAGCCTCCGCCAGAGGGCTTCCGAAATAAATTAATTATTTAGATAAAAAAACACCAGATAGAGCGCTAAAAAACAAATATTTTCAAAAAAATTTATTCCTATAAACAATAAATCTTAATTTATCTTAATACATGTGAGCGTTATTATAAATTAATTATGATAAGTACACAAACTAGGAGACATGTTGGTCTCGCTTTTGCGTACTTTACAACACCGATCGTCTGGTATTTTAGGAAGTCTATTTAATAAAAATAATAAGTTTATGTTTTTATATATATTCTCATAAATCGATAATGGCAGTAATTTTCCATTTACCAACGCCAACTGTATTGTGAACGTGACCTTAAATAACCCATTATTGGTTTGTTCCTTTACGGGTGCAGGAGTCAGGAGTAGGCACAAGAGATACCTCGCGATCAATGACCTGCATCTTGCATTTAATTTCAAGAACCAGTTAAACAATCTCATTTTGAATTTTTTTATTCCGATTTCATTACCTTGTAAATATGTGCAACCTTCTAAGAGATATTATTTTATTTTATACGCATTATATTTGTACAGTGTTCTCTCAAAAGGATTGTATGTTATTTTGAACTCTTATAAAAAATAATTAAATTGTGGGTAAAGTAAAAGAAATCGTGTCCAAGGTATAATAATCAATCGATTTCTTTTGTAACGATTTTTGTCTATTATCTATAAATTTTATTATCATTTCCGTATTCCTTTAAGTTTTTTAAGAATATTTTTTAAATATGTAATGTATATAAAAAATATTGCAAATAATACAAGCTTGTTAAAACTAATAGAAAAATAATATAAAAAATATGGATAGGTGACATTAAGAAAGAGATCAGAATATATAATATAGAATTTTATTGTTATCATTTTCAATTGATTACTCATAAAATGTACAATAAACGAATAACAGGATAGAAACAAATTAATGAGCAATAGTGAAACCTCCGTCTTTAAAAAGGACCAAGCAAGTCCAACACTTAATATTATTACTAAGTCTTTCTAGTTGATTTATGGCAAATATACAAATCCAGAATAGCATTAAGTATTTTAGGCAAACTGTGCCTATAGGCAGGCAATTTTAAAAAAATTTTTACATGACCTTTAACTGCACTTGAATTCGATGCTTAACACTTAATATACAACTCAATCTCACATTTTATTATTGCCGGATTACTCATTAGTAATATCAAAAATAAAACAAAATACTCTGATTCATACATTCAGCACCATATTTGCTATTTGGGATTGTAGTACGGAGGCTGCTGCATATGTGGGGGCCCCGGTCCGGGCCCCATGGCTTGTCCGCCCATTTGATTGCGGGTACCAGTTGCATACAGCTGTTGCTGGAAGTTGTGGAATTGTTGTGCATAGTTGGGATCGGCAGTTGTCGGGCAGACGAATGGCGAATTTTTAAAACTGTTATTCTGTCCCATAGACGGCGGCAATGGCTGGGAGGCGTCCGGTGCGCCCATTCCCATCGGGCTGCCTTTAGGTCCGCTTACAAACACTTGTGCTGATGGATTGCCCATGTTAGGCCCGCCGGGATTAAACATAGGATCTGGGACACCTCCGGGTCCACCAGGCGGTCCGTTGAATACCATTTGAGACATTCGCATGCCCATCGGAGGTCTCATGGGCCCTCTCATCATAGGCATCATTCCTCCGGCCATGCCCATGTTTCCGCCCATCGGCCCACCAATCGGTCCTGGTCCATTTCCCATGTGGTTGCCCATATTCATGGGGCCCATTCCTCCATCTTGATGCATCGGCCCCTCCATGTGTCCCATATGCGGAGGCATCGGACCTCCCTGCATCGGACCATTATTGGGACCGCAGGAAGAGAAGAACTGCATGTTTTGGGGTTGCATCTTTGACTCCATCATATTCATGGGCGCTGCGAGTCGAGTCAAGAAATCAATACTGGGGGGACCTCTCGGTCCAGGCGCCTGTCCCACTTGAGATTTCGCGGGTAAATACTGTATTGTATTTGGTGCGTTAGGTTTAATTTGAACGTTAGCTCCATTGTACGGATTCGGAGGACCTGGAGGACGTCCCATCATCCTGGGCATGGCCATATGATTGGGAAAGGCACCTGGCAATTTAGGCGAAAGAGAGCGAATAGGGCCCATCGGTGAATTTGGATGGAATCCATGCGGAGGTCCTTGCATCGGCATGCCCATCATGTTTCCTGATCCTTGATCTATGTCGTTCATTCCATGGCAGGAGCCCATGTCCATCATATGCATCGAAGAGGAACCGAAACTCATCATCGGAGGACCTTGATTGCTTTGACCGTTCAAAGAACTTGCCACGCTGTTTGTCAACTGTTGACTCATTTGTGCTAATGAAGAAATCGGATCAAAATGAGATACTTTGGGATTTCCAGACATGGCGCTCGTACAATTAGGATTCAAGGGAACGTTATCACCCCTGACGCATCCGTAATTAGGCAAATCCATTGGTTTCCCTTGAGGCGATAAGTTCACGAAACCTCCTCCCATTTTAGCACCAGGAGAGGCGTTGGGCCCGGCGAATCTCGGTACGTCCATCATGTGAGGACTGGGAGTCGGAAACAGGTCCGTTTTTAGAGGATCAGAATTAGGCCCGGGAACAGTCTGTGGGCTTAAACCAGGCGCTCCTGTTCCGGACAGTCTTTGTGGCGGTTTGTCACCTGCAATTAAAAAATTCAAATAACAATAACATCTCGTGTAAAATTTCGTGTAATAAATTTTAACAATACTCACCCGCTGTTACAGCAGTGGGTGTATGTGGACTGGGTATCTGGAAGCGACAACCCTCTGAAGGGGTAGGAGGAAATCTTGGACCTACGTCTATTGAAGTAGGAGTATTGGGACCTGAGACCCTAGAGTGTGGAAGATCTGGTGTAGAAACAGGAAAACCACTATCCAATGTAGTGGGTAAAACTCTGAAAAAAATAAAAATAAAGTTACCTCTTGTATTAATATACAGAAAAGTGCAAATTTGTTTACATTATAGTCAATTCTATGAGTTGAACAAAGAAAGATTATTAAAATAACAGTGGTTAGAGTGAGAAAGTTTGCAATCAACCCACAATATCACTCTTTCTTTTTCCTTTATACGAGACTAATGGAAATTGCCTTTGTTGCACCTATAGATCATATTGCATACAAATTTGCACTTAATTGTTATAAGAGAAAATAAAAAGATATTATTAGGATATCATTTAATCAATAAACAATGTAAAATTCCGTATTTCACGTGACGCATATTTTCAAGCCAACACGAATTTAAGGAAAAATTATCGAATTTTATTAGCCCGAATCTTTTTATCTTTACGAAATTAAACATTGTGCAACTTTCCCGCCAGCGATAATGCAAACAAATTTTCATTTTCACAATATACATTATCTATTGCTATCTGGAACCCTAAGTAGATCCGTAATAGTAATGCTATAGTTCTATTTTAGTGAACATGTTTAGACTTAAATATATAAATAGAACAAATTCGAGTCTTATGAATTAAAGAAAACAAACTACATTTTTAATGATTTTTTTTAATATCAAAATTATTTTCTTGGAAAATCGCACAATTAAAACTCGCAATAACCAGAATCCTCCTGTTAAATGTTTAAGAAAATAGTTCGAAAAAAAAAATCATCGATCAGTAAAATTTAAAGTAAGTTCCGGAGAATTCATATACACATTCATACAAATTGAACTCCTACTACTACTAGTAAATAATTGATTACTACACTACTTTATACTTGATAGATAATAAACATTGAAACACTTACGGAGGTGATATGATATTGCCATCCTTAAGACTGGTGTTTGGTTGCTTCTGAATAATCAGTTCTTGTCCTTCGAATGTATTCAGATACTGTATTCGTTGCGGAGATGGTACGGGCATCAGATTGGGCTCCTTGACGATGCCCGTGCTCGACGTAGTGGCACACGAAGTCGTCGACGTGCTGATTTGCTGTTTTTGTTGGGCCATCGATTGCAATGTTCTCCCAAACATTCCATCTACTAGAAACAAAACGAAAAAAAAAAAATACACCGATAATTAGAATTTGAACGGTGGCGATTTTAACGCGGAATAAATTCGTTGAACTTACCGGTCGATTGGTGAGTCGAAGTGGGCTCGGTACTGTTGCTGGTGACACTGGGCGAGAGATGGTGTGATGATAAAGGTGTGCCGGGATTACTATGATTAAGTCTTGGTGCTGAAGGGGAGTCTTGTGAGGTAGGGCTTTGTCCAGTACTCATATGCCTGCTTAATCCGAACGTTCTGTTCGGATCGGCTGGCGAATTGAGAGCAGAAGAAGCTCTGGGCGACGGTAATGACAAATTACTCGTGGGGTTGTTGGGTGATGTAGGATTGGGGCTCTGTAATGCTATTGGAACACTGGCCGATCGTGGGGTCGGGTGATATGGAGGCGGGGGTCCTTGAAGTCTAGGTCCTGGTCCAGGAACACCTCTCGGCATGGCGACTGGCCCAGCGGCCGGTATATTCGGATTATTACTGTTACCACCGCCGCCGCCGCCGCCGCCGCCGCTAACTGGACCGACTGGAACAACGGGACCAGGACCTTGTTTTCTTTTAGTGTCATCATAAAATTGATGGTGTAGTTTCTGCCACTCGAGTTGACTACCGGGCGGAGGTACTCCTGCAGGAAGCGTTGGATCAGTTGGAGCATTGTTTCCTGGTTGATTACCGCTGGGAGGTGGTCCCCCTCCTGGTGTAGGAACTCCATCCATACTTTGGCTTTCAGGAAACAACATTTGTTGCATTTTCCGTATTGTAGCCAATTGTACTTCTCGGTGTTGCCTCTGTTGAGGAGTGAGATTCTCATCAGGCACTTTAACACCCTGCAATGAGGGCTGAACATTTGCTAATGAAGGACTGCAAGCATCCATATCAGGCACCACATCAGGTAATCCATTTGAAACAGCAGCATCTAAGCCTTCGAGGTGATTGTTTTTCGTATCCCAAGGTATATTCGCTTCGTCCAAACCTACCATATCCTCTAAAGAGTCAGGTCCCAAAAAATTATCTAAAGTAGTTGGAGGTTTTGATCCAAGCCCCGGACTCCTATTACAACTTTTGTTTTTCATCATGGCAATGTTATTAAGCCACTGTGCGGGATTTTGTCTATTAAATTGAGTTACCTTTAGAGGATTTTTCTCTAAATATTTCTTAGTACCCGGCTGGGCACAATGATAAGCTATTATCGAAGGAAATCTACCTTGTAACACCTCATCTGCACCGGAATTCGCTAAACTGGTTGAAAATACAAAGATCTGGCTCTGTTGTTGCATATAATTCACTTCCATTGAATTAGGCTGTTTATTAATAACATTACTTGCTAGGGGTTGCACTCCTTCCGGAGGTTGAGGATGCGTATTGCCTCCAGTAGTAGGCAACCCCAGTCCAAATGCATCACCTCCTAGTTCACCATCAAGACATTCTTCTTGTTTCAGGGGTAGCGAACTAGAATCTGGACCGGGCACACTTAAAGAGTCCTCTGAGTGAACCTCAGGTTTTCTATCCAACGTTGTTTGTAAGGAACCTGTATTCGTTGAACCAACAATACCTCCATTTTTTGTAATAGGACCTGCACATGGTTCTTTCTTAACAGTAGTCTCATCTTCCTTCTTAACTCTAACTTCTGTGCTAGCAGTTTCTTTATCTGAACTGCCAGCTTCATCTTTTGTTGTCTCCGAACTTTTTTCGGCTTTTTCCTTAATCATTTCGCACTTTTATCACATACCCTTTCCTTTCATGCTGCACTATCACTACTAGTCATTCACATAACAAGTCTTTTTTCAGTTGAAGAATCTTAGCCTTTATTGAGATCAACACTATTTATTTATAGTCATTCCTTTTATTTTAATACCACTAAATTATGTTTCACATCACATATGTTCTAATGTTTTTATTTGCATTCCATCATTTTTTATTTTCATCTCTTAACCAAATTTGAAGAGACGCATACAGCCTGATTTCGGTCTCCATGGCATCCCGCTGTAATCTCTTTCTCTATATTTCAGAATTTTATTATAAACGCTCTTAAATGACATCAATTACTTTACAGAATTTGTGTTTTATTCCATTAAAAAACTTTCAACAAAAATCCTCACATCACAAAATGCCAAACTGTCCATACGCGCTGCTACCAACTGACATGTACACCTTCGCGGTACCAACATCTAAACGTTAAAAACCCTAGACAAATTCAAATTATGCTAACAAAAATGTATAATTTCGTTGATATATGCATTTATTTGTGTTAAACGATGCGTAACTAAATGAAAGATAAACGATATTACTTATAAACTTAACATATTTCTATTAATTTATTCGATAATTTATGAAATAAATATAATTCAGTAAAAATGAAAAATTTTCGGAAACACAGAACAAGCTATAGTCGTAGCAACATAAATAAATTGATCATTAAATGCGTACATCAATTCGTTATTTATTTATAATAAATTATTAATTTGGTGACAAAATTTTAATTATTTTCGTTGTGCCATCTACAGTATAAATATCAAACTATTAGTTATTCGAATTTCATGAGTAGATGGCGCCACAATCGACCTTGAAGTAGAAAACTGTCAAGCAGTGGAAAATTTTTGCGTATTCCTTAGGGACAATAAACGCAATCCTCGAACAAATAATTATTTCACGAGCAAACATGGGAGAAGGAACGAAATAAAAACAAAATTACATGAAATAAAACATACGTTTTTATTTGTAGAACAAGTGTATAATCTCGCGTCTACACAAATGAATTCACTTTATAAAATTATATTTAACTTTGATCCATCAGAAGAGCATCGCCATGGGTGACGGATGTATCCTTCTGAACGGATTCGAAAATAGGAGAAAGATCGGGAGAATTCTTGATTTGGCTAACAAACTCGTTGAGATGAAGATTCTTATCTAAAAAATAAGTCGTAAATAACTCGTCGAATCGATATTCTGATGGGCATATTACCTGCATCAGGAATACTCAAAAGAGCTGCAACAGCTCTCATAGCAGATCTCTTGAGTTCATCTTGTTTCTCGTATTCTTGCTTGACTGAATTCGCTTTCACCTTCATTGTTAGGGTAGCACGTAATGGTTCCACTAATTTATCTAACACTAAAAATAATCATTTTTTATAAATATCGCATTGTTAAGGATTAATGCATTATTCTTACTTTGGAAAACTGCTCCGGGACAAATTTGAGATAATCTCGCTACCATAAGATAAGTGAGCATTTTAATGTCATAATGATCCTTTAAACCAGTCTCTACGTGATTAATGAATTCGAAAATATCTACTTTATCAAGACAGGAATCGAGAAGAGTATACATGCATTCGTATGCCGCCTTTCTGATGTCCAAACCGTCATCTACAGTATGCTTGAAAGGTCCCATTTCGACTTCTCTGATTAAGTCCCTCTAAAAATTACACAAAAGTTTAAGAGTTAACACGGAAATACACACATTTCTTTTACCTTGATAATAGTCTCTCCGTACAATTGGGGTAACGTCGTATCTAACAAGTCTCTAATAAGCGAAGGCTTATTATGAGCAGCCGAGTTGAACGCAACCAAAGCGACTCTTCTTACATTCAAATCGGGATCTTGTAACGTGTTCAAAAATTCGCCGATGCACTGTCTCAGCAGAGGATCAATAGTAGCCGGCTGGAAGAAAAACCCGTTAAGAACAAATACCAAGTAGTTAAATTAAACATTACTTGATCCGAAATGGTGAATTTCACAGCGGTGACGACCGTCGTTCTCATCAAAGGCGACGGCGAGTTCAGGGAACGCTTCAATTTAGGCAGAAGGTTCTGGGGATCGATCAGAGTCAACTTTCCGAGGCACTCGGCCACGACGTTCCTCGTGCCCTCTTCCAAGCATTCGCAATGCCGGTACAACTGCTGCCAAATGGCCGGCACGAACGGAAGAAGTTGCTGGATGCCTTCGGGCGATTGAGACAAGCACGTGATAACCTACGGAAATGATTAATTAATTCATCGAAATAATGTAGGGGAGTATACGAAGCGTACTTCTTTGAGAGAGTGCAGAAGAAGGTATTGTCTTTTAGGCTGATCTTGACTTTCTTTTAATATAAAAGGTAAATATTGCTGCAGGTTACCGATGCAAATGCTGCCCAGCGCGTAGCTCGCGGCAGATTTCACTTCTTCTGACACAGCCGAAAATGAATTAAGTATTACTTGTTTTAAATTTGCGTTCGACGTTAAATCACTGAAAAATTAAAAAAAATTACACTAATGAACCCTTCCGAGTTGTTGAAAATAAGCTTACATTTCTCTTCCGATTTCACCGACGACGAGCAAAGCGAATATTTGCTGAGAATCTGTGGACGCTGCCTGGATTTCGTTTATGAACGTGTGTACGACAGGCAGCGCGTGCGACTGGCACGTTACCGTGATCGCGGCCACGCACTTCGCCAGCGAGTAGAAGGCCTGCTTGTGGAGCGTCGCCGACTGGTTGCTCGCAAGATTCGAGATGGGCATTAACAGAAGCCGTAACAAAGAATCGTAATTTAAACCGGGAAGATTGCATTTTACTAAGGATTTAAAGAAGTCTAACATAGACTGTAAAGCCGTACCTGAAAAAGATACCGTTAGTGGATGAGCGGCCTTTAACCCTCTGGCTAACGGATGACAACGATCCTAATTCGAAATTCCTTCGGTTTATTTTTATGTAACAGTCCGTTTGCCAAGAGGGCTAAGTGCATAGTCCAACAGAAATACATACAATGATAAATGGGGAACTGGGAATTGGGAGTTTAGGAAAATTTTCTGTTGGAGACACATGATTTACGCAAAAAGGAATAGTTTCGTTTGGTGACAAAGGAAAGGCGTAAAAATAAATCGAATATCAAATCGTCATATACGGGAACAGCTAGAATAAAAAAACTTTAAACTAAACACTAAGCAAATACACCGCTACTAAACTACCTATAAGCTACAAAAAAATAAGAATAAACCTTGTAATATTTACCTTGTAACAATGGAGATTTCACTAATATCAAAACTTGCGGCATTATGGTATTGTTAATGTCTTGTAGAGCCCTCGGATGATGAATTGCGATGCTCTTCAAGATAATCAACGTCCATTGAGCTATGTGAAGATCGGATTCGTCGAGTAAAGGAGATATTTCCACCACGACGGGTTGCAATAAAGTTACGTTCAAATTGTCGTGGTAATTCTTTATCAAACAGTCTATAAGTTGGAGAGTCGTCAATTTAAGAGCCCTTTGATTCTTTCTGAGGAATAAGCCCAAGATCGGCATCGCTTCAGGTAAGATAGGCAATTCGATACCTGAAATTTAAACGGGTTTTAGACGATTTTTACACGATAAAATCGCAGCTTACCTAAAGGAGATCCGGCGATTTTCGTGAGAGCTTTAACAGTTGTAAGTCTAGTGATCTCATTTTTCAATCTATCCAAGAATAACGGCAGGCAGTAAGGTAACTCTGCTTTTAAGTGATCGCCCAGGTTGCATATGACCTGTCCCATAGTAGAAATAGCCTTTTCTTTAACCTCCTGATCAATGTCAGCAGTTCTCAATCTCAGCAAAGTACAGCTGTAAATATCTTTGGTAAACGGTGTAAAATCGAAAGCAGAATTTATATTTAAGGGTCTAATGACTTTGACTAATTCTTGTAGAACGTTTAAAGCTTCCGCTGTTATTTTGTAGAAATTATCTCCGACGGCCGTTATGACGGGCGGTAATAGGATACTAATGTACGGGTGGAAAACTTGCGGTTGGTGACTCGTCAGCAAGCAAAATATAAACGACAGCGCGTCTATCTTCATGTTACTGCTGGCATTCTTCTCGCTCAAGGAATACAATATTCCCGGTATTAAATCGCCAATGTGAGTACTTAGAGCGCCCGGTAGTACGCAGCACAGTTCCTTCAACAGCTGGAAACAATCTTGCCTCGTCTTGATGCTCTTCTCGCGCATTTGACCCTGAACGCCTTTCACGAGAATCTCGATTTGCTGTTGCAACAGCGACATTGGAGTTTCCTCTTCGTCGTCCATTACCATCGCATTGGGATCGATGTTCACGCTCACAGTCGATCTGGTTTGTTTCAGAAGCGCAATGTAAGCGTGAAATATGTCCGATTTCACGTTCTCTTCGCGTTCTGGAAAAAAATAAAAGCGTCAGAAAGTCTCGAAGTAGGTTATTCGATATGCTCACCTTTAAACCTAGTAATAAGCGCCGGGGACAAGACCTTGTAGAAATCGGGAAGTAAGTCGTGCCTGGTAGAAATAATGGCTTCCAGACATTTAGCAGCCGATCTTCTGACCTTCCAACTCATGTCATCATCATCGCTGTACTCGTCGTTTTCTTCGTCCTCTTCGTCATCATCGTACGGGTCGTTCTGGCCGTTGGCGCTTTCATCTTCATCGTAGTTGTAATTAGGATCGTATACCAAGTATTTTAAACACCAAATGATAATCGATGGGATGTTCTTGGTGATTTCTTTCGGGCACCGGTTGATGAAACTTTCGAAGGCTTGCAGACAGAATTCTCTCAGCTCGTCGTCGTCGACTTCGCTGCACTTCAGAATTAAGGGTACGAATTTTTCGATGTGTTCACCGAACTTATGACCCGATTGGCGACTGGTCGTATGCGAATAAAAATTTTAAATACATTTTAATGTTGCTATAAAGTGTATAATACTCACCATACGGCAGCGACGCATTGTACGTATGTTCTAATCTGTGAGTTATTCTTTTCGGAACAGAGGCCATCGTATAAGTGATCGATAAGTTTGGAATACAACGCGTTATTACAGGAAAGTACGAGATTGCTACACGCACTTATAGTACGCTTTCTGACCGCCTGGCGCTGAGAGCATAACTGAGGTAGCAAAGCTGACAAAATCGATGCATGGAAAGCTTGCAAAACGGGACCGAATCTCAGCAAGAGATCAGTGATAATATCCAGAGCTTCGAGTTGAACTGAAACGTCTTCTTGCTAAAATAGAACAACTCCAATTCGAAAATCAAATCGAATAATGTAATTACAATTCAACTTACACGTTCAATAGCTGTTGTTAACCTTCCTGTTATTCTTTTGCAGATATTTCCTGACAAACCTCCGGGCGCTTGAGGGAGTTCGGCTATAACAGTTTTAAGGCCGATGCTGGAAATATCCCTCAGTTGTTCCTTGTCGGATACCATGTTGGTACAGAGCGACTCAACGATCGTTTCAACTTGAAATTCCTTAACTTTGTTGACGAGAGGGCCCAAGCTGCAATGTTAGAAATAAGCGCTGGTAACAATGATCAAAATTCGTTTACCATTTAACAGCTAAATTTTGAACTTCCCCGTTCTTATCTTCGAGCAACTTTAGCAGCATCCTTACAACCTTGCGTTCGGAGTCGTCATCAAGTTTGATGCTATCCTTTTGCAACTCTGTCATTAAATCATTAGTTGCCATAAATCTGAAGTCTTTGTCAGAAGAGGTCATCTGTAAAAAATCGAGCAAAGAAAGAATATACATTATAGCGTGTATAAAGTATAAATATAAAATATTTAAATGACAATGTCAATGTAACAACCACTGCTATCTTTACCTTTTCAAGAAGATTCGCGATTTGATACGACACACTTGCCATGGCTACGGTTGATTAGAACGCCTCTTCATAAATTTGTACACCCGCAAAATTAATTTACAGTATAAATATTATAACTTAAAGGGAATCTTTATGTACAACTTAATTCATCATTTGTAGGTTAAATACGACAATCCACAAATCATACGGCACTGCGTTTTCCGGTTTTATCTCAACTTCCTTGTGTAATGTTCATTGTTTTCAAAAAACCTCGATTGATTTTGCACTTTTTTACCGAAAAAAATTTCTACTGTTCACCAAATACTTTTCTTTTCGATATCACAGAAACAAGAAATAATGAACCGAACAAGAAGGAAGAGCAGTGTTGTTCCTGTATTTCTAGGGAATTTATTTTTTAACAATTTGTGCAAAGTGTCAAAATGTGTTCTATTATTAGTCATGTCTACAGCTCACATGTTAATTCTTCTTTTTTCTTAATCCTGAATTAATGCTTAGGCAACACATTTCACAAAATATGATTTCATTCATACCAAGATTCGGGAAATTACTGGTAAGAAAAGCCAATTTGTTTTAAACTCATACAAATATTTTTAATAGATATACAAACGTCCATACAATTTTTTGAAACCATTTTTAACCTATCCATTCGATACCTTATAGCTATAAAAACTTGATTCGTTGGAAGTTATTTTTGACTTATTTCAATTACTCATAATATCAGCTTCTTCGCGATCGTGTTTTAGAACTTTCTGTATCCTAAAAATGAAAGAATTCCAATTTTTTTTTGGCTCCTTATGTGCTAATTGTTATTTAACTTACACTAGAGCCAGTTAGGTGTCCATTACTACCATTTCTGACTAGTGGCCTTTGAGTTGAACTAGTCTCGTGCTTTTTCTCGATACCTCTTTCCATACTATAATTGAATATTCCAGTAATATTGATTCAGATTGATTCAGACACTTACTTACCTATTGCTTCTCGATGAAGAACCGGACTTTTTGAATATACCGGTTATTCTCTCCTTTAAATCTTTTTTACTACCTTTATTATCATCCATACTATCACCAGAATTCATCTGAAATCATCAAACGATTTAACTATACCTAATCGATTTGATTATCAGATTTAGCACAATTACCTTGTTGCTTAGGGGTCTCAACGGGGAAAAGTTATCTGGATCCTTATCGTCTATGCTTCGAGATTTTGTCAACTTCTTCAGCTTCCCGATGATTCCTTTCTTCTTCTTCTTATCTCCCAATTCGCTTTGCGTCGACCCGCCTGACAATCTGCTATCCAAACTGACGTCTCTCTTCCTCCTACCAGTTTCCATATCCGAATGCAGCTCCAGCGAGTTCAAGCTGGACATGCTGTCGTCGTTGGTCCAAATGTTCTGTTCAGTTTGAATGGTGTGTTCCAAGGAAATGCTTTTCCTCTTCAGGCTGCTCTGCGAGAGGCCCGGTATGCTTCTTAACAGAGGTTTACTTCGTGAGATGGACGCGGTGTCGTGTTCAGTGGAAGTTGCCCTTCTCATTCCCATCGTCCTCCGCAGGCGCTCCCGTTCGGCGTCGTCTTCCGAAAATCTTTGCAGCTTCCGCAGGTCTTCTGTAGTGTGCACCAATCGTTGCATTATGTATTGGATTTGTTGCTGCTTTTCCTCAGGAGCCATTGACGATTCTCTTCTGTCCATCGCTGGGGATGTTTCTCGAGATCTGGACTTGGTTCTTCTTGGTGGCGTTGGGGTGTACGGCGCTTCGGTTTCTTTAGAGAAGAACAATTCCGGAGCCAGTTGCTTGAGTGTATCCATTTGCTCTATGAGTGCGTTGATTTTCCGGTCGTCTTCTATATCAGTTCTTTTCTTACCGTTCATCACCGATCGGTATTCCTCCCTTTCCTTATCGTAGCGCTCCCTCTCCCGCCTTAGCTTTTCGTTTGTCGTGCGCAGTTTGGCGTGAGCGTCTCTTAATTCAAGTAGATCGCATTGCAGCTCCGTTATCTTCTTTTTGTTGGATTCCTGATCTTCCTCGGACGTTTTTCTGAGTTGGTCTTGCTTGCGTTTGGCTTCCAGGCGTTCCTTGTCCCTCTCCCTTTCGACTTCGAAGAGAGTCTGCCGCAGGTCCCGCGCCAAAGTGGCCGTTTCTTGGAGCAATCTCTGCTGCTCTTCCCTTTCCTTTTGCCACGCCAACTCCATTCTCGTCCTTAGGCCTACGATTTTCGTCCTGCCGCTGCTGAGGACTTTTTCCTCCTCTAATTCGTTTACTTTGGAATGCATTTCGGATAATTTGACTTCGAACGTTGATCTTTCTGACACCAGTTCGGTTTTTAGTCTGGAGCATTCTAGCCTCGCCTCGGACAGTTCGTCCTCCATGCAGCTGATTTGCTGTTCTAACGTGGCCACCTTGGATTTAGTTTCTTCCAGCTGAAAATCGCGACTGGGTAAGTGTTTATTGGAACGAATGAATATTTATATACCTCATCGTAGTTGACGTTTCTGGGCCCGTCTCTGTTTTGTTTGGGCGATTGTTTTAGATCGCCTATGGTTTTTTGGGCTGTTTCCAGCATGTGCTTGTAAGTGTCCTTTTCCCTTTTGAATCTGACTACTTGGTTTTGGAGCGATTGTAGTTCTCCGTTCACAACGTTTGTTTGACTTTCGTACCTCATTTTCATCTCGGCCAAGTCGGATTTTTTGCTTTTTTCTAAGTTATTCAATCTGAAATATTAACAATAAGATCGGATATATCTATATGTAGATGGCTTACCTTATGCGTAATTGTTTCATTTCTTTTTCCATAGCAGTGCTATCTGCATTGATGTTTCTTTGTACCTTGTTGACTTTATCGTAGTCGTCCAGTTTTTTCTTCAGCTCGTCGTTTTCTTTGCGCATGTAGTCCATTTGGTCGTGGATGGCTTCGTATTCTTTCTTAATTTGCTCATATTCTGATTGTTTCTCCTCCAATAACGCCCTTAATCGTTGCCTATCCGAATCGCTACCGCTGAATGTTACTTTAGATTTCATTTTAGATTCGAGTTCCAACTTTTCTTTTATCCAGATGTCTTGTTTCTTGTTGTAAGTTTCTCTGAGGGTTCTCAGCTCGTTTTCTAGTTGCTCCATCTCTCGTTTTAAGTTTTTGTTTTGCCTGAAATAAATGTTTGTACAAAGTTGTTATTGGTTTGGGGGGTTAATTATTTCCTTACGATTCTAGGGTTTCTCTTTCCATGACTAATTTGGCTTTGGTGATGACGTGTTCTTCCTCTAGAATTTCGTATTTGGCGGTCAATTCGTCGTATTTTCGCCGTTCTTTGGTTACCGTGCTTTCCAGATCGGAATTGGATTTTTGGAGTTGTTTAATTTCTGGGGAGCTCGCCGAGTTTTGCTCCAACTTTCGGATTTTTTCCCTTAGCGTTGATAATTCCAACTCGCGGTTTCTCTGCTCTTTTTCGTTGTTTGTTTTGAGAACTTCCAATTTTTTTCTTTCGTTCTACAATTACAATATTTGCGTACTGTTATTATGAGATTGTATTGAGTGCTTACCTGCAAGTCGATGTCCATCTGTTTAATTTTCTTTTCGTTTTCTAATTTGTTATTTTTGTTTTCTAATTGGATTTTTGATAGTTTTTCCTCTAGAGTTTTGTTGGATTTGCGAGCTGCGTCTAATTCGTCTTTAATTGAATTCATTTTCTTGCTTTCAATTTCTCCGGCTTTCAAATTGGCCTTTTCTTTTTCCAAATTGTTTTCCTAAAAACCGCAAATTATTTAAAAAAATAATTTATACTTCATTATTAATCAAAGTTAATTTTACACTCACCAGTTGTTTGATTAACTTGTCTTTTTGTTCTACAGAATTTTCTAGTGTAGTAACTTTGGTTGTTAATGTTTCGATTTTTTTGTTTAATTTCTTCCTTTCTTCTTCCCATTTTTCTTGATCGGTTTGCAGGGATTTTACCTGCTGTCGCGCTTTTTCAATCTAAAATGTAATTTACATTTCATTACTTTACCTAGATATTCAGTCGAGATTAACATACTTCATTACTAATTTTAGCGTTGTCTTCTCTAATTTTCTTTAATTCTTTTTCTTTGGATTCCAAGTTTTGTTCTAAAGAAGTTATTTTTTGTGTTAAACTGGTCAACTCGCTTTGTTTAGTAGTTGATGATTCTGCAAAAAATATTTATGTAATTGAAGATTTATAACATATGAGTTTGATCTTACTGAGATTTGCCTGTAATTTTGTTACTTCTTCGTCTAAAGATTTTTTATCGTTGGTTAATTTGGTTTTATCTTTGTTTAATTTATCGACCTCTTTTTGAAGTGACGATTTTTCGTTTGAGATTATATCTATAGATTCTCTAATTTTAGCTACTGTTATATTCAATTCCTCATTTTCTGCTTTAAGCTGGTTTAATTTGAGCTTTTCGCTATCTAATTCTTTCGACGCAGAATTCAGTTTTTTGTTCAATTCGTCTATTTCTGCTGCCGCTTTCTTCGCTTTAGTGTTCGCCGCTTCTTCCAGCTTTATTCTTTCGTTTTCACTAGTTTTTAACACTTGAAGCATTTCCCAGATTTCCTTTTCCAGATCGCTCACCATTGTTTTCATCTGGTCTTTCGACGTTAAAGCAGTCACCCTTTTTGGAGTTCTTTGATTGAATTTTTTAAAATCGCCCTAAAAATGTCGAAGTTTGCACTGCTGTTGTTAAGAAATAAAGCACTAATTACCTTTAACTCTATAGGTTGATCTTTATTATCAGTATTGTGGAGTTTATCTTCCAATTCTTTGATTTTGTTATCTTTCTCGTTGATTTCTACTTCTAATGTCGCGATTTGGTCTATGTATTTGTCGATGTTTTTATCGAGTTTGCTCGTTTTGGCCGACTTGAGGCCTAGTTTCTTGTTTTCGGTGCCTAATTTCTCGTTTTCGGCTTCGAGCGTTTGGACTTTGCTCCTCAACACGGTCGCTTCCTGCTCGATTACCTGCAGTTGCCTACGAAGATCCAAAGTTTGTTGATCAAGATCCAACGATCTGTAATCAAATAACTTTTGATTAAAGTCGGGGTTAACGGGGAGATTAGGGTGACAAATTAGGAGTGTGCCAATTGCTTCAATTTTGGTAGAAAGTTGAATTTGTTGTGGTGATTCTTCTGTTTTATAAAATTCGGATTAGCCGACTTACTTGCTTTTTTGCATTCCTTTCGAGCGCTTTTGAGTGAGACTCAGTTCGGCGTGGAGTCTTTCGCAGTCTCTTTCTTTTTCGATCAACTTTTTCCTTATATCGTTAGTTTCGTCCTCCAGGACCTGAAATGTGGGATGCAAAGAAGTTTTATCGAATTACTTTCTACTAGATAAGTGACTAACTTTTAATTTTTGGTTCAACAACGAATTTTCCTTAAGTTTTTCACTGTTTAAGAGAGTGCGCTTGGTGGTGGGTTTGGTGGAGGATTGTTCTTGGAGTTCCTTCACTTTGGCTTTGAGTTTGTGATTGTCTCCTTCTAATTCCTCGACTTTATGCCGAAGTACCGAAGCTTCCTGTTCGCTTAACTCTAGTTGTAATTTTATTTCTGTGGGGTCCTCGTCTTCTGATGTCTCGGGCTTCTCCGGAAGTTCGGGCGTTAGCTTTTGGTTCGTTGGGCTCAGCTTTCGAGCTGAAAAACACCATCAAGTAATCATGAAATTTATGAAGTTTGATGATCGTACTTCTCGCTCTGGAGGCCATTTTCTTCAACTGCAAGACTAAGGATTCGTTGTCGTCTTCGATTCTCGACGCCTTTTTGCGCAACGTTTGGGCCTCCTCTTCGGCGAATTTGAGTTGCTCTCGAAGGTCCGCCTCCCTTTCGAGGGAGTCTTGTAGGTCCCGTAGAAGTTGCACGGGATCGTCTTGGGAGCCGCCTCTCGTCAGAGATTCCCTCGATACTTTCTGAAAATTGAATAGAAATTTATGAGTTTTGCGATGGGTTAAAAGTTCGGAAAATCTACTCCGTCTGTGGACGAGTTCTTTCCTAATGATGATATCGAAGGCGCCTTTTTTTTGGTTGGTCCTTTAGTGTCCTCGTTGTTTTTGGACTTGGCTTCTTCGAGGTCTTTTTGAAGTCTGACGGATACTTCGTTAGCTAACTTTAGCTCTTGCTCGAGCTTCTTGATTTTTTCAATTTGATTCAAAGTCGTGTCGCTGCCAGAAACCTAAAAGATCTTATTTAAAACATGATTGAGTATAAAAATTGAAAGTCTGGTGTATTACATCTTTCAATTTTTTGTCCAACTCCGCTTTTTCGAATTCCAATTGAGCGGCTTTCCGTTCGCATTTTCTCAATTTGAAGGAGAGTATCCTGCAATTCTTAGTCGTCTGATCTAGATCTTTCTTCAGAGATGTGTACTCTACCGCTTGATCTTCCCTGGAAATTAAATAACGTTGGATTTGTGAGGGAGTTTCTGGTTGCTGCAGTACCTAAAGTTGTCTTGCAGCTCATCCATCTGCTCCTCCATGTCTCTGAGCTCCTTCTTGATGTCCTCGTTTTCGTCCATCAATTCTTCGCACAGCGTTTCCGCAGCCAGAAGCTTCGATCGAAGGTCGTCGGCGATTTTCTGAGCCTCTTGCGCCGTAGGCCTCACCTCCAAGTCGTTTTCCAGCTCCTTCACTCTCAACGCCAGGCTCTTCTTCTCATCCTTGTAGTCTTCCAGTTGCTGCTGCAGCTCGTTGCATTTCTGCTGCAATTTCAGCACTTCCGTCGCGCTGGGTTTGCTGGTTTCCATCGAGGCGAGCCTCCGCAGCAAGATGTCGCTCTTCTCCCGCTCGAGCCGGTCGCATTTCGACTTCGTCGTGTCCAGCTCTCTTCTCAGGCTCTCCAGCTGGTCGCGCAGCTCGTGGTCGTGCGCGTCGACTAGAGTGGTGTCCGTGGTTTCAGTTCCTGCTAGGCTTATTGCATCGTCGTTGTCCGAATTGTCCTGGGATGGCTCTTTGGCGGGAGATTTTTTTACCTAACGATAAGTATAGCGATGAGTTTTGAGGGATATTTACGTTATTGTTCAGCCTGTTAGATAGTGAAGTTAACTCACGCGGATTAGTTAATAATTTTATTAATAAAAAACGAACACCACGCACACGAGATTTGAAGGATTTGTGTAAAATGTAGATAAAGATGTGGAAGCATATTATTGGATTAGAAGAATTAAGTAAATATACAAGGTGATCCTGTGAAAATTAATAACAATAAACAACGTTGTTAGAGACAAGATTTTAGAAAGAAAATTCGTAAAATTAGTCGAGAGAAACATTGATAATGATGGTGGTTTTTTTTACTGCGCTGGTCGTCCATTTTAATAAACTGTATTTTATCTGAAAAAAAAATCTTGTTTTGTGTTTAACGTCCAATGAGATACCCTGTACATTTTTCAACTATTTTCTACTTCTATCTGCCAATTTCTACAAATGAAACGAATGCTGGCGGGAGAAGGAGAGGTTAGCACACAAACAAAACATCAAATTACTTGAATAAGAAATTGTACATCGTGATTTGTTGGTTCCTCGGAAATCGTTTTTACTTCTTTTATTTGTATCCTTCGCCCTCGATGGGAACTGGGCGATGATTCTTTTATAGCTTTTAGTTTATTTGCTCTGTCCGCCAGACTGTCGTTTTTATTAAACAGTGACGATTTTTCTTTTACTACAGAAAAACTATCTGAAACTAATCATTTTAAATGAACTAAGGGTCGGATGTGAGATTCTAGGAAATCATTCATAGGCGGCGCGATTGAGTAGAATGCATTTGAAGCAACATCACTACCGGAATCGTGGTAATAAATGAGTTTTGAAACTGCATGTATACCTGTTCTTTGTCCAGTATCAACTGGTTTGATTTTTCGCTTGGGCAATTGTATGTTAACAGTTGTAATGGGCTGAGTGTCGTCCTGCATGTTAGCTAAATCGGGAGTCGATATCCACGATGAAGGACAATTAAAATCGCTGTCGGAATTGCGACTGTTTTCCTTCGATTCCGATAAATTGGTGCTCGACATCCAGCTCCTGCTTTTGCCCTCCCCGTCCCTGCAATTTTCCGATTTATTCGCGTTTTTAATTACGCCAGCCATTTGGCTGGCGATTTCGAAAGAACAATTAAATTTAGACATCATCGATTTTTTTGAATACCGTCCAAATTCTTTCTTCAAGTACAACGAGCTGCATCATTCCACTTACCTATTAGCCCATGATAAACTCGGGGTGGATACTGTAGATGCATCCTTGTGTAAGTTCGTGTCAGTATCACGTTTCTTACCGCCGTGTTCCTTGTAATCTCTGCAGTTTAGAACAGTGTTAATTCGATGCACTTTAATACGAGCTCGAATTTCCAATTAATTTCTACTTACCTGAAACACCTTTTACATCTAGTAGGCCATCTCACTTGAGGATGGAATCCTAAAGGGCACAACGAGTCGCCCTTCGCGAGCGGGTACAAATGGTGCATAATTATAAATTCTGAAATAAATTAATTTTTAATTGCTAATAGGTTTGAATTTGTATCGTTATAATTGTAATAGGAAGTGGGTAAAGCGGATTGTAAAAAATGTTATATATTTGAGTAGCTAATCTAGGAGAGAAACTTTTATTAGAATTCCATATATAAATGTCTGAAAATAGATAGTTAAGATAAATAAATAAAAATAATCACTTTAAGATCGGATGTAATGGTCAGGATTTTTTAAATCGGCTGTGTTTATTGCGTCACATTTTGAATGTTTTCAAATGTGTAATGGTCTATTTCTTCCTGAAGATTGGGTTTTTTACACGTGTTTTAATACAACTTATATTTGATAGTTGCGATATGCAAGAATAGGAATTAATATGGTATTGTTAAGTAGGTTATAAATATTATGGTAATTCGGTTTGTAGGTCAGGAACATAAAGACAATATAAAACGAGAAAAAAAGTAGAAAATTTCAAGAGCATTAGCTATGAATTCCTGCTTACACTTCTGTCTATATATAGCTCCAGCTTATAACACACTTTCATATTCGCTGTTTAAACTAAAAACACTACAACAGCATTAGGTTTAAAACACTTACAGTTTCTAATTTCCAATTTTAATCGAGAAAAACACTTTAGATACTTTACAGGAGAACTCTCAGACGAACGCACTGAAGGCAGATAGGTAACATTGCAAAGACATATAACACTAACAGTCTCGAAATTACGTAATGTAACACATATCGAAATTAATTATAGAACAACCAAAAAGGAAATAGCGATTTTTTGTGTATTTTTCGACTACGAACACATAGACACGATCTCAGAAACACAATTTTAAAGCTGAGAAAATCGCCGTCGTGAGGCAAGTGGAGTGTACAACGTCATAGTCGCCTGCCAGTTTTCTTGCTGGGTACCCACAATGTTGTAGCTGAATGCTTATCTAAATTCTGGACGCTAGCCAAGTCTTTCTAAATCCTTGTTTTTTCAGAACAACATATTTCTCGTCTAAGCGTGTGCGATCGCTCTAATCATTACAGACATATTCAATCAAGTTCTGTACTTCTGAATCTTATCTTACTTCGAAACTCTAATTTCTCTAACGAATTTAGCTCGTTACCTTCTCCATCCAGAGTCAACACTAATCAAAAAACTTTATTATGCATATATATTACACTCTGAGAATGATGGGTTAAAAACCCGCGAGGCGATGATTGCGGTTTCGTAAGTTATTTTTGTTCGGACGTTTTCCCTTGGGCACGAGGTATCGTGAGTTCACGCTGCAAGTTTGAGCTAAATTAACGGAAAGAATCCAACTTAAAATAATGTAATCGATAAACCTCGACCCAAATATTAAAACGAGACGATTGCATTTTCGAAGTGTACAACTATAAATATTTTAAGATTCCAGGCCTCGGTTTATTCGAAACTCCGCGTGCCATTTAGGCTCTGCAACCCTCGGATCGATCGGATAAATTCGCCAATTTCGTGTGCCGTTAATAAATAGAATTAGAATGCTCATTTCCCCATCAAAGAATTTCCATCGGCTGCGAACGAATCGAGATGCAATCGATTCTTGGATAATGCCGCGTTTTAGGTAATACATTAATTTCTAAACATTGTTCGTTTAATCGAAGGCCGATTGTTTCCGCTTTAATTTTCACCCGACAACTTGTTGATGTTTATCGAAAATTCTAATAATTGCTTTGTTGGTTTGACGCCGATAAAACGTAACACTCCGGGCTATTACGCGATATTTTGAAATCAAAGGAGTTTCATTAAATTTAATTAAATAATAACCCTTGGCTAGAGTAGGTTTTTGATCAGGCAAATTACTTCACGCGCCGTTGAGTTACGCTCGCCTTTAGTAATTAACTTTCATCAGTCTTCTTGTTAGTAAGTATTCGTTTTGTTGGAGAGGAAAAAAAGGAGTTTAAAAAAAGCCAAACATCCTGATAATAATAAAATATATTTGTCCAGAAATCTACATAAAAAATGTGAACGTTAGAGTGTTTCAATGACGGTAATATACTTATAAAATATAATTTACAATTTTAGTAGCAGTAGACTTAAACAATTACAAAGTCGAGGTCTAGTATCAAACAATACTAAATTGAATGTTTTAGTTTTTAGCATTATTTGATATTACATCCCGTGTGGTCTGTAAAACATACAACAGTGATTAACAAAAGCTGCTTTAAAAACGATAACTAACTCATTCGAATTATTACGAAATAAAATGAATAACTAGTATGTACTCGTCGAAATCCATCTCTAAAATTAAATTTCGCGAAAAGAGAGAAATAAAAACAACGATCTCGCAAAATAAATGATCCGCATTAAGTATAGGTACACGATTAAAGACAGATTTTTTTATTCAACATTTATTTAAGACATTTATTATTTGTCTCCGAAACAAAAAATAATGTATAATGTATAATTTCAGCTACTAAATAATTATGCCGAACCAAATAAGTATACCATACAATAAAAGTTTCTTCTATCTCCATTTACACCGTAGAAAGCAAGTAAGTTATCGGTGCTCTCTATTAGCAGGTGTAAAATAAACTAGACACATAGTGAAAATACTTGAAGCACATCTTACACTTACCTATTGCAAATGAACGCAAAGAACTTTTACTCTATGGGATACCGGTAGCATAAATCACAATATTTTAAATAAAGCATGTAACACAGGAACACAAACTAAACGTAAAATAATTCCTCATAATATTTATGTATATTTCATTTAAGTTTATTATTTTTTTTTAATAAGCATTACGTATTTCTCACACTCATTATACCAAAATTAATTAACTAATTATTTAATTAAGTGCCCTGTTGCTTGTTGAACACATATTAAGAGAGATATTTACTGAACGCAGCAAGAGTTCTTGTGTCCATTCTTGGCCTTTAGTCTGGATTTCGGACGGTATTTCTCCAGAAATGCTAGTTGCTTCGCATTGATTGCACCTCTTCTTTTTCTGAAACAAATTAAAAAAAGACAACGTTTAATTCTCGTCTCAGAATCACTGCACAATTGTTCACCTCTCCAGATGCAATTAAGGAATTTCCAATTACTCCAGCAGTAAATTCGATTGCGTATTATTTTTAACGAACAATCATCGAAATTAAAACCGCTCGGTATCATATTATTTTTTTCATGACAACTGTAACGCGATATTTTTGAGGTCAAGTTCAAAATTACATTCTAATTCGATTTTATTGCGAATCTCCCTGGTAACCCGACTCATTACAGTTAAGTGAAAAGGAAAATTGCGTGTAATAAATTAGGTTTTGATGACTAAATTCCATATTAATTTATTGGAGTTCGTTAAAAGGAAGTTCGGTGAGGCAGACGCGGTTTGTGGGCACGGCAGGCACATTAAAACACTGTACGTTCTCTATACGCTCGTGATTTTTTAAATAAACTGGTAATTAGCTGGAATTAATTATCGAATCGGATATTAGTGAAGGTCAATTTCGTACTATTTTTAAGCCTGTTAATGTCGAATGGCGGGTATTTAAATTCTTCCTGTAACCAGCAAATCGAACGTTAATTTCCCATGATGTGCCGAATTGGATTTTAATTAAAATTATTGCTCAACCGGAGTTAATTGTGTTAAACAGAAAAACGACACACCGGAGTATTTCCATTAAAATTTTCAATATGATAAGCTTCGACGTTTCCATCCAATTGCATCCAACATTATTTTATTGTTAAATATTTATTTATAATGCTCGCTCCGTTTTGTGCCCACTTTCGGTAAATAAATGCTCCAAAAACCTGTCAACGATATTTTATCGTACTGTTGCATAAACAGGATGTATTGATTAAATCAGGTTGCAGATTCGGCCTGTAATTTTAAATCGAAAACACGAACTTACGAAATTCGAAAGTTTTGTCACAGGTAGCAACAATGGAAATAAATGTCACCGGCGAATCACCTTGAACTTCAAATACACGACGATCTGTTTCGAATAAGGTTTCCCACATAAATATTCCCCCAATTCGGATACACATAATTCTCTTAAAAAATTTATTCCGAAGAAAAATTGCTCATTTATGCGGAGGCTTTATTTTCCTTGCTCGATGATACTCGTTCATCGCTTGGTGTATAAAATGCAAATTTCAAATTGCGAGCTGGAATAAGGAACGCTTAATTTTACGAAGCGAAATACCAAGTACTCGATGACGCAAGAGTTTCCGAGTATTGTGAAATAAAATTCGATAAACTATTATAAACAGGAAACATTAGCAATAGTACTTACTCCCTAATTAGTTCTACAGCTTCCTCGTATTTAAGTCCTAGCTCGATGAGGGCCAGAGCCACCATGACGGGCGCCCTGCCTAGGCCGGCGATGCAGTGCACGGCTACGCAGCAATCGGGATTGTCATTGAACTGCTTTTTGAGAACTTTGAACCATTCATCGACTATTTTATTCGGCGGGAAAGTGCCGTCATCGTAGCTCAGGTCGAAGACTTCGATATTGTGGTTGTTCAGCTCTTCAACTTTGTACGACGGTTCGCATACTCTAACTACGGCCGTTACCCGGTGTTTTTTCAGCTCCTGCAACAAAAGGGACGCTGCTATCAGACGATCTCGTTAGCTGAACGAGCAAAAAAAAATATGACGACGTGTTTCCCAGACGACGAGCTATTAAGGGAGCAACATTCTCTTACAAATTTATCCACAGTTTCCGATATTTTATTAATTACGTCTAGCCGAGCGTTACAATAAAGGGTTAATAAAATGTTCCTTTATTCCCTCGTAAACTACGCCATACAAACGTAGGTTTATATACCTTATAAAACTCTAATGTTTGGGGGCATAATAAATTTTCTTCCCGAAATGACCCCGACTGATAATCAAATATTTGCTCCCGGGAAATTATATGAACGTAAATTTATTAGATTAGTAAATACGTTTGACCTCAACTCCACTGACGCGGTGTAATTAACGTTAGAAATACACACCTACAAAGCGTTGAAAGTGAATTTCACCGTGCAGAATTCGAATAAAGTACATTAGCGGAAAAATGCGTGGAAATGGAAATTATTACAGCCAAATTAATCTAACAGCATTCCATTTAAAATACCAACAAATCCAATTAGCGATGTTTGATTCCACAAAATTAATTAACGAATTCTGACAAAATACCGCCGCGGTTAATTTACGCTCGTGCAGGATTTCACGGTAACTGAAAATTTCTATACGAGAATAGTAGAAAGTGAGAACAACTGCGGGTCATGCGGTACGCAAATTCCGGTACTCTCTTCGGCCAGGCAAAAAAATATTTCTCTTCGATCTTAATTGGCGCTTTTCGTGAGACGAGACGACCTAGAAATTCAGACGGAGACGGTCGAAAATTAGTCAGCTAAGCTCAATGCCGAAGAGCGACCTTAATAAACGTATCGCGGCCGTTTGTTTATAAACAATTAGCGTCTTTTCGGGGTATCGCGTTACCGTTGAAACGCTTCAAATTGATACTAATTACTAGTTTGTAGGGTACCCGATCGACTTTCGTCGCTCCGCGACAATTCGACTAGACTTGTGGAAAAAGTAGAGCGAAGAAAGTGTTCGTTAGGAATACTAATTAGAGCGCCTTGTCGCCTGGCATTGTGTTAAATACGCCTAATCAGCATTTACGCCGAACGAAAGTAAAAAATATCCTGCTAATAGTTAAACGCTAAACGAATTATTTGCTAATGCTTTATGTTAGATCTTCAATAAGCACCAGTAAAATGCAAATTACACCGAAATTTATTTACTGTTTTGTTAACAAAAACTCGAATTTAATAAGAATCTACACGATTTACTCTGAAATTTATGGATATATTATTCTTTTATTCCACAAATTTTTTTTTCACGGGAATTTTCCCTCCGTTCAGCAGAACTCCAAGTGGAAATTTTGTTTGTATCGAGCTCTTTTTTTCGATAAAAGGCAGACACTCGTAATAATTCTATTCACAATGTGACCGACATCTTCCTTCGTAAAAACATGTTTTTTTACAAGATGATTATAAAAAATGAAATTTGAATGGCGAAATGATACAAAAGGTTTCCTATTTTTAGCCGGAGTTGGAAAGGGAAAGACGCCGACTTGATAGAAAATTCTTACTTAATATTGATTTTTCATCCTAGAGGTCATAACCCGGAGTCCGACTGGACTTAAATCGTCCTATATACTCGCGGGTTCGTGCAAAGCAACAAAAAAAAACGCAATAATTAAAGAAAACCGAGTCAAAATAATGGTTTTAATCAAAACAAACAAACTTTATACCCCGTTTATGATATCAATTAGATCTCAGTCTAAGCTATTCCAGGCTATTTGACTCTATTAGGATGGTAAAAACATGTTAATTAATGCTAATTAACAATATCGAAAGCGCACACTTATGAATAAATAATTAGTGCTCTACTGACATATTCAATTTTAGAAATATGCTAATCCCGAGCACTAATTTTAGCTGCAAACTGTATAATGGAAAAACACATTCTGTCTTCTAAAGTGAGTTAGTTCGGGAGAATATTTGGAGCTTCATTGACTTCCATCCTATTTTTGTTATAAAAAAATGAGTGACGTTTGAATTAAAGTACATTACGTCAGAAAATCAGTACGATAAAAGAATTTTTGTAGCGTAAAATGGGAAGAATGTACCGGAACTTTTATAAAGGTGACCTTTCGATTTGAACTATGTATAACAAACAGCAGGAAATTTTATCTGATGCCAGCGCATCGTCTGTAAATGTAAAACTAACAGAAAAATAAAATGACTAATACTTAATTTGAATGGATAATTATTGATAAGACTGGAAAATGTGACGCAATGCAATTAGAATAACAGAATTATGTTTGGTTGTTTGCTAATTTTCGCTGTTTATTTTGATGAAGCCAAAATATTCTATTTTCGTTATCAACGCAGTGGTTACTTGACAATAGCGTTAGATCCTGAAATAGAACTGGAAAATACGCATTTTGTCAATCAATTACTCGCCTTTTTACCCTACGTATTGTAGGAATGTTCGGTAAACATTTCAATAGCCTGAAACCATTTTTTTCACAATGGATCCAAAAATCGAATGAAACAACAGGACCATGTCCAACTATTTTGGATTCATTTTTCATCATAAAATAAATCAGCTGTTAAATATTTTAATATTCGTCTAACTCATTAACGAGTAAAGTCATAACTAATTATAAATATATTACATTATCAGCTATAGGGTAATCAGTAATCATTTAATCGGGTCATTACGAACATACCTTGGTTAATAATCTATGAAAACAATCATTAATACTTTAATGATTGGATGAATCGTTTTAATTGACGTTAAACATAAAAAATACAGTAGGCTTTCCATTGTCGATAGAAAAATAATCTTTTTTTTATACGATTTGTTAATATCTCAACTCATTTTAAAACACTTTAGAACTTATCTAATCTTAATTGTAAATTTGTAATTCAAAAGGAAAAATATGTATCCTTGTAATTCTATACAAATTGTTATTTCCCAATATGTCATATTCGTTTCACGATAATGCAGCAAAAATTTAATTATCAACTTTAAAGCTCCTACGTGTTCTCCTGGAAAATAGAATGGCTGATATTGAAGGCTTCTTTGTAAAGCTTAGGCAAAAAAAGTCCTTTGTGCCTTCGGGAAACTATAAAAAATTTCTCGTGTGGTTTTCTGGAATTTTACACTTCAATTAATCTGTTACATAGGAAATTCGAACACAAAGGACCCTATTTATTAAAAATTCTACTTAGCAATTAAGCGGAACACGCAAATTTATCTTATCTACAGTTTGCCGGTTGTTGTCGTCAAATTTGCTGTAGATACTTGTCAATAATGACCCTTTAAAGGTTGTCTATGGTCTCAGCTGATTTATCCTTAGTCAATCATCAGGTCAAATCACGGGTAATTAATAAGGGTAGGTTTTACATACCTGTATGTAAGCTAAGATGTTCTGGTCAGATGGTCTGTCGGTGATAAGAAACTTGAATCCTTTGTGTTCGATTTCAGCTGGAGCTGGTCTGATGTCCTTTTGACGCATGGCTACTGTTGTTCCTTGAGAATTATGATTCATACCCCGTCGTATACGAGTTAACTTTAATATCACACTATTTTAGAAGACCGACTCAATAGATCTCCAAAAATTAAATTTTAAAAAATAAAAAAATTGATTAAAAGATCAGTCTTTTCAAAGAAATTTACTGTTTTTTTTTCTGTTACTCTTTTAAATGTTATTTATATACACTTGATTTGATATGCTTCAGCAAATTTAAAGGAAGAACGTAACCAAAATATCTGTTAATGCAGTATGACAGGATTACATATGACGATTTAATTTATTTTGGCTTCTACTAATGAGGTAAATCGAAACGTTTAGTGATGGTAGCCTCAGGTCTTTTTTTTACCAATTTATTTGTGTTGAGCTTGGCAATATTCTGCGCTGTCCAACTGGAACTCCATGTATGCGAGCACTGTCTCACCAAAATACTGAAAAAGAACAAAATGTACATGAAATATCGCTCTGATCTGCCTAGTGTTCATCAAAGATAAGACATGACGCCAATTTACTGATAAGTTTCGTTTTAATAGGTGTACACGGTATGCTCAACGTTACATCAATAAAAAAAACTGTTACATAATTTTTCGAAGCAAAAATTACCAAATGTATCGATAAATTTATCAATCTTCTCTCAAACATTATTTAAAAAATAAACGTATTTAAGTGATACAATTCGAATTAAACAACATGACTCACTGCTTGTAATAGTAGTGTAATTAACACCGAATTTACGTCATTTCATTAATATAATAACAAGCATTCTAACTGAACTCACGTCCTCACGGGAATAATGGCTATAACTTATCGGTTTGTTAAACATTGGAAAAACGTTATCTCGAGTTTCTTTGATTTTTGTACAAGTATGTCTGTGTTATTGGCACAAAGTTTACGATAAAACACTTTATTATTCTATAGAAATTGTTTTAAAATTAACTACATACTATAACATCTTTGCTTATTGAACCTTGATAAACGTACAGAGATTGCGTAGGAAATACCTATAAACAGAGTCGAACTGAGATGGTAAATATAATTTAAAAAAACACCGGAATACATAATTTTTTCTTACTAATGCAAATTACTTTAACTCAACTCCGGATCTGTTTGGAACAAATTATTTTTTACAGGACAATCCTTTCAGTTTGGGATATGTGATAAGCAAGAAATTAAACACAGATTATATATGATTATAAAATGACACTGATTACCGAGCGATAAGCGAGTTCCAGGCAATACTACCAATTTCATATTTGCTATATAATTTATGCATACATAGACCATACGTAACCACAAAGCATTAAATGTATTTCAAAATCTCGAATTGCGCAAATGGTAGTAACAATACAATTTTTATTATTTAATGCTTTATTTATATACCCTGCTTTAATTGTCCATTGAAAAATAGTAATTTAAAAAAGATATTAATTAAATAAAATCATACATAGTGGATCTCAATTCAATTAGCTGGAAAGCGGACAAGAATATTGGTAAATGCACTCCGGATAATTGTGCCATTTTTAGAAGTAAATTAATTAAAAGATGTTAGTCGATATCGATCGTACAGGTTAAAAAAATTGCCTAAGTTTAGTGAAAGAAAGTGAATCTTACCTAGATTTGGCATTACGTTAGGAAAATCACTTCATTCTAATAGTTTTTTTTGTTTGGATCCTTCTTATTTGGCCCTCACACTTCCCGTGTACTTTTTGAGTATACAATTGTGGGCTGTTATATATTACTACAATGGTCCGTAATTGAACTATTGCCAAACATCGCTCAATTTTATAAATAAATGTCAAGAAACACCATAATGTCACCTTGCATCAATAGATGTAAATAATTGCTTTCAATACCAGCACGTGAGTTGCTTTTAAATAGAAACAATAAAAATCGCTGTTTTAGCAAATTTTTGCAAAACTCCCGCAAATGTGCGTTGTCATGGCTTCGTAATAACATGTTTGCCAGTATAAAATCTTTATACAATAGAGTAATATTTATTTGGAGAACAATATGGGTAGGTAAGTCGTTGAGAAAATTGCTGCATTGAGAACACAATAAAAATTACAAAATGGGTAATTATTAGTATTACCTACCTATAATAGATAAGCACATCAAATGTTTTGAATTGGTTAGGAATGCACAATTTAAAATACCTGCCCAAATTTCCAGGTAGGAATTTTTACTGCATTCCTCCTATAGTCATGCAGATTATGCTTACAAGGAAAATTTCAACTTTCAGGCGATTTAAGGACAAGACTCCACTGCACAATAATATTCTACTTAAAGTTGCCGGGATTAAAATTTTGAATAGAATTTGGTATTAAATTACCTATCCCAGTTTCGTGAAATAACTAGTTTGGAAACTTAGCCAGAAAATCTTATTGTATGTAAGTAAAATAACGAAATATATGCGAAAGTCTGTAAATCGAGTTAAGGACGATAATATGAGAAAATAAATCAATACAGAACAAGCAGTACGAACAGGTATTCAACGAAATTATGTACAATTTATTATTTACAGCTCGGCAGAAAAACGAGACGGTATACATAAATTTCCCCGATTTGTATAAATACATTTGAATTTTCGATAGGCATTTTACCGAATCAGACAAGCATCGCAAATTCCGGACCGTACGGGTTTCGTTTAATAAATAAGCGAACAAAAATTGCCGGTTAAATCGAGGTTTATTTCGGTAAATTACTATAAATATTTTGGTCGAAATCTAAAAACGAGGCATTCAATGAACGTCGCATTTATTACCGAAGCTCCAGTGAATTTAGCAGCTGTCCCACATGAAGTGAACTTAATTGTTTGCAACTTGCATTTAGCGGGATATGGCCATTTCAATAAACATATACCCTCCGAATTTGTGTGTGTGGAGATAGGGAATAACCGAGCAGGTTTACATGCATACTCGGTTTGTAAGCAATGTTTGTGTTTTCGCAATTTTTAAATTACCGAGAAAACAAGATTATTCAGGCAATAACGCAGTTGCTTCCAATTAATGCACATAAATATTTTGTTTATGGATTTGGTTCGGTAAGAGATAAGTATTTAGATGTTTGTTTTGTTTTGGACAGAAATGCGTTTTGAAAGGTTTTAGAAACGCCGATAAACTATACAAGCTGAAATATATCGGTAATGTAAGTGCATATGAAATATGCAAAAGCAACTTTCCAATGGGATCAAATATGATCTGTGCATTGAAATGAATAAAAGATTAGAAATATTCCGTTTATAATGGATCAAAAACAAAAATATTTGAGTTGTATTCTAAACGCAAATATACCAGAATCTTTACAACATTGTTAATCCAACATTTTATGAAAAAATTTGCTTATTTTCTAATTCATGCCACGAAACAAAAAGATAAAAATTATCAATTTCGTTTATTCACCGTTCGTTATCTACCTATCGACATTTAAAAATTTTATTACCGACGTGTAACCTATTCGAAATCGACGATTTGTGAAACAAGTTTGTGAAAATTTGCGCAATTTTTCGCAACAACTTTTTCTAGCGAAAATGCGTTTGATAATTCCGTTATTAATTCGTATACTAGTGGCAAACGAAATCGCCTATCATATCGTTGGATCTATTTTTAATTAATTTCTAAGAATAAACCGCGTATAAGTGATAGGGGTAAACACACTTTTATTAATTAAAGCCGATTAATTGCGAGCAGCATTCTAGCAAATGGAACAACGATGGAGTTAATTAAAAATATCCATCACAAATTCACGCGAAAACTATTAAACACAGACAATGTAGACGTAAATTCGGTGTCAAAGACCTGAATGATACAAAAAATTGAGTCTGGAATCCTCAATACGAACGTCTGGCATTCAAAATACAACAAAGAAAGCCCGTGATCAACGTTAGAAAGGCATTTACAAAAATATTTCGAAAACGGATGCTCGAAAAATTCGAATATTTTCAAATTGTACACAATCTTACGAAAAATCCAAAGAACACTCACCTCTGTAGCCATACACATTGAAAATAAAATTATCAGTTTAACTTCTTGTATCCACAAAAAAACGTGGATTTTAAATTCTCTATCGATACTTTACAACGCAACACCAAAGCTTTTCGCTTTAGTACTACAGGATGGTTCACTTCACCAAGATGGTTCTCCTCAGAGCCAGTCGATTGACGTCAGTTCATGCCCCACGTCCCGCCCACGGGGTGTGACGACTTCACCATTTCCCTCTATCTCTTACACCCATAAAATCCCATACGCGCCTCTCTCTCTTCTTACGTCATTTAAACGGCTATCAGTTGTTGCGATTCAGGCAACACTCATTACATTGATGTTTAGTGTGTAGCAGGTAAGGATTTTCAAGTCGAAATGCGAGGCCCGAATCGGGTCACCCTAGATTTTTGTGCTCAGGCAATACAACAAACACTAGGCTTGTACAAAGGACCCTCGCATGGGACAAGAAATGATTGAAAGGCATTGGAAGACATGAAGTTGTTATTGACTGATTTAGTAACAGGCCATTTGAAAAATCATTACCATAATCGTGTGAGGCTCTTTCTTGACAGTTGTTTAATTGTTTAATTTGACAGTTTTACATTGTTGTTATGGAGTAACTAAGGACTTTGTTTATGTTAAAAAGACTTTAAGGGATTAATTAACGTTAAAGGAGCGCTGAATAATATATGGTCCATTTTAGGAGTTAGTTCACAATAAAACGCAATTGAATTTTCAGAAAAAAATTTAATAAAAATGAATATAAAACGTGAACATATCGTATTATTTGTTAGGAACAAATCGGATTCTACAGATACAATTTAAAAAGCGAAACACATACAATCTTAGATTAAACAATAGTCAACACCAAGAACATTCATCTAACGTTATATGTATTTTATTAATAGATTAACGTGCATTTGCCGAACAGAAATACATACTTATTGTTAGGATGAATTATATAACACGCAAATTTTTTGAGGTAGTAACATTTTTGTATTCAAGCACTTCGATTTGATAGTTATTTAAGATCATTAGTTAATATGGCTAGCAAGTTTTACGAGCTACTTAGCCGTAATATACGCAGATTTGATACATTATACATCGATATAGTACATTTTTAGAATGTTTAAATTGAGGTCCCTAAAATTTGTTCCGCTTATGTTCACTACGATTAAAACTAGGCTATTTAATAATAAACATTTACGTTTAATTACATAAACCGAATAGATTCCAATAATTTATAGATGAATTAAATTATATTGTATTTATTATATTATATAGCCTAGTTGTTTGAACGTCTCAATTGAAAATTATTTAATTTAAAAGGGTAAGTGCCATAAAATAAATAAATAGAAGTAAGAAAAATAGGAAAATAATTTCTTAATTTTCTAAAGACTAAAGACAATACAAAAAAAATATCGAGAATGTGGTAAAAATACTAATGGGGTTGATTAGCTACAAACATTCCTAATAAAAGCACAAAGCTCTATCTAATTACATCAAAAAGAACAAATAAGCACGCCAAAAATTTTATGCTTTTATCGGATGTCACGCAATAATTAACCTTATCAGCCCCGCTATTCCAGTCTTTCAAAAAAAAATTAAATAAAGATGAGTATACTTTACGTCACAAAAAATCTTACAAATTTAAAGTCTAATTTATCTAACGTATTAATTAATTTGTAATTCGGCTAGAGTCACCTAAGTTGTATGCAATAAGTTTTCATGTTGTCGATAAGAATTAGTTTTTAGGTATAAGAATTTCGGTAAAAATTGCTTTAGACCAAAGGGATGGCGATTAGTAACATTACGTAATTTCTTTTTCGTATTTACAATGCGAGAAAAACGAAAAAAACATTGTTGAGTAATTTCCCAACTGTTAGAGTATTGATATATTGCACCCTGCACGTGTATGCGATTGCATTATCACTTAAAATTAGAGAATAATATATGAAAAAACGAAATTTCTTAGAATATCTCGTGGAGTTCTTAAACTTTACCTTGCGCTAATTCTTATAAATATAGTTAGTTCTCAATGAATTAATAAATATAGCTGATTGTTTTCATTGTGATGATATGTATTCAACAATTCATGAATTGACTTTTACCCATTCCCTTTGACCTAATCGATTAACTAACGTAATTAATTGCACATATTTTTAAGTCTAGTCTACAAGAATAAATTCTTCAGCGAAATTTCATAAGATAAAGTTTGGACTGATTTAGCCCAATATCTATTTTAAAGCTAAACGGTTATTTAAATCTTTTCGGATTTCTAAGTAACGTTAAAAATTAAGTTAAAAATATATTGTCACAGTGCACTAAATAAAATGACAATCACTAACGAGGTGATGTGAACTAAGATTCAAATTATACAAAATGTACGGATCCTTTAATGTAATTTAACTAGTAAAAGTGTAGTAATAAACAGAAAAAAAAACATTGTAGAATATTTTAAAGGATCGGTACATTATTTTTTTTAAATAATAGGCAGTATTTAAAAGCAAATAATAGACAAAAACCTTCCACCTTCTTAAAATATGCTATAGTTAGCACTGAATTGATTCTCCTACGAAGCAATTAGTTAAAAATTTAATTCTATTGAACTCTCTACGGATAATCTCCCGCGCGAAGATTTCAAATATTAAAAAGTAGAATAAATTATCAATAACATACACAATTTCTTCGTACACAAGTTACCCGATTAGATTTAAGTTTGACTAAAAGCGCGTCTAATTGCAACGATAGTTGGATGAAATTAAGTGCATGGAAGATTGGTCTATTATCTTTTAGGAATTTGTTTAATTAAGAGCCCCTCGTCTTGAGGCTGTTATTCACGGATGGATCCAGTTCCGATAGCGGGATGCTCTTGGGCTCCACAGACGCGTGACTGTTGGGATCATCCGATTCGTGATCTTTAGAATCTTGATTAGCCAGCACCGGCTTAGGAGACTTGGGAATTTCGTAGGCGCTAGCAGAACTCGGATTCCTGGTATGACGACCAGTCTCGTGCTTTTCCTCCATAACTGAAATCAACAAGAACCAATTGCACCAAACGATTTACTATGGTTAAATCGTATACTTACATTTGTCTAAACTGATAATCGATCCAACAATTTCGCCAGCGGTAATCACTTTATCTTCGTCTAATTGCTTGCGATGCCTCACTAACCACCAATCCACTACGAATATTCCTAACGCCAGGGTTTTAATACCGGCACATAAACCTACGTATCTATATCTAAACTGTTCTATATCGTAGAGTAAACAGCGTCCGCCTTTCTCGCCGCACGTGCTTTTCCACAAAAGGCACGTCGAATCGATCAAATTCCCGAACAGAATCGGAGCCGGGATGTATCCGAACAATCTGAATATCACGAATTGCATGCCTAATGCAAATGATCTTTCCTCCTCATTGACCGATCTGCAAACGAAGTTAATTGGTTAATTGGAAACGTGGGGATTTAGTGACGTGTTACCTTAATACTATCATCAACAGAGGCATCTGGGTGACTGCCACAATAAACGTCATAAAGAATAATAATATCAAAAAAGGGTATATGGTATGACATGAAGAATTACAAGGACCTGCTGTTGCTACAGGTACGACTGTAACTTCAGCGTATTCGCTCTCTAATTGCGAAGCGAAACTTATGGACGACGTTAAACCATCTTTAATTGTCACATTTCCATGTATACCTGGAACAGAACGATATTCACACATAACCAAAAACCAAGAGATATACAGGTTGCTCCATTTTTGATCGCAACATAGGTTATATAGGCCATGGGTTCGATAAAGACAACTTTCATTAGACACTTATAAAGGAAAAGGCAAGAGTGACATTTGTGTCATTGCAACTTTTCACTCTGACAACTGTCATTTTAATAATCTTTCTTTGTTCCATTCATAGAAATGACCACGTGGCAATCGGAAATGGAGCAAGGTGTATTGTACTTACAGGCACAATTGGTGTAGTTTGTACTTAAAATAGAAGTACAACCAGCATGACAAGGGCTAAAGTACGTCAATCCATTATTGCCACATACAGGCTCGATGTCGGTGATGCTGCACTCGCAGCCGAAATTACAAGACGATGTTAAGTTCACTTGGAACGGTTGCGTACTGTTGAAGTACGGAATCGTAGTACCAGCCATCTTTAAGTTATCACATCCCAAAAAGAACAACAGCCCGTAACATAGTAGGCATATTGCGTTCGATATTAGAACGAATTGCACCGCACCCTTCGGCCTGAGTTCCATCTTCTTAAGGATAACACCGCCCATGAATATCCCTATACAGGCGCCAGGAATTGCAATGGATCCTTAAAAAAAACCACCATCATTGCGCGGAAAATCATAATTAAACAACTGTATTACCAGTAAAAACACTAGCTTGACTTTTTCCTAAACTAAACTGAGTTTCCAAGTACTTTGGTAAAAACACGACGAAACCAGACACGATAACCAGTTCCATGCAGGCGCCCAAGCAGGTCACCATGTAGATGGGGTTGCTGGCGAGGCGCCACATCGATTTAGGGATGTCCTTCACGTCTTTCCCGTAACCCGTGTCGTTTTTCACGGCGGGATTCGAGGCGGCGGCGCTGGTGCCGGCGCCGGTGGCCGCGGCGGCCTTTTCCATCAGCCGGATTTTCTCCTTTTCGTGCGTGAGCACCTTCGGAAACGAGAAGAACGGAATCGAAACTATCACAAGAAGAAACCCGCAGAGCAGGAACCCTCCCCACCACATTCCCACCCATCTGCTGTCGCCGGGATCTGAAAGGATGTCGCGAATCAATAGTAATAGTAGCGATTCGTGGAATATGTACCTATTGATATGATGTGTGTAAAGGAATCCATGTGGAAAGATAAGAGATATGCACCAAGTAGGAATCCTAATACAGGACCGAAAGCAGCCATGCTGTACATACAACCTAAATGGAAAGAAAATTAGTATTTTTTATTATTAAATAAAAAACGTTGTAGTGATCACCTATATAAATTGATGAACTTTCTGGTCTAACGTGATCATCAATGTACGTAGTACCGAGTGTAAATAGAGGTGATCCTCCACAGCCCAACAGCAGTTGCGCAAGAACGAACAATAATACTGGTCCTGTAGTTGATGGTGTACCCTGAATGCAATTGTCACCTCTGATATTATTCGGCGCCAGCGGGGGCGACGACAGGCCCGAGGACAATCGCCCCAGGCCCATGTCCTGCTCGTGCACGGATATCGTCCTGCACATGTTATCGTCGGTGTTGTTGGCGACGGCTATGCCACTGTTCTCTTCGGCTATGAAATGTGGCACCATGAATATGAGCGAACCTATTCCCATTATAACGGCACCGACCCCGATCCATACGGGGATATGTCGCCGACTACCTAAGTAACTTACAAATATAACTGTTATAACGTTTCCTATTTCATAAGAGGATGCCACCAGACCCGAGAGACTCGATGGTATTTCGAAGCGTTTTTCTATAGTTGTTATCACAGAATTTATGTATCCAGAACTTAAGGCTTGTTGTAAGGTAACAAGGAATGACAAGAGTAGGACAAAGAACTGAAAAGAAAACAAACGGAATTTATTAGTGTCGTGCTTTTATTAGAAATTAGATTATCGAATCGTGTTGGCACAAAATTCATTCGAAACAACAATTTTCAATTGACATTTGTCCTATTTCTTAATTGCACAAATGCGATTACAATTGTCCATGTGCTCCGATAATTCAGTAATTACTAACGAGTTCAGCATTAATTCGAGCAAATGTACGTTTATGAATTCAACCGATCGATACCAAATAACATTATTACGAATTTCAACAACTCATCGATCAAATATCGAAGCGATTGTTGTCGCTCCTATTGCTCACAAGGATATTTTTGTTTTAAAGAATGCAGAAAACTAAACCGCAATGCTTCTTGTTGTTGTCGAACAATAAGGTTTCGTCTGAATTCCGACTAGGTTACTTCGAAAAATTACAAACCGACACAACAATCAATTTTGAAACAGCGAACTTCATTGCTGAATATATCGGTAAGTGCAAATTTGTTTGCAATATGATCGATTATATCAGTTGAACAAAGATTATTAAAATAACAGTGGTCAAAGTAAGAAAGTTGCAATCCCACGATATCACTTTTTCTTTTTCATAGGCCATATTGCGAACAAATTTTCACTTATGTGTATATTTTATAACATATTTACAGGGCGTTTTGCAAAATTTTGATGGGGATGTGGTTGAAATACGAGCTTTTTATAAGATCTTATCCATTTTTGGGAGAACGAAAGGAGGTGAAAATTACAGATTTTAGGCGGGTATAAGAAAGATTTATTGTTTAGGTCGAATCGATAATGAAAATGAGGCCTATTTTACTAAACTCTAGCAGCGAAGTCGCACAGGAAGATTTATAAATACATACGTATAATTTAACGGTTAGAGTTCAAATTTAGAAGCGGCACTAAATTAAGATAGCACTCAAAGTATGTATTAAAAAACGTTTTTAAAAGACGTTTAGGGATGCCGCCTTTCAATACCAACAGGATTAATTCTTCAAGTTTTCCATTCGTTTATGTAAAATTTTCTTTAATAAAAAAAGGTTTTCGGAGCTTGGGAAAAATAGCTGCTTACTTCCAAAGTAACAGCCCGATCGAGGAAAGTTTTTCTTTGAAGCCCCGCCACATTTTCAAATTAAGAACCAGATTAGATTCGAAAGGAAAATTCTCACTCACCCTAATTCCAGCATATTTTTGTATAAACGACGGGCGGCATTGAAAAATCCCGCAATCCTTTGTATCTTTTAATATCACAGGTGTTTCGGTGTAAGTCGCTGTATGCGCAGCTTTATCTCTATCAAAACTAGCCGACGGGTTTCTACTGTGACATTTGATGACAGTATCGTGGCAGAAGTTCGTCGAGCACTTCGTCTCGGCTATTTCTGCCTGCTCCGGGATGGCCTCCGAGTACAAACCAGTCATTGTGTACATGGACTCCTGCCTGCGGTGCCCCTTGCAATGTCCCCCTTGAGCCGCTGAGGTAGATGTGGAGGCCCCATGGCCCGCGTCCGCCCCGGCGTTCCCAGCAGCCGCACCGCCTCCGTTGCCAGTCATTTTGAGCTATGATGCAGCCCTGCAGTCTACGCGATTTTGTTCATAACTATTCTGGTTGTTATCTGGAAAATGAAATAATTATAGCGGTTTGTTTGCAAGCCTAATTGCTTGTTATAATAGACTTCATTTCAACGTGCAATAAAAGGTTTTTTTTATACGTGAAATGCGTAGCTATATTGAGCTAGGAATCAGGGTTATTATTAGGTTTTTGTCCGGGGTTTTTTCTTAATTAATTCGCTTAATTAATTTTATATCGAGTGTAAAAAAAATTGAAAAGACCTTCGTTAGCAAGCTTTGAGTTTCGAGTAAAGTTTTCGCATTGCAGTTTTGCAACTTCTTCAACAGGAAGCAACTTTGGTTATCTGGGTTAAAGTTTTTGCTGTATAGCGGGTATCGAATATTTGCATTTGGCACATGCACTTGCTGGGACGCATTAAATTCAGTACTTCGCGGCGTGATTAATTACAGGCTTATCGACAAAGAAAATGTTTTCGATATTCGCGAATTGCTGGAAAATTTCCGTTTACAATTTTGAGATTGCTGAGCGATTCGTTGCGGCAACTCGCTCTGAATCATAAATAAATAGTTGAAGAAATTGTTTTGGTGATATTGTATATTTTATTCGAATGAGCCATCGGAAAATTGTCACACAATACAAAAGCAACGGACCTGTCATGTTGATTTTATCCATTTATCACCGTCGTTATTTCCCTACGCGTTTATTTTAATTAATATTTTTTTCCATGCAATGGCAGGCCCAGCTCTCGCTCCTCGTTTAAACGTAACGATGGCATTTTTCTGATAAACGAGTTCAATTTTTCCTATAGGATTCGTTATTTTTTTATCTATTTTTAACTTCCAATAGTAGACCGCTACCAACTTTTCATAAAAAAAAACTCCCTCTCGTTTGCAGAATGTTTTTTTAAGCCCCATTTTATTTTTCAACTAGTAGATTTTTATAAGCCCTAATGCGACGAAAAAATGATTGGATCCATCCGACGCCGGCAAAAAACTGCTCATAATTGGAAAATGATATTGAATCTCACTCGGAAGAACTCCTATTCCGATAATGCGTAGGGGCGAAAACCGTATTACTTTACTGGCAAACGGGAGAAAAAAATCGACGCGTTTTGAATTTCATCTCGCGGATTTGCGGGAGCTCGCCCACGTGTCGATAAATATGTTTTTCCTATACATATATCTAGAACTGTAATTACGGCAGGCGACGGGGAAACGTACCGCGAAATTGTCAATTAGCGGTGAATCAATTTTCCGATAATACATAATCGGTTCTGCTCCAAAAAAGTAATCAAACAATACGAGTATCATAAATCGATTATTAGGCGCGAAGCACGTTAAGCAGCTAACTGCCTTAAATTTTAATGGAAAGATTGATTTTTTTCATACATTATGTATAGGCTGTACGCTTACACAGAGGGAAATAGATATCTAGTAATATGAGTTAAACAGAGAAGCACGTAGTACATACACTGTATAAATAGGTGTACACTTGATGGTTTACTTTTTGTAGGGAAGAATCAATTATTATGTAAATCCAAACAATACCCAGACAGACTGATGTAAAAAGAAGCAATTTAATGAAAAATACGGCGTATTTACGTCAGACTAGATATTGTCTTTTTTACTGCACGCCATTTAACATTTTATTACGCGGCTTTCACCGAATTCAGTTGAATTTTATTTGGATATACCTATGAAATTCACCAACCTACGAACTTCGGATTTCTGAATTGAAAAAATATAAGTAGAGCATCGCATGGTTTTTGTAACACTTTCACGCTTACAAGAAATTATTAAGCATATTAATTACAGGCGAGTGATGTAATGTTAAATTTAAATTATTTTTTTAACGCTGTTCGTATATCGCAAAAATTTACTAAACAATTGCGCTTTCACTTGCGAGAAATGACGTCGAGGGTTTAGCGGATAAACGTTCGCGATAAAAAAAAATAGAAAATCTTTATTGAAAATTAAAACAACGGATCTGCATCGCAATTAAATTGATTATAATTGAAAAGATAATTGAGTTTACATTTTGAAGCCGATATCGCATTAGGAAAAAGATATAACCGATTAGAAATGGCACATTAACTCTTAAACTGTACTCGACTTAGGCAGGAATTACATTAGGTAACTGTTTTTATTGGTTCACAGTTAAAATTAATGATTATTACTTCAATAAATTGTTTTTACAACGATATTTTGAGAGTCAAAACAGATGCATATTTTGGATTCTTGGCACGACACTAACATTTTTTCTGTTACTTATCCTTTGCAATCGAAATACTTAGTTGAATTTTAATATAAAATAAGCCTGCTATTTACATAATTATTCTAATATTAGATACCCCGTGTATAGCTCGATAAAAGAGTTAAATTTTGTTTGCAAATTGAAATGCAATCGCAATCGTATTTGATTTAGGTATATAAACTGAAATCGAACGAGGAGGGTTAAAATAACCCTTTGTCCACTACAAAACGAGGGTCAACAAAATATCGAAATTTCCATAAAGTCCAGCCTCGCCTGAATATTAATTGAAATTCCAAAAAGAGAACAAAGCAAACACAAAAACTTTCTAAAACCAGACGCGACTCTAATAATCTAATTTTTATTAAACGTAATCGCATCATCTTGTAACACCATTGTCAATAATCATCGGAAAATATCCTGACACAGTAATTACATAAATATTAGGCGAAAAAATCGAATTTTCTACTCTTGTATTTCTATTATAGGAGAGATCGTTATCGAAATTACACGTGGGCTCGAGAGAGGCAGAATTATATTTAAAATGCACGCTCTGCCGAACAATTCGGTATTAAGTAATGCACTAGAATTTACCATAACTGTAAAATCAATTAGTCGAAATGATTTAATTCTGAATTACGTGAATGATTTTGCCAATGTTCGAAAACAGGTCAGATCGCAATCCGCCCACATCGGTTGTCAGGATGTATTTCCAATAATCTAATTTTCTATATGATATCATATTTTCGAAAAGTCCACTTCCTATTTCATGCGAACGACTATCAATTTATTTGCTTTTGATAAGATAACTATGTAGGTAACGGTCGTAAGATTTGTTAAGTAATTGAGAATTAAAAAAAATATCGCATTTAGTGCTTTTTGTTACATTTTTAGGCGCGGTTTGGGCAGGTCTTAATATATGTATTTACCATGACACTAACATTGCAGGAATTAAAAGGCTTGTTTTGTAATTACAACATGAATCACCTTTTGTTATTTCTGTAAATTTGCTGGATTATTAAAAATGCCTTTAAACTCCCCAAAACAGAATGTTATAAAGAAATGGTGAAAGTTTACACTGCCTACGAGTATATTTATAACGAAATATTCGAATAATAAAAAAGTGTAATAATTAAATCAACAATTCATATCGGTTCTGACTTATATTTGATTTAAAGTATAAATAATGAACTAAATTTTCATGCGATTAAATCCAACTAATGTTTACAATTAATTTACGTCTAACGAATCCAAATGGATCAATTGTACTCGTAATTATTAAACAATTAAATTAAAATTGCACATTATTCCCAGTTCATAGGTCGAAAGTACTTTAACCTGTTATTAAATAAATTAATAACGCAGTTAGTCATGTTAATAAGGCAGGATTAATTGATTATTGTTCCGATGAAGAAGTCATTATATTTTTGCGACGACATTGCCGGTAATAAATATTTCTAGCAAACATTGTAACAACATATTTTAAAGTCCCACTTATTCGCGTACAATGCGAAAAAAAGAGTAATTTTTCGTAGATTAGAGTAGAAGAGAAGAGAAATGAGTAGGTAATTCTAATTTATGTAATTATTATTATTATTAGGTATATTAAAAGAGAATATGTACTTTTGCAATTATAATCTTATTTGGAGCAAATATTTAACAATTTTGTGGCTGTTTGTGAACACAACGGGCCGGAATTTTCCCGTCTTGAAATATGCACTAAAATTTTTCTGTTTGTATTTTTGTTTTCGCTGGTAACGGATTTTTCTAACGCGCATTGTCGTGCTGCTTTATTTAAAGCGGCTGGAACTCACGACATCCACCCGCCCCATTCGCGACACCCCCACGCAACCCTTCCTGTTACGAACCAAACACCTGGACTTTTACAAGACCAAAAAAAAATAGCTGCAGATTAATCGAAATTAGGATAAGGAATTTTATGAAAAGTTCAGTTTTTAAAACGCAGTTGTGGGCGGTTTTTAATTCTTACGGTGCATAAGCAATTTATGTATCAATCGAAAAGTAAGGCAATTTAAGTTGACCATGACTTATTTGCTACACAACACTACCGTGTTATGCAAAGTAAAAAGTTAATTGTAACGAGATTTAACCTTACAAGAGAGCGAATGTTGGACCGCATTTCATTCTCATTGGTGCGCTTTTTTAGATTTTTCTATTGAACTTTTATCGATATGTTAAATTTAAACAATCAGACGGGTGGACTTTGTATTCTGTTTAATATTTATAACGTTATTCTTGTTAATTCTATACGACCTAGTTTCGCGGTTTCTTGCAGAAATTAACTGTTGTTCGTAATGTTGTGGGATATTTCTTACAATCGGATAATATGTTTATACAGTTACGATAGCCGGTATAGCCTAATTTTACATCATTCGAATTCATATCGGATTTCGTGCAATCCTCAAGTTCTGGACTAACTACATATACCCAACTAATAAAAGTTTCGAATTATAGAAGGAACTAATGCAGCGTTTTTATTGATTTATTTCGTTTCTCAGTAATCAATCAAGGTCACAATAGAATGGAAATAAGTTTAAAACTGGAAGTAATAGTAACTTTACGAGTACGATATACACATAATCGATATGATGTAAACGAATTAACACTTCAATAAAAGGTCATAATGTTTGTATTGGTGTATAAAAAGAACGTTTATTTACATAACGAAACCTCCCCTAATGCTGTACACTAAAATATAAAACTACATCTGTCTTTTTGTGAACATGCGGCGCAATTGCTTTACTTACATAAATAGAATACAGCAAGTAGGCAAACGGATTTAACCCGCTTTCAACCGAACTCGCCGAAATAAAATGTGGATTTTCGTGATTCCTTTTTAGCTGACGATTAGCGCATTAACATGCATGGTTAGTAAAACGCGTTTTACATGACTTTTTTTTAATTCTTTGGCGATACATTTCGCAGGGTTACAGCCTGATTTAAAATATCAAGGCCTCGATTTTCTTGTTTGCGCGTCCAGTCAGGGCCGCTCGGCGAATTTGAAAAATTGTATAAAAAAATCGGCTCTTACCTTATCAAAATGCGGTAGTGCATCTCGCTGTTTGCGTGGAAATGGCCGATTTAAAATTATTTTCGGGCTATATAAGTTGCGAAAATGCCGACTGGGAAAAATTTCCACGTTTGTATTTTTTCGAATTTTATCACAAGTTCAATGAAATTGTTTACTTTTTGATATCTTAAATTATTCATTACTTAGGTAAATTCTTTCTTTCGTAAATACGCTAAATATTTAATTTCTCAACAAACTCGATATAAAATAAAGTATATCCACTTATTTAAAGAACGATTACTGCTGGAATAATATAAGTATAACCTTAATATATTATACATAATAAATTTAATGTATGGGCTTATAATATCAATAATATGTTGAAAAGAAGGAAATTAGTCTTACAATTCACATTTTGAGATTAAAATTGTATCAACGATTGGTTTCCTAATATTACTATTTTGATAATTTTGTTGACAATTTGAATAACATAAATTAATTTTGATGGGCTCGAAGCAAACATATTTTTCAAAGAATTGATAAGAAGATCCATTTAATTCCGAAGTTAAATATCTATAATATAAAAATGATAATTATGCTACATGTAAAAATTTTTATATTCGAATAACTTGGATTTTATTAATACGTTTTACAATAATATAAAATGAATTCTTTCGATTGAATAACACTTCCCTATGTTAATAACACGATTAGTTGTTCCATTATTTATTAGATATTTTGAAACAGAAAATAGGAATTATAACAAAGGCTATGGAAACAATATTGTGGATTAGCAAAGGTGCTATTTAAAATTAAAATTAATATAAGGAACCATGACTAGTTAATACATTGTTATAGATACCCAGCAGTTGACAATGAAATTTTGGGTATAAAAAATCTGTTACTTCACTGAATAAATTGCGTTGGGGAAGTGCAAAAACATTAATGAAAGTAGTTCTACTGCTCCTAGAAAAGCGCCGTTCACTTTACAATGTTACCATTACAAAGACAATATTTTAATGTTGCAACAGTTCGGTCACAAATCTCACGAAACCAGATTAAAAGAAAGAAATACTTACTGCAGGAGGTCAACGTTTCATCACCATGGGCATTTAGAAAAATCACTTATTTTTACAAAAATTCGTTCTTAATTTATCACAACCCGGGGGAGATCACAGAAATCGTTTCAATCATGTTTCAATTTACCTAAAACCTAATACAGTCCATTGACTAAAACTCGAAAAATATGCGAAAATAACAGAGGGCACTTGCACCAACTCACAGCTGTGTGCTGTCAGTGCGACTTTACTTGTGTACGACAGATCGCCAGAAGTGGGATCTCGCGCATTCTTCTACAGTGCAATCACCATAACAAGAACCAAAAGAGACAGTCACCTCGCCATCGCCGACGTCGCAGTTGCCGCAGAAATTATTCGGACACAATTACAGATTTCTCTACTTAAATACATTAGCGACACCTGCAGGGAGTTACACGAAATGAAGTCTGAATCATGATGGATAAAGGGAAAAATCATTTCTACGGTTCTATACGTTCTGTGGTCGACACGTGTCATTCTGTCATGTTCTGTGAACAATAAATTTGGAGGCGCCATCTTTTTTTGTGGCGCCACATTCTGTGGTCCTTCGAGTCACAGACCCCATACTTCTAGTTAAATGCTTACGTCAGGTAACTGTACTCATTGTTTTTCATATGCATGGAATGTCAATTAGATGGTGCATGGAAATTATTTTTTGCAATATTTGAACTGTATTTTACCACCTTTAAAAAATACTCGAGTCATCATAGATGACACGAAATTTTTTAGAAAAATTGGACTATGTTATGTAATTTTGTTGATGTTATCGATACCTAATGATTGATTGATAAGGAATAAATAAGATTTAAGTTTTGATTAAAAAGATTAATTACAAGAAATTCCGTGACTCATTAAACCTTCGTTGTTCAAAATATTTTTTATGTAATAACACGAAAGTGGAATTATAAACCAATTAATCAATCAAATAAGTTCAAGAAAAAGGAGTTCGAGATTAATTATTTCCGAAAGAACAGATTGTAATACCTTAAAAAATATTGATTCCCATGTAGGTTCAATCTAATTATAAAAAATTGGGCCAGTCAAAATGATACTGATAATTTTACCGTTGAAAGCAAATTGGGTATTATAAAGCTTTCCTGATCCGATTTCGAACGGAATACTATGTGAAAAATTGAATTAGATGAAATAAAATCGCGTCCAATTTTTCGAATTAATGCTCAAAAATCTTCAGCATTTCTTTTTTTATAGCTAATGGGCGGATTTCCACATTTTTTAGTATGTTTAAAAAACCATTCATTATCTTCTTTAACATTATCTGATATAACTATTATAAGTACTGTTATAATAATGAAGTAAATAAATAAAATGTCACCTCCAAGATATTTTTTAAATGATCGATTTAATGACAACTTCTAATAATAAGGCACAACTTGTAGAATGATTAATTTGCTAATAGGATAATGGGAAAATTCCCTATCACTTCGTTTATTATACACCATATGACCGAAAGGAAATTTAATTTATTTATGATAATGAAAACGGTTTCTATTTTATATCTGTATTAATTAAGGTATTAACTAATAAATATTGTTTACTTTCGCCTCGAAAAGTTCATTATGAAATTAGAATCATGTGGAATAAACTGACTACGTCGATATGAAGGATTATTTTTTTTATTATTCTTATTATTTGTATTCGAGCTTTTCCGGTCCATTTCTAATATGTATAAAATATTTATGGATTAAACATTATAAGCAAACATCCCTGAAACATATTCTCATCTTAATATGGTTATTTATGAAATCATATTGAAATAAATTAAAATATATTGCAGTAGACTTCTGAGATGTTAAAAATGATTTATTAATTTCATACGTTATAAACTAGTAGTTACAGCTACTGCCAACTGTTATAGCACGCAATTTTATAATTAGTTTGTCAGGATAAATCCAACTGGTAGTTACAGGTGAATTTATTGAGTGAAGTAAAATGTCTCCTTTAAACAAAGGTAAAAGTTATTAATCCAAACAAACAGAAAAATAAAAAAAAATATGTCTTACAGGAGAATTTATTGTATTTGTGGATTCAATATCAACTCATCCAGCTTGAACGTTGGTGAAAATATATTTGTACATACTATTTAAACGTAAATATAGCTCCAGAGATCATTTATTTGCAGGATATTTGTGAATTCATTTGAAGTATGAGGGCCACATTATTTAAATAGCGCTTTCGATTCGTGAGTTATTCAGCAGTGCGCTAATTAAAAACCAGTGACGAGTGTTAGTGGTTAATTTGTATGCCATTTTATTTATTTACGAATGTTTAAAAGTGCGCCAATTCTAAAATACAGTGTTAAAAATTGATAAGTGCATTATGAATTTATTAAAGATTGTTGTTTTGTAACTAAGTTAGATTAAGTTTCAGATAAGTTTATTGGCTATAAAAGGTATCTAAAGATGTTGGTGCATTTATTTTACAAAGGTTTTTATAATATGCTTAAGTAATTTCAAAAATAAATGTGTTGTACAATTTTATTAAAAAAAAATAATACACTCAATTAGGCTTTATAAAAGTAGCGATTGATAATTTTGTATGTAGGAATTCCGAAATATTTCACGTAAGAAAGTAGTAAAATATCTGGATGATTGTTCTCTGATAAATCAATTAAAACACTTTGCCTAAACCAATCTTTAGTGAGCAATATTATCTTTTTGCGCCGACACACTATCAGTAATTGCTATCATCGGCTATCAACTTAGTATATTGAATGCTTTCGTAAAATGTGTTGCGAGCGGTGTGTGTCAATTTCATATCATTCCTGTGCCGTGTCCAATCGCGCCCTTACAGCACAGTGATGTTCTCTTTGCTCGTTTTGCTCTTTCTTGGCGAATGTTCGGCTACCGCCGATTTCAATTATAGCATTTTACTTCAACCGTCATTTAAAGAATCACAACCTTGCTATGAACTTCCTAGTACTTGTAATACTAACAGCACCGATACTGAAGATTATTGTCCGCTGCACAACGGGACAAGTTGGACCCTGGAAGTTGCCATCATCCTTCCAAACGATCCTTTTTATATTATCAATACAAACAGGGTAAATACTTTTTTTTTATTCATATTTACTGTGATCTTATCGAAATAATATTGTTGAAATTGATGTTTGTTTCCAAATTGAATTATAATAAATTGAATAACGACTCTTTCTCCATTCAGATATTATTTTATTAGCAATAGCCTTTGAGAAATTGTGTTGATTTTAAATAATTTAAAGTTTCCTGTAGATAATTTTGCGAAATATAATTGTTTTATCAGTAACATTAAAAAATCGTCAATAGCTTTTCTAAAAATAAATAGATTTTATCGTTTAATAAACTTTAGGAAGTTCCAAGTTGTATGATTCGATTTGGATATTTCAAACGATTTTTATTGGTTAATTTTGGAATACCTCTCAAACGGAACAGGTTGTAATTGTTATGAATCCCCGGATTATAATTTAATTGTTTAACTTAATTGATCTTGAAATATTTTACCTACAGCCGCTTACTTCAAACAGTTTAACGATAATCCATTAGCACATCTATTTACACAAAATTGCTGGAGAATGAAAATGTTAACAAATTGATCCATCAATGAATTAAATTTTCTCGATTGTTTATGCCACCGTTAAATGGAGTAATTTATTTTTTTTTTAATTTTGACCTGTAATTTAAGAAACTTTGATAAACTTAATATAGTTATTGTATTATAGTATTCTGCAAATGATAGAGCTCATTAAAACTTGTGAAGACGTTGAGAGGAAACCAAATATTATTGCATGGTTAATGAGGAAACTCCGAGTATGCAACCTGAGGTTGATACCTGAGTTATTCAAGATTTAACAAACTCGCTATTGTGTTATCTATTTACCAGATAAAGATATTTCGTTAACATTGTTAAAATGAAATCAAAATGTGTAAACTTAAATGGTTCGCTGTGAAAGTAAAAGATTTGAGAGTTTTAACGACCGAAAGTATGCTACTCGCATTCCAATTTACATGTTAAGTTGTAAATTTTGGTGGATTTTACTCGCAATAAAGTTAAATAGAAATGTGTAAAATAAATTGGATGTTTGAAATAAAATTGCGAATATTTTATTACACATATTCCTCGAAACATAAATAGCTGAATTACATTATAAACTGGAATATTTGATGAATATTGTCGCAAAGTGATGGTTTTTCGTTGTAATTTACGAGACGTGCAAGAACTTTTTGGCCTATTTTAAAACAATCAGAAACGGAGCTCTTTATGCGTGAACACAAAATTTAGATTATTTTGAATGTATTTTGTGCTTTGCTCTCGCCCATTTCGTTTTAGCTGCGTGTGTCTATTAACATGTTCGTTTCATTCGATACGTTCCGAATTGCCTACCTATTATTTGCCCTGGTAAATTCCGACCTGTTATTCGGCTTCTCTTTGACATGTGCGACAGGAATATTGGGTAACATTATAATTTTTTATTGGACCCTTGTTAATTTCACGTACATGTACACAGTTAAATATACTTGAATCATAACGAGGATTCTACGGTAGTTATCTTTTATAATCTATATTGTAGCTAAACATTTACAATGTATATTTTTATTGCAACTTTCTTCCTTTATCTAATGAATGAACAACTTCAATGAATAGATAGCATAATTGCCTAATTATTGGAGTGAAGTTATGGGGTGAGCGCATTTTTTGCTCAGTATTTAATAAGGAAGGCATTTATTGATTATCTTTTACTAGCTCTTTAAGTTTATGAATTTTGTATAAGTAGTTAAATCCAATTTTATAGTCTACTTGTTGAATTTCCATGCTTGACTCCATCCAATTTTGTGCTCTTACTTTAATATTCATCCATATTTTCACGAGACTTCAATTTTAATTTGCTAATAATGAGACAAAATTGTGTTTTTATTGGAAGATTGTAGGTATTTGCTTTCGAAAATTGGGTCAATAATAATTTGAAAAAGGTGATACCAAAATAAACAGTGCCTACTTGATATTTTATTATAGAATGTAGTACTAGAATTGAGGTAAACATCCAACATTTTCATTTTTATATCGAAATATTTCCAACGAAATATTATTCAATTATTTATTCTCTTATTTTTAGTTAATATGCATGTTAAACATAAAACTTAACAGCTTACCTATGCATGTAATTTGATTATCTTATCCCTATGATTCATTGAATATTAGATGTTTATTATTTTTGTATTAAACATTACCACAAACGATTTGGTTTACTTTATACGAGCTAAAAATAGATATTTTGTTATCAAACTGTTCTAAAAAAAGTATACCTTCTAAAGACAATAGAACGTTTCGTAAATATAATAAAATCTCAAATAATGCAATAAATCGAAAAACCCTATAAGTAAAGATAAATAAATCGCAAAATAAACATTTGATACGTAGTTAAACAATTATTTTATAAATCAAAATTGTTTTTTTTTAACTTTGTTTAACGCGTTTTAAATATTCATATTTTATGCTCATTCATTCCGATTCCGGTCCATACATAAATAAAACACGAATTTCGATCTAAATGTTTACGATACACTGAAATCTTCAGATTGAAATCTTCCATTTGAAATCTATAAATCTATTTACAGAATGAAACTAATAAAATTTTGACACGAATCTAATTTAGAAAAATCATCCGCAAATAACATCAGATATGAATTATTAAAATTTGTTTGTTTCGCTCTAATCTCGGCCAGGCCAATTTAGGTGTCCATAAAATAAGCTTTCCTTCACAACGTCATCGCAGTTTGCTGTTTTATTTCAGGCAATGGAAACTTTGAAAGAAGCTGAAAACAAGAGCATCCAAGCTGGCATGCTTCCCGCAGAAGTAATTGTTAATTACAATTCATTCAACGACGATTGCAATCAAGGCAAAGCCACAGGAAGTGTTGTTCATGCTAAGAAAAAATGCCTGCACGCTCTGTTCGGACCATCCTGCGATTACTGCGTCGGTAAGTTGTAGATAAAATAGATTTTTGCGTGACACCTTGTATGTAATTTAACTAATTTAAAATTGGGTACTCACTTACACATTATTATGTAATAGTGATAAGATTAATCGCGAGTAATTTGATTAGAAGCCGCTTTGATTTTTACTGGGTTACTTTGCATTGATTTTTTTATCGATTTACCCGATTACGAATTTCTAGCTACGGTCGGCAGGACGGCCAAATACATTAACACAATAGTCATGACGCCAACGGGCTTGAGTTTTGATTTCACCCTGCCCAAGACCAAATTCGACGATGAAATGTACTTTCTGATGAATCCGGGAAAGGCGGATTTTCGAACGTTCTCGGAGTTCATCCATTTGATACTCGATAGGTAAAAATTGGGGTGCTTCGCGTACGAACGCTTTTCTACTCGCGCATAAACGTTTTGAAGGTACAAATGGAAGAAGCTGGTCGTCATGTACGAGAAAAACGATCAAAACGCGGTCGGCGGCGAGAAGACTTGTTACCTGGCCATGGCAAATTTAATCAACGAATTGAGCATCGATTATGTCGACGGCGATTTGGAAAAATTGGGACTCGATTACACCGAATTTTTCCGAACCAAAGTCGGAGTAAACTACGGAAGTGAGTGAATCAAACATTTCATCGCTCCAACTCACACTGCATCTATTCCAGTAATCATCACTTGCGCGAGCCACGAGCGCATCCGACAAATAGTCATGGCGGCGGCTAAATTGAAAATGATGGACAGAGGAGAATACACATTCTTCAATCTAGAACTCTATAATAAGCAAGTATTTTCGTTGTAGCCCGTACGTAAATTATTATACAGCAAATCTCCCTCGCAGCGCGCCCATTCCTTCTAAACCTTGGATCATGCCCAACGATACGAACGAGAACAACGAGCTGGCCAAAACTGGATATAAAGGAGTCTACACGTTCCTCCCGCTGCCCGAAACAAACTTCGAAACCGTACAAAACCAAAGCACGCCCGGCCAAATGTGGCTGGACGGAATTTACGACGGCTGGTTGATGTTCATACAAGCCCTGAACAATTACACCAACAATTTCACCACCAACAAGAATCTCTTCGGCTGCCAGTTGCTCTACGATATGATGGGCAGGTCTTACACAGGTGACTAAACCGACGCTCGATGCCTCATTTACTCACGCAATCCGTTTAATTTGAAGATAAATACGACAAACAATTCCAAATGAATTGCAACGGATTGAGAGTGCGGGACGTCGGCCTGGTCCACATCAACTCCCGCGACGAATACGAAGTAATGGCCGTGTATTCCACGTCTAATAAAAAAATACATAAATGGAACGTAACGTGGACGTTAGGCGAGCCAACGGACACGCCGAAATGCGGATTCGATCTGTCGAAGTGTCCCAGTGAGTGGAACTCCTTGCCAATTTCCGTTCTGCATTCGATTAATGTCGTGTTTCAGCTTACGATCTCGTGAAAATTCTCGTGGTCGCGCTCTTCGTGGTGGTACTCCTGGCGCTGCTGGTCGTCGGGTACTTATTTTACAGGTAGTAATTACGCGTCGATTATTAACTGATTCGCTGAATTGCCGGTTTTTAATTCAGGCACATCAAAGTGCGACGAGAAATCGAAGCGAAAGTGTGGAAAATCAGCCACGAAGATATCATGTTTCCGCCTAGCAAACCTCGAGCGAGTTACTCGTCTTTCTGCATCAAGGTAAGGAAAAAAAGTTCGCTTCGTATAATATTCCTCTATCAAAAACTCGTTAATGCAATTAATATTTTACTCCAGAAATTGTTATGAGCCTATCGATCATCTTATTAATCAATCATAATTCGTTTCGTGTAGGTACAAGATGAGTTACGTTTAGGCTCGACCAGAAGCGGCCTTTCCTGAATTTATTCCTCATCATCAAGGTTATTAAATATGTCGACATTGAAATTGATCCGCTAAAATATTATGATTGCGTTTTACGCGAAACAATTGGGTTTTAATTAAAAATTAGCCGACCATGTGAAGAATATGGGAGATAGTGGTATCTTCAATTTGTGCATTATATCCATTTGGATCGTGAGCTGAATAAATTTGCGTAAGGCTAATTTAATCCGCGGCGGGTGAAAAAAGCCAGGAGTTTTTCCGAACGTGCGAAAGCATAATTCATATTGAATTCGTGTATAAACAGTCGCGTACGGACCGAGTGCATTCAAACCTCGAATGCGTACCATTTCTGTTTTGAATTTACACCAGATCGCGACCTCATTTTAATATTCCAGCTGGATATTGTTACACCAAAATTGCACTATTAAGAATTGTATGAGAAATAGTGCATTTTCCATTAGGTTATATAGGTAATAAATAAAAAAATATGTAATAATCCTTGCAGGATTCGAACCCGATACTTCCCCTTTACAAAGCTGACGCTGTGAGTATACAAGAGATAATGCAAGACACTAAAATTACTAACACAATTTATTTCATAATTGAGTAAAACTATCGATATTCGATACAACCTAAATAAATCACCGAAAATTGATGTGCTAAAAAAAAACAATTTTATGAAGAGTAAAATTACTAATTTCGCTAAAAAACCGGATTGAATGGTGACAAAACCATAAAATCGCCTATAAAATAAGCGATTTTCACGCGCAATAAAGCAACAATTAACCATCTTATTACAGCACTTACAATAAACTTATCTTACATAGCACATTTCGAGCAGCAACTTCGCATTTGACGATACAATCTCGTTTGATTGCAGACAGAGGTGGATGGATTCAGCTTGGTCGGCGACAGGCATCATTCGTACGCCATTACTGGCCTGTACAAAGGCAACATGGTGGCCGTGAAATATTACCAGGACCTCAAAATCGAATTGAACCGCACCAATCTGTACGAGCTGAAAGCCATGAAGGACTTATCGAACGATAATTTAGTGAAATTCTACGGTGCTTGCTTCGACATCCCCAATTGCGTCCTGAACGAGTACTGCTCGAGGGGCAGCCTGCAGGACACTTTGGAGAACGACGACGTCAAGCTGGATTGGATGTTCAGGATCTCCCTAATTATGGATTTGGTGCGTGGGATGCACTACCTGCACCGGAGCCCCATAAAATACCACGGCGCATTGAAGTCTTCGAATTGTTTGGTTGATTCGCGATTCAAACTGAAAATAGCGGATTTCGGATTGCAATTTCTCAGGCCTTTCAATGTTTCGCAGGAAGTTAGAGACGACTCCCACGAGTATTGGCAAAGTGAGTATTGATTTCCAGTGAGTAATTATTAAACGCGCGGGCACGGGGTTTATGTAAAATAAATAAAATTCATTGGAATTTTAAATGTCCGGCAAATATGCGCATAATTTATTAACGTTGACAACATATTTATTTGCGATGTTATTTTGTTGTACACGACGTTTGACGCATTAATTTAGCGACTTATTATGATGAATTATTATATATGACCTATATTTGATTGTATTCCTTTTCGTAAGCATTATTATTAAATAAATATTATCTTTTCTGTTTTCGAACAAAACATTCTCGATTACATAACTTTTTAATCATCTAAAAATCTCTTTAAATCATTTTTCGAATAACTCGTAATATTTGCAATTATTCATGTATTCAAATCTAAAATTTATAATTGGAAAACTTTTGGAAAATAAGACGGATTGTTGGAAAGTTTTTCTGGCTAATAAATGTATATCTCGGTTAAGTCTCATAAAGTGCTACGAGTGAAATTCGACATTCTTTTTCATTCTCCAACTTTTCACGGTAAATTTAAATGAAAACGAAATCGTTGATTTGTAGAGATGTTACTTGAATTTCAATTATGTTTCATTCCACACTCGCACTTCCAAAGCGCACTTTCCTATCTGCTTTTATCCAACAACTTAATCATCATGGCTTTTCCACAGCGCTGTACACTTTTTGAGATGTACACAGATGATGAGTCTCAGGCTGTGTGTATATAAAATCGAAAAAAAATTGACCTCGCACAAAGATTTTCCGGCATAGCCGACTGCGTGACATTAAATCCTCCAGCAAACAAATTTTAATTCATTCTTGTGTTCTCCCGATTTCGCAATATCGAAAAAAATATCCTTCGAATATGTTCTTATCGAATAAAAAAGTTTCCAATAACGAAGGAGAAAGCGTCAATTAAATAAAAATTTATAGCGTTGTGTTTAAGAGGAAATAAAAAAAAATCTGATGCAGGTATTTTCTGCAAATTAAGATAAAAAATTCAATATTTCAAACATATACAAACAAATCCGCATTCCGCTTCTAAATTCGATACATTTCGCATCGATAACTGTCAAGTTTCGGGATTGCTTCGAAACTTGGTGTGAACATGCACATACATAAAATCATTCCCTGTAATCCAATTCTCGATTTACGAAGATCTTCTCACAATGGCTACGGAATATTGATTGACGCACAATGGAAAAACTGATTCATTATTGCACTCGCCCTGGATTAACTGGAAACTTTCAATTCGATGCTTTTTCATCGGTGTATTCGCAGTTTAATTAAAATTCCGTCATAAAATTTTTATACCATCAGTTCGGTGAGCAATGGCGTTTGCTTGCAGGGCTTTTGTGGACCGCTCCGGAACTTCTTAAGGATAAATCTGCTCCTGCGACGAAAGGCTCCCAAAACGCCGATCTACTGACAGTGGCTGCTCTAGGCTCGCAGAAGGGCGATGTTTATTCCTTCGGCATTATCCTCAATGAAATTATAATGAGAAAAGGCGTTTTTTATTTGGGCGAAGACTGCAATATGAACCCGAAAGGTGAGTGGAAATCTTTCATACACCAACCGGTCTATAAATTAATAATGAATTAACGAACGGTTCGAGTATTTTATAGTCGATTCAAATATTTATGGCATCCTACTTGATGCCTAATAAAACCATCCATTTTACGACGCTTTTATTTTACTCGCGCTTTTGCGATATATATTTACCAAAAAAAAAGTTTTGATTCTCGAAAGCATACAGGAAAGCGCCATAATTCGCCGTACCCACTAATTGTAATTAATGAAAACGCCTTGATAAACATCGAAATTACCAGAGTTGATTAATTAAGTTTTTGAATGTTCCCGGCATCCCCATTAGCACCGAATTTCATTATCGGTATTATTTCAAACCTTCCGCACTTCCTGCAATAGTCGAAAATCGCACGGAATCCTGCGGAATAAATCATAATTGATAGGATCTCATTAATTCCGCGTCGCCGAAATAACGGGAAATCCGCAAATGAAAGTTCCACATTCGCAAAAATTCCGCCAATCTGGATCGGATTCAATTAGGACATCGATGCATAACGTTTACATTTTTCGGTTATACAAGGTGAAACGTAGCATTTACCCGGACACTATTTAAGTGGTTCACCCTGTATAACGATGTAACTAAACTAGTTCAACGTGGAATTTGTGGGAGTGGAATGGAAATTCGCCGAAAGTTGGCTAATTTAATTTTAATTAAATATAGTTATCGGGATTAAAACAGTCGCGTCGAACCTGTCTTTTACTTCAAAGAGGTGATTTCCTTGTTAAAGCGTAACCGGAAATCAGGACGAAAAGTAAAAGTGATCCATAAAACCGTTCCTCCCCCATTAATCTGGATTTCCACTTTCTTATTCCTTCTCTTATTCGTTAATTAGAACTTCGGCCACAATGGATCCGCCAGGGATGAAAGAACCGGTTGGAAAAATATTTCTATTGTCGAGCGGGTTGAACCGAATAAAACTATAATGTAGTTTTTTAATGGGTTGGAGGAAAATGCCTTTCTTCCGTAACAGCAATGAACGTTTAACGTTCTAATCTGGAATAGCGGAAAAGCTCCCAGCTTTTTTTCGAAACCTCGCTATATTTACTGCTAATTTAATGGTTTATGAAACTTTTGCAAGCACCAACAATGGGATATTACCGTGGATTCGATTTATTTCTGCAACGCGAAACATTTTCCCGCGTTATGTTTCGTCGAACTAAGCTCTTATCAGGGCTGTATGCAATTTTAATGCAAAAAGTATTAGCGCACTTTCGGGAATCAGTAATACTCTTAAAACTTACTTGATTCCAGTGTAATGCACCAACCATATCGAATAAATTCGAAATTTTTATTAAATATTTAGAGCCACACGGAATTGAATATACTCTCATTGTGAATATGTGTTTAGGTGTTAAAATATATTAATCGAAGAGAGTAGTACAGTATTTTAGAAGATAGTAGAAGTAGAGTAAAAGAGAGTACAGTATAGAGTAGTATGGGATAGAGTAGTTTGGGGGAATTCCAGCGTAGCATTAGTGCAGTGTTCGGTAACCAAATTTTTGGTGCAGAATTTCGGTATCGAATTAATCAGGTAAATTCCGGGGCGCATAATTTGGAGTAGTTTGAATTGGTTTATGTGGATTTTATTTTAATCCGAATCCTTGAAATTGCATTAAGAAATTTTAATAAATATAACAACGTATATTATACACCAAAGTTATAGTACTGGAAGAAATACTTAGTAGTAGTTTTAAAGGTAAGAAGGGAGTATTTTTAATTTTTTTCATAATAGTGAAAAAAAATGTGTTGCACATTAGCTAGGCGATGAATAATTGGATGATCATAGTTAAAGTAATAGACGTTTCATGGGCTATTGGTCCGAAAAATTCGCCTGTCCTGTAGCATAGATCGGCGCAAAAACATCGATTTTAGTAGGGAAACTGTACTATGTCCGACTGTGGTTTTAACTCCGGTCCGTGCTATTCAAAAGTTGCAGCATAACGTCCGCCGGCTGCCGGTTTGCCGCTCGCATTTCGCCACACTTTGGAGTTCGAGTTCGAGCGGCGGCGAATTGAGAATTGAGCGTTAGTCGCACGATGGCCACCACGCTGTGAACATGACGAGTGGCAGCGCCAGGCATCCCGGTCTCGTGATGTCGCTCAATCTGCCGCAGGACAACGGTAACGGCAAGGAAGTGAGCTCGTCGACTTCGCCGAGGCGGGCGGTCAGCCCGCTGCTCGAAGTCAGGAGGCCGCACTGCACTATTAACTGCGATTACTGTAATGCCATACTTGGCGACAGGTTTAAACATGTCCTTGCTAACCAAACATCAAGTAAATACCATTTAATATGTTATTGCTGATTTTTATTTAGTTGTATTTTTGCATGGTTATTGGTTTTATTTTTGTATCTAGTAGTTTGAAAGTTTCGCAAACTTTTTTTTGTATTATACATGCATATTATGTTCCTTATAAAAAAAACCAATTCGACGGCTTACTTTTACTGAGTAAAAAAAATCGTTATTTTTTCCATTAAAATTTTAAATGAGCCGAGATATTCATTTAGGGTGGTTTTTCCTTTAAAATGGATAGAGTTTTTTCGACTTCCGCTTCACTGGTATACGCCATGTCATATTATAAGCTCAATACGAACTCTAAAAGCTTCGCCGAAGAAATGGTTTGTCCGTGCAAAATCTTCTTATCTTTTTTCACCCGAACTCAAGTGGAGTATTTTCATTAAAAAAAACCGCGCGATTTAATCATAGTTTTGTTGGTTTTTTGTCGAAGGTTGCATTCAAAAGCGCTCTAAATACCTCCGCGAAAATATCGACGGTAAGCATGCTATTATTATGTAATTGTTTAAATTTCCCATCCGAGAGCTTTGCTACACTATTTTGATAAAGACTCGAGAGGTAAATTCCAAAATGCTTTTGAACCGAACTTGGATTAATTAGAATTTAGGGTCTTTCTGTTCGAAAAAACAATCAAATAAATTGTTGCGAATAAAAAACGGATTAATTCGTTTGAAATTCGAAACTCCCTGCTCCAATATGATAAAGTTTTTAACAACACCTTTTCATGGAAAGTTCAGTTAAAAAGGATATTCATTCCGCGGATTTGAACTTGAAGTTCGACTCGTCCATTAGGCTAAATGCAATTTTGCAATGGAAGTTCGCGGATTTATTTTTACGTCGCAAACTTCAAAATAGTATTCATACGTTAAAGACTTTCGGCCGAATTTTCCGCAAACTCTCCGGTTTTAGACACAACATACTTCATACACCTTTTAGATCCAATTCGATTCCTTGCAAGGTTGCCGGGAGTGAAATTTCGCAGGTACCTTTTTTATTCGCCCCTCGAGAATAACGGAATTATGAAGGACCATTCATCCGAGGCGTATTTTTCGATTTATTTAAGACCGTTGACCTGCAGATAAAATATGGCCGGTTTTTCCTCGCCCGCGTCTCAGGTAAAGCTCGGACCTATTGTGTCGGGATAATCCTTAATTTCAAAGGGGGATTAGGCGTTTCAGGGCGCCCTGTACACCGTCTCATTTGACTTTTAGAAGGAAGACAATGCGAAGGCAATTAAAATTACATACTCTGGGGCATTGATCGGGATCTAATTAACTTTATCGGATTAAATTAAACGGAGGAAGGAAGCGTGGTTTGTTGAAAACAAGTCGTGTAACTACGAAGTACGAGAAACTGATGCTAGTTTATACAGGGTGATTGTAGAATTCAATATGTGTTTATTGTGCAATTTTCGGGATAATTAACATTCCTGCCGGATGGCCAGCATTAATGGTCAAAAATTCGGGGAGACCCTCGCATAAATCACAACGTAATTGTCGGCACTCGAAATAATTTCTCCAGAGATAACCCTCGAAACACCGACCTGTGATAATAATTCATTAATTTTTACCCTGAATTATTACTCCACAGCTACAGCAGGAGTTAAAAGTTACGTATATGAATGTAGGTTTAGAAAGGAAAGCGATTGTAGTAAAACTTTTTTTAAAGGTGTCACAATACATTATTTAGTCGAGTCGGTTTTAATGTCGAAAGTTCAAGGCAATAAAAAGATTTGCTAAAATTCGCACAAAACGACGAAAGTAAAAAAAACGCTGGAAACATGACGTATTGTTGAGGGAAATATGAAAACTTTTACGAAGTAGACGAAAGCATTTAAAATGTAGTAAAAGTAAAATGACGTTTGCGGTTTTACGGCGTAATTCAAAGTTCAAAAAACATTCTGACTTCACTGAATTCACATATACACAGTCATTTCTACACAAGTTCGCGATAGTTAATAACTGTGTATTAGTGTGTACGGCGAATGCAACCTGTCATCTACAGTTGAAACATTAAAACATTAATTACAAATTCTCGCTATCTACCTAGCGCCCCGTACTAAAATATTCATCAAAAACTCCAATGCAAAGGTCTGTAAGTATATGGCAAGTCAAATTCAGGGTATATTCCGTAAACGTTTTGATCCCGCGCGTTCTATTTTTGAAATTATGGTAAATGGGTAAACGTAAGTGCTTCAAGAGTGAAGACACCTTTGCACCTATAAAACTTTAAGTTGCCAATATTATGCCCTGCTTCGCGTATGCTAAATATCAAGGTTAAAATTCCTCGCTTTGTTTTTTTATTATATTCTTGATTAATGGTGTATTTTGTGTGCTTTCGGTAAGTACACCGGTAGAAAGTTTAAACTAGGTTGTTTCAGGAAAATTTATCGTAAATCCGGCTATATTTAGATTGTAATCATTTATTCAGAAATATTCAATATTATTATCCTTTTATATCTACTCACTCTTATTCTACTTTGTGAAATATGCATTATTAATTGACTATTAACCCAAAAAATACGTAAAAATTTGTATTAAATAAATTTGTACATTTTCTCATTACCTACATTACATTTTAAATTCCGTTTTATTAATTGCTGATGCTAGACATCCTTTTTGCGACTAAAATCGTTTAAGGTATTTAACGAAAATCCTGAAAGTTAATTAAAAATTCTTATTACCTACGTACAATTTTTATTACATTTTTTCCTGATTCTGTGGTTATTCCAAGTTGTAATTTACAATCCTTCAGCAAAAAGCATAATCTAATTAAAATTGAGCGCTACAAAATTTCAAGTGATTGCAAGTAAATATTAGAAAATTTTTAAAAGTAAATAGGAAATACCGGTTCGCATAATTTAAAGCTTCATAATCAGATTTCCCCGTTTTGAAAATCGTTTTTTATTCAACTCTATCCATATCTTATAATAAGACGATTATACGTTATTGAGTACCTCCTTGCTTTTCAAAGAATTTCTATTCACTTCAAAAACATTTTAATCTCTAATTCTTAGTTCTTGTTCCTTTGAGGAGCTTATTTTCGTAACGTCAGCTTTGCGATGGGAGCCGCTTACAAGTATATACTGCTCATTTTTATTTTTAAATTAAAATCGGATTATTTTTTACATTCAGTTTGCGTACACTTGTGCTTCCTCCGAAATCTGGGCAATTTTAATTGGATATTTTGCATGATGAGCGAGCTTTACGTAAAACCAACACAATTAAATCGACCCTCCGCCAAAGATAAGTAATAGATTTTGAGATTTCGAAGCTCAATTTCGCGTATTACACTTGTAGTTGTTTCGCTGGAAGGCCGTTTCGAAAAAATGTGTTTTTTAAATTCCAACGCAAACAGTGGAAAAAAAGCTGTGGGTTCGGGCCCTGCGGAGATTACGACAAATAAATGGAATGTAAACGATAACATTTTTATTTCAAATTTTACTTTGCATTCGACATCATCCGAATAAAATTTTTAATAAATATTCCCGCTCCGTTTTCTGGAAATTGCCGTGTTGTGTCCCACATTTGCTTTAAAAATGTATTCTTATTGGGATTGTAAATCGAAATGTCTTTTCGGAGATAGAGAGGCTCGGAACCTTTAATTTCCTCCGGGAGTAATTTGTATATTTTTCGGCGGATGCGTGACTGCTCATCCGCCAAATTTCACTTTCCGATTAATTTTTTATAAATACGCGCCATTACGTGTTGTTTTTCGAATTTTAGCAAGTGTATATTAAAGTGCTCCTGTCATATAGCGAGCCTGTTCTAAAGGGAGGTAAAGTTTCGCGGATGAATTCCAACTTCTGTGGCGTTGAAAACTTTCGAAATCAATCTTGTTGACAGTACACTTAATTGAAACTTTCGTAATTTCAGAGTATATGATATTAATGAATTTTGATTATTACATTCTGACCGTCATTTGGGGCTCTTCAATTTTATTACGGTGGATATCAATGTTTTGAAAAATATTGAGTTTTTGCGCCTTTATAGTTGTCATAAAATGTAGGTCACGTAAAAAATATACGACTGGCTTTCCGCCGAGGAATCCACCAAGCGATATTCTCTAAAATATGAAATTTTGATGCAAATTCGCTAGTGTTAAACATACATTTAGAAATAATTTGACAGAGCCAAATCCCAACATTAATATTTTTATAAGCGTTTATAAATCGAGCAAACAAAATAATTAAACTATAAACTTAAATTTCTAGGGTGTGAAAAAAACGTATAAAAAAAAAATAAATATTAGAAACCCGACTATATATAATCCTAAGGTGTTTGCAGTTACCTCATATAAATCTGAATTCATATTCCGGTAAAAATTTCTTTCGAGAAACTGTTGAATAAACATGCGATATTTTCCGCATCAACAATTCCCGTCGAAAAATTCAACTATGTTTAAAGTGGATACATTTCAGGTTTCTTAACCTAAAGGTATCAAGTATCCTTTCGCGCGTTTACCTTGAACTTAGACATCTTCATAAACTGTCAGCAGATATGCCAAGTAGACTACAAAAAATCGACTACACGTACATAAAATTTACTCCACTGGATATTTTATGCATGAATACTTTCTTCGATACCGGTGAACATTACGCGTGATTATTCCCAGATCGGACGCATTAAGTATAACATGCGGCCAGAATCATGCCAATCACATTGATTGCTTCAATAATACAAATAGCATTTCACCGAAACTCACGTTTGTGTGCAGTGCAGACCTTTGTGTGAAACAATTCGGGTGGAATTCTAAAAATAATGCTGCACCAACAAATAGGTGTGGACACACTGTATGGATCCGGAATAATTAAATTAAGTGTGTATTTATTGATTAGTAAAAAAAACGACATTGTTGTTGAATTCCCACCGAATTCCGTACATTTGTTCAAATAATAGAGGGAATCATATCAAATTGTTTTATCATTAGGAACCAGATTGGCTTGTTTAATATTTGTCAACCGGGATTTATGTTAAGGATTGATAATAAACGCGCGGATTATGTTGAGTATACGAAAATTAATTGGATTAAGATAAGATCCGAAATGGTGAAAAACAGTTTTTTACTCGCTATTTCAACCCGGCGAATCCCGTTCAACGAACTTTCTGGTTTGGTAAATTGCGGATTCTTGAACTATTGTCTCCGCGTACACCAAATGGAACAAAACAGGTAGAAGAGTAATTGTCACGTGGGCGAATGAAATCAGTCCAAGCAATTTTCTATCGCTAAAAATACGCATCAGGAATGAGCTGATTTTTAATCCATACGGAAGCTCTCGTTCATAATTCAATCACCCGATTGGATTTATGTTGTTTCAACTCATTAATATGGATACAGGAACATTTCGATCGTGTGTTTTTCGCAAAAACACATAGTTTTTCTTAAATTACGTATGCGCATTAATTATGAAACTGTAACAATATTTTCTCGTCGATTGTGATGTTTTCCAAAAAATTCGAAACTCCAAGCGCAAATAATAATAAGGATGATGTATTGAATCTGTTTATCGGAAAGAATAAACTCATTTAGTCGGATGAAGAATATGCAAATGCTTCGTACTAGTATTTTGAATAAACCACTCAAATTGATGAAAAACGAAGTACTAATAAAATGTCTAAAATATTTGACATTCGTGCAGTTGATAACAAAATCCTACTAGCTAAAATATTTAAGATTCAATACAATATTTTTTGTATCATAAACGTTTGTTAGTTGAAGTCGAAAAAGGTCCGCGCTCCTCGACAATTTGTAAATCAGTGTCAGGTTTATAGTTCTTGTCCCTTTCAGAATCAATTTGCATACTTATTCAAATCCGAAAGCCGGTCGCTAAATCCGTCTGTATGCAGATATTTCCTTTAAGCATTCAAGTCGAACCATTGTTTGAAGGCTCCATAAAAACCAGACGGTGTTTGTTTTATTCCCGCCGATTCAACAGCGCTTTCTTCCATTTCAGAAATCGTGGAAGCGGTCAAGAAGGGCTCCGAGGAGACCGGCAAAGCGCTGAGACCCATCCTGGGCCCGGACGGTCTCTGCGAAGATGACGAAGTCGAGAATTTGATGAGAAGATGCTGGGCCGAGGACTCCATAGATCGCCCTGACTTCGCAACGCTTAAGAACAAATTGCACCAGCTCAACAAAAAGTAAGCAGACATTCCTCCTGTTGTTTCCAGGCATATTTTAGGAAGTAAACAATGCAATTCAATATTTAATTAAGAGAGAGAGTTATAGAGGATTAGATTGCCTCCATTTTTGAATTAAACATTTTGTCTTTGCGCGGAAAGGTCAATTCGTTCAGTCGGAATAGCAGTTTCATTTAAATTAATTTTGCTCTATTATTATAACAAACAAAAGGGGAAACGTTCCTATTAATTCTAATGTTTTTCTAAAAATACCTACAGGTGATAATTAAGTTGTGAAAATTCCAGCCCTAATATAAACTCTGTTTTTTCATTTAATTAAATCGACAATATGAAATTATCAGCAGGAGAAATATTGGTGCATTTTTAGCAAACTTTTTTCTTTAATATGCAATAGTTATTAATTATAGAACGAAAGTACCAATTTACCAATTCCCACAAAATTCCCCTTACTCTACTATACTTCTTTTTTTCTCTCTTATCCTCTACTCTACTCATTCTCCATTTTCCCATCAGAGTTAATTTTTTTTCAAAGTTTACAATGAACTCAATTATCTCTTCATCTACCTGAAAATATTCTCGCGTCCAATTTACCTATGCGATTAAAATACCCTTTTAAGCCCTCAGGTGATAAATATATTTCTGCATCCAATTTACCACCGCAGGAATTATTAGGTATAAGGTGAAGCTTGCGATGAAAGGTAGTGAGAGAGAGCTTTATAAAAGGCGACTAGGCCTTTGGTGTTGAAGCGAAAGCGTGCATTTCACGGTAAAGTTCGAAACAGGTTAATGTCCAACTTATAATGCGACAACTAAGAGAATCAACTTTAGACTGGGCGCGTATGAAAGGCAATCCTCCTTTGATCAAATACTAATAGTTCCGCTTTCCTTTCATCTCCTCGCCATTTTGCAAGTGGTTAATAGATTGGCCTTTTTGTCTGTTTATTTCGGAATTTTGTCATTAATTACCATTTAGATAATTTAGTAATTTAGCCCTGTGATGCACCGATAGGTAGATACAAAAGGTACTAACTTTCTGATTAGCGGGGGGCGTTAATATTAAACTATCGTCCGGCACTTTCGGTCTCCGATGGCCGAAAAACGTCCAAGTTAATCGAAGAAAAAGTCACGTATAAGAAGTTTCTATTAGTTCGCCGGGTCGGGCGAGGAAATTATTAACAAAAAGTATTTAACGCCCGTCGCATCCTCGAAATCTGCACTGCGAGGTTTCAAATTACAAGGTCAATTTCGATATTTTAATTAGCAGGTTGCTTGGAGAATTTCCTTGGCTCGGCCAAATTAAACTTTGTTATTACGTTTCCCGTGCACTTGCCGGAAAAGTGTATTTTTTTGGGTTTCGGGACGAGCGCTAATTGCTCGTGGTATCGAGTAAACAATCCTCTTAAAAATTTTTCCGGATGTTTTCCCCAATTTTTTGAGGCGGTCTGTTTGACGACGAGCAGGAGTTTTACTAAAATACTAACGATGTCCGGTTTATGTTTTCATCATAAAATTATTAATTTATTTTTTGATTACCGAAACTACTTCCGAAACCGAAATGATATATATTCCGAGGTAATAAAAACGATTTAATATCACCGCAATATTCGCCATTAAACCAGAAATTTGAAACATTGTTAATTATTCATAGCGAATATGTGCATTACAATAAAGTGATTAGTTTACATTGCGTTAGTTAATTTGCGTATTCTAGTAATTGGGGATGCTTAAACTGAATTGTTATGCAAACGAAAAAACGCAATAGCTTCTGCCAATAATTACAATCGGATTTAATCGATCAGTTTGATTTGATGGTGTTTCAATTCGAATCGGTGTCGATTTTTAAATGCTCTTCTCTTCATCTGCACAATTAATCACATTTATTAGTACTTGGCATATTCCGCGTACATTTCGAGCACTAAAACTAAATAAAACGTGTATACCAGAAGTTTTGGTTTGAACAGAAATACATTTTCTATGGTGGATTGTTCTTTCAATAGCAACGGACACAGCTAAATAATTAATGAACAGACAATATTGGAGGAAATAAGGAAGTCGTTTGGATAGTTCCCAAGGGTTTTCATCAAAGAATGAAAACCGGGCGCTTTCCACGTTCCATCCACTTAATAAGAAGAGTTTTTCCTTTTTAATAAGTTCGAGATGCGCTTTAATTGTTGAGAATCGAATCCTTTTTTAATTAAGATTGTATTTGTAAGATAAGAGCCTCACCTGCTCGTTTAACGCTTCGAAGTATCCAATAAGTTTTCTTGTTAGCAACGGCATTGATCCGGCAACCAGCTCAAGCCGCGTATAATCAAACTATCGATATTTAAACTGACCTTAATTACTGTCGGATAAATCTCTTTATGATGGCAACCTCGGTTAAAGCAGCTACTCCTTTGACTGATCAGGGCTCTAATTAAAGCTAGATTTCACGTTCGTGATCGGGTAAGTGTTGCCGCGATAAGGGGAAAAATCAGGGAGTATTGATTCAATTCCGAAAACGCTGCATTCGAAACGTATTTAAAAAAACCCGAAATTAATTAATAATATCTCGGAAGCATCGCCGAGCCGCTTCTACTTTCTTCCTTTATCTCTCGTTCGCGTTTCATGTTTACTTGGAGCTGCTCCATTCAATTTTTGATAATGCCCTTCGAGTTCTTGGTTCACGCATCAAATTGCCGAACCCAAATTTACATAACAGAATTCATTTCGATAATATAAATTACTCTTTGATGTCGGGCTGTTTCGCCCTATATCGCCGAATTATATTGGGCACTAAAATAGCAACAAGGATTCCCGCTTATACTGTCCGCGTAAAATCTATTACAGTAGAAATATAATTGCTTTATGTTTATAGCACGGACTTCCGTGAATGATAAGTAGTTGAATCGGTTGTATTTTTGCGGCACAATCGTAATAAAAGCGGCTGATCAATAAACATTACAGAATTGCATCTAATTGTTGCAAGTGTTACATAAAACATGGAGAGTTCCAAGGTCGCCGTGGGGTATCGTGTCAGCGGAAATTCAGTTTCACTTGCACGTTGTTAGGTTAAATTATGTGGCGATGGATCGTTCGTTATTATTCGACCTAGTGGGGTTTTCCTTATTCGGAACGTTCCGGCTTCCATGCGAAATTCAAATGTGAAACTAACACACCGTCGCATTTCCATTTTCCGAGCATTTGTTCGAAAAGAAGCTTTGTCTGTGCGTTTATTCAGAAAGGATACGGCACGTTGTCTTGCATGGCGGGAACCAATCGGGAATTTAAAGTAATTCCGGCGCCACGGAGTGTACCCGGAATATTTTTATTATTTTATTAACGGGAAATTCTCTGACCCGGACCTGTTTTACTGCTTTCCTCTGCATTGCTCTGTCGCTGTTTATTTTTACCTCGATATTTTCACCTTCTATTTTATACTTGTTATAGAGCTACTGGATTTTCTCGCAACATTTATTTATATTCCCATTAAGTTTTCCCTTTAAATCTTTTTTGTTTTTTTGAGGTCACTTTGAAGGAAGTGTCTTTGATTAAAGAGCTTAATTTATTTTATATTTTTAGATAGGTTTTTTTTAATAAATTTTAGCATATTTAGGAGTCCATTAAGGATCCTTCGAAATGTTCAAATTATTACCTATTGATTATGTGCCATTTTCTGCGAAATCTCCGACGAAAACACGCGTAACAAATGAAGCGATTAAAGTCTGAGATTACCATTGATTTTTTTTACTAAAAATACGCCGGAAAACACTATGTCAACCGTACTTCATTATTTTATCTTCTAAAAATTCTTGAAACAATATATTCCACAATATATCTTGTTAATTTTTAACAAGCTCTGAAGTTACATTATTAAAATATTCGCGATTATATCGCATGGTGTATTTCACACAATTCTATGCGCGTTCAACTTTATTGCAAAGTATATATCGTTAACAATTTCGAATTTCTATAAATAGCTGCAGCGACAAACCCGTTGTGAAACTTCTAAAGTTTCCATTATTCAAGTGCAGCAGATAATATGATGAGGGCATAAAGGATGCAGAATGTGTTGTATCTCAAATTACTAAATCCTCGCTCGCTTTTAAAAAAATTTCATCAAGTCGTAATTAAAATTAATTTACCTGCATAGTGAACTCCGGCAGTGGTCTTTACATTTGCAATTCATTGCCTCCTCCAATATTTGCCTGGTCAACTAATAATTAATCAAAAATTTACTAACTGTTTTCTAATTATCAGTAACGTTAAAGGCAAACATTAATTACCATCGAAGCCGTATTGGAATATCCACGGGAGGTAAAGGGCTTGCATAGAGTGGATTTCAGTTTTATATTAATAAAAAAAAAACCTGCATTTTTGCTTTATTTGCACAGAAATTTTCATTACCAAGTTGACGTTTCGAGTTAATGATTTTACATTAGTTCGCTGTCAAACACACGGCCAGTTCTATTTATACAAAATAATATCGTACTCTTACAAAGTGGCATCGAGGCCTTTGGTTGTTGGAAAACAAAAAGCAAGGTTCCAAATGGAAGCGAAACGAAACCAGCAGCAAATATGATATCTGAGTTAAAATTGTTCCACGGCAAACAGACTTGCCGCATAGGCAGATCATGTGAAAGCGAAATAAAGTTCTGCGGTCGGCCGAGGCTCTGTTTGCCAGCGCCAAAACGCTCAAACACGCGGTTAAAATTGGGATGCATAAGGAATTCCGGTTCTGTTCGTTTCATAGCAGGTATTAGAATTATTCCCAAGCCCGTATTCAAATTTCAACCGAATCAGCATACAGTATTAGGAGGTGCAAAAATATGTGTATCGGAACTTACCAATAAATTAGACTGTAATGAAGTGCACGAGATTCTTCCCGCTTTTTTATTGCTCCTGATTAAATTTCCGCTAGGTGTACATTCCAGTTTTTTTTATGCATTCCCCATTTCACACCCTGTGCACTTTCAGTGCCATCGGCCTTTCGAAAATCGAACCGAACCAATTTCAAATCGAATATTCGATAAGAATTACGAACCAGCCATGTTATAAAATTCCTGCAGAATTTCCGCTATTAACTTTAGAAGAAATGCGCGCAAGAACCTCATTATTAGAATTCCTGCTCCAACGCGAAATCTCTGCTTTAAATATCCAATTAGCAATAATTTATTTAATTTTATTTTCAGGGAAAACGACGGGAACCTGCTGGACAACCTCCTGGCTCGCATGGAGCAATACGCCAACAACTTGGAGACCCTGGTGGAGGAGCGCACCAACGACTACTTGGAGGAGAAGAAGAAATGCGAAGAGGTCCTCTACCAGCTGCTGCCGAAGAGCGTGGCCGAGCAGTTGATCAGCGGCAAGTCCGTGATGGCCGAGTTCTTCGACTCCGTCACCATCTACTTCAGCGACATCGTCGGCTTCACGGAGCTGTCCGCCCAGAGCACCCCGCTGGAGGTGGTGGATTTGCTCAACGATCTCTACACCTGCTTCGATTCCATCATCGGCAATTTCGACGTTTACAAGGTAAACTGTTTGTTTTCTTTTTTTCGGCCGGTTAAATATGCGCTCGTATACGATAAGTGCGTACTTGGTGTGTATAAAGAAACGGAGGATTCGAGGATTAATGCGTGTAAGGACGAGGGTAGAGCAGAAGCAGTTTCCTTAAAACAACGTCGTCTTTCCGAGCTTGTAGAGCATATGAAAAGTCCATTGACCTACGGCCTTTTATCATTCTCGTCGCGGGCAACTGGCGAACATGATGCGAATATGCCAGCGAAACAAAATCAAAATCTAGTTTGTTTCAGTTCCTCGAATATTTCTACCTTTATTGCTCTGATTTATCGATTGTTCTTTTCGAGATATTCTAATAACGCGAGCTTTTTTCTACGTCACTGGCCCAAAGCTGACTAGATTTAATCCAGATGAAATATCCGTTCCGGTGAAATTTCCGTATCACACATTTACGTGAAACGCATCAGAATCCAATTCGGTATCTCGAAACCGTGAATATATTCTTATACTTTTACTAAATCCATATTGATTGTGGAGATGTTACGCAGCCAAATGAAATGGAACGCCGAACCGGAATACATTTGTTCATAATCAAAAAATTCAAATGTTGTTCATTTTTCTGGTTTTCCGATAATTCCTATGCATTAAACAGTCCCTCACATTTTGTGGATACATTCAATTCGATTCTAGTGCGTTTGATCGACCGCAATGAGATCGTTAAAAAAATTCCTCGCGTAATTTCATATTCTTAACTCGCGCTAGTCGCTAGTCGCTCTCGCCCGATATTAGATGTAAATCGGTTTTATTTCGTTAGATGATTTAAGTACTTTTTCCAGCCAAATAAATTGATCCGGCCGACGAGCGTCGGTTGCTATCCGAATGTTTATTTCGGCGGAAAATGCGAAATGTTAGTGCTGTTTGAACGTGTTGAAACGAAGGTGGTTTTGCATCGATTCTCGAGCCGAGGAAATTCCCGCGACGGGAAATTTTCAATTGACTTCACAGTGAAATTTTACGACCTCGCAATTGATTTATTCGCGAAATTCCACCTTCGATTATCATTATCTGAAGGATATTACTTTTTGCTTTCTTTTACCCATTGAATTAGCTGTATTCTTTTTGTACATTTTCTGAATTATCACCGCCCGTTCCAAAATCGCTCTGTAGATCCTCTGAAGTAACAAGACGGAATTCTCGCGTTGAATTTCATTGTTAATTCCGTTGGAATATTAATATGAAGAGGGGAGCAATTTTTGAAGTGTGTGTAAAATTGCGGAAAATTTAATACGTTGTCTTTTATCCGCTTGGAAGTCGCTTTCTGTCTGTCAACATGACTCGGATTTTGTTCGCAAATAACTTTTATGCCGAAATTAAATTAAACGTTTGATAAACTAATTAGCAATTTCCAAAATTCGCGGAGTTGAATTTATTAACGAAATATGTTGAACTTTAATTCGAGTTTCCCTGCGCTATCACGACTGATGTTGTTTGATTGAAATATTAATTAATTTATTTAATTTATTTGTTGTATCGATATGTTTGTAACGTTGATGAGTTTTTTTAACATTGTCACATCCAGTACGCGCATAAAAGTTAATTCGTAAAAGTTTATGACGTGAAACCTGTTGAGAAAACACTGATAATGATAAAGCGAATGTAAGTTATATTTCTATTTCTGCCGTTAACATACCCGAAATCTGGAGTTTACCACCGCCTTATATAGGGAAAGTTTATTGTTCGTATGATTACGGGAATGGAACAAGCGGTATGTAGCAAAGGGAATTCTGCGAGTGACTTGGCGAGCTTTTCTTTGTTTTCCAAACTTCGCCTTGTTGACTTAGAGGGAAAGTTCTTAACTTTCGCAATTCATAAAATCTTGCTTTTGCAGGCGATTAGTCGCTGTGAAGTAATTACGGGTACAACCAGCGACGTTCGAAAATTAGCCGATGAACGTTTCTTTTTTTAATATCGCTTTGGGGCCCGAGTAAATTTATTTCAGTTTTAAAAGGGCCTCCGACGGTTCGGTAATTGAATTCCCGAACGGTTCTCGAGTATATTTAATTCATCGTTTGATAACATTACGATTCTACTGCGATTAATTTTTCATCTTTCTGTTGTTTAAAAATTTCATGTTTTCTCAATCATTGGGGTCTTTGTGTATGCTATGCAATTTCTATTTACCTCGCAATTATTAGTTGTTAAATGTAATGTAATTATCTGATTATATTTCCATCCGCGTAGCTTTTGAAGGAAAACAAATTGAGGAAAGAAACGAGGGCGATTTACTTGTTATAACGAATTCAACGTTCAATAAAAAAATTATATTATTTCTATTCAGCGAAACAAGAAAATGATGTGCAGTTATCTTTTCCTTGGCAACGCGTCGGTCATTATTAGAAATTGGTTTTGCGTAATTCTAGAAATGTTTATCTGCCGGGAAAGTTAATTAGAATTGTAGTGCGATGAGATTGCCTTCGAACGAAACGAAACCGAATAATCGTCGATCCTGAATTAAAATTCAACTTCTTTTACGTCCGCACGGGCAAATATTCATTTAATTGAACAGTTTATACTACAAATAAACTGCTCCACAAAAGTTAAGGAAGTTCGCAAATTTTGCGATTATTTTAAAAATTACAGATTTTTCGATCACCAGATTTTCAAATATGCGAAATTAAATGTTTTCTCTCATATCAGATTTTTTGCCCCTATTGTAGAATTCATACTAAATTTGGCGAACAAAAAACCTGCAACTTTTAAATTAATCTCAATATTTGTGAACTTCCTTAACTTTTGTAGAGCAGTATATTTACCACTAAATTCAATCTGCCTTATCCAGTACACTATAATAGTATAGTATAGACTTTTTGAAGTAGATAATTCACTGTATTTTCGATTAAATCTTTTCAAATCCAACAACATCAAAGGTATAAGGAAAGGTATCTAATTAGACGGGGTATTCTCGTATGCACCTAATTGAACTGCTCCTCCGGCCACAATGCAGGAATTCCGGAAATTCGACCTTTATGTTACGATACCACGTGTGTGTATAGTACACGGCGCGTTTGTGCTAGCGGGCAACCGTTCCCCCATTTATCAAACTCAATTAAGTTTTGTTATTGTTGCAGGTAGAGACAATCGGAGATGCCTACATGGTCGTATCCGGCCTGCCGAAAAGGAATGGAAATTGTCATGCCCGCGAAATAGCCCGGATGTCTCTGGCCCTGCTGAACGACGTCAAGAAATTCCAGATTCGCCACAAGCCGAACGAGCCGCTCCGGCTCAGAATCGGCCTGCACACAGGTTAGTAACCGGCGAAAAGAGCGAAAGCGCAATCGATGAACCAACGAAATCGCGAATTAGTATTTACGATCGGATGGTTTATGTTTATTCAAAAAACCCCGGGATGGTTTTTGTCGCACTTTCCTGAGTGGGATGTTACGCTGTTAACCTCCCCGCAAATGGACCGGTTGACAAGGAGACCGTCTAAATTATTTTAATGGGTTTTAAAAGGCCTCCCGCAAATTTTGGGCCGCCGTTGCTCCGCTGCGTTTCGTTAATTAGAAGAAAGCGAAATGCGGATTAAATAAATTTCTCGTGGAAAAAATTAAATTTACCGCGCCTCGTTCGGGTTTAATGCCGATAAATAGTAATGGAACTTGTCAACGTGACATTCAGGCGATTCCTTATTCATTGCAGGGCCCTGCGTAGCCGGCGTTGTGGGATTGAAAATGCCTCGCTACTGTCTTTTCGGCGATACTGTAAACACAGCGTCCCGCATGGAATCCAACGGGGAATCTCTGAGGATACATATTAGCAGCGTTACTAAGGAGATCCTGGAGACGTTTGGTACTTTCGAACTGGAGCACAGGGGCGAAATTGAAATAAAGGTAGGGAGTTGCGGATAATACGATAGTTTCGCAATTTTTGGTAGGAACATTTTTTACTTGGTCTACTAAAATTGCAATTAATTAATTTGCAGTATAACGACAGGATGAGTGTTTGACTTAATGTTGAAATTTTCAAATCTCCTTAGAGTGAATTGCATTTGTTAAATGTATTAGTGCTTTAGCTAGTTATTGTTTCCTAAGTCAAATAGAGGTGCTTACATAATGGAATTTCATCGCTGAAACTTAGCGTTTATGTTCTACTAGATGGCGGAATATTACACAAAAGGGTCCATATACACGTACGCGGATTTCTCGAAGTTTCTACGAGTCAACAACGTAGCTAAAATTAAAATCGAATACATTGTAGCAAAGTCCGTTCGAAAATAATTCAATCGCAGCGCAATAGCCTAATGCGATTGTTGGGGTTCAATTGATACCGGTCGAAATGAAGAATTAATTGGCGTTCGGCTAAAGCACCGTACAATCGACTGATAATAATTTCTAATCCAGATATCCCGGCGTTTCCCTTGCAATCCCGGAATTCCTACGATTTCATTGTCTTTCCGTTCGTTCTCTGCTCGAAGTGAATGAACTTGTATAGCAACAAAGAAACTCACCAGCGTACTTTTCCATTCCGATTTAAGACAACAGTATTGAATATTTTTTATTAAATAGCGTACGAATAGCAGAAAATCGTCTAATCTAAGCAGAAGTCTCTCCGAATTTACATACGAAAATTGAGCCTAACTTCGCAGAATCGCAATTTAATGAACTTATCTAGTTTTAGTATGACAATTTGTTTCCAGGGCAAAGGAAAAATGACCACGTACTGGCTGAAGAGGGAGCGAGTCGTGAAAATGAACACCCCGGCAGGTCCGGTTCCGGCCCTAGAAAACCAGCACACGAAATTCCCAACGACTCCGGTCCCTCAAAACGCGCGAAGGGAAATGGCCAACAAGGCCATCAGCTCTTCGACCTCCCGTTTGGCAGATAAGAACGCTGATGATGCCGGCGTTCCGCTATTAGCTGTCACCCCGTCGCCGGATTCACACGCTTAAACTTGTACCCCCGTTGTACTCCTCTATGTATGGTATTTGGTATTGACCCCCTCCCTATATTCTAAAGGTAAGCCATGTATGTGTACATTATAAGAATTTACAGATGTGGCAACCATTATAGTTGCGTTCGGCGCAAAAATCCGGTCGATTTCCTCAAAGTGCTGTTTAATTTTAACATGTACGTATGATATGATATGGGTATGTAATGAAATTATACGCCGGATTGATTTTTAATTAGGCTTATTCGGAAAATATGATGGTTGTGATGGAAACCAATGCGTTTTATGATGTAATCAAACAAACATACCGTTGATCTCAATATTTTGTTTTTTTTTTATTATTATAGACTGGTATATTAAGGTAGTACCGAACGTAACAATATATGTACTTATTTAACTTAGGTAATTATGTATTTTATCGATCCACCAAAGACAACCTTGTATGTTTCGTGTTACTTATGGCCTAGGTTCCCGAATACCCCCCGTGCAGCCGCTTTAAGTGTTTAAAAACGGAATTTTTCAAATATCAATCTCACAAAGGTGTTATCATACCAACTTTTAAAATAAAATACAATTTTACTCCTACGCAGTTTCGGTACGAGTAATTCTAAATACTTTTACCATATCATGTTTTATTTACCGAACAAACACAAGCATAAACACCTTTGGGGAAATGATATGAACTTTCCATTATATTGGAAAATGTATGTGGAAGTCCTTTCCCATTGTCGACAAAAAGTTTGCTTAGTAGAAAAATATGTGTAGAGAAAATATATGTGTTATAACTCGACTCTAAAGGAGGCATATAAAATTGTTCACTCGTTGTTTTCGTTATTTAATAAGAGGCTAGTTGAAAGCTAATCAGCGCTACTCGAAAGTAACTTACAGTTATTTGGAAGTATTCGAATTAGGTAACAAATAATCCGGCGCTGTCGGTATTTGTAAAGTTTGCGAAGTTTCAAAATTACGAGTTGATAAACCAACTAAGTGTATAAGAAGTCGGATAACACTGCCAAGTCGCAGAGTGCAAGAAGACATATCGGAACTAAAGGTAAAAAGAAATACACGTTATCGCAGGAGTTTCGACGGAAATAAAAAAATTCCAACTTCACGGATATTATTAAGTGCACGTTCTACAGATCGACATGGATAGTTGAAAATGCTACGTGTTACAAAAATAGTTCGAATATTTCAAATTACAAGATAACAATGCTTGGTAAAAGGTAAAAATACAAACATTTTCAACTGCTCCTCTGAAAAATATTCCGTAAATCTTATTTTCTCTATCGCTTCTATGTTTTTATTCGATTTGCGCCCTCATTTTATCTGACGCGATTGATTTTTTTCCCACAAATCAACTACTGACCATTAATGAGGACCAGTATTAACAACATAAAATTAGGAACTCAGGGTAATGCGTATTCTAAAGTATTGAACCTCAGATAGGATAGTCACTTAGGTGCAGTATGACTGATTTTTATTGAAATACCTTTTATTCATTAGAAAAGGGGAGAAAGTGGTCACATGCAGGAATTAGCAAAGCTGTTTTTATAAAAAAGGATTTTTACAATGTTCCTAACTACTGTCGAGTAAGGAAAAACAATATTCACAGATTATAAGATTATCAACGCTGCTTTTAAGTGAAAAAAAAAAAAATAATACAACACCTATTGACCTACTTTTGCGCTTAAACTGCCACTGGGTTTATTAAATTTTTTATCACAATATCGTAATACAAAAGTTGAAAAAGTTGGTTATGCTAAATCCTGCATGAATTTTCGTGAAAAGATTATTTTGACTGTAAGCGCACCTTTGGAAGGCTTATTCTTGTGATGGCTTCTAGAGCAGGATTATTTTTTTTTGGCGGAGCCCAACATTCCAAAGTACGATGTGATTTTTGTTAGTTACAGAATGGACTGTGTATTTATCGACTTAATAAAATATTTAATCATCAGCATATTCCTTAAAAGGATGATGGAAGAGGTACATATGTATTATTTTTTGTAAGGTAGATAAGTACACGTTTAGGATCTCATTTATATGTTTTCGTTATTATTAATATACAGGATGTCTGAGGAGACTAATGCATTCCTTTACATCAGCAAGTCTGGTAAGTACTTCAGTTTTTACAGTTGTTAAATAATTTAAAAAATTCAAAAACTAATAATGCTGGATATTAGAGTAAAAACGTCAAAAAATTGTATTCGCAAAATTTACCCTAAAAATATAATAAAGAAATACATTATTTACTTCGATGTTCTGTATATTTAAAATATCTTGTTAATAAAAATCAACAAACATCAAGAGTACAAATAACTTTTAGCATAAAATGTTAAATATGCACAGTCCAGCTTCGGGTCGCCCCGTTAGCATAAAATTTTCAATTCTATTAATTCGGGTTATTTATTTATCCACCACACTACCGTTCGAATGGATTTGCGAGTACAAAGGAATATTTTTTTATATTAATAAAATTCTGAAATGTGTATTAAACAAATACAGATACCGCTGACAATAGTAACAAACTCATAAAACGCGGGGTGAAAATGAACGCAGTCAAAAATTATTTAATTCATGAATGCTTTTGGACAGTGGTGTAGATATTATCGTTGTTGTTAAAATTCACTAATTTTAGTTGGAAATAGTGTGAACTTTTTTAACTGCCGTGTAATTTCCTATGTGGCGCTTATAAGATATTTTAGATCGGGTCACTAGATCTTATAGTAGCCGGTTTATTTGGATGATCGAGCAGAAATTGGCAGATATGACATTTGTAAATGTCACATTTAGTACAACAAATTGACAGATATGACATTTGTATATGTCGTATTTAGAACAAATTAAAGTGTTTTGAAAAATTAAATAACGAAATTTAAGGTAATTATTATATATATTTCAATTAATTTTATGTGATAACGTTCATCTTACTTTGTAAATATTCAATTTTAGTAAAAGTTTGCGTAGCTCTCCAAAAGAGCAGGCTACTATGATCTAAGGTAGCCTATTTTAGATAGTGTATTTATTTGATTAATGTTTTATGCAATGTTGTCAAATGAGAGTTTATGACTGTTGAGAAAGATGTTACCCGTTATTTATTGTTTACATACGTATGATGAATTTAATTTAATTAACGAAGGTTGAACGAAACTGTTCAAAATAACAGCAGCTAAAATCAAAACGTTTCATTCTCGGATGCAATTCGATAGGTAATCGAATAAAATTTAATGAAAGTATGAATTTATCGGAAATAATTTTGAACATTTTTGTTGCCGCAATTCCGAGCACATAATTGGAGCTTATTCGTTTAAGTACCAGGCTTAAATATAGATATTTCCAGTAGAAGTATTAAGTGTATTCATGGATGTTTAAATAGTACTCTGACGCTGGTAATTTTCATTACAATTTCTTTGTATTTCCTATAATTACATTCAACTTTTCCTTCTGCTGCCAAACAAAAATTCTTCCAATAAAACTGGGACACCTTGTATAAAATACTTCAAAATGCAATGTGTGATACGCGTATACAACTTCTTAGATATCGCACTGATTGCACAATAAATTGTTACAGGGTATTTTAAACATAATCGTACTATACGAGCTATACTATCATACACTGTATATTGAAAATTTTAATAAAAATTACAATAAAAATAACTCCGTTCCGTACGGACACGAACGAACGTGTTAAATTGCTCGCGTTTAATCAAGGGGGTTTTACAATAATCACCGGCCTAACAAAACTAATGAGCACTAACGAATAGCCCTGGAAATTCCAGCTATTGCTAAAGGTACCTAAACGAAAATTTCCCAAGAAACCAACAGCGAGTTCGACGTACAGGGACGTCGTGATGAGACTTTTTTTCTCCATAGAAACGTGGTTACTAAGAAAAATAATTAATGGATCCCTTTAAATATAAGAGGCTAAAAGGAGCATAATATCCCATGCTTCATAAAGACCGTCTTAATTAGTCACTCCTTAATGTCTCTACGGGTTTTTATAAGCAAATCTGCATAAATATTCTCATTTCGAATTAAAAAATCTCATGTCTTTAATTAACTTTTTGAATTCAACATACACCAATGTTATATCAAATTAAATATGCATTAAATAAAATGGAGTATTAAACATTTACCAGTGGTTGCATAACTAACGAGATCAAAATATTACAGGCACATCAAAAACAGGTGGCGGAAATTTGATTAACAATTTGCGGTGTTTCTCGAAGCGTAAAATACGTTGCATAAATATTTATATTATAAACAATTAAGGCGATAGATAAATGGATTCGACAAGGAAAATTCGCCCCTGTGATTGTTCGACCGTTGGCCCTTTTGAAACGAGTCGGCTAGAAAGCTCTAATGTTTAGCCAAAAAAAATTATATCTTTCAGGTCAGAACTTTGTACGCCAGTTGATCTTAAACCGGGATGAGCTGGCTCGTTTTAAATATTTTATGGTACGGCAAATCCGACATTCGAGTAACAAAGGAAACGGAGCGAGGCGGGTCGAGATTTAGTTTGTGAAGTCGCGAAGAGATTGAAAAGTTCTATTGGCGTTTTAGTTTAATATCACAGATACAAGGTGTCTCGAAAAAGCATTTACGATTAAAATTTGAATTGAAACAAAATTTACGCAGCGGCAGTACCTACTTGAATATTGGTACAAACCCATCATAGAATACTATTTTTGAAACTAAATCAGTCCTATTGATAATTTTTTTAGATATTTTATTCACGTATGTTTTATTGACTATATTTAAGTTATTTATTTTATCCTACTTTTTGACAAACTGATGTAATGAATAATAAATATATAAACCTATTTTTAGTTCGTTACCATTTGATCCTTTTCATTCTAATTAGCAGGTCAGCAGTAAGTTTTTGTCTGACCCATCAAACTAGTTTTAATACTCACGACGGAACGAAATGCAGCACTGCAGGAATTATATAAAACTGTCTCCTAAACTTCCCTTAATAGGTGGAAGTATTATTCCGCTCTCAGTTGAAATAAAGTCACCCCTCGCGCCTTACCGGGCTCGAGATTAACATTGCAATAAATCTTTCTCCATCATCAGGAGTACAATTTTAAATCTTATTAGAGTCTGTTGCTGAATCTTCCGCGACCTAGGCTTTATTTAAGGCGACGTCTCGACGTGATTTCATTCATTTTCCCGTTCATTTTGTAACAATGTTTAAAAACATGATAATGCAAGAGCTTCGTCAAAAATGAGAGGAATTGATTTACGAGTGAAATATCAAATTTGCTTCAACTTTATTAATCCGCTTAAGTACTAACTACATTCGACAAGACATTATGTTTAGGGTTTTTTTACCATGGTGTGTTTTATTATCCAGGGTAAATAGTTACCGACTCTTGTGTAGATCCCGGGGCTGTTTTTATTTCCGCATCCAATTCCCCATGATACAATTCCGACTGTTATCCATCTGCCATTTTCTAGCCGGTACATTAACGGTCCTCCGGAATCGCCCTTAAAAAATTCATTGCGTTATAAAAAATTCAGTTTCATTACTAGTATAATTAAACAGCAAACCACGTATGGATGCGGCACAATATGGCATAACGAATGCTACGCTCGATATAGATATTATTGTGTACGAATTAGGACACACACAAATCTTCAACAGGCTCATATGCGAAGCTGATTAGAGCCATATTGAATTCGCAATCGGATCGAATCGTATCGCGATTTATGCAAAACAACCCACCTGCCGGGATTGATTCGCAGGTATTTTTCTTCATTTCCTCACGGCCCATTCATGTTCCCGCTGCACATTTTAAACCAATTATCTAAAACATCCCGTTTTAATCGAAACGAAAATTGAATTTCCAATTATATTCCGTTTAGAATTCACAAGAGTCGGATAGCCGATCGAATTATACGAAATACGAATTCTTCGGTCTAATTAAAAAGTTGTTGTGCGAATTCCAAGAACTCGCTTTTAATTTTTGAATTTTCCGCGGATATTTCGAAGCTAAACTTTTGCGTTTTACCCCACTGCAGGACACTCAAATGATGGAGCAGGATATTCAAATGGTACACAAACAAAAACTGTCAAAATTGATATTAAAGACGTTTCGTTTGACAAAAGTGTGAAAAGGTGGGAATCAGTTTTTTGGTATAGAAGTGCAGTAATGACTCACAAAATGAGTGTTATTTTTCAAATATAGTTTTCCTGATTACTCTACTCTCTTCTACTCTATCCTCTATCTATACATACAGTGTAAATTTGTTCATTACACTGCCCTTTCAAATAACTATGCCAAAATTATCAAATTTATCATCAGACCCAATTTACCAGCAGGCAGAATTTACCACCAGACCAGACCCAATTCAGCACCCAATTTAGGTACCTTTACTTACCAGACAAGAGTCCTTTCCGCCTTCGTAGGCAGCCGCGCAGATGTTGTCGTCGGTGACTCTCTGCAAGAAGGAATTGATGCATCGGTCCAAAGGCCACACGGGAATGGCGACCTGCAGCAGGACGGGGCTAGTCGGTCCGGCGAAATACTGCTGTCCCCATCCGGCCACAACGACAGTCTCGTTAACGTAGTCCCTGTCGCGCGGCGGCAGGCAGATCGGCCACATGTACGAATTGAAGCTCGTCGGCGTTTTCAGCTTGACAATGGCTATGTCATTTTCGTACGTGGCCAGAACGAAACCTGCAAAACGGTTGGATTCAATTCGACGCGCTCTAATTGAACCGGCGCGTTTACGATACCCTCGTGTTCTATAATTTCGGCCACTTCGAAGTCCCTCGAACGCGACTCGTTCGATCTGTCGAAGTCGTATTCGCCCAGGCGGACGCGGATGTCCTTGGCGCTCAATCTGGCGTGGAAGACAAAGGTTCGAATGATACATCGATAGTCGTGAATAAGAGACGATTAATTACCCTTGAGTGCAATGCGAGGCGGTTAGAATGTGGCTCTCTGTTATGAGGGCGCCTCCGCAGAATTGCTGCTCCAATCCTTGCTGCAGCTGCGGATGCCTGTACAGCGCTGCTATCCAAGGCCATTCTTGTATGCTGGCTTGCTTCGTCTCCGTCGAGGATCTTTCACTCGAAAGACCGCATCCTGTTAACAGTATTATTTTATAAAGAGCTTATGGTATCAAAAGTAAACGCTGCAATAAATTTCCTCTTCCTCCTTAAGGCATCAGAAACAGAGGTTTAAAGAGCATTATCTATTGTTGATTCGCATATGAAATTATAATAGAACAATTAATAACAAACAACATATGGATTTTCGTCGGGGAATTTTGTTTGTTCGAAAGCTGAGGGTGAGCTGGTTGTAATATCATAACTGACACACATACAATACATCTATTTATAGATTGATATCGACAACGGTGTTTATTTTCAAATCAGTCTGCTGTTCTGCTTTGTTTTTATGTACCTACCATTAGGTATAATTGAGTGCCTCTAAATTCTCTCGCTGGTCAAACTAAGCTCTAAAATAATTACCTGTATATTTGTCGCGCTCGTCATAGTCGTTGCCTCCAGCTGGTAAATCTACTATGAGCTGGGATCCTGCGACTCCTGTTGCAACTATGTCATCGGGACAGCAAACGCCAACGAACCTGCAATGTGAGTACTTAGGAATTTATGAAGATTGTTATTTCATGATTTTTACCTATCCTCTATCACGCATAAATAAACCAGTGTGTTGATTTGCTGAAAAATGGATGTGGGGCAGTAATCTATGTGTTTGCAATGTCCTTTTACGTCTCCTGGTCCAATGCATTCTTCATAGCGTTTGTTTAACTTGAAATAAAATGAATTTCGTATAGTCGATTCGATATATTAGCAATTGACTCACTTTGAATTTTCTGCTGAGCCCTAGATAACGTTTTCTTCTTATGTGATCTCTGTTTATAAAGTCTTCCAGATTTTTCTTTTCGGTTTTTTCTACTAAATCTACAAAATTATTAAATAAACTGTAATACTAAGGAAGTATTAATTTGTGTACTTACTTCTTTTTACAGAAAGACTATAACATAATTGCAAAATTTCTACGCTCAGCAAAAGGAGCAACAGTTGAAATTTCATATTGCGATTTTGTTCACTACCAGTGAATAATTGATATGAAATTTAGTGATTGGAGATTCTTCCTGTTTTACATTTTTTATCATCATTCATGTGGGAGGACAATTTTTGTCTCTGTGGTTGTCCCTGATACCTATGCGATATATTATCAAAATTTAATATTAAAATAGGACTGATTAGATATTTAATATTTTTATATTTAAATTATAGTACTAATATAAATTTTGGCAAAGGACATATTAAATTAGATAATTATCTATTCTTCTAATTTATCCTATAATATATTAAAAAGTTACGCATCCAACGTGTTAAATTTAACACAGAACATACATAAAGAAATTTAAACACTCCACTGACATCTATCGATACCTACTATAAGTATACACAGTATTCTGTAAAATGCAATCCGGTATACTTTTAAATGAATCAACAAATATGCTTAAAGATAAAGCAATTAATAATATTTTGTGATCTAAATGATAATTATTTTATATCCTGACTGATTAACTAAAATCAATTATTTCATTGAGTCGCGAAAAATCTTCCAATGATTTTTTTTAACGTTGACGTAAGTGACAGCTGGCATGACATGTGACATGTGAAAAGTGAAGTAAGCAAACTGCCCAAATAGTGCTAAAATGAGATTTAAACCTTTTTATTTATGTTTTTAAGCAAGTAAAGGTATAATATACCAGTTTAATAAATGGTGTGTTACTTTCATTTAATCTAACAAACATGACCGACAAACTGAAGGCAAGTTTAATTGAAATTTTCACAATAGTTTTTCTGCTACCAGTTATTTTATTGCAGAGTATACCCGAGCAAAAGCTGAAGGCTTTCTCAGTGGGAACAATGGGCAAAAGGAACCTTTCTAAGCGTGAGTTAGAAGAGCAACGGAAACGGGAGGAAGAGGAAGCTGCAGCTCATGTAAATCTAACGAAAACATTACACCATACCCCATAGCTAAAAATCCTATCTTTCAGGTATTTCAAGAATTTGTGGAGACTTTTCAAGAAGCCCCGATCAACGGCAGTTCTAAAGTTTGGGTCAAAGCTGGTACATACGATGCTGGAGCGAGGCGTAAGTGTTCGTTACTTCGAACATGGATTGTTTTATAATCGCTCGATTTCAGGAGAAGACACTAAGGATAAAGGGAAATTGTATAAGCCAACATCGAGAATAGCATCTAATCAGGAGCACAATTTGAGTTCAGCCGAACGGGCACAAGCATATGCAAAACTGTTATCTAACGATAAGAAACCTGAGAGGCTCGGTAAGAAGAAGCCTTCGCAAAAGAGCAACTTGGAGTCCTTCATGGAAGAATTAAGACAGTAAGTTACTGGATTTTTGCTCTAATTTTATGTTATATCATTTGCTTCTGTTTTAGAATACAAGAGGAACGCGAAGAGAGGCAGAAATATAAAGGAGCCCTAAGGACACCGATTGAAAACGAATTGGATATGCTAATGAAAAGCGGCGATATAGGTTCCTTTGATAACGGCGATCCCAACACAACAAACTTATATCTAGGGAATTTAAACCCGAAAGTAAGCTAACTTCTCACGTTAAAAACACTTCTCTAGCGATTTAATTGTTTAGATAACGGAGCAACAACTCATGGAGCTGTTCGGAAGATACGGCCCCTTGGCCAGCATAAAAATCATGTGGCCGAGGTCCGACGAGGAGAAGGCCAGGGGCAGGAACTGCGGCTTCGTGGCGTACATGGCGAGAAAAGACGGCGAGCGGGCGCTGAAGAACCTCAACGGCAAAGACATCCACGGCTACGAAATGAAACTGGGCTGGGGCAAGGCGGTCATAATTCCGCCTCATCCCATTTACATTCCGCCCGTTCTGCTGGAAATCGCCCAGCCGCCGCCGCCCTCCGGGTTGCCCTTCAACGCCCAGCCTGCTTTGAAAGATAAAGAAGTGCTGCCGAAGTCCCAGGAGGAATTGAACGAGATACTAAACAGGGCTTTGGTCAAAGTCGTCATACCTACCGATAGGAATTTGTTGATGTTAATCCATAGAATGGTAGAGTTTGTTGTCAGAGAAGGTCCAATGTTTGAAGCGATGATTATGAATAGGGAAATTAACAATCCACAATTTAGGTTCCTGTTTGAGAATCAAAGTCCTGCCCATATTTATTATAGGTGGAAGGTTTACTCTATTTTGCACGGGGACTCTCAAAAGGAATGGAACCCTAAGGAGTTCAAAATGTTTAAAAGTACGTTAAAAATAATTCATATAAAATTAAAAAACAAAACTAATTCACCGAGTATTTCAGACGGTTCTGTTTGGAAACCACCGATAATGAATTGTTACACGAACGGAATGCCTGACGAGTTAGTTAGAGAAGATGAGGCTAAAGAGAACTCGAAAGGAAGTCTATCAAATTCGTACGTGTTAAAACTGTCATGCATAATATTCATTTAATTCACAAACTCGTTTCAGGCAACGCGACCGATTGGAAGATTTAATTAGGCAATTAACACCGGAGAAAAACAAAATCGGCGAGGTAATGGTATTTTGCATAGAACACAGCGAAGCTGCCGATGAAATCGCCGATTGCATCACAGAATCGCTAGCTAACGAATCCACCGCGTTGACTAAGAAAATATCGAGGCTTTATTTAATATCGGACATCCTACACAATTGCCAAGTCAAAGTCACAAAGGCTTCGTTCTTTAGAAAAGCGTAAGAAATTCTATGAGCAAATCGAAAATTTTCGCTAAACTAACCACTTTGCAGATTTGAAAATAGACTATTAGAAATTTTTAAGTACATTAAAGAAACTTACGATAAATTAGAAGGCAGGCTGCAAGCTGAGGGCTTCAAAGTGAGAGTGGTGAGGACGTTAAAAGCTTGGGAGGATACAATTTACCCCAAAGATTTTATGATTAAACTTAACAACATCTTCCTCGGGCTTCCCAATCGAGCGGTAAATACTCGTACCACTATAATAATCACTTTATTAACACGCTTTTATTTAGGAGGAAGTGGCCGGCCCCAAATGTTTGATAGAAGACATTGACGGTAATCCCTTGGAGCCCCAAGATTCCGACGAAGACGCCCCCATGGACGGCGCGGCGCTTTTGAAAGCTACCATGATGCAGTACGAGAGCGCCGGTTCAGGAGACGACGACATCGATGGTAATACTAACACGCAATTAATATTCGGATTTATTAAAGTGCTGTTTAAAGGGAAGGAAATTAAGGACGACGTGCCGAAGGATTCCGCCTTGAGCGGTTTCATAGTGTCCAAATGGGAGACGGTCGATCCCGAGCAAATCGAAGCGCAGGCAATGACTACAAGCAAGTGGGACATGCTGGAAAACAGCCAAGATAATAGCAGGGAGAGTAGCTCGAACGAAAACCAAGATTTCTCCGATTACTCGGACTCGAGGTGAGTCAATTTTGAATCGAGGAGATAATAATAATAGTAATATAACGTTGTGATTTTAGGAATATGACTGAGGAGAAGAGGCAGCAGTTGCGCGAGATCGAGGTGAAAGCTGTTCAGTATCAAGACGAGCTCGAATCGGGACAAAGACAATTAAAGAGCGGCTGGACGTTGCCTCAGCAGGTGGAGCACTACAGAAGGAAATTGTTGCGGAAGTCCGAGAAGGTGAAGAAGGAGAAAGAGAAGACGCCGAAGAGCGACAAGCACAAAAGAGACTATGATAAGAGTGATAGAAGGGCGGCTGCGGACAGCTCGGACGACGAGTCCTACTACAAGGAACTGTAAGTATGCCAAGGGAAATGAAGTAGTTCATATTTATTGAGACGTTGAGGTTGCCAAAGCATCATGTGCATATTATATTTTTGAATAATGATGCTTTTGCAAATGTACTAATTTAGAATTTGGTTGATAAACGGTTCGTTTCATGTTTTGCTTGATTTTGTAGTACTTCTAGAAAAAGTAAAAAACATGCGCGAAGTTCATCGAGTGGGTCAACGTCCAGGCACAGGTAACATTTTAAATATAGTATGAGTAATTATTGTACTTCAACAGTCACGCTGCATTGTTTAGATAAAAACTCGCGCGATTTTTTTTGTTGAATTTTCGTCTAACAAGTTTGCCTTGAAATTGAATTTTAGGTCAAAAAGTCGTTCGCCGTCACGTAAAAAGAGCTCGAGGGCTCTTAGTCCTCCGAGTCCACCCAAGATAAGAAGACATTCGCCCGGTTCGTCCCGATCCTCCCGTAAAAATAAAGGTTCCCTATCCCCCGCCGATTCTAACGGTAAATATTCCCCTAAAAGACATCGAGCGTCATCACCTAGCCCGCCTCCTAGGGGCGGCAAGCACAGACGGTCTCAGAGTCCTGCTAGAACCAGACATACCAGTCCTCCTCGTTCCAAATACCATTCTCCCGATTCTTCTAGCAAAAAACATAGACATAAACATAAACACTAGTGAAAATTGATTTTAGTGTGAAATATAATATTTTGTTTAACTTTGTATATAAACGCAATACACTTTTTTTAAATAAGCGTTTCGTTTAATTATGTGAATTGCAACTTTCAGTTTTTTTTTTAGATTGGTACCCATTGTGTACATATTTGTATTTCATTTTATCAGTTATAATTATGTTCTAATAAATAATTGTCAAGACTCATAATGTTTCTTTTATTGCCATTAGAAATAAAAAACAAAACTATTTTTTTTCTGCAAAAGTTTTATTCAGTAGTATAACATCTTATAACTGGGTTTAACTTGTGCGATTCCCATTTACAATTTGTTCAAACTTTAGTGTAACACATACACGAAACAACCTTATTTTATCCATGAAATTCTAAAGTCGGATAAACGCTCCTTTAATTATTAGTAATGCATTTATTTGTATAATACCGTCGACAATTGTATAATTACCATAGCCAATGAGACTTATTTCGGCGAACCTAACATTAGAAAATAAATAAAAACGCTCATTTATTGATCACACTCTTAAGGCAAAAATATGTCAGTACATTAAAGAAAAACCAGTCGTTTCAATTCTATTTCTTTTTGCCGCCGGACTTTTTGGGAGCACCAGCAGCCTTTCGCGGAGGAGGAGTGGGACTTGCTGCGGCCGCCGGTTCCACACTTGCTGGAGGCGGCGTCGCGGGAACGCTTGCCACCGGATCCGCAGGTTTAGGAGTGGAAGGAGAAACGGGAGTAGTAGGAGTAGCAGGTGGAGTAGGTTCCGTGACTGCGGTTGCTGGAGGTTGTACAGTCTCTTCAGGCTTTTTGATTTCCTCTTTGGGAGCTGTTTGTTTAGCCGCTTCAGCAGGCGCTGGCGTAGGAGTCGGATCAGATTTAGGAGTTTCAGCGGCAGGTTTAGGAGCTTCAGCTGCTGGTTTTGGAGCTTCAGGTGTTTGTTTAGGTGCTTCAGCTGTTGGTTTAGGAGCTTCGGCTGCTGGTTTTGGAGCTTCAGCTGTTGGTTTAGGAGATTCAGCTGTTGGTTTAGGAGCTTCGGCTGTTGGTTTAGGAGATTCAGGTGTTGGTTTAGGAGCTTCCGCTGTTGGTTTAGGAGCTTCAGGTGTTGGTTTAGGAGCTTCGGCTGTTGGTTTAGGAGATTCAGGTGTTGGTTTAGGAGCTTCAGCTGTTGGTTTAGGAGCTTCAGCTGTTGGTTTAGGAGCTTCAGCTATTGGTTTAGGAGATTCAGCAGTTGGTTTAGGAGCTTCAGCTGTTGGTTTAGGAGCTTCAGCTACCTTAGAAATTTCTTGTGGTTGTGGAGTTTCGACAGGCTTAGGAATATCAGATGGTTTTGGAGTCGGTTCAGATTTAGGAACCTCTTGAGGTTGCTCAGTAGGAGGCTTAGGAGCTTGTTCACAAGGCTGTTTAGGCGGCTCTGTGGAAGTTTCAACAGGTTTTTGAGCATCCTGAGTAGCGTCTTTAACAGGCTCTGGTTCTACTTTTTTGACCTCGGCTGAAGTTACTACTGGGGCAGCTGGTTCAGAAATAGGTTGACTTTCTTTAGCAGGTGCTAGGGGTGCTACAGTTTCTTTTGGAGGTTCAGAAACAGTTGGGGCAACTTCTTTTGCTGCTTCAGGGGGAGTAACGGCGCTTTGAGATTCAACAGTTGGAGCTACAGTGGGTACAGTAGGAGTTGAAGGTTGAGGAAGTGCTTCAGAAGGTGCCACAGGAGGTGGACCTGGCAATTGAGCACTTGGAGCGACAGGAGCAGGGGTCTCAACTTTTGGTGCGTCTGGTACAGCCGCAGGAACAGCACATTCAGCTGGTTTAGAAGGTAACTGAACCGGTTCGGAAACCTTTTGAGATTCCGCAGGCGTTTCCTTAGCAGGTTCTTCTTTCGGAAGAACGTCTGTTTGAGCAATTTCCACAGGTTTTGTGGGCTCTACCGACGGTGGCGGTAGTGCAGGAGCTGGTGCAGCAGGCTGAGCTGGCTCAACTGAAATATTTACTAATGACTTTACATTACTTGGAAAATATGTTAGTAATGCCACTTACTGCCAAACAAGCGCTTTTGTTATATTTTGCCTATATGGTAAAAGCCATTCATTTTTTGCTGAAACGGGGAATCACAAAACAAATTAATAAGCTATTCCAGTTACGTGTGTCACACACGATGTGAACTTTTGTATTTATGCAAGGGTTCTTGTTATCGCACTAACTCTATAAAAATACAATCTCTTTATTTTGTAACAAATTTTAGTAGGTTTATGTTGCACAACAACACACAAGCAATGGACCTATATTCCCAGATGTATGTGTTTAAATGGCACGGAATTTTATGTATTTCAGTCGATCTTATAGGCCCATTAAATGTTATTTCATTTTTGTCGTGAGGGAATTTTTTCACCTGTTGTCGGAGCAGTTGCGATCGGTTCAGCAGGAGCCGTTTCTGCCGGTTTCTCTTCTTCTTTCGCCGGACTTCCTTCTAAACGTCCAAACGATTAAATTAAATTTTATACGATTTTATAGGATTGCAAGCTGAAGAAGATACAAGAGGCGAGTAAGGTGCAGAAGATAAAAGAAATACTGTTAAATAAATACAAACAAAGCGAAAAGAGTAAATTATACTGATAGTATGAGCAAAACAAAATCCAGAACCGTAAACCAAAATTGTTTAATAAAAATAAAAATAACAAGCATCAATCTAGTGCGTTCATGCGTTACCCTTGTGCGAGATACAGAAAATATTAGAAGAACCTCCGCGTGAGATTAGTTACATTTCTTACACCGCACCTTTTTCCGGCCCACCGGAGAGGGTCTCGCAGATTTTGCTCCAGATGTTATCGAAGGAGTCCCTGCCCAGGTAGTCGATGTTCCCGACTTCCCATCCTTGCCTTCTCAAATGATCGTCCAGGGCCTGTTGCTCGGCCGTCCTCGCCTGCCCCAGCGTCAGATTGGCGAAAGCACCGGCCAATCCAGCCTGAAAAAATCGGAAAATCGTCACGTTTCCCGCCGCAAATAAATTATATTGTTCTGAATTTGGGCTCGAAGGTGCGTCAATGAACAGTAGCAGTTAGTAAAGCAGATTTAAAAAGAAACTATACCTTTTTATACAAGAATGTTCGTGGGGATATCTGTACAATTTACTATTAACATTTAGTGGATATATATCTAAGTAATGCTCAATTTTAATATACTTACTTGATCGTCATTAGTGTCTTCTTTAGAGTCTGTTTGCAATGTTATTTCGTTGGACACTGTAGTAGTTGCCACACACTCATCTGGTAGTCTGGGATCATTGGGAGGAGGCCTATTGGATGAAGTGCCTTGGGAACAATTATTAGGCGGTTCGTAATTGGTGGACGATTCGGGAAGAGGAGGTTCATCAGGTGTATGCGGATGACTGTATGTAGGATGATGAATGTGATGATATTCAGCCTCATTAGGCGCATTTGTATTGTGAGATTCAATTAGATTTTGTCGATTTTCAATTTCATGACTTTGGACATTACTCTCTTGGTAATGGGTGTGTTGTTCGGGATGATTGTAGGAGTGTTGTTCAGGTTGGTGATGGGTGTGTTGTTCAGTATGGTACTGTGGTGGTTCAGGGTGGTGATGGGTGTGTTGTTCAGTATGGTACTGTGGTTGTTCAACATGTGGTGCATGTTCTGTAAAGGAATGTATGTCTGGGGAATGGTGATGTGGTTCTTGTAAAGGCGGTTCATAGTGTTCTTCATAACTAGTATCTTGTGTATGAAAGTTAGTACTAGATTGTTTCGATTCGTATTCGTCCCATGGGTCCCACACGTTTTGGTAGTCTTCCGCAGTAGTTAGGTTAGAAGTGGGTTGTGGTTCGTGATAGTAGGATGTGTGGGAAACATTTTGGGATGTGTTAGACTGACTACCGTACACAGTGTCTGAATGGCTGGTCTGAACAAACAAGCATGCAAAAGAAAGAAAAAAGTTCAGTATGACTAATTGTTAACGTGTTCAATTACCTGAACAAGGTGGTAGTTTGCTCAGGTAATGCACTGTGAACAAAATAAAACAAGAAAAAGCGAACAAAATGCCAATTAAACTCAGAATACAAATAGCGTAGCTCTGTGCTGCATCATGCAACAATGTTTTTTTGATAAAACGCCAACGAATTCGGAATATTTACAAAATTTCGTTCGAGTAATAATTGATTTAAACAAGCATAACACTATTTTTAAAATTAGCAATTCACACTAACAAAAATTTAATGTAACATAGTTATTCACAAAAATTTAGGATTACTTTCAGAAAAGAAACGTTATTAACAAAGAAGTTTGTAGGACACTTTTTCACAAAAATCCTCGAACGTAAAACGATAAATTAAAATGCACCATGTGAAAATGTATCCTACCAAAGGGAACTTCGAGTAGTTCTTTTCACTATCCTAAATAACAACTCACCTTAGATTCATCACATGAATTTATCGAAGGCTTGTAATAATTTGAAATTGTCTCTGTTAATAATATTCATAAAGTTTTTATACAATTAATAAACAGCTAGCGGGAAGTGCGATAAAACGTCGTATATTTACCATATCGGGCGACAGTTTCGGATGGATGAGGTCGCAGAAAATGTTCCACCAAAACTGCAGGATCTCCTGCAAGTGGGCCAATCCCTCCGACGGGTGGACCTTCCTCGTTTCCGTGTTGAAATATTGCAGCCATGGCTTCGACGACCCTATGAAGTGGATGATCTTCGCGTTTTTGCCGAATCTAAAAAACCGATTAATTCAGCGCCAAACCGTAGAATGGAATAAATAAAAATGACGTCGCCCGATCGCCTCGCGAACGATGCAAACCCATGTTTATTGCGACAACTATTAATGGGATGTTTACTCGATTTTTTATTTTCTAAATTATTTCTAAACGGCTCGTTTCGGCGTCGCCGCTATTTTTGGCAACTAAACGGCCTATAGTCGTAAATAACGTAGGTGCATCCTCCGCACGTCTACTTACTGTTTAAATGCAGGCAAATACGAGTAGCACGCAGTCGACGACATGTTGTAAATAAACGGCAAGTGCTTGCTGATGTCTTTGTGCGCCCAATCGGAGAAGTACAAATTCAGAAGCCCTTGATCACCGCCTAAAATCCATGAAAAAAAATGCACTATAGAATAGAATAGATTCAGAATAGAGTAGATTCAGGGTAGAATAGATTCAGAATAGACTAGATTTAGAGTAGAGAAGATTCAGAATAAAAAAGAATTCAGAATAGAGTAGATTCAGGGTAGAGAAGATTTAGAGTAGTAGCTAGAATAGATTCAGAATAGAGTAAATTCAGAGTAGAGAAGATTCAGAGTAGCGTAGATTCAGAGTAGAATAAATTCAGAATTGACTAGATTCAGAATACAGTAGATTCAGGATAGAATAGATTTAGAATAAAGTAGATTCAGAGTAGAGAAGATTTAGAGTAGAGTAGATTCAGAGTAAAGATTTCCGAGATTCCTGAGTTTTCCTTTGTTCAACTCATTAGAATTTACCATATTGCCAACAAATTTGCCACATATTAGCCTAGACGAATTAATTCGACTGAATAAATCGATCATTTACAGGTTATTTATAACGCTCATGTATCAAGTGCAATTGACGAGAATTCTAAAAAGAAATCACGCTCGCAAATCATCAGCTATCTCCTTGGACGGAAGCCAGACATTAACGTTTATGTTATTTATAATTTGGATATCATGGGTCTTACCGTCGAAGCTTCCTTTTTCGAGCGCGAACTGCACGAGCTTCTCGTAGGTTTCGTTGGAAGGGCGGTAAACGTAGACGCCGGAGTTGAAGCAATCGGGCCAGCCGATGTCGGGGGCCGCGGAGAGTTCTTCCCTTTCGAACAATTCATCGCAGTTTTCCAGCACCTAAATTCGAAAACAAATAGTAATTTCTCTTATAGCCGAGAGAATCGCTAATTATTAACCACGGAAGCTTTTTACAGTCAATTACCTCGAGCCTCTAAAAGCGTAAATAAATAGTAAACCGCTCGCGGTGTTAGTCCCCGAGCGATTGTTTACTTTGGCTTAATTACAAGTTATTTTGGCTGCGACTTAAATAAATCCGGATATTATATGAACATGGTGTTTACACGAAAATTTTCCAACTTTTTACCGGGATGGCCGGGCGTGTAAATAATTTTCGCGTTCGACTAAGGCAGGAGCTATTTTCGGACAAATCCGATTCACCCTTTCGCCGGGATATTTTTAAAAGTCGCACGGGAAAGCTCTCTTCGACATACCAACGTGTCTGCGTCCAAAAATACACATTTCTCGTACTGCGTGAGACGCCAACAATGCAATTTTGTGAACGTTATTCCCAGCTCCGGTCTCTTCAGCAGCTTCAAGTTGGCCTCGTCCTTCGAATCCAGAATGTTCACCTCCTTCACGACGTTGAAAATCTCGCTCAATTTCGACCTGCGGACGAGATATAAACTTTACGATTAACTCGCTTATAATGCAACACCTGTTTTTTCGCACTGCGAGCTGATAAAGCGGCACATATTAATAGCGATCGCGTTTTTAATCGCTATTATGCTATAACATATTATTTAACGAGTTTGATACGGTGTTAAAAATAAACGGCTTTATCTTTGAACGAAAACAAATTGTTGGATGCATAACTGTACCTCATCGGGCCGGTAACTCCTGGTGTTATTAGAACGGCCAGTTCTTGCTTCGTGCCCACTTGCTTCAAGGAATGGGCCAGCACCAGGGCCCCCAATGAATAGGAATCATTAGTTGCCAATGTCACCCAAGCGTAACCTGAACACAATACCAATAAAATGTACTCGAATCAATCTTATTAATTACGTCCTACATACTATATCATGATTATACGCTGAATAAAACACAGCTGTGCCAATTTTTATGTTAAATAGGTGTCCCAAATCAAAAATTATCACTGTTTACTTAGTGAAATTATCATCGTAAATTATCTAAATTAATATAGATGCATAACGTGTTTGAAAGTATCGTAAGTTCAAATGTCTTATGGAAAGCATCCAGTTCGGGTAATTGGATTATTAGCGCGCAGCTGTCTTCGGGCCGAAACTTAATTAGCGTTAAATAATTTGGGAGCGAAATGGAGCTTTCGATTGAATTGCGTTTGATGTTACGCGTCGTTATTTATTTTGTGTTAGATATGTATTTTTCGCACATGTAGGAGGACTTTAAAATTGCGAATAGTTTAACCGGCACCATACTAAAAATACGGCGGAAACACGCAGTAGCCAAAAATACATTTTTAATTCGCATTTCAGAGATGTTACTTTTAAATGACCCTATTGATAGATAATAATAAGCGTTTTTATTTCGTTGAGGAGCCATGTGGGTCTAATGGAGAATTAATTAGAGTTTTGAAATAATGTTTTTAGGTCGACGGGAATAGCAAAGGACGCGATAAATTTGATTTTATTATACTTTTAGTTATTCCTGTTGGTTTGGGGTTTATTTTTAAGGGCATTGAATGTTCCAGGTTGTTTTGTACACTCAATGAAAAGGTATAAATGGGCATAAGATTATTGCAAAATTACGATATCACAATTTTATTCATAAATGACATTGAATTTGTTAGATTTGAAATTATTTTTAATTTCTTTTGACCGTGGCTTATATAGAGGTTTTGCAATTGATTTGTTCGCTCTTATCGGGCCCAATATCGCACATTTTTATTGTAAAATTCGGCGATAAGCGCAAAAGATTGGCCCGAAAATTAATCTTTGTAGATTTTCAGCGACCTTTGCGAAAATCCTAATCCCGGCGACCTAAATTTTGCGCTCGATTGAGAAAATAAATGTTGGTCCAGATAAAAAAAATAATTTTGTGTTTAAAAGTATTTCGGTTCACAATCGTTTTACTTTATTGCTAGCAAAAGTAACTAGTTTTATCAATTTTTTGTTTATAAACATACTAAGATAAATTAAATTATATCAATTAATCTGAACGTCATTCGGGGATATTTATTTAACACTTAAAAAGTGCGTACACATATCCACACGTTTTATTCAACCACGCAAATTATTTATCCAAGATTTTTTCAATTTTTAAAATTTGCGAAAAAATCTAAAATACCGGTTTCGGCGTATAACAGAATTTCGAAGACAAAATACCCAACAATTTGTTGTGGTACGGCCTTTACACATTCATTAACCTTGTCAATGATAACTCGAGTTAGGTTAATTCATTCAACATTCCCAATTATTCTAAAAAATCAGTCAAAGCTCACCTCCACCCATGTCGGATTGCAATTCAAATATTCACTGGACACTAAACGAAGGTTAACACAAAAGTCCTGTCATAAGAAACTCAATTGAAGTTCAGAAAATCAAAACAAGTGCACGGTCCGACTGTAGGACGAATACGCACGAGGATTATTTCAGTAAAACGTTCACGGAACATAATCCCAGTCGAACGTCGCCGCGCACTCTAAATTCAACCTTAATCCGCTGTGCATAAGAGCCTCGCAACCTTATCGGCCCGGCATGTTCCGCGCGAAGCCGCCGCTCGAGCTTATGTGGCTGATGTGCCGGCAGGAATATCGCTCTTGTTGCAGGAGTAGATACGATTATCGCTCAAAAGGTGCGATTTTCTTGCGAAGAGGACGGTTTGTTATGTAGAAGAGGTGAAGAGGATCCGAAGGAATTCTTCGGTCGTTTTCTTTTACGCCGGGGTTGCCAACCGGCGAAAAAGTCCCAACCAGAAATAGCAGCCTACTATTTCTATTTCGGAGACAGTCGCTTTTATGCTTCAATTAGAAACGTCTAGGACAATTTAATTCCCCCCGAGTCGCTTTATCGATAACGAGTAACGAGCATCGCGAAAAATTAATTATTGATGCAATTGAGCGTATAAATTTCTAATGTTTCGGGAGGTTTGAATGTCAAGCCTGGTCACCAAATGTCACGGTATCAGAAATTAATGCGTTATTAAGTTGATAAGGGTCCGATACGAATTATTTTGCCCCAACGCCATTTTTTTAGAAGAGTCCAGAAATAATTTAATAGGGAGCTTTCGAGCCGGCAGACTATCACTTTGAGTTAGAAAATTGAATTTTTGTTTTACTGTAAAAAGTATTCTTATCTAGTGTTACTTTGAATAAAAATGACACACTATTTTGTCATAATTGACAGAAACGTGACACATTAAGTTGTCATAAATGACAGAAATGAGACATGGAACATATTTTAACACACAGGATGATTTACTTATTATGAATATGTCGTTTTAGTAGAAATAAAGTATGCGTTTGGTATTGAATAATTGAATGCACTACATGCAGAGACTGCCGCAATGATGCTTGGCTATTGCTATTGGATTTTATTGTGCGGCATCGGAGTGTCGGGTAACGCAACTGGCAATACAGATTACAGAAACCGAAAACCGAAAGCCGGCAGACAGAACAGAACCGGAGGGAAATGCGATAGGAATACTACGGTAAACGGCATATCCATTCTGCTTCACTAGTAGCGCACGCTCACTGAAGTTTGTATTATGCTGCCGTCGCACGAGAAAATACGATGAATCGAATTTTTTTCACATGTTCTGTGTGCTTTCAGTGCCGATCTGAGCCGTCCGTCTGCTGATAGTGTCGCCTTTGCATTGGAGAATTTTTTGTGTTTACATCTGAAATGAAGACATTCTACATGTCATATTATGACTTGCCGTTTGTCAGGCGACGTCTTCTCATTCATTTAGTGCCTCAGCTATGGCCGATATCATTATAAAATTACGAATCGATTATAATTTGCTACAAATCCGACGTAGTGCACGGGAGATATGGAAGATAGGACCAGCATTACGCGATCCAGGAGCTCTTATTTAGATGCAGAGTCGCCTGGTAAGTTGTTACATACGAATTACTACACGTTATTTCGATGGCTAAATAAAACATTTCCACCCCGGGTTCGGCTAATCAACTGCTCGAAATTCTTCATGTATTCTCTTTCAGCCGGTTCAATGTACTTGCAGAGCGATTCCTATCAAAAGTCGCTTAAAGAATGGCAAATACCTATCAATTTTGTAACTGTTTTGTGCGGTTTATTTTGAAATGCCTTCAGGTTTTATACTGAATTGTTATTTATTATTCCACAAGCATCTCATTGAAAAACTATCGTTCCGTTACTACTAAATATACTCGCAATCGACCAACAACAAATATTAAAGTACAAATGACCAACCCTTATTTGAGATTTATTAACACAAAAAATCTAACTACATCCTATACAAATTTACTGCATATTAATCCGAACATTTTAATCAATTATGTGCATAATTTAGTTCACTTATCACCAAGTATTGTAACCCTCCTGTGTGTTTTACATGTATTGTTGCACACTCTTGCTGATGTAGAAAATATTACTCGATTTTTGTTGCATAAATTCTACTTATAGGTAAATATAGAGATTACCTAATAGTTCAATATAAACTTGCTGAATGTACCGATTACGTTACTAATTACAATGTTATTTATTACTTAAAAACTTAATCTATAATTCAGAATAACCGACCTTCAAATGAACTATTATATCTACTTTTTTTGTACCGAGTAACAATGTAATCGAGGAACAAAAAGGAAGAGCACGAATAAACAAACGTTCGTCTAAATTCTAAATTTAGGCGATTTATCCCGAAATGTACCAATTTGTTCAAGAGAAATTATTTAGGAAATGATCCGCAGGGTACGTTGATCTTAACTTCGAATCGTTAATGCGGATGTGTGGAACCTTATAATTACATTCTAATTTGAAACTTCACATTGATGAGAACGTAGAAATCGTCAATAAGGTGTAAGATAGACAATAATGGGAAACGATGCAGTTTCAATTTCATTCCCAATAGAGGCGACGCATTCTTAATTAAGGTTGATGACATTCTTGCGGTAAAATAGTTAAAAATTAAAGCCGCATTTAACATGCATTGGAAATTTAATTCGTCGTGATGTACAGTACGTGACAATAACGAGTTATGTACCTGAGAATAAATTTGTGAGAATGGCTAAATTGGTTGGTAGTTTTTATCGTTGACTGTATTTATTAACGTATTTACAAGGTCCTCACGTTAACGTCATAGTTTTTTTAATATTGCAGTATTAAATTGCTATTAACCAGTTCGGTAAAATATTATATCAGGTCTATGTAGGTAGTACTTGTATGGAATGAACCGTTACCTATGAGACTCATTTTTTGTATCACTAATTGACGAGTCGAAAATTAATTCAATTTTCAACTCAATGAATATATTATAATCTGTACGTGATACCAAAAGTGAATATATTTTACTTGGTGTGAAAATGGATAGGATTATGTAATGAACAATGGTGCATGTATTCTAAAGAATCATCTCTTGTTTAGGTTTAACACAATAGACAGATGCTGTAGGCGCTTAGTGAAAATGTATTTCAATTTAATACGTTTTTCCTCGATGTTCCAGTTTTGGTGTGTATATACGTATAGAATGACGTGAATACAGATAACGAAACGTATATTGGAATATTGTTTTCCAAGAACATGGGTATTTTATTGGCTATATTTAGATATAAAATAAACAGCACCATATTGTCATGAATTGAAAAAAAAAACAAGAATCGATCGGAATGGACGAATTGTACAATGTACTGCAATTACATTATAAATGTTCAGTATACGTGCAATTAAGGCAAATTAAAAAATTACGTTCTCTCATTGTGAATTCAGTTATTTCCCGTTTTTTGCCTTCCTTTTTAGCATATCCACTTGAATGATCGGTACTTAAAATGGAATTAAGTCATTTATTACTCAACGTAGGTAAATTTTTGAATAATTTTCTAAACTTTCTCCAGAAATTTGGGTAGAAACTAATTGTTTATACCCAGACTAACTAAATGTTTTTATAATAGTAAAATTCTGTCGATGATAAATTCATAAATCGCTTAATATGTATGAAAATCATTTATGCTACACTGTCTTATGAATTCAGACAGCCTTCACAAATTCAATTCCCACATTACCATAAAATTAGAATTGAATTAAAATAAATTATCGCAAATTGACGAAAATGTGATTTTTTCAACACTTAAATGGAATCATGGGAGCTTGTAAATAATATCGAAAATAATAAATTAAAGGTACAAGGAGATAGTATGTAGTTCGATTTTATTGTTTAAAATTTTTATCTGTCGACGTCACGGCATTTTATTAAATAATTTAATTTATCATCAGGAAATAATCCGTTGTATTATGGGTATTGGAAATTTATTTACAGATTCGGAATTTGAAATGCAAAAAATGTTTGAAAATGCCACTTTCTCTATCCCGTAGTTTGTTGATCACGAATCTTTTTCCTTTTTTAGGATTCTTCTTCGATTTATTCAAAGTTAATTTTTTTCACTTTCACTTACAAAGCGCAGTTTAATTGACATTTCGATTTTCTAATCAATACTAATCCTTTTATGGATTTTTCACCTGGGTGTATTTCACTAATTATTCAACTAACAATAAATCATTTAATGAGCAATTCATCTGTATACGAAGTAGATTAAGAGAATTCAGGCGTTTAAGCAAAAGTTAAGTAATAAATGCATAAATTAATTGGCGAAGGAAATTTTGTTTTGTCGAAATTTGTTACTCAAGTTTGAAAACAATTCTCATCTCAAATTATTACAGGATATTCTTATCTATATCCGGCATTTCGAATAAACCATGAATGCGATGCGAAATACATTTTCGTTAATGATTTTTACAGTAAATAGTGGCAAATTTTTATGTTGTTAACTGCAGATATAAGTAACGGTTACACCGTAATTTTTATATTACTAAACAGTTATAATTTTAACATTTAAACATATTTCTGTCCCTTTATTACCAAACGAAACACCCCGTGATCATAATTGAATCTCTTAACAGCCAAAATGGGAGAACCCCCGATAATTGTGTAACATTTTTAACTTCACGAAACCTTTTAAGTGCTGGTAATTTAGTTATTTATCGATTATTGATTAGGTTTGTGAATTTTAATAATCACCTTTTGCAACTTTCACTAATAGGGTGCAACATTGGACAGAAAATGAGATGAAAATTTCAGAATTGGATTTTAAAATTGTGATTTTCCTAGTGGCTTAAAATATATTATTAATTTTCGTATTCTTTGAGTCCCATTTATGATTTATGCATTCTTAATATCAATCGATTCCAGATAAAACGCACGACATACTTGTGGATTATTAATCGACGAATAAAAACAAAGATAGGATAATTTGAATTGTTTAACTGAATTTAAATTAATTAGTGCATTGTGAATATTAAAGCAAAAACAGCCAAGCCGATCTGTGTTTCTCAATTCATTCTAATTGAATTAGATTTCTCGGTTTGGTCGAGAAATGCATTAATAATCTGGGTCGCATTAATGCAAAATGAATTATGGATGTTGGCGTGGCTCGTTAATTTTTCAGAGTAAACATCAATATTACAATCCATTCAGTGGATTTGTAGAGGTACACGATCTTGAGCTCCCGAGATATCATAGTGACAGTTGATATGTCAATGTCATTTTTAGGTCGTTGACCTTTCAATATCAGTCGCATTTTTTTTTAAATACAACAATACAAATTTGCTACAAAAATTATTATATTAGAGTTAAAGTAGTAATTTTGCTTTTCATAAATTTAATTATTTAGTTTCTCTATGGTACTTACCAACCGCTATGGTAACAGCCTACTATAATTGACATTGACATTTATTGATGGATTTTTAGCACTTCCAAAGATTATTTTGTTATAAAATTTGCGGTGATGTTTTGGAGAATTTTAAATTTGAATCGCAGTCGGCGAGCGGGCCCTCGGTGCGCAGGCGCTCGTTTGTAGGCAAGCGCGAAGCGAATCGACGAGGCAAAGGCGAACCCGACAGAAGCGCTATCGTAGCGTTCATTACGTACAAATCGTTTTGTATTTTGCATCGATATTTTTCACGAATTCTGAGTTAACTCGGCGGTGTCTAAGTGAATGTCCGTATGGCCGAAGTGTTTTCGGAGTGTATTGATGGATTTTGGGAGAAATAAGGCGATAGGAGGACGATAAATCGGGAAAAAGGTAAGTGAATTGGACATGTAATGGATGCCAATATGGGCTACTTTTGTGTGTCTACAACGCAGGCGAGCGAATTTGATCTCTTATGGATCACATTAAAGACGGTTTTCGCTCAAAACAACAATCGTACGAATTTGTTTTGTTTATAAACATTATTCTGACAGTCCATTGGCTTATTGCAGTATTTTTAATTTTTTAACGTCAAATCGCAGTCATTTTAAATCTACATTTATTTTTATTATTTTTGTCGTTACTTAATACAACAGAAAATTTTATTATTTTTTATTAAATAAATTACGAATTTACGTTTATCATAAGAATCATATTTTCGAATTATAATCAACAGCTCTTGGAAAAAAATGTAATTCGCCTACTGTCTCAAATTGATGGTATAAGAAAAAATATAAATTTTAGATGGCAGCTGTTGATTCGGCCGAGAAAGAAGCCAGCGAAGTTCTTCATACGCTTCTATCTGTAGAAAGAATAGAAAAGCAGGAAGACGGAGGAGACAATCAATCGTATCACTCTAACCAAAGCGTTGGCAATGAGAGCCAAGAGGAGGCCCAAATCCAATGGCACACGCCTGTATCCATATCCCATTCGTTGTTTTCTGCCATCGATGCATCCGGACATTTCACTCAAAATATGGACGAGCAGCAGGTAGTTGTAGAGTTTGAAGTTTACATAAAACACTTATAAACACACTCTTTCTCAAAAACCTGGTACTAACAGCACCATTTTGCAGGTCATATGGGAAGGCCACACCATCGTGGACCCCGAAACGAATAATATAAACACAATTTACACAGGCCATCCTATAGACGAATCCGAAGCCGAGCAATCGCCGAAAGCGGAAAACGAATCGAAACCCAAAGCCCCGCCGAAGAATAAGAAAAAAGTACCTGTTAAAAAGAAGAAGAAGGTAGCCGATGGCGTGTCGAACGACCCCACGCGACTCGAAGAAAGCGCGGCTCAAGTGAAAGACAGATTTAAAAGAGGTTGTGAATGCCAAGACGAGAGCTGTTTTAGGGGTTTAAACCCCGAAAGCGTGTACAAACATCGATTGAACATAGCGGAACTAACTAAAGGAGAGCACGATATGTATTTAATGGGAGTCACAATGGCTTGTCTAGCTAATCCCGATACAACCGTAAGGCATAAAGAGAGAAGGCGGTTGAGAGCTCAATACGTCTATCAAGGCAGGAGAGTATGCCTCGATGCGTTCCTGTATTTAGAAAATTGCACCCATTATCAATTGAAACGAATTAGAAAGCACGTTATGACGCACGGAGTAGCACCCAGAGTACACGGAAACCACGGGAAAAAGCCCCACAACACCTTCTCGTTGGACATCTACAGACACGCCACGGAATTTTTGAAACAATACTTGGAGCAACACACGGGCGAAAGGGACATCGTAAACACCAAACTACCTATCCAGTTACCTTGGGACGTCACGAGAAAGAACCTCCACGACGCGTACAAAGACTACGGGCAAATCCTCGAGCCCGGCATCAAGCTGATGGGATACTCGACGTTCAGGCACTTCATGAAGGAGCAGTTTCCCCACGTGAAATTCTGCAAAGTCGAGCCGAAGGTGTGCTCGTCGTCGCATCACAACAACAACTCGCACGCCGCCGGCAACCAGCAGCAGAACCAGCAAGCGCAGCAGCAGCAGCAGGTCCAGGCGGTCCAGCAGCAAACGCAGCAGATCCAAGCGGTGGTGGAGAGGCCGCGCGAGCAGCAAATTCAAGTGCAAAAGTGCGTGCAGGTGCAGCAGGTGATACCCGTGGTGGTGGCGCCGTCGCCGTCCGATGGCGCCAACGGCCAGCACCACCAACAGACATTTTTGGTTACGCCCGTGCCTCAGGTGGTTCCGAATGGGAATATCGTGACTCCCCAGAACGCTAACAACCACACGACGACTAACACGTTCTCTTATCAGTTGGCTAATACGGGGTACGTTATAAACGAACAAGGGAACATTGTTACAACTATGGCCAGTGCTCAACATCACACTCCTTACACGTTTGGGAGAATGTAAATTCTGATTGTGATCGAAATAATTGTAAATATTTAAGTGTATTTATTTGATTTTGTTTAGGTTTAATTTTTTTTACATTTGCATTCAGATTTTTTATGTTGCTTTGGCTTTTATTTATCGACCAGACGCTACTTATTTATAATTAATTGAAATATATTAACAAAATGTTAATGCAGGTTTTGAGTAAAATTTTTGCTCGATTTCAATGTATTACAAAATTTATAAAATAAGTTGAGTAATTCGTTGGACATTTAGAGATTTTAATTCGTAAAATTAAGAATAGTCTGAAGCGTGAAAGATATTTTTAAAATACTGCTCAAAGCTTGAATGGTAAATTCTAAGAATTTAAATTATCATAAGAAAAATTTTAGAATTTAAATTTAATAATTCTTACTGTCTTTTGAATATCACGAGGAAAGCTAAGTTTTATTGGCATTGTGTCTGTTGCATATTTTTATGTACAAAAAAACACGTTTAAAGTACAATTTAAAGATTTTTATTTATCTACTTGTTTGCGTTCTAAATTATAATTCACTCCTTATCTTTTCTAAGAAAACAGCAACAAATGTAACAAATAATGTTTGGTTGTAAATTTTTCCTAATTACATTTTTCGTAAGTTACCCTTTAATATTTTTATGATAAAAATATTGTGATTATTATTGAATATCTAATATGATTTCATTAGATTAGCCGTGTTAAAACATTTGGAATACTAATACTTGTTTTCATATCATTTTAGTGGTAAAAATTCTCATTACTATTATATTGTGCGTACTGCATAAGAAGTCTGAGTTGTTTTACAGTTTTTTTATATTCATAATACCGTAGCATTTTTATTTATAAAAAGGGATTTATACTATAATATATTTATGTAAAACTGTATGTATTGGTTTTAAAGAAAGCTGAACTAGGCTGTTTCTCGTTTAAATATGTGATATGTGTATTTTTTTAATAAATACCTTTGATTTAATTTGCTCGTTCTTTCAAAATTTTATAAATATCTGATAAGTATTTGCCATTGTTTAGGATAATAACCAATTTATTTAGTCATCAAAATGTGTATAACAGTTAAATTTCACGAATGCGTGTACTTGTAGGAAATTCAACCAATGATTACGAAGAATTCGAAATGCAAAATTCAGTCAATTCTGAAACCCTGAGTGTTAACGATGTTTTAGATTTACTACAACAACAATATGCAATTATCTCAGGTGGAAAGTCTAAAGAAGGCTGTCCCATAATTACGTTTCCTGATAACAATAATTTTGAAACACTGTCTGATTTAGAATACCAACGATTAATGTTGTATTTAACATCTGTGCCTTCGTAAGTCTACCATCCATTCAATTTCTTGTATCGATTCAAATTAATTTATTTTAGCCTCCATGATGCTGATTTGGGCTTCCATTTAATTATAGATAGACGGAATGACAAATGGAATTCCGTAAAAACAGTTCTCTTGAAAATATCCGTAAGTTAAAATTAACCCGAAACAAAACAAATCATTTCTACATTTACGCGTTTTCAGGTATATTTTCCAGGCCTGATACACGTTGTTTACGTCTTACGGCCGGCTAGTTTTTTACAAAAGGCCTTATCCGAAGTCAGCAATAAACTATTTAAGGACGAATTCAAATTCCGCATGATCGTTTTGAGCACCACAGACGAACTGCACAAGTACATCAACAATCGGCAACTAACCCCGGACCTAGGCGGCACGTTGAACTACAATCACGATGATTGGATACACCAAAGGACCGAGCTCGAGACGTTCTCCACGGTCACCCAACAGGTCTCCACCGCTTTGGATAACTTCACCAAAACCATCGAGGAGACCGAGCTACCCAACGACGTCGAATCCACGGAAAACCTGCTCGAAAAACACAGCTCAGTCTACACGGAGCTCAAAAAAGACATCCTCTCGGCCGCCAAACACGGAGAAAACTTGCTAACAACCATCAAAGAGAAGAACAGCTTCACCCACGACGAGGAGTACTACTCCCTCAACGACACCTGCGGCAACGTGTTCGCCGTGGAGCGTCTGCTGGTGCAGCTGGAGGAAACCGAAAGGACCTTCGACGAATTCTGGCAGGCGCACTCGGTGAAGCTCAGGCACTGCCTGGAGCTGCGCCGGTTCGAGCAGGACTTCCGCGAGTTGCAGATCAACTTCGAATCGAACTTGAAGATCGTCAGCGAGATGACGGAAGCCGGCGACGCCGTCGAGAAAGTGGAGAGCTTGATGAAGCAAGTCAAGGCTTTCGAGAAGCTTTGCAGCTCGGACATCGACAGGGCGGAGGAGGTCATTTCCACCGGGCAACGCCTCGTCACCGTCAGCTCTTTTCCTATAGAAAGCGTAGAGCCTAAATGTACAGAGCTAATTAGAGTTAGAAATTTGTTATTAGAGCGGTTGTCGAAGCGAATGGAGCTGCTGGATTTGACTAAAATTTTATTGGAGCGAATCGACAATGTGAGTAAGATGCAGGGGTGGTGCAATTAATTCGAATGGTAAATTTCCAGGCGAATAAGTGGTGCGCGAATGGTTTAGAATTATTATCGGTGCAGAAAATCGAGCAATGCTCGACCTCGACGGAATTGGCGGAGAGATATTTGAAAGAAATCAAGGAATTCATAGCGTCTTCCCAAGAATTTACCTCAAACGGCCCTAAGGATTTTAGGGATATATTCCAGGAAACCAGCACACTAGAAACGAAAGCACTAATTTCCCAAGTAAAGCTCCCGAATTCCGGCCGGGCGATATTTCAAATATTTCACTTTCAGGTCGTGCAGAGGATCGAAGATGTCACCGTGATGTGCAATAAGCGCGTCGCGACGTTGAACAAACTCGCCGTTAAGCCACAGAGGCCCGTGCAAACGGTCCTTCCGGAGCCGGTGGTTCCCCGTCAACCGGGAGCTCCGGCTCCCCATCACAATCGGGCCGTGTTGAAGAAGGCCTTCACTATACCCAAAGTAAGTGAAAAAATATCAAACTCACCGTTCGAATTCTCGCGGCTGGAAAACACTCGGATGTGCAAACTAATTTCTTTTAAATAAAATTATTGCCGCAATACATTATCGTCCTTTAAGTAGTAACGGCATAATTTATTGATTCGAAATCGTCATATAAAATTCCATTGATTCAGAATTTAGAAAGAGATAATCAAATTTAGCGTCACTTTTGAAGATATGTGGATGACTGGTGGTAGGAAAAACTTGACTTATTTGCCGTTAATAATTCGTTATTAGACATTTACTTTTCTTTCCTAATCAAGTATTTTGATGGTTTGTTTCGACAATATTGTTTATTATGGTTCGTGTAAAATATCGTAGTGTCATGTATATCTGGGTAAGTCTTTCCTACCGACAATGAAGGGTTAATTACTCGCAGTTTGGTGTTATTGCGTTGAAAATAAGTCGTTATACGTACACAAAAATATCGCATTGGCAGTTAGTTCGATTCGACTGGGAAGGTGATTCCAAATAACAATGTTTAGTGTCAAGGAAACATTACGTGGTGACCTCGTTTGAAGAATATTCATCTGATTTGGTGAAATTGATCTAGAAACAACGGCATATTTCGAAGAAACTGAATAGCTCCCATCGTATTCACCAACGAGTGATTAATACTTTATTAAACGTATCAAATTCGACACTTATTTACTGATTGTAATCTTTTGTACGTCTGTTCTTCCAACTATTTTTATTCGTAACGCTTAATGTTTTTGATCCACGTTTATTTTGAAATACGGAATTTCTGTTTTGCCGGATTCTAAAATATTTCTGCAACTTATATCATTTTTCGTACATTGTTTGCTTCTCTATCGCATCCATTATTAGATGCAGAATTAAATGCAGAATGTTTTCTATAACCAGCAAGTGACTCAAAAATATATCAATTTTTAATTTTATAAATTTGCTCAATATTCCTCCTGTCTGGCTTGAATTATTTTGTTAGTGCAAGTCACGCTAACTGTAGATTCATATTATTTTATTTGAATGATTTTCAGTTTCGAAAATTTACAGTTAATTTGAAATTACCTTACCTAATTATGTAATAATTTGCTTTTTACTACACAGTTGAAATTTTTCTACAAATAAATATTTTCTTGAAAATCTTCTAATCGTTAGTATTTTTAGCAACTGAAATAATTTATTTTATATAATGCCTCCTTTTATTCGGGACCATCTGTTTTACGACTACTAATTATCCACATAAAGTTACATAAGTCCGTTCGTATAAAATGTTAAATAATACGTTTACTTCTTCATTTCTCGGACACATCTGATATAGCCATCCGCCTCCGAAACCAGTTTGTTAATTTCTTGAGGAATGGCTCAAAAATTGTGCTAGTTTGCGATTTATTGTACTTTAGCATTGATCGAAATCTCAAAAAGATGGCCAGTCGTGCATGTGGTGTTACAGATAACAACAATAACAGTGTTTTCAGAAGTTTCGTTAATTTTAATTCTGGTTCTAATGATGGATTTTTTTATCTTCACGTATGTACGTTTTGTAAGTTGTTGATTAGGGCAATATTTTTAATAACAATCCATAGGTCGATTAATACACTAAATCAGCAATTGCAAGTAAATAAACATTGTGTCAACAATTTTTGCTCGAGTTTTAAAACAGCTCGACAGTTCAATAAATCATTTATAAAAGGGTTTTATTATTTTATAGTAGCTTAGTTAATTGGCAAATAATGATATTTTTAGTAAGTATTCACGAAATTATGTAATAATTTTTTAGCAAATTAGTTATTCCATTGCGCAGGAATTATTTTAATAAATTAACAAAATAACGGGGTTACATTTCGAAAGTGTCCTTAATTTATTGTATTTTTTTCTTCTATTTTTAAGATGAGTAATCCAGAAAATGAAATAGAAAGTAATTTTGTTCAAAACAATGACAACCAGTCGCCACCAGATAATGATGAAATTAGCAACATTAAAACCAAACACGTTTTGAATGAACTCTTCGAAACCGAAAAAATATACGTCAATGAATTATTTACCATATTAAAGGTAATAAATAATAAATCAGAGATGATGAAAATTTCCAACGAGCATTTTTTAGGGCTACAAAGATGCGGCGCAACACGAAGATCTACGGCATCTTCTACCGGCAGACGCTGAGGAAAGATTTAAAATTATTTTTGGCAATTTAAAAGAAATATTTAATTTTCATTCCGACGTGTTCCTGAAAGACTTAGAAAATTGCATTTCTTCTAGGGAATTAGTAGCATTATGTTTTCTTCAAAGAGTAAGACATTCCACGATAATTTTAAACATTTCACTAACACATATTTTTCCAGAGAGATATGTTCTCTCATCTATATAGCTTTTACTGTTTAAATATAGCGAAGTCGGAGCAGATAAGAGAAACTTCAACGGACCTTCAACCGTTCTTTCAAGCTTGCCAACAGCAATTAGGCCACAAGCTACCCTTAGCTGCTTATCTACTCAAACCGGTGCAGCGTATTACCAAATACCAACTACTCCTCAAAGATTTACTCAGATATTCCAACGAGGACGATTGCAGTGCGGAGCTGAAGCAAGCCTTAGATTGCATGCTGGTCGTGCTGAAGGGCGTCAACGACAGCATGCACCAGATATCGATCACCGGGTTTCCTTTGGACCTGTCGCAGCAGGGCGAGCTCCTGCTGCAGGGCTCGTTTTCCGTTTGGATCGAAAACAAGCGCGACCTGAGGTTGAGGCTGAAGCCGATGCAGAGGCACCTGTTCCTCTACCAGAAGGCGCTGCTCTTCTGCAAACCTATATCGAAGTCGATGCACAACAAGGCCACTTACCAATTCAAACACTATCTGCAAATGTCGCAGATCGGCCTGACCGAGTCCGTTAGGGGAGATCCGAAAAAGTTCGAGGTGTGGCTGCAAGGCCGCCAGGAAGTGTACACAATACACGCCAGTAACCTGGAAATCAAACAAACTTGGGTCAATGAGATTAAAAAGGTGCTGTTTAACCAATTGGAGGAGATCAAAGGGGAGAAAATCAGACAGTACGCAGCTCTATCTCATAAGTAAGTTTTCGAAGTATTCCGTTTTGAGTTTGTGCATTTATTCGTTTTATTAGACCTCTTAGGCAGACAACGTCGTGGGAGAAGCAGAAAAATACAGTGCCTGTTGTACCTATAATTACACACCATAGGGCAATGAGCTGTGATTCTGATAATTCCTCCCATGGCAATGAAGAAATATCCAACGATATTGAAACCGGCAATTGGTCTTCAGACTGTAGTAATAGTGATGATGAAGATCATAATTCTCCGGTACGTTCCATCCAATACTATTCAATGTAAATACAAAATATCTAAATGGTGTTAATAATTTCTCAAGGTAATTACTAACAAATATCCACAGAATAGTTCAACTCTTTTTTTGCATGTGATACATCCAAATTTTGTAGCTTTTGGGCGAATTGGCAATAATTGTTTTATATCATTTTTTGTTTGCGATATTTTTTATTGAGAAATTGGTAGGTACACTACGCTCATTACACAAAATCCTAGTGAAGAATTTTTTAGTAATTACATCAGTAATTTCTGCTTAATTTTTATGGTGTTCTCATGTACTTTCTTGCAGTGGAGGGATGTGGTGAAGGGTCATAGTACGATAGTTGATCGCGTCGTTCAATATTTCATTGGCAGTACAACAAATTCTACCACATTTTATGTTAAAAATTTCTAATTTCTCCTCTTCTTTTGCTCATTCTAGTAAGTTAAACCTAATTTTTTGTTTGATAGAATCCCATCGCACTTAATTCACTCGTATTTTAACGCTAATGCATTGGTCGTATTTTAGCTTAATTTAGCGCTTGATTAACAACGCTTTTTAGCATTTCGTTTATGTGCACACCCGTCCCATAATATTTTAACTAACAACAGGTAAATAGAAGTACCTATAGCAATTAATTGTTTAATCGTAGCAAGTTGCATCTCTTACAATCTCCATGTTTCGTGCATTTTTGTACAGGACAAAACCTTATTAAAAAGGTATATGTAGAGCTAAAATTAACTGCTCAAAATCGGATAATCTAATAGCATATTACACCGAGAAGCTTTCTATGTTATTTGAAACGACATTGTAATAATGTGTTTGCTTGATAATTGTAATTTACAGCAGGTAAGGACATTGTGTTACAAAATTTCGAATTTTACAGAACGGAAGATACATAGCACTTGCAGATTACTGCGCCGTTGGTAACAGCGAGGTAAATATGAAAGAAGGGGATGTTGTTGAACTGCTAAAAGTTGGCTGTGCTGGTTGGTGGTTTGTTAGAATGATTGGTGAGTCTTTTAGTCATGTTTACTGAGCGATTGTTATGTGGTGTTGTTTTTAAGGGACAAATACTGAAGGTTGGGCTCCGGCTGCTTATTTGGAAGGCCAGCATTTCAAAAATTCCCGTAGTAGTAGCAGTAGGAGTCACGACAAATTGAATCTTTAGTATCCGATGGGGACCCGTCGGGAGTTTTCGATGGAATGTGTTGTGTACATTCGACAGACGTAGTCAAAACACCTCCTTGTTTGATTCGTATAGTCAGATGGATTTATTTGCGATATAAACATTTGAGTATTCACATATTTTTAGAATACTTGTTTCATTGATGATCGTTAGTTAATCATTATAAATTAAAATTGTCGCTGTGTTTGAAAGGCTTGAGAACAATATTATCGTTTGACTATTATCAAACAGTATTTTTAACATGGAAATTAGCGTTGTAACGAAGATTTTGGTGATATAGGTAGTTGTAAAGAGACTTTTGTATTATATTTATTTCATGATAGCTGTACATAGTTTTATAAAATGATTGTATCAACAATAATTTTAAGTGTATTTCCGCGGTTTAATGAATGAAACACGTATTTCCAAATTATTCTTATCTGAGTAACATATCTTGATTTTCTAATTTTATAGAAAATGAGTTGACCAAAGTTTACTTAAAAAATTGTTTGATTTTCATTGTGCAATTTTATTTAGGTGCGGGTGCTAAAAGAAACCTCCCCCGAGAAGCTTTTGTGAGTACAAATATTTTCCTAAGATGTCTGTTGCAAAAAAAATATACATTCCTATTGGATTTCCAGTGGGTTTGTTAAATATTTTTTGCAAAAAAATATTTTGTTAAAGCACTATTTATTTTTTAGATTTTATTCGACTGGTTATGTATTTATTTCAATTGTATTTGTTATTCGATTCTAGTAATTTATTATATTTTTTTTTCGTTTTTATATAAATATGAACAAAACATACAATCGCAAATCAATCTGATATTTATTATATCCTCGAAAAGTATATTTACAAATTACCTATTGTATAGTTTAAATTGTTCAAAAATAAACAATATTTCTATTTTGTGTCTATTTTACCCGCTTTACTGGTTAATTAGTTAAATTGGCTGATAAATAAAAATGTTCAAACTCATTTACTGTTTTATTACAATGAAGTTAGCTAGAATCACAGAACATACATAAACTAGAATATAAATAGGATGACAGTTCAATGACGGGTAAATTTTAAAGCGTCATCTATCACTCGCTAAACAAACACTAGGCATTGAATAGAAACCTATAAATAGCTGTCTCGCGGTATTCTTGAAACTCACGAGATGGCGTGCAAAAGATATTTTTTGTGCTATACCGAACAATAATCCCTGAATATGCAGTAAATTCGGACGCCGCAAATTTTTCAAAAGATCAAAAAATACCGAAACCTTTTCACATAGACAAAAGATTTTGTCGTTCGTTAACCGATCGGTATCGGCTCGAAGGGGAATCCCTCTGTTTCTGCATTAAGTGGACCGCTGAATTGGCTTCGTAGTAAAAGCAAAATATAATGACGTCGCGACGGCGTCACTGACGCGTCGCCTTGTTGTCACCATTGACTTCAAAGTTCCGACATTCGAGTGTTTTAAAACATCCCTTTGCTTTCGAGATTCCCCGGCATCGAGGAACCCTTATTTACGCAATTCTGACTCTTAGAGCATAACTGCCAAAGTTTTTATTCTAATAAAAAGGATTCCGGGACCACGATTGTTTTTACTTACACTAAAAAAAATATTCTCACCTACCCTAATATTACTCGCATCAAATATGTTTAATTATACATAATTCAATATCCATTACAAAATTATAGTGGTGTGGTGGTATTTAATTTTCAATTTTTACATAATTTTTTTTAATAGTATCTATATCTACACTTATAAACTTCCATTAGATACATCAGTTTCTTGTTTAGTATACAAAATAAAAATAAAACGTGGAAAATATTTTTTTTAGTGTACCTTGTTCGCAACCACTTGTCCATATGAATTCAAAATTTCTGATGCGAATGGGAAAAGTCGCTCCGCATCCTCCTGTAATTCCATAAATTGAACAAATTATTAGATTCCCTTTTGATTTCGGCGAGTGTGGACATCATTTGGAAAAATTCGCTAACATTTTTTCGCTTTGATATGCAAAATATAATTAACAAGTCTGTGATCTTCACTCGAGTGTCATCTCTTACAAAACACCGTGCCCCGATTGAAACGGGTGCATAATTAATTAAAGAAACAGCAATTATTGAAATTGACATTACACAAAGGAATCGCGAATGGTACCTGTGCAATTTTTTTTGTCGCCGTATAACAAAAATTTAAGTATAAGTAAAATTCGGATCGCTCAGTATAGCTAATTTCTAAGTGAATTAGGTGCCCCGGAATCCATTCTTTTCGCCGAATTAATTTAAATAAACATCTGAATGGTATCGAATAAAAATATCACCCTTAACATTTCGAACCTATTACCGCTGAATACATTCGAACTCCTTTCATCTGAGGTTTAATCAAACTTTATAACTTTGACACGCACACCCTGTCGACTGGTCTCATTCAAAACAAACTCATATCTTTTTCACGGAACGCCGCCTTCCACTGAAGACCTAATGGACATTAGAGTATTACGGCGAGATTAAAACGCTTCATCTTATTACGTTTTCATTCAAACCAACGGCTCCCGTTGGGATAGGCTAATTTGATAAGTATAAGTTAATCATCAAATAAAGTCATTTTTTGGCTAATTGTTAATTACATCTACTCGCGCAAGAATGTTGTTAACAAAATAATGCAAAAGAAAAGTATCTGCAGATAAATATATAAACACTCGTAGAAGCAGTAAAATGACTAAACAAAGTTGGCTGTATGGCCGTCCATGGTCGACAGGTGAAGAAGTGGTTGAAGTGGTATCCCGCCAACAAGGAGCAAGCGCAGCCCGTAGAAATCCGCACCACGATAAACAAGAGAACAGCTGTCGTTCCCGAGGGAAACGACAATAAAGCAGGGAAATAGGTAATAGCACGGCACACTCCGCCCTGGCCTCGCCCTTTGCGCTCGCCCATTGGCGCGATGCTAGATGATAACGTTCGATTGGTCGCCGGCGCGTCTTTACACAATCCCTTTTTTGTAGTCCTCATCCTTGGTCCACAAATTATGCAAATGGTCTTCTTCTATCTGCTCACCTTCTGCTGCCACCGTCAGGCAGTGTCTTGTTTGCACTTTTGCCAAATTTAGAACTATAAGGGGCAAAGTTCACGTTGCCATCGACTGTCAAACAGCCAGCATCGGTTTGCCCTTTTGAAGTCACCGACGGGAAATCTTACTCAACTAGGCTTCGTCTCTTATTTAATGTTAACCAGTGCTCCGATGATGTGAATGAAATTTATTTGGTGACTGTGCTATATTGTGAACATTTTCGATAATGAATATTTAGAGGATGAGTCGAAAAGGGTGCTGATGGTTTTTTCCTCCACGGTATCATTACTGATTGCATATATTTAGGTAGGTTCAATTTTCAATTTTTATAAGTATTCTAGGTTGTTTAAAACTTTCCTGGTGTCAACCTATTTGTTTTAAATATACAATTTATTTATTGCCATAAACTATAAAATTCTTTTTGATTAAACTTTTAGTATAAACCCCACTTTTTCTATATAATATACTGAATAGCAATAAGCATTTTATTAATATTCCACAAAAATTCTATACACGCACAACAACCTAATTTCGAATCAGCTTTACTAATTAATAACGCCTGTAAGCAGTATGCATTTATTTACCCTTACAAATTCTGTACATTTTTATGTAAAACATCAACCGAGGCGTGAAATTGATAAACGTAATACTTTCAGGTATTCTATACATTTTCCGGTTGGCCATTTTGGCATCGCGTGACATTATTTTAATTTTCTAACGATTTGTCACATACCGTATAATCACATGTCATATCATAATTAGATTTGTCGACACAAATATTACAGAAAATACCTATATAAAGCTCCATAATGTTCAAGCAACAAGCTGTACTTAGTTGTTCAAATATCCGTGATTTGAGTAGTTGATTATTGAGGTAAAAAATAAGATTCTGTTTAGTGTAATTATCGCTTAAAAAATAACATTTGTTAAAATGCATTTGGAACTTGAAATTTTGAATCCAATTCCAACTTTGATTCCCATTTTAACATCACCCAAAATTAATTAGCAAGAAACACCATCTAAATACAAATATATTTCTGTCGATACTGAATATTTTCCCAGAAACATTTAAAACGGAAAAATATTTATTGCTTTTCACAATAACAACAATAAATTTTTAAATGTGTGTTTATTGGATTTTTAAAAATAATTCCGATAGTTAATGTATGCATGAAAACTGAAGTGTTTCATAATAATTGGTCAGATCGTTTTCATGATCACCAATTTGCTACTATTGTAAACCCTGATTCAATCAAAATCGATAAAGGTAGTGACCATTTTAGCATTCTATACAACTCCCGATTAATCAATTCTGCTGTATGAAGTCCAATTTGATACTCGGACCCCTGGCGAATTTCGAATTTTCAATTTCGACGGATTATTGGCTGTTATGATATTCATATGGAAAAGATATCGATTATATAAGTACCTCAATTTTTTTTTAATCCATTAAAGTCACACAATTCGCTGGAATAGGTCGGAAATATTAAATTTAACGCTACAAATATTACCCAACCATTTATCATAAAAGTAAAGTTACAACTTCCGCTATTTTTACACGGAGGAAACTCTGGGAAAAGTGTGTAATGTGTGCATGAACGGCCATAATTCATTCAACTCTTAATAAATAGTCTTTCAAAACTTATCCACTTTGTTTTCCCTGTTTTAACTATAACTACCGCCCACAACTTAATTTTATTGCCCTAATGTTAAGGGTGCACATAGTTAACTGCTATCACTTTGCACCCTTCCACCCTTCCCTGTGTAATTTTCTTGCGTGTTCCCGATGGTCTAATCAAATGTGAATGCATGATTTTCTTGGTAAATCGTGTGAATAGTTTCTCTTATAGGTGTAACCTTATCACTCGAACACCTCGGCAATTTGTCAATATAATACATTTTCAATAATATCAACAAATGTATTGGCATAAAGAGATATATAATTCAACCAATTAACAGTAATTAATTAAATTTATGTAAAATCCAGAAATGTTATCTGTACTAATCAGTAGAGTGGAACAAACGCGTTCATTTTACTGTGTAAATAAGGGGGGTAAAATGTGATGTGCGACCTCACGGACCGAATAATTACTAATAACACGTTGTTATTTGCATACTGTTACGTATTAGTAAACTCGAAAACTGTACAACAAACAAAAAACCAATTAGTCCACATAAAAGGCGGATCATTTATTAATTCGAATATCGGCATTCAGATGAAAAAAAATGTAGCAAGTTTTCAACCATTTCGTGCAGATACGAAGTGCAAACCAGCTGAAACATCTCGAGCCAAAGAAAAGTTAAAGTGCACTTAAAAACCAAAAACAATAAGTAAACCGGGGTTCCAGCAAGCTTTTACAATCATTACCCCGACCTTTATTCGTCGAGTACTAGCATTTGCTAACCGATCAATATTTACATTACTTATAATGCACGCACTATATTGCTTCTGGAGTGGCCTCATTGTTTTAAAAGTATTGTTTTCAATCTCTACAAGACGGTGTTTTTGTTAGTCGCTACTGTACGAGCTACAACTTCACCCAAAACTTATTTGCTTAATCAATCCCTATAGATAAAATATACATTTAGCAGACGACAATAACGATACATTTAGTGTAATCAGCAGAAGAAAAAATAAAGTAAAATTCATGTGCGGCTAAGTTGGACTGATGAGGCGCCCATAGAACAGCCTTTTAAGGTTGAGAGTTCACTCGATGGTCGCAAAGCGTGAATAAATTAATCAACCCTCAGAGATAGTTAACGTCCAGGCAAGACACGCGAAAGTTGAGGTGAACTTCGGTAAAATATGCATCGTCCGAATAGGGCGGTAGCCGAACCATCATCCACCT